TTGCGAGCACAGCGTCTTCACTTGCAGGGTTGCTTCAACAGTTCTTGCGAGCACAGCGTCTTCACTTGCAGGGTTGCTTCAACACTTCTTGCGAGCACAGCGTCTTCACTTGCAGGGTTGCTTCAACTTCTTGCGAGCACAGCGTCTTCACTTGCAGGGTTGCTTCAACACTTCTTGCGAGCACAGCGCCTTCACTTGCAGGGTTGCTTCAACACTTCTTGCGAGCACAGCGTCTTCACTTGCAGGGTTGCTTCAACTTCTTGCGAGCACAGCGTCTTCAATTGCAGGGTTGCTTCAACACTTCTTACGAGCACAGCGTCTTCACTTGCAGGGCTGCTTCAACTTCTTGCGAGCACAGCGTCTTCACTTGCAGGGTTGCTTCAAAACTTCTTGCGAGCACAGCGTCTTCACTTGCAGGGTTGCTTCAACTTCTTGCGAGCACAGCGTCTTCACTTGCAGGGCTGCTTCAACTTCTTACGAGCACAGCGTCTTCGCTTGCAGGGTTGCTTCAACAGTTCTTGCGAGCACAGCGTCTTCACTTGCAGGGTCGCTTCAACAGTTCTTGCGAGCACAGCGTCTTCACTTGCTGGGCTGCTTCAACTTCTTGCGAGCACAGCGTCTTCACTTGCAGAGTTGCTTGAGTAAATGAGAGCTTGTTCATTTACTCCATTCTTTCATGAAAAAAAAGTCATCGGAAAGAAGGTTTGAAGGCCTATGACAACTTGTGAAATATCATGAGAAGAACCAAAAAAGACGAATTAACTTTTTCCTAGAATCTTGTATACTCTGCATTTTCATTTGTTTGGATAATTCTTTCGTGCAAGAGAAAAAGAAGACAGACGTAGAAAGACATAATGAAAAAAAAATACGTACATTGCAAACAAAGCTTAGCTAAAGACAAATAAAGACAATTCAAAGAGAAGAGTATCACAAACGAAAGAAATTAGCGTTATAAAATGGTCTGTAAATAATTTGCTTAATATTTTACCCCTTAAAGTTTCCTTTAACCTCTCGATAAAGTGTTGTGTATATTGTTTATGTCGTTAGGCTGTGCGCATGACAATCGTATGTTTTTTTTATGTATAATTGTATTGTACTGCGAACTAAGGCTTGACAACTATACGAATGTATAGCCTACCTGCTACAAGCACGGAATGGTAAAAAAATCGTGGCAATTGCATGCAAATAACCTGAACTGAAAAACGCCGATACAATTTTTGTTGATTTTTTTTCGATGCTTCTTTATTGTAATGTGCACAAGTAAATCACAAACAATGCTTTAATTGGCTCAAGTGAAAATTGACCTTATCAGACTGAGGAAAACTATCAATCAGCAGAAATGGTACAAACAGATGCTGATTTCTACGTTGTATTAAGAACGAACTTTGTCATCCCTAAATTGTGTTGAAAGAAAATTTGAGCCAACTACTATCATCAATGAAATCAACGCTCGTGCGGTGCATGCGTATCTTGACGTCATAGAAGTTTGAACACTTTTTAAGTCGATCTTTGTGTCAAACTGCATGCTGGGAAGGCTTAGCTTGTCGAGAGAATATCATAGCACACTACTTGGAATCAATCAGCTATGGTTCAAACATGAAAACGGAAATCAAATACTCGATTAAGCGTTGATCTTCCAATGATACCGTTGTACCTTCTTCATTGCTGAGCGTTATGAAAACCATCTGGCTGTTTTCAACATCGATATCACCGGTATGTGTTTAGCTGTTTGTAACCATATTTTTACTCCTTTAGATGAATACGATTTTTGACTCCGCAAGTACGATTTTTGATAGAAATTCCAATCACTTTACGATTTGACATTTTAATGCTTTACGATTTAACACTTTAAATCTTATAATTCAACACTTTAACCCTTATAATTTGAACCTTTAACGATTTAACGCTTTGACCTTTAACTTTTTAAATCTTTACGATTAAACCCTATACGATTTCAAATCCTTTGCGATCTTTGAAAATTTGCAAACCCTTTGCTTTGAAGGAAAAAACAGTTTCACAAACAAACATGCTAATTTTTTCTCATAATATGCATTTCTTTTTATCAAAGAATGATACATCAGATCAAAAAATACATCATGGATACAACATGGATTTGATGGAGAACGTCATGGATATCATGGACTTCATGGATACATCACAGATATTTTGGACTACATTATGGATATCATGGACTTCATGGATATCATGAACTTCATGCTTGAATTGCATTATGGATGTCGTGGCTTACATTGGGGATCTAGTGGGCTAAACCATGGTTAATCGTCGTCAATTGAATGTCGTGGAAAACATTGTGGACATCATGGATTATGTCAAGGATGATGTAATAATCGCATAAAGGACAGTGATGAAGGTGCAATGGTTTAAATTTGTTAATATCCTGGTGATCAACATTGACAGGAATTTAATTGAACACTAACTGAGATAAAAATCCAAGTTGGTTGTTCTCTTGATTCCTGTTAGCGTTAATATAATTTTCATATGGCTTATATTGGTTGGAATGCAACGGAGTGCATTTCAGCGCGAAAATTTGTCTGAAAATGACGGTACATCTTAAACTGCACGAAAGCTTTTATCTGGCTAACGTGAAATATGAGGATGTCATCATTTACGGCTTTCTATTAATGTCTAATAGTCGGAACATTCATTTTTTGATCACTAGGATACACGATGCTAAGTTCAAAGAAATAAGCATGGGTTTCTTTGAATTTCGGTCGTGCGCATGAATATTTCAAATCTATTATAAAAACTTAAAGCATAACTAACAGTAAAAGTCTGAATGCATGAATCAAACCGAAATGCATGCAGAAAAAAAATTACGTACTGTTCGACTGCTAAAAATTAAAAAAAAAACGGTCCAAAACATGGCAAAAAACGGCATGGCAAAATTCGGTATTGCAAGCAGCTGCATGACGTAAATTAAATTTAAATAAACTATAAATGCTTGAAATATTCTTGCTTGATGATGCTTTCATTTCTTCCATTTCGACGTTTTGTTTGATTAGTTTGAGTCATCATTTTCAACCATGCTAAACTCAAAAAGCTTATACTATGTTTAGATGCGAAGTAAAGAAACAAATTCAAGTGTTTAAAAAAGTTTGCGACTTAAAACTGAATGACCTGCATCATCAAGATGAATATGTTTATAATAAAAAAAGAAAACATTTAAGTTTACAGCCGTCTGATAAACAACAAAACAGAATAGGTCCATGATACCCTGGCATTGCTTTTGAAAATGAAAATCAATGTTATGACAGTGGCATGTACAAGTTAAATAATTACAAGTTGAAATTATTTAACTTGGAAAAAAAAAGCGGTCTAGCTATGAAGATATCTAAAAGTCTTAGTGTAGATGTAGATAGAAATAATTGTAAACGGTGCCAAGTTGGTACCTAGGTGATCGAGTGTTGGACACAAGAAGGATTCGTTGGCACGCCGTTTGGTAATGTATAAGGGCCCAGGGAGGTGGTTCCCCGTTCATTAGGTTCCCTCTCGGCTTGGGTACTAACGTTGCTTTGCAGGTGTCTCATCGTGGAAAGGTTTGCTTAAATTTTTTTGTAGTATATAGATACTAGATAGACAGATGTTCAAATCCGCGTTATTTCATGCCACTGATCGACAGGGTTAACTAAGAAAGCGCATAAGCGAAAAACGCAAAAGTCAAAAACGACTTAAAAATGGCGATAAGTGACGGATACGGTTTATCTTAAAAACATTTTTTACAAGGATGTATGTTGCTTCGGTCACCTCTTTTGACAACCTTGTAAAGATAAATGCAGTCTACATATTGTTGTAAATATAACTAAGGCCTTATGAATGTAAACAGAACTTTTGTAAACATAAAAGGTAAAAATAAACAAGGTGATCCCGAGCAATTTGTATACATCCATTGTTTGATTGAGGGTTTTCCTCCGGTGTATCACCGGTTTCCCTCAATGAATATTCTTTAGAATATTCTCAAAAACAAAAAAGGGTGGCCATGTATGGGACCTACAGGAAAGAAGAAGGGTTCTTATGGTTATTGGGTTAAATTCCCAATCCACTCCAAAACACACGGTTGAAAGAAGAACAAACGAAGAATCATGATAATCCATCGTGGAAGTTTAAGGTAAAATTTTTCTACCACATTTGCATTGATGTATTTAATGTAAACATAATTTTCTTATTGCTGTGCATGTAATATTTGTTTTTCAATTTTTAGGGTATTACTTTTGCAAGAGAAGACGTATCCAAATGTTGCATCACGTGGTTAAAGTACTGGGTTCTACATTTAGAAAATATGCATTAACAAAATGATAATGCCTTGCAAGTACTGCCAACGAAAGCATCGCACATTCTATGGGTCACAAGCCTGCATAAATCTTAAAGACGCTCTTACACATGCCGTGTGGGCTCCGGCGTTCAAGAATAGACCCAACGTATCCTCTGCGTGTCGTAAGAGGCGACTAAAAGAGGTTGGTGTCAGGAAAGACATTTGGCGATAAGAGCTATATATATTTGATTTTGAACTGGCAAAGAAGCTTGAAGAAATATGGCTTAAAATTACGTTAAGGGTGATGAACATGGTGAGAGCTTACATCAAAATATCTACGGTAACTGATAACGGTGAGAGAGGAAGGAAAAAGAATGTACAGCAAAGATCAATTGTCAAAAGAATGAAATGAAGAGAACTTTGAAGTCCTCTTTCTTTAGCAAATAGCTGCAGCCATTGCAATAAAATAAAGATATAAGATGATGTTGAGTGTTAACAAGATAAATAATAAGTTAGAAGATATATCCACAAAAACAACTAGTTTAGTTGTAAATATCAGAAGATTGCATTTGCTAAGAGAATAAACGATCAGGTAGTACACCTGGCAGAGAAGAAACGAATGATAGATAAGACAAACAGAGGCTGACAAAGATAAGACGACACTTTGAAAGAAGATGACGGGACTGGACATTAAAGAGCCAGATGCTTTGAGGAAGACAAGAACTAAGGATATCTCAAGGAGAGATGGTGTAATTGCTCTTTATTCATTATTCTTGACAATGCTTATGTTACTATGAACTTCTGAAAATTCCATTGTCAACATGATATAAATTTTTTGCAGAAGAACAACTGTTTTGTTTCCCCTACCCATAAATTAAAATTGCTGTTCACATTGCTTTGGGAAAAGAGGATGCAATGAACTGTCTCTCGTTATGGTCATTTCCACGACTAATGAAACGATGTGTTGTAATTGTCAGATCCATGTCATCCATCTCAATACTAGTAACGCCAGAGGAGTCCATTAACATACACACAGTATACAGGGCCACCTCAAATTCTGGGCTTGTTCCAATGAAGGAGCTGCCAACAGGCTTCACTTGATTTTTCCATTCAAATTGGATGGTAATCAAATGAGTGTCTTCACTGGGTTTCTAAATTATTGGCATTTTTAATTAAATGTCATTTATGCTGCATTGGATGAAAAAATATTGTACCTACATACCCCTCGTACACCACGTCCTCTAATGTAGCCTTGATAATCCACATTACCAAGTTTTTCTTGAATATAGAATTGTATCCAGTTGTGAAAGCCAATGACTTCTTTATCTCGACTCTCTCCAACAAAAACATGTTCAAATCCAGAAGAATCTTTGTTTCTGAAAATTTGAGAAAGGTTTTTTTTATCTGAAAAAAGACCCAAAAATATTTTACAAAAACTGTCATGAACCTGTTTCCTTTTGTTCTTGAGTACAATTCAAACCAGATTTGATAAAGTTGATGTTTAAATCCCCGGATGTCTGGTGGAGATTTCTTGGCTTTTGCCAAGACCTCGTGGGCTATCTTCATAGGTTCCGTTTCCATGATTAGATCAATAAATCTTCTGTTTTCATTAATTTCCTCTTGAGTTACCACTTCAGCTCGACCAGTGTCTCTCTCATAGTTATCCAACAAGGCAACAAAAGCTTTGCAGAAAAAATAAACAATTGTAGTAAAAGACAGGATTAGAAAAATCAAATTTCACTGTTCAGATGTACCTTTGTATGTTGGCCTCTCAAAAACATCTGGCTTTACCCAGCTGAAAAGTGGGTTTCTAGCCCTATCTGTCCTTTGATAACTCTTTGTGTATCCTTGTAAATCAAGGTCGTAGTCTACGCCTGGAGTTAGTCTATTTTTATCAGCATGCCATAACCTTGTCGCAATTTGGGAGGCTTGAGGGTGTGGTTTGAATCTAGATAAGATTTTTTATCTCCTCTTAAAATGTAATCGCTTTTAGGGAAGCATTTCTAGTTTTTTCAATTCATTTATTTCATTAATTTAGCTGTAATCCACCCTAAATTGTACAATCGCACGCTCAATATTTGACATCTTACGCAAACAGTCGCAAGTCTATAACAACGAGATTTGTACAACTGTTAACGAGAGGGTGTATTTGCGCTTTGTGGTAAATGGATTGCTTTTCACGTTTGACGAGTAGATCAAGAGAGTTAAAAAATTAGTAGCGAATAAATACTTACTCGGATGCCATTGTGTTGAAACGAGAGGATACACGAAGGATCAAGTGAACAGGATGTATATTATTATTTTACCATGTTAGTGTAGTTTATTACTAATTAGTACACGTACTTGTTTCCATCCATGGAAATTACAGAAAATTTGATAAGTCACTAAACGTCTTTGTTCGATGACCTTTGCAAAAATATTGTAAAACCGGAATTGCATGTAAACGGCCAACCATCCTTATGAACTGTGGTTTGAAAATTTACATACGAAGTGGATCTTTGCTACTTACAACTAATGATAAAGCGACAGGAACATTGACACAGGAAACACGGTTCATTAAAATTCAAAGAAATCGTTATTAAGTGTGACTTGGCTAAATCACTTCAGCCAGGCAGTTAACGTGTCAAAGCAAACTGTCGTATTGACTATTTCAAGAAGGTGAATTTCAAGATTATTGCATTCAGAAAACACTATGTGTTGTCGGTGTTTGAAAACAGCGTTTTACGTCATAATGTTCACTTGTTTGACGACCGTTGGTAAGTTTGTAACTAAGTTGTATTATTCACATTTCTTTTGTAATAATTGGTGTTATTATCAACTTTGCATCGGTCATTGCTTTTAAATGAGGAAAAGACATGACCTAAGACCGCATTTTCGCCAAAACAAGAGCATTTCCATCAACGCATAAGGGTGTTCGAGCCTGTAAATTTTCCTAATATACTACACTATATGAGTCAGGTTGTTGACTTGATTGAACAAGTCAACGCTACTTAAATTTCACACATTCAAAAAAAGCGAATCTGCACTTACTAGTACAAAAGTTAAATGTATTGCTTTGCTTGAAGCATCAGAAAGAATTGGTATAAAGGCCGATTAATTAAGCTTTAATGGTGTTATTAGTTTCTTAATAACAACCCTGAAAGGTGTGGGTGATTATTTATTTCCTGCGATTATTGAGAGTCATTATACCACGAAAAGAAAGTACTACGCCAAATCCATTACAAGTATTGTTTAGTGACTAGAGAAATTTTATTTCACCAATAACTCAACGCATGATTCACCATAGTTGCAGAATGTCCTCCAAATTGGACACGAAGTGACCATGGTTGTTTCCATAAAGTAGTTACTCGCGATAAAGTCGATTGGAGCGAGGCTAAAGAACGATGTGAGAACGATTACAAAGCTGAACTTGCGAGAATCGACTCGAAAGAGCAAAGTGATACCTTAGATAATTTGTTGAATCATGTTGAAAGTTGGATCGGTTTGAAAGCGAATGCCAATTCATCTTTAAAGGGAGTAAATGGTGAAAAGCCAAAATTTCTACCAAATAGTTTGAATAGGAATTACTCGCCCAACGTGCGTTGCAATAAGGCGAATGAGGATTTTGGAAGAAAATAAATGTGATAAAAGTTATAACTATACATGTGAAAAGTTGCAAAAACCTGGTATGTATGTATTGATAAAATATCTTAAATTATTCAATCAAATTCACGAGCCCCATTAGAAGTTTCGACATGTACTATTTTTTCAAGCTAATTCATGATGTATCAATAAAACCATCTAAATAGCAACGTTTATAAATGTTTATACGTTTGCTATTCAGGCCAGTGTGAAACATTTAACAAGACCTGCTACACCATTTCGCAGAAGAAATCCAATTTCAGTTCATCGCTTTTGTCATGTGAGTCGAAACAGGAAAGTATTATAGAAATTTCCAAGAAAGCCGAATACAACTTCATAAAACAGGAGTTTGGTGGACGAAACCTCGACGTTTGGCTAGGCGTCGTAAAACCTATCAACTCTTCAAGTTACCAGTACTTAAAAGGCAATAAGTCTGCGGATCTGTCTGAACTAGATGATGAATTTAAAGTCAAAGCAAAATTGAGCGAACGCTTTTGTATAACTATAAAAATAACAAAGAACCTGAATTTCATAGAAAAACAGTGTGACTTCAGACTAAGTTCTTATGTTTGCTATAAGAAAATGAAACAAGGTGAGTGGAGGAAAGATTCGATGGAAGATGAAATTGGTTGATATAAATTTATCAAGAATAACCTTCTTTGATAGTGGCGTACATGCATGAGTAAATGCCCGTGTAATAACAATACAGAATAAACTTTACAACAAATGCAAATAAGCTTTTCTTTCCTGAAACGATTTTGAACACATCTTTTGCTACTAACGCTTACTTAACTGTTATCTTTTTCACAAATTTAGAAGCCTAGAGAAACTTATACTTTCAAACTGCTCAGTATTAAACCTCCACACCAAAGACAATCCTCATTTTTTTCCCTAGCTACAGCAATTGAGCTGATGATTCTTAAAAACATCTCGAGCAAAATAGTTCAAGCACAAGCTGGCGAAACTGTTAACCTTCGATGTGCTGCTACAGGAATGTCCAATATGAAATTTTCCTGGTCAAAAGATGGCAGAGGCCTTGAAAACGTTCTTGAAACTTACGAAGGTAATCAAAGTACCATCGTATCTGTTACAATAAGGAATAACAAAGATTTTGGTAAATATAAATGCACCATTAAAGATGGATTTTCCGAACGGAATTTGACGATTTGGGTCGAGAATTGGAGTGAAGGTAATATTTTACATTTGTAGGTTTGACAGAATGCAGAAGAATCCTCAGCAAAATCTTTTTGACTTTTAATCTTTTAGGTGGTTCGAACGACGACAAAGTCTTGTTAACAGTGACGATAACATTGACAGTTTTCGTTGTGATATTAATCGCCATTATCTTTTGCTGCTTTAAACATAACAAGCAATTAAAACGCAGCTTAAAGAGGAGTAATGATTCAGGAGTTGAAATGACCAACGCTTCAAATGATAGAAGAGAAGAGCAAACAACGAAAGGCTACGAGGATGGCACGATAGGGAACGAAATGTCTCAATACACTCTCTAAGGAGAGAAAATGGCGAGCTTGAAGAAGACAACTTTTACTCGCCTCTTCAAGAAGCACCTCAATATGTCAACGTCAGTGAAATAAAAAACTCTATCTGATTCATTGGCTTTTAATGCAGACTTTTATAAGTTAAAATTATAGTGAAATCTTCATCATTTTGTGTTCATTAAAAAAAGTGATAAGAAGTAGGCAATATATGGTAATTTAATAGAATTTGATTTACATTTGAGTAATTTAGAAAGTACTATTATTTTGCCGAAGGGTCTTATCTTCATCGTAAAGCCTTGCAACACCTGCACGATCTTAAAGCTCTTTTGTAAAGGGAGAATGATCGTCTTTTGGAAATAACTGGTATGGCTATCAAAACAGCTTCATCACGTTACCCAATCATATCTATTCTCTTCCCTAAAACATCTTCCACTACAATTCACATTACGCTTTCATGGCATTAGGCATTGCAGAAAAAAATACAAGGAAATGACAAGAAGCCATTTTGACTTGTTAGTGTGTGATATCGAGCGAGTTTCCACGCCAACTGATTTGTTTGTCAAATGAATAGCAGCAGATGAATAGCCTTAGATAGAATAGAAACAAGAAATAAACCATGTGGTGCATACACTATGACAAAAATATGATATTTTATACTTTGAATGTATAAAATATCATATTTTTGTCATGGTGATGCATAAGAATGACTAACATAGAAAGCTGAAGATCTTAAGGAATTACCTGTGACAGAAACAGCGAGCACAGTTGGAAAGATATGACTTCTTTCAAGATTTCTCTTTCGCTTGCAGTTTTTTGGAGCAGCTAAAAGATACAATAAAAAGATTTGAAAGAGCCAACATCAGAAAAAGCAGATGATTTCCATCATAATACTTACATATGACTTTAAGTTGAATCGTTTTATTGCGACTTGAACCATTCTCATTCTCAGCTATGCAATAATATGTCCCTCGTCCTTTTTTCTAACCTGTTTTAACCTCAGCTGTCCAGCACTTCCTGGTGTGTCCATTTTATTCCTCTCTGACTTTCTACCGTTGAAAGTATTCGTTCTACGATATACGAGACGGTTTTCGTGGTAGATACTTATGTTTTTGATCGGTGGACTACAGTCACGAACTTCACATACGATCGTCACTGATTCACATTCATATAACACATTATCCACGGATGATGTATGAAAAAATGACGTCACGACTGGCCTTTCTGCAACATAAAATGTAAGATGACCAACTCAGTAGAAAGTAATTGCTTATCACTTACATTAAGTTTTCCACTTTATAAAAACGTCATTCACGTTTTTTTATAATTGAAGGTCAATTTTAATATCTATAGCGGAAGCACATAAACAATTCTATTCCATCATGACCTACCGAGAACTTCAAGTGTCAGTGACTTTTCAACAGTAGCCATAATGTTACTTGCCATACATGAATAATTCCCGGCATCGGAGCGCTTGACATTTTTTATTTGCAAACGACTGTAGGCCAATATTTTCAAATCATTTTTCTTGGGTCTATACCATAATGCCACAGGAGATGGATTTCCTTGTGTGTCACATGATACGTTTAACTCGTCATCTTCGAGTAATTTCATCTTTGATGTCGAAGGAGATGTGATAACTGGAGGAGCTAAGAGAAAAAAATATTTTACTACAATGGCCCACTGACCGAAAGGAGTTGTGAAAAAGTTTGGTCTCGTGTTTGACACAATGACGAACTTCCTCTGGCGTCAATAAACGACAAAAAGGAACGATGTTTGTCAGGAAGTGAATTTTACATTTCATCCATTCCCATGCTTAGTAAAAAAATTTGATGAATTTGAAAATTCTCATCACTCATCGACATAAAGTGATGCTGTTGGTTGATTTCTCATTGAAAATAATCACAACAAACTTACTTCCAACGTAAACTTCCACTGTGTCAGAGAAAATATTGACTGTATTCGCCAGGGATAAGGTGCATTTATAATAACCACGCTCCTGTTCAGTCACGTTATGTAAAGTCACTGTCCCTGTTGGCTCTACGCTTACTTTGTAGTTATTCATTACTGTGACCTTATCTTGAAGTATGTAGGCAATTCTCTTTGCTGAATTATCAAACACTTTTCCTTTACTGTACTGTACTTCATACAGCAACAATGCTTCGCCGCTGTCCAGAGTGAATGTCCAATTTAAAGTGACGTCATCACCTATTCGAGCTTTGATTACACCACGTGGCGGTCTAGATGTGAATTTTGCAGACTCAGCTAAAATGAAAGGTTAAAAGTTATAAGAGAGGTGCATGTTCATTATGAGTCAAACTTCAACTCAAACTGCTTCAATCTTGGAAGGAACAGAAATATTCAAATGCAAACTACGACATCATCATGCATGCTTAGATACAAAATAAAGTCAAAATACAACCAACACACAGACACAAAAGACTATAATATTAAACAACACCAGTATAAATTCACCATATCAGACCTTACCATTAAATGCTGGAAGTAAAACCCAGACATTTCTCATCAAGAAATTCAAAAATTATCGAGCCTAGTAACTACAGTATACGACAATCGACTTAACAACTCAGACAACCGGTAGCAACCCGTTTCCGGTTTGATATAGGCCTGATGTGTCTCTTCCGTTCACCTTTTTGACTTATTTTATTATTTAACGTGCTATGCTTTGATAAGTTGTCCATTTTCAAAGTTTAACACTCGATCGAGTCCCCCCCCCCGTTAACAATAAAAAATGCATAGACCTTGTGTAAACGATTATTTTGAAGCAGCTGATCTACAAGATTACTCATTAAAGTCACATTTGGTGATAAGAAATTGCCATGTTCATTTCAAAATTATGAAATAATTGTTTTCATATGTTTTCTTTTTCCATGATTAATGCTCAAAATAATAAACTTTTGTTATGAATGACCGCGTGTAAAACAACCTGGAAAAAAAGTGTTTTCAAGAGCCATAAGAGATCAATTATTCAATGGTCTCATGCAGCAATTGGGAAAAAAAGCGAAAAGCCGAATGTAATTGAAAGCAAATGTTACTTTATTCCCACATGCACAATTTTGCAAAATCACAACAACTTTAATAAACTTCATACAAAATAAATATAGAGATCAGTGCTGCTAAAATGTAAGTTTTACAGTACAAAAATAACAATCCACTGACTAGTTTATAAATAGCACAAAAAACATGTAAAATTAATTCAAAAGTTGGGCATTTTCCTGAGAAGAATTATCAAATAAACTTACATCAAAACGCTTTAAATGATGCACATATTGGTGTGGAAGTAAGAGTGGTTAACTGAAAATTGAGGAAACATTTCTTAACAGCTGATGCGCTCTCGACAAGTTAGCAAATGAGAACAGATGTAAATTAAATATCAAACTGAGAAACCTTTTAACGCCTGTGTGTACGTATACACAACAAGAAATCATTGGCATATGCAACTATAAGCATTTTTGTGTGAAGAAACTTAGCAAGAATAAGACACGAACATAGGTTTAAAGAAAATTACAAATGATCGTTTAAAAGTAGATTAATGAAATGAGCTTAAAATATTTTCAAGACGAAATAATTCTATTGAAAATGCATACACTGCGGTCCCTTCCAAATTATTTTGTTATAAATACTTGTGGGAAGCTCAATTATGTTTTTCCTATATAAACGCACATTTTTAACTGTCTCATCCAAACCCGTGAATATTATTTGATTTTTCGTTGGACGATTGTAAATTTCATATCTGACCGTCCAAACGTATACTCGTTTTGTCGTGCAGCCAGCGACTACTCCGTTAAAAGGACGATCATTTCAGAAGATGAACATTTAAACATAAGAAAATCTTCAAATGGAATGAAAGCACTTTCTTTAATTTGAAAGTATCTCCGTTAAATCTCTGTCATTTTAATGAAACATTGAACAATGACTAATGAAAGGAAGAGCACTTTATAGAAAGTAGTATATATTTGTTGTTTGACTCCGCAATGTAACAAGTTTTACATCGACTTATTTTGATCTCTATGTCTTATAATTTGTTCTGTATTCCCCTCTTGGTTACATTTTTTGATAAGAGGGTCTCACAATTTTTTGTCAAGTCTATATTTCATCATGCACGATATTTGATTTGTAGCTATATACAACGCCATTAAAACAATATCGTGTCTTAAAGATAAACGTTATCAATAGCCAAAAAATCTTTTATTACAGTATATATTTGTATGTGTTAAGTAGTCATAAGCGCTCTGTTTATTTTCAGTTTCAATAATTGAAAACACAAAGCACATTATCGACTCATATTGGTGTCTTCGATTTTGACACATAAATTTAGCTTTTTTTTGGTTCCCGTAACAAGAAAACCGCATTATTTCGACATGCAAGGAGGATAATTTTGCCATAACTGTCGCCATGCAAAAACATAAATCATCGTCTAGGAATTCTTAAAAGAAATCGGCAAGATTATGACAAAGGCGATTAATGAATATTTCATACTACTAACCTTTGTAAAAGACACCAGAAAATGCCAATAATATCGTCACAAGTATTAGAGTCCACATTCTGAATGCAAAAATTAAGTTAAATGACAACACCTCAATGAAATATAATGTCATAAATCTATTTCATGATACACCACGTTACCTTATAATCTTCGCAGCGATGTTTAGCTAACTTACATATATATAATCGCAATACAATTTAATCACTTTGGCCGATAACCGCCCACCACAGAAACAACACAATCGACTTGATGTATACTTTCAAATTCTACAAACACAGACTTCGGAATATTTGACGCAAACCGTGAAACTTCAATCGGCAAAATAAGGCAGACACACACACAGAACACCGGATACACTTGGGCAATTTTCTACGTAAATAGATGTTTTCTCGATCCAATATTGTTTGTCGATCGTGATAAGATAATTGTCTCCTCCTAACAAGAGCGATTATTTATTATATTGAACACTATAGATGAATATCATATCATCACACCACAAAAGCACTGGAAATTCTCAAGCTATTTTATTAAATCAGCAGTATATTTGGGCAGACGAAATGCGTTTTTGGTCGTAAGGATAGTCACATTCACAAACACACGGACCTTCAACCACAAGAGCTCTCTTCCTACACTAGACCTCAATATACGCGTGCAGAGAACAAAGACTTCAAAGGGCGAAAACATATTCTCACTTCATACGGTCATGAGCATTAATCATCAACAAGAAGAAAAAATGTACCTCAAGAATTAAAAATATGACATAAGGATGATGTTCCTTTCACTTTGATATACAAATCACCGCCTCGAGAACAAGCGTCATAGAATTTGCAATGGCTCAGTGCAACATCATACAAGCGCGCTTCATAGATCATTTTAACCTGTTATTGCGCACTTTATATTAAAATTTCAATGTTGAATATTCAACATTGAGTATTTATACTTAGCTTATCTTGCTTCAATATAATTATAAAACAAGCCCAATTGATTTTATGTACAATTTCATTGTCCATTATACCTAAACTTAACCACACAAAGCTTAGTACAATCTATAACTAAGACAATATTTACACATTTAGACATTAAGTTAAATATTACACTTCATAAATTAGATCAAAATGTCATTTCTGTTCAACTTTTGAAGCTATTTTCTTTTAAAGATGCGAGGAACGATTAATGCTGGGGACTGCATGAAACAGCTTATGCAAAATATGTATTTTTTCAGTGCGACATCAAGTAGCTAACGACTAAAAAACAAATCGCCTCGCCGTCTATATATTTGTGAGTTGAGACAACTGAGATATAATATGCATTACCCCGACATGCATTTAAAACCTCAAATGATAATGTTTCTCAGAAGTTTTTAAGTGATAAGACTTTTTATCGCCGCGGTAAAGGTGGCAAATCTTGAGCAATCGTTTCCACGCCTTCAACAAGATGGCCCTCATACCAGCGCTGTAAAATACGTCATAGCTTTTCAGTAAAAAAGAAAAACAATGTGCTTGCATAAATTGTACACAAAATGTGAATTTACATCGTTTTGTCTACCATTCAAGGCATCTTTTGTTAATACGATCAATGAAGTCAGTGATATTTCACAAATCAAGACGTCATTGCTGATGACATCAGCGATATTTCATGTCTCAATTTACTTGATGGCACATGTAACAAAAATTCAACGCGCCATATCAAATACGAGGTAACACTAAGAAACTTTATCTCGATATAACATAAGGAGTGAATAGGAATCCAAATTGATAGAAAAGTACATATAGGGATAGCCTATAAAACATACCTGAACTTCCTCTACATTTGATCTCATTTTTCGTTGTCCCTCTCCATGTTTACGGTTTTCTTTCCACATACCGGTAAACACGTGACCAGCATATGACGTCTCAACTCCGGCACCATGTTTCTACGAAATATTATTTATTCAAAAAAAGATTAAGCATCAACAGGCTTCAAATGAAAAGGTATGGGCGTTACATGGAATTGATACTATGATTACTGAGAGATAAAACGTCACACAAATATAAATTGCAAATGATTTTTTTAATTAGAGCTGGGTTTTCTATGGGTGTTTTGTGAACAAACGAATTTCCTGAAATGCTTGATGATCGCTGACTCTTATTTTAACCCCCCATTTTCAAGCATTAAAAAAGCCTGCAGCACAATGATGCGCAAAGATATAAACAGCAAGTTGATATTCTAAACACTTTGTGGTGCATGTACACAAGGTAAAAGTCATCCTACCATGTCAGCTTTCCAACTGCCTTCGTACCGATCTCCGAACGAGGTTTCAATGCCAGATCCCTCACGCATTCCTTTGGACCAATCCCCTGAAACAGAAAAAAACATGTTGTATTTATAAATTCAATAGTAATTCAAAGGATGCAACATGATACAATGGAGAGTACCTGTATACATGTAGTCATTGTTTGGATCACTATATCTACCATTGCCGTCAAACTAAACAAAATATGTTTGTATAGCATGAAAATGATGAAGTAATGACACAATGTACTTGATTATTACATAGCTTATGTAGAGATAAACCCGTTAGTTACCAACCTTATCCCACCTCCATCCACCATGATAGCATACATTATTTGAATAGAGCAACTTGCCCTGACCATGGCGGAAACCAAGGTGATATTCTCCTAGAGAAATTGGAAGAAAAACAGATATAGTAAACATATTGAAATGCATTAAGAACGGTTGCATTTACCTTCATAGATGCTTTTGTCTTTGTAGTTCGTAACACCACGACCATCACGCTATAGTAAAAATACACCACAAAAAAGTTTGTTTAACTGTACAGGATGTCCACCACCCCCCCACCCAAAAAAAACGGAACTCGCACAAATGAGTATGCGTGCAAACTCTACTAGCCCAGGTTTAACCTACGTTAAACTCAACCTATGTACTTCTTAGTCTTATTCACACTATAAAAAAGGCAATGAAATCGACTTTTCCTGCCATTCAGTTACGCATATATATATGAAGCTTTCATTTCGAAAGCCAGGAATAAAATCCACGATTATCTTCACAGTTTAATTTTACCTTTCCATTTTTCCATTCTCCTTCGTACACAGAACCATCTTTATAGTTCATTACACCTTTACCATGCATCGTGTCATCATGCCAATGACCATCATAAACATCACCATGGGCGTAAGTTAATACACCAAGACCTATTCTCTATATTTTAGAAAATAATTTACCTACATTCAAGCAGTGTTTTGATTCAGAGGGTTAAAATGAACATTATAGTTTTTCAGGAATGGTAAAGTGTTTGTATTCAAACACGAAACACGGTCGTGATACAGAAAATCACGATACAGACCCTATTCTCGTACACAGAAAATCACGATACAGACCCTATTCTCGTACACATAAAATTACGATACAGACCCTATTCTCGTACACATAAAATCACGATACAGACCCTATTCTCGTACACATAAAATCACGATACAGACCCTATTCTCGTACAAATAAAATCACGATACAGACCCTATTCTCGTAAACATAAAATTACGATGCAGACCCTATTCTCGTACACATAAAATCACGATACAGACCCTATTCTCGTACATAAAATCACGATACAGACCCTATTCTCGTACACATAAAATCGCGATACAGACCCTATTCTCGTACAAATAAAATCATCATACAGACCCTATTCTCGTACACATAAAATCATGATACAGACCCTATTCTCGTACACATAAAATCACGATACAGACCCTATTCTCGTACAAATAAAATCACGATACAGACCCTATTCTCGTACACATAAAATCACGATACAGACCCTATTCTCGTACAAATAAAATCATCATACAGACCCTATTCTCGTACAAATAAAATCATCATACAGACCCTATTCTCGTACACATAAAATCACGATACAGACCCTATTCTCGTACAAATAAAAACATCATACAGACCCTATTCTCGTACAAATAAAATCATCATACAGACCCTATTCTCGTACACATAAAATTACGATACAGACCCTATTCTCGTACAAATAAAATCATCATACAGACCCTATTCTCATACCACGTGCCACTATATTCGTCACCGTTAGGATAAGTCATTTTCCCTAGTCCGTTCATGAAATCGTAAGCCCATTGTCCATCATACACTGTACCATTAACAAGCGTCAAAACACCACTTCCATGACGCTTTATAAAAAAATCAACATGTAGTCAAGTGTTCAATTCTTTTGCAGTTCTTTTAAGATCCAAACATGTTGACGAAATGCCATCCTTAAACTTATTTCTACACACGATTGAAAGGCACTCACTGAAAACTAAGTAGTTCTTTCCAACTTAGCTGTATTGCACAGTAAGCGAGGGGTTACAGAAAAGTCTAAAAGTACTAGAGTAACTCAAGGTCTTGCTAACAAATATTGCAGAGAAAGCCACGGCCTACGGATAATCAATAGGTGCAATCTTATTGCATTAACCCGAGGTGAAAAAATTTTCAAGTCTCATCCTAACTTACAGCCATTTGCAATTGACCGCGAGGCGTGCATAATTTGTTATAGTTTCACAACTTGACGTAACTACACAGCTATATTATTGTTTCTAAGGCGTAACCCTGAGATAGCATCGGTTAGTAACAAAGTGTCGCTATAGTTAATAACAAAGTAACGAGTCTACGAAAAAGACACACTGTGTCTCACCATTACCAATTTAAAGTCTTAGCTATATTTGACGATAGAGTTTAACGTTTTCAAACGTCTTTCCATACTTGCCAAATTTCTACATGTCACGATTGTTTATTAAATAAAAACAACATTTTCCATAACATAACGCGTACACCTTAGCAACAATGAGTTAGCCGTTCGTAACGTCAAGTTTTGAAACTGTAACAAATGTTTAATTTATGCACGCCGCAAGGTCAATTGCAAATTGCTGTATACAGAAAACTACGGTTCACGAGCGATCGTTATATTTTGAACGTCTCACCTCTTCATTAACCCAATCACCGGTGTATTTGTCACCATTAAAATAAGTCATTGAACCAGAACCACAAATACGATCATTGAACATTTCACCTCTGAAATGAATGCGTACATGCAAAACTTAACATTGATTCATATTGACCAAATTAAAAAATCATGCGAACAGATCAACGATGACTCAACTAACTCATATTCGTTGCCATTTGATAGGAAGAGATGACCGGAACCATGTCTCTACAATCAAACAACCATACAATAAACATTATAATTTGAAACAAAATCAGTAAACAAAATTCGAAACAATTTGAAACAAAAAAGTACAAGTCAAGATTCTAAAAGAATAAAAGTATATTTTGATGAACCTTGCTTTTTTTCCAATCTCCTTTATAAATTAAACCACTTGAGCAAGTCATTTCTCCATATCCTTCCACTTCATTCATTCTCATTTCACCGTTATAACAATCGCCATTTGCATAACGAATAACGCCCTGAATATAACAGTTTGAATGATTCAGGTCTGAAATAATTTCATCACTTGAAGGTGTAACCTGAGATATTTCTCGAATGTGATCGGTTGATTGAAATGCAGTTTATCAGTAAGTGCACTGTTGAAAGGGTAATTGTACTGTAAATACTGTAACCTGATTGGCTGAAAAGCAGGTGAAAGCCAAACCTTCGTTTCAATTAAAAAAAAACATGACGGCAGTTGTAAGTAAACAAACATTTCCACTATTGCAATCGTTTGAAATTCATGAATTACAAAATGCAAAGAATAAGAACAACACAGAAAGAACCTTTTTATGGTGAATGTTCTTAACAGCTAGGCCACGTAACGAGGCTTTTTTGAAACGATAAGGAATGACGAAACGAGACAGAGTTAGACGGTACAGTCAAGAAATATCTCAAAATACATTATTATTAAGATAGTAATGTAAATAGCTGCAGTCTTCAAAAAACCCACGTGCATGTTTATCCGTAATTAATTGCACGCGAAACTATACAATTACCTATAAAGTAAATGGTTTAAACCCGGGAGTAACGTTACATGTTTGTAAATGTAGATCGCCCAGGTGGGTATAGTCCTGAGAAGGACTGTTTTTGTTGTTGTTGACTGACGTTTCGACAACCTTAGCGGTAGTCATCTTCAGAGTCAAATGAGGAGTAAACGTCAGGTTAGCCGTGTATTTGTTATCTCGTTATGTGTATTGTCATTGTGAATAACACAATTGTTACAAACATGTAACAATTACCTATACCAATCATACCTTGCCATGCATTTTACCGTCCTTCCATTCGCCTTCATAAACATCATTATTGACATAAACCTGTCGTCCTTTACCCTCTGAAAACAACATATCGAAAATTAATTACAAAAATTTTTCATTTACGGCTACAAACTTTATTGTTGTTGATAAAATGACTGACCTCTAGCTAACAAACAAATAACAACAAAAACAGTCGAGCATGATTTGCTTTTTAAGCTTTTCTTTAATATAATTCTTCCACGTAAAATGAACTGTTTGAGCACAGGAAAATCATTACCACATGTTTGTACATGTAGATGCAGTCTCGAAAAGTGAATGTTGATGTGGATGTCGAAGTTAACTGACGTTACCACATGTTTGTACATGTAGACGCAGTCTCGAAAAGGGAATGTTGATGTGGATGTCGAAGTTAACTGACATTACCACATGTTTGTACATGTAGACGCAGTCTCGAAAAGTGAATGTTGATGTGGATGTCGAAGTTAACTGACGTTACCACATGTTTGTACATGTAGATGCAGTCTCAAAAAGTGAATGTTGATGTGGATGTCGAAGTAAACTGACATTTTGACAACCTCCATGAAGATAAACAAAATAAATTCAACAAGAAACGAACCTTTTTTATCTGCCACCCAGTTTCCAACATACTTTTCGCCGGTGTAATAAATTAATTCACCTTGGCCATGCCTCTCGTCGTCCTCCCATGCTCCCTACACCATAAAAGGAATGATTACATCATCAGTATGTGAGCAATTACGTAATTAACTGGGCAAGGTGACTTACTATATATCGTGTTCTGTTTGGCCAAACCATCACTCCATGACCATGCCGTTTTCCGTTCATATACTCGCCGCAGTAAACACTTCCATCAATATATGTATTATCAGCTTTCCGCCGACCTGGATGACATACACAGCTAGTATTGGTAATTTTAGAAGACGTGAATCTTATGCATTCCCCGAGGAAGCATAGCGATGTTAGAAAAGTATTAAAATTTTTTTATACATACTGATGTCCAACGTTTCGTCTTGGTCGTCACAATCTGCTCCATGTAATAACGTAACGATTGCTGTTCTCATTTTTTGAATCCAAACACGCTTTTCCATTCTTGAGCTTGTGTACATCGTGTACGGACGATGTGGGGTATATAACTCTATGGCATCGTGCTTGTCTATAATTCAATTCAAATTTAATCTTTAAATAGAAAACCTAATCCAGACTACATGAGAGTATATAATGGTTAAACATTACAAATGGAAAAATACGTATAGAGCGAAATAGCTTAATCAAAATCTTTGTTAATGAATACAGTGTGGTACACGGAATAGCAAATCCTTATATGAAATTACATAGTTATAAGGCGTGCGCTGATTGGTCAATTCCCGCCATTTGTTTTGGTGCTGGAGTGTCCCTTTTAGTAATCTATACATGAAACACGATCATAGCCACAATTCGTACTTGTTTGAGGATCAAGTTTCTTCAAATCTTCAAACCATAAAGTTTTCAATTCTAAGGTCATTTCAATTTCACTACGATTGGAGCCTTGTTGAATGGCAAACACCATGATATCATTAAAAAGTAAACACTAAAGAATAAAACAAAAATCCATATGGGATCATACTCACACTGACTTCATTAAGTACGAAAAAATAGGCATCACTAATATTACCTTATAAGACTTATCCGGACTCATTAAACATACTTCTGCTTCTTTCAATAGCGTTCTTCCTTTAATTTCATATGCCTTTCATGAAACAAAATTATATTTTTGTGTTAGCAATATCCTAAAACTGATCAAATAACACTTAATAACTCAAAAAAGTTTTTTATAAAAGTGGATCCCTTTGGTTCAAGTCTTAACTCTCTTAGCATGCCAATGGCTTGGATTAGGTTATCTTAGATCCACAGAAACCATCAAATAATCATTGCTTAGTACCCGTAATCCTAAAACAGTTGAGCGGAGTTCTTGCAACGCCTTTCTGCTATGAACCTCTTGCAACTGACTATTTATATAGTGAGCAACTTTATTCTAAATGAACACAAAACGAGAAATTGAATGGAAAATGTAACCAAGCTAAAAATGGAAGTTACAAGAAATTAATTAACCATTCTCGTGAGAGCTGTCTGTAGATTATTGTAGTCAGGATGTTCAATGGATGTCTTTTTAAAAAGATCCTATATAAGGTATAAAAAACAACTTAGCCCTACATATAATGCCATGAGAAGCAGTGTAGCCATTTATGCAATTTTTTTACTACATTTTGTCTTATGATTTTAGACTTCCTCTCTGCTTTATATGGTTGAAAAGTTCAGAACACGGGGGGAGAGGAGTGTTTAAGCACAAGTCTAAGAGGAGAGTCTAAGAAATAGGATAGACAAGAAATTAATGCAATACTTTTAATAAGAGAAGATATCTTGGTATTCTTTGGACAATTGTGATCAAATAAGCAGGCAAATCAAGTCCAGGTTGACACAACGGGTCTTCGTAACACAACTAAACATTTCATCAAATTTAGAACAGTGAGAAACACACCAATAATGTTGAAATAAAAACAAACAATACGTGAGATAACACCTTTAAAAAACGCTCAAAATCCCTGTTCTTTTTAATTTTTTGCTTAATCGTCGCATCAGAATTGTCGAAATTCTTACAATAAACGGCATACGTCTTCAAGCGTTCTTCCTACAAAAACCACATACTATAACAACCTTTGTCTCTCGAAGAGACTTAACGTAAAGTATACTTACCATATCGATAAATATGTGTGCTATACATTCTTCATTGCTCCAATGTTTAACCTTCGACCAAAGGAGAAAAAGCAAGTCTTTATTGATGGCAAAAATTCTGAAACGAACAACGCGCAACAAATGGTCATCAAATACGTTTTAAAGTAAATTGATAGAAAAGAGTAGTAAAACGTACTCATCTATATTGGAGAAAATGTTGTCGACATCCCTGTCTTTTTTGAGTAACATGGGTTTCTTGAAAAGCTACAGCACAAGACATTCCGTTAAGCAGATTTTGAATGTGTGATTCAGGGAGGTTGGGTGAATTCGAAAAATGACAATTTTTCAATAATTATTACAGGGGTGAAAGAAATAAAAAATTATGTTCAATTACCCCATGCCTATCTTTTGTTCTCGTCTACATAGATATATGCATAATATAGATATATTAGCTGCCCGTGACAACTTCCCACCTCAATAATAGTCTCTAGTGATCTCACATATGTTCTCTCTGTCGTGAAGAGTTCAAGAACAATCTGTGATCGACGATCCGTGTCAAAGTTTGGAAATGTGACCGGTACCACATCAGTGATTAATGATTTTGGTTCTGTAGTCTTAAAAAAAGAAAGAGAAAAATAGATAAATAATTACAAAATTAATGCGTATGAAGATAGAAAAGTACACGCTTGGATTAGCTAAGGAGGAAATCAAATAGTATACAGCTGAATTTGATGAGATGGAGTTAGAAGAGTACAAACCTGAATTGTCAGAGATGAAGATAGTATAAAGATGAATTTGATGATGCAAACCTCGATTGTCTTTGGGAGAAATGAAATAGTACATTTCGTAGCTAATTTGGCTAAGATGTAGACAGAAGAGGACAAAGCTGAATTAGCTGAGATGAAGACAGAAGACAACAAAGCCGAATTGGCTTAGATGAAAACAGAAGAGGACAAAGCTGAATTGGCTAAGATGGAGACAGAAGAGTACAAAGCTGAATTGGCTAAGGATGAGAAAAATACGTAGTGGGAACAGGAATTGGCTGGAGCGAGAAAAGTACAAACCTGGATTGACTAAGATGAAGATACAAGGGTAAAAACTTGGATTGGTTGACTTGGAGATAGAGGAGTAGCTAAAAGCCTGGATTGGCTGACGCGTGGATGACAGAGTACAAAATTGGACTGGTTGATATGGAGATGAAACAGTACAAACCTGATATGTCTGGGATGCATTTCGAAACAATGAAGAACGTTTATTAGATCGTTCGGTTGGTGAGCGGACAGCTGATTGATTTGTTGGCACAAAAGCGCTTGACGTTGATCTCGCTAAACATGAATCATTACTTCACATAAATATCATACGCAGTAAATGTAGTCCAACGAATCACCCCCTTCCCTAATTACAAATCCTCCGCGATCCCTACACACCTATATTTACAACGCCTACCTCCAGCAAAGGAATTTGGTTTCTTTTTCGAAGTGACGGCACTTTGAGAATCAGAGGACGACACATCCGAATTCCAACGCGTAACGTTGGCATTCAAGTCATTTGTTCCCCTTTCAGCTAATGGTAGCGGAGCACCGGATGAGCTTACGGGCAACGACTGTTTTCTGTGAATAAAAGAAACTTTTTCATCACTTGTCGCGTCATAAAACACGTCGTCATCTTCTCTTTCAGATTTTGAAAGAGAAGTTGAGTCCGGTTCAGCGATAGTTTCTTCGGATTGTATTAATAAATAATTTTTATCATCCGAACTAGGATCGCTCATCAATGAACTGTCGTGTAAGGGAGCACTGTTAATATTATCATCTAATGATTCCGTAGGCTTTGTCCTATCAATGCTAGCATGGTCTAAGTTCATTTCTTTCTCATGAATATTTTTCACTGAGCTTATATCGTCGCCTACATTAACGACGAATTCTGTTTCTTTTGTAAGAGAAGAATCAGTAATAGTTTCATTTTTTTGAGATTGACAAAGTATATGTTCTGCTTCACTGCTTCCTTGGTTGTCATAGCTTTCTTTCTTGTTTCTGTTTTCCTCTTCCTCATTCGTGTCTTCATCCTCGCTGCTATGTTCAATGTCATTGGTATGTTGTTGCTCGTTGCCGTAGCTTTCTTGATTTTTATCGCTTTCTTCTTTCTCATTGTAATCTTCTTTCTCGTTGTGATCTTTTCCTCTGCTATCTTCTGTGTCAGTGCAATCTATATCATTGCTGTCCTCATTATCATTTGTTTCTCCTTTAATAGTTGATTTTCGATTAGATATATCTTGTTTTGCTTCACAAGTCTCATCTTGTAAATTGCCATCAAGTACATCTACCAATGAGTCATCTATAATGGACATGGACAATCTTTTTTTCTCTAAATGCTTAGATCGCAAAGGCGGAACAGGACTACCTTTGTGGCAAGAATTGTCATCATTTTCCAGGTCTGGACCTTCGACTGCTTCATCAACTTTACTATTGTCTTTAACAGCAACTGAAACATCTAGTTTGCCATTATTTTGATTAAGATCATTTGTAGTAAATTTATCATTACTATTCAGACTACTTTTATCTTCGCTTCCTGAACTAACACGGTCTGTGTTATCATTGTCATCATAATTTTTCTCAATGCCATCAAGATGATTACAGATTTCGGTGTTCTTTTCTACCACTTTAGCATTGGTAGTGATATCATCATTTGTTTTATTTTTATCCCTTGTTATTGTCTTCTTATCAAATTGATAGGCTCTCTTACGTATGATTACATCTCGATCAACAAGGTTCTTTGATTTAAGTTCTGACTTGAGAATTGGAGATGATATATCCTTTCTATTCAAATTTCCTGAAACTTTTGTGTCTTCACTGGCATTTGTTGAATCATTTTGTCGTTTGAAAATCTTTCGAAATGAGTCCATTCTATTGAACTGTGAGTTTGTTGATGAGGATCGTGGACCAAAACTTTGTGATTTTTGAAGTGAAGGCTTTTGTTTTTCAGGTTTTTTTGTTTTCTTCTTTTCGGATTCCTTCTTCCCTCGAAGTCTACTGAACCATTTTCCTGATTGCTTCTTTGTTTTCTTTGTTTCATCTTTCTCCTTTTTTAGCATTTCTACTGATTTACTTTTCGAGTTTTGTTTCATTGTCTTGTTAGATTTTGATATAACATTTATATCACCAGTTGAGCTCCATGTACTAACTGGAACATGTGATGAAGCAACTGTGCCAGGCATTTCATCTTTTACATCACCGCCATCCTCTTCCACGACAGATAATACTGGTTTCAGTTGGTCGTCCATTGCTTTTACAACCTCTGTTTCAGGAAACCTAGCTAGTATATTCAGAGCACTGGAACGTACAAATGTATGAGTGACAGAATTGATGTCTGTCAGATCTGCCAAGGCATTTTTCTTTGATTTGCTATCTTCATTATCATTGGTAGCTGTCTATAAATGATAAAACAGTGAATAAAGTAAAGGACAAGTAAGATGTGGAATTTGTATAGTTTAAATGTCTATTCAATGTGAAAATTAATTGAATTTTTATAGTTCAAAGCCATGATTCAAATAATACACGTCCTATGAAAGATATTGAAAGAATCAAAAAGTCAATAGTTTTATCTCAAAATTGACATACTAACATTATTATCACTATCCACTGCAAATAATAATATTGATTCGGATAAAACAAATATGAGATCGGGAAAGCTTTTAAATTAATAAGTCAACAAAAACAAAACAAGTTGTACATTGTGTAATGTTAACATCAAATCGTTATAACTGTTTATACGCACTCATTAAGGTTAAATACCATTTAATAAAGATCACTTTACAATAATTTAAATAAAAGTTTATCGCCATAGATCACGAGATCTGAATAAAATGCAAATATTCTCAACAACAATACGAACTTACACTGTCAATATCACCATTTGGTTTCCTATTTCCATAATCAAAAAAAGGTTCAATACCGTCATCTGTTTCCAAGCATTCTGCCGTTTGATACCAACTTTGAGCAAGAGTTCTCTCTTTAGGCGGTAAATTTTCCTTAAATACATCTACCGTATTAAGATTATGGGGTAAAGTTGATGCAATACGTCCAGCACTTGAAACCTGATCGGGTAAACATGACATCGACAACGATTTTCTTTTTAAAAGAAATACTTGTATTGAATCATCAGAATCTGATGAGATGCTTATTTGTGAGGAAGCCTCAGACGATATGGTACTTGCCAATCTCTTGCTTGTTTCTTCGTCATTTTAACTCTATTTCTTCTTCCTCAGAAAAAAGCATTTTTGTATTTTCGTCGGACGTCAGAATAACATTTCAATTTGAGAATAAGGAAGCAAATCGATTATAAACCCAGGCGACCGATCAATATCCGAAGAGTGCTTTCACCAGTTAGTTTCTCTTAAATACCGTTGATTCTTCCACTCTTGTATTCAGTTATCAGTCGAGTGATATTTATATCATAGCTAAAGTCCAAGGACTTGAGAGGCAGAAACGTCAAAACAATCCCATTGAAATTTGAAATCCCTGACGTAATTTGATATAACGATAATGATCAACTTGTTTCTCTAAAATAGTTTCTCAGGTTACACCTTCCAACAAATATTTTGCATTTCGTCTTATTGTGTATCGGGAGCTCTCGCAATATCTTTTCGTGCTGTGTATTTCAATAAAATACTTCTGGAAGGAAATTATCGTTCAAGCTCACTGACTTGACCATTGGCTTTGAATTGCTAGGCACAACTTGACAGAAAATGCTTCGTTTTAAGATTAAATTACCAGCCAGGAACGAATGTACGTACTGTTGTTACCGCAGCAAAATTATAAATAATTCGAAAGGTCTACACCTCTGCCAAAGTTGTGCAATACATATTTACAATTGTAAATTATATTCATATATATTTATATCAACACTTCAGCATACTTCTAAATAATTACTAGAGGCGTTTTAAATTCCAGTTGTAGTTGTTACGACTTAATGTTCAAAAAATGTAGTAAACAATATTACACACGCTTGCATACGACAAAAACGGCCAGTTAAAGACGAAAGTTTTAAATAAGACTCATTGATAACATACTAAAATAATGAATAAAGTCAAAAATCAATTATCGTTCTCAAAAAGTTACCTAATTTATCACACACTCTCAATCCTCGACAAAGAGATTATATTTCATTAAAACGAGAATTAAGAATATAATAATAGTCAACACTACCTCAAAACCATTGCCTGCATTGGAGATTCCTGGACTGTTTCCTTTCAGAAAATATTTAATTTTAGCTTCCTGCTTTGTTTTTAATTATTCAATAACATATTTTCTAAATTTATGACACATTCCTGTTCTGCAATGCCTTTATTGTTTATTTTCACTTATGTTGAGGTAGGCAAAAATTATAGAAAGAATTCTCCATGAATAGTTCTTCGCCTCTCCAAGATATCCATCCATTGGATATAAGATGATTGCGTTCTGCAGCATTCCCAGAGAAATGTGGATCCTATATGGTGTAGTAAAATATTTCATGTTTCAGAAATGCCAGTTCACTTAAATTTTGTTTAAATAACAACCATGCACTTACTAAAATCAAAAAGTACTTTTTTTCATTGCTCATTGCAACCCCCAATAAAGCTTTGGATGAAGCATCAGAATTACCTCCTGTGCACGCATAAAGTAAATCAAACAATGATCTTTGACAAAAAAATTGAATTCAAATTGTTTCATAGCAAGATAATACTTCAAAGGATTCAGCCGACTTTACCAATCATAACTGGCGAACCAAACTTCTCAAAATGTGACATGAGCTCTTCAAATTTTGATTCAATCTCATGACCGCTTTGAATATGGATGATCTTGCAAGGAATCTGCAAAGAAAATACTCCAGTTTACACAATAATGACAAGTTAGATCTTTTTTGTGTGAAAGCACTCCATAAAACATGGGATTACTGCCTTCATTACATCATAACAGTGGTCCAGGAACAGACATATCTCGAATGAACCAATCCATTCTCTTGAATTGACAAAAGATGCTGGTTTGTCACCAATAGCAACAAGAGTTTCTTGAATAGTCAATAAGCTTGGAACATTCGAAAATTCCTTCATGGAACAACTGTGTTTAATCCAAGAGCACAAAGTTTGTAGAGTTCGATAGCCACATCCCCAGCCCTAAATATCATTAACATTAAACTGTGTTATTGGTCCATCCTAATTCATAAACAACTATTGCCTAAGTAAAATACTACACAATAATAATAAGCATTTAGGAAGAACCAACCATATCATTTTGACCATCACAACCATAATGGTAATACTCATACGATCCTTTCACTATTGAGTACTGGAAACATCCATTAGGAACTGACAAAGCTTTATGTACGTCAGTTAATAACGACATCCCATCTGTCTCCTCCACATTCCACACACAAATCTTCCACTGGAAATTGGAACTGTGTAGAATTCTCTTAAAAACAAGATACGCTTTGCGTACGATCAACAGATCTAAAAAGACACGTCACTGGAAAAATGGCGCGCGTCGCGTACATCACTCATGAAAAGCAATATTCTAAATCGGTTTGTTTCAAATAGACAGAAAATAAGTACGTATTCATTTAGTTTTGTGTTTCGGGATTTTGACCCAAAGGCCAAATAACTTCACGTCAAAAATTGGCCCCATTACGTGGACACATTTTTTTTAAGGCGAAACGAAATGGAAGGAAAACCAGAGAGTCTGGTGAAAAACCTTCCAATCAAAAGAAAACGTACTCAACAAGATAAGTAGTGGATATTTTTTTACTGGTTTTTAGTTATTTTTATTCAATTCAGTTCATTTTTGACGCGCTAAATTGTGCATGCAATGAAATGCGTTGGTCTCTAAACAAAAGTTCACGCTATTCTGCTCATTCCAATTACAACTAAAGCCAAATTTGAATTTTTTCAACTAAAACCTACACAAAGTTTGTTCCTATACGAGAATTTGGAAATTTAGTGTATGAATGAACAATGTATGATTTACAACCTAGCAAAGCAAAATATGTTTGCTTTGCTAGGTTGTAAATCATACATTGCAACCATATATTGTAATTTTGCTCACAGGCAGGCATTCCAAAATGTTGATTGTTTTTTATCCAACTCTCGATGTCGTTACAAAGTGTGATGATCGTAACTCGTGAACTCCTTACGTCCAGTTTCGATCTGTTTACAATCTGTGCATGACGGTAAATCAAAGTTCCTTTAATCCAATTTTGATCTGTGATGGTAACTGTGATGGTAACTGTGATGGTAACTCAAAGTTTCATCTTTCCAGATAGCGACTTTTGTTGAGATGCAAACGATGAATTCATTGTTCCTGGTGTATTGACTTTTTTTCAAGAATGTTTTGATGAATATAATCAACAATTTTTCATATGAATCATGAAAAGAAATTCCTTGAATTTCACAGTGCCTTACGTAGTTCATTTAAGAAGAAAATTTGGAAGCACCTTGATCAAGTTGAACTTAATTAGATTTGCTAAAGCTTGATATGTAACTGGACTGAACAGAAATAGCGTAAACCTTAAAGTTTTTTTTTGTTAAAAACTCTTCTCAAAACATGAGAATGGCGTTATTTTTCAAGATGCTACAGCTGCAAAGCGAAATACTTTTTAGAAGTAACTGAAAACAGTCTCAGACTTCATAAGAATCAAAACCACCGGAATTGCTATATATTCTCATTCTCTTATGAATATAAAGCATTACCAACTTAAACACAGTAGCGCAGCTATACCGTGTATATTGAATCTTCTTAATGAATATTAACTATATGGTTGGGAAAACGTTTTGTATATCTTAAAGAAACAAACACATACAATGTGCTGAAATGATATGTCGGTTAGCTACGCTACTGCTGAAGCTACCAACTATAAACCTGTATTGTTGTTTCATCATTTTCATCATCTGTCCAAGGGTTGTTCCTCCTTCCATGGTTTTTAGTCGGTTAACTCCTGTCTCAGCAATCCTCATATGGTATAGTCACAACTGTCATCACATCATCGATGTAAACTCTCACTAGAATGGTTTGTAGTAACTAGAACCACCGTCGTAATGTCCTTTAAATGTCATCTCCATTCTGCATCATAAACATTTTCATGTATTATTGTTATAATTCTTATTCATTGGAAAATATACCATTTCAAAGTCAATAGTCAATATCCACTTACCGAGAACCGTCGCATCCTCATTCAGTAGCGATCTTTTAGTAGAGCTTTAATTGAAAGATGTTTATACGGCTTCAATTTAATCCAAACTGTAATAACCATTGCCGTTTAAGTGTTGATGTAGAATGGATTCCCGTTAAATGTAGTTGATCGCACACACCACAGCGGGGCCCCAAAGCTGTCATATGTACAAAAAACTACAATCGCAAGGAATTTAAACTACAAACAGCATTTCACTTTCCGCAGCAAAGTTATTCGCCATTTCGTTATCACAGGTTTTCTCCCCAAAGCATTTCAGTGACTTGTGTTTAAGTGCAAACGTTTATATATGCTCTGAGTAGCCTCGATTTCACGACATAAAACGCATTTTCCTTTGATTGGCTTAATAGAAATAAATCAGGACTTAAACAACAAAACTTAGTTCATTTTTTTGACAAACATGTATGATTAGGGATGAATGAAACAAAAGAATGCCATTGAGATTGCTTAAAAACACCTTAAACAACATAACTAAGCAAACCAATCAAAACTTCCTTTGTTCTTTTTTGAAATGCAGACAAATCAATAAGATTATTGAAAGAGAATTAAATAAAAGTTGACCTTCTAGTTTCTAAAGAGGATTTCTACAGGGCGTATCGAAAGCTGCTAATCTTTGGAAGAAGCCAATTACATGCGACCGCGGGCAGCCGGAATTCAGCCAGGCGTTAAATTATTTTGGCAAATGGAAATGATTCAATACTATCATCAAATAAATCTACACGAGCAATTTCAATATATTGATTTAATAGCCATGCAAAGCGTATAAAATTAAAATAACCAATTTGGTTTTGCTAAAACCTTTCAAATCTAGCCATCACTTAAATAAAAATGCCGCCATGAAAAGTATGAATTTATTCGAAGATCTTTTCATATTCTAAAGTCATTGAGCTTCGTAAATTAACATTTATTTTATTAATGAAATATACATAACATTACATACACTAAATTCACAGACACTTGACAAAAAGAAGTCATAGAAATGTTAAAGACCAGCTTCAATTTTAATGATTCAAATGCAAATAAAACGTCCCTTCAACAGACCAGCCAAACCTGTTGGAGAGCCGTCCAATGTTCTTTAAGATGACGGTAAGTGTGGTTTGAACCACCCAGCCAAGAAGTTTAAACCACCTTACAAGTCATATAATTCACATTACTTTTCATTAATGATGATGTTTATTTGTGGACAAATTATTTCGCTGGTTGAAAAATTTTCTCGACTCTATAATTCTCATATATCGACATTCACAAAAAACAAGCATACGCCACACAATTGTGTTTAGTTAAATTCATAAAATCTAATAGTATAGAAGTAAACAAAGCATTATAAAATTCTTTATAGCTACCTAAACTACCAGTAAATAAAGCACATAAATTATATTTTTTGATTCCAAGGGAACATTGACTATTTTCAATAACGAGTTAGTTCGTCTTGATGCCGATCCCGCGGAATTTTTTTTACTTTTTCGTCGTTTTTGTCGTCTTCGTTGTTTTTGTCGCGACTCGCTGACTAGTAGACGATGTTGGTTTGGTTGTGGATCGTGCACCTCCGCCTGCTGCCGTGGTGGTACGTGAAGTTGTCGAGGAAGTACGAGTAGGTCCGCTGGTTGTGGACGGTCCTGATATTCTTGAAGTTGTAGAATGTGATGTTGTGGTGGATTTTGGTGTACTGGGTCTTGAAGTCGTTGTTTTAGTTGTTGTCACTCGTTTTTTGGTCAGCCCAGAAGACTCTTCTCCATGCGCAGTAGTGTGACCAACGGTCTTCTTTGCTTTAGATGTAGGAGTAGCCGCTCTAGGGGTGGCAGCTCTCGGGTGGCAACACTAGACTTCTTCGAAACAGACTTCTTGTGCGATCCCGGTGAGGATTGGCTATCTTTCAAATCAATACCAGAACCATCGCGAGATAGATTACCTCTTGTAGTGCGGAATGAGCCCAGTGCTTGTCCAGAAGAATCTGGAGATGTGGTATGATATAGATCAACGTTTGTTCGACCCTCAGCTAAAATATCAATAGGAATTATTGATGATTTCACTTGTGAAAACAACATCAATGTGAAAGATAAGGACTAATTATTGAATAATCAGCTTGTGAGCAGAATTTTAGAAAAACTGTTCGCCTACCTCTAGAAGGATCCTCAGAGAAATTGCTGAGAAATTCTTTGAGAGTAACCCATCCTCCACCAACACGCACCATCACTGTGCTTCGCAAAATTCGTAGAAGACGAAGTTTCTGAGATTCGCCAAACTACATAAGTACATAAAAAATGTAAAGAAAAGAAAAGATTTTCACCTGAAAAAAAGAACACTGTCATCGTTCACTCACTCTATATTTTCTTTCGCCAACTTTCGTCACTTCAAAATTTGGGGGACAATCACATTCGGTAATTAGTCGCTCAATTTCATCGTCGATTTGTTCTGCCTCGGTCAGCGGTTTGTTTGACTTTTTCTAAAAGAAAAATACAACATAGAGTATTAGAGATGTTTCAATCGGACATTCAGATTAGGTCGGGCTTTTACAAGAAAATTGATCGGTACAACAAAAGCTACCTTAAACATTGTAATTTTGTGACGATAAGGTGAAAATGTACTCAAAGAAGGTAATCTGGAATCACTAAAAGAGTCAGGTTGAACTCTCGAATAGGTATGAATAACAAAAGTCATTGGAACCGCATAAAAAGCCTTAGTTTCATAAATCTCTTCCATTTCATCTGAACTGGACAAATCGTCTACTTCATTGTTATTCGGTAAACAAAGACCAGGTCCAGGACCTTCGTACGCAGCCATAAAAACCATCTTGAATTGTGAACGAAAATGATGAAGCAACGAAGATTTGAGAACAGTGTACGAAAGAACAGCGACAATAATGAAATAATTCTTTAAGTTGATAAATATTGCTTTTATAAAAAAAATGCGTGTGTGATGTGTGAACACGGAAAAGAAATAATATCAAAAATAAAAGAAAATATTCCGGTCCAATATTTACAATAAAACTCATTGACTTTACTTTATCTATATCAATGATCTAGCCAACACAAAAGATAGTTGAATAGTAATATTGGACATAGAAAAACAACACTTCAGGACACAAAGTATCGTCTTGGTTACTCAAGAGAAAAAAACGTCGATTAAGGCATATCTTTTTTAAACAAACGAAATTCATTGTATGTTTTCGTCGTTCTTCGACAGACATAACAAGTTCTCAAGCTAAACACGTCATTTTATGCGATGTAATCACCGCGGTACTTACAGCTTTCAACGCGGAAACAAAATCTTTGTACGAGATAAGACCACGTCTTTCTATTTTTCTCGCCACCAATTGAAGTTCCCATCGTTCACAAGGGAAATCTACAGAGAAATTGAACATGATATTTTCATATGAAAATGGCCGCCAACTTCAAGATTGCCAAGATATTCGACGAAAACTTACTTGACGCCAAAAGACCGTTGATGAACTGTTCACGTGATAATTTGCCATCATGATCGTGATCATAAGCTCGGAAGATATCCAAAACACGTGACTTGCTATCATGAAGCCAATGGTTGAACTTCATGAAAAAAAAAATAAAAACTTACTTATGAATGGTTTTGGTTAAAATGACTGTAATAATATGACAAACAAAGCATGAAAATACATTCAAGTCTATTGCTGGACAAAACATACTCGTTTCTTCCACTCCTCAAAGCTAAATTTCGCAGCGAGCTTCTTCTGTGTGATGTAATCTAACTTCTCTTGTATTCGGCGCATGCGCTCAAGAGACAACAACCATAGACGTTGCCAATGTTTTGCTAAATTTGCACGCGCTGGGCTCTTGTCTCGAGTGAAAGAATGTCCACGACTGAATACGGGTTGACTCGATTGAGAGGTACGGGAAGTTCGCGTTCTACTCCACGCAGGTCGTATTTTGCTGGGAGAATCACGTTTCTGAGAATCCGTGGCCGGTTGTCGACGCTTTGATGAACGCATGATTTTATCGTAGTCCGGTTGTCGAGTCGTCAAATTGTCTTGGAATTCCTGCAGACATTATGGTTTAGTTTTCAATTAGTGCAAACAAACAACACAATATTTTGAATTACTTTATGTTTATTATATAACCTTATGTTCATCAAGTAAGGCCTTTAACTTTTCAATATTATCTTCTGGTAATGGTTGGGCTTCCTTTTCTTCAAGAACACTTTCCTTCTCCTTCACCCAAACCGATAGTTCTTGAATTAATTGCCTCTCGTCTTCTATTAATTTCAGGTGCTCGTCAAGTCTCGTCTTTCGTTGATTTGTCCAGCCGTTAATTTCTTGCCAGCGTTTCTTAAGTCTGGTCAACAGCGTCTGAACTGTATGTGTCCCACTGGGATGACAGAATCTCAGGATCATTTCACCTTTTTTAATGGTTGACTTCACGTTAGCTTCTTCTGATTGCAGTTCTGGAAGCACTTCCTGAAATAATGGAAAACAAAAACTAGAGATCCAAAGACAGTGTAAATTTTCAAAAAACATCGCGTTTTCACTCGCAATTTGAATCAAGCATACTTCTGCCATTCTGACTTACAATATAAGCTAAAGTTAAACATGTTTATACATTTTTAATTAGTTGGTATCTTTTACAATAACTCTCTCGTTAACATCATGAAAAAAAGTAGCCATTGGCTGCATGGCGAACAAAGATCATCTGCTTTTCTCGCGTCGTTTAATGTTGAAATAAATGAGTCCATGCAAGACTTTACAGTTTTAACAATGATAACAATTAACAAGCCAACCCATTAGTCTCGTCTAAATTAAACCCCACTTTTAACCCTTATCTAATGAAATTTTAATTCATTCACTGTTCATTAAAAATGATAGTTATACATCACGAAGGTATAAGAAATGAAGAAAAATTACGTCACAGTTTAGTCCACAGTAATAGTTGTAAATTAAATAAACGATGTGTACAAACCTTCATTTCTTCAATTTGCTTATTCACACCATCGATGTTTTCTGCAACAGGACCCATTGATCGTAGTTTTGCTTCTATTCCTTTCAAAAATGCCAACTCCGTCTTCGCTCCATTTTCAAATTCTTTTGCCAATGTCAAAGCGTTTTCAAGTCGTTCTTCCTTTGTGTTTGACATCGTTGTTAGTGCATTCCATCTTGCAACGAGATCATCAAGAGTCTCCTTTAAGCTGGCAGGATCTTCGATCTTTTGTTCGTCAACACATTGTTTGCCTGCCTTTATTACGGAGTTGTAGGTCTTTTGACTGCTGACAAGATCACGTTGAAACGCCTGTATAAATGTCAAGTCAAAGCAATTTGAAAATGGAATGACCATAAGACAAAAAATCAACTATCAGTTAAAGATTGTCAAGTATACCCTAAAGCATTTTAATTGAGGAATAAAAATTTTACCTTGTGATTATCTATTAGTATAAGAACTGTCTGTGTATCTCCCATGATTGCCGTCTCGCTCGAGAGACCTGGTTCGACTCTCTCCAGCCAATCAAATAATGACTGAAGAGCATCTTGGAACATACCAGTAAAGAGTAAAGCTTCCTCTAGTTTTTGTTGTCTGAAGATAAACAAACGTAAATAAGTTTCAAGGTCGACTTACAAGATACATTAGGTTGTTTGAAGGTTGACCAAAGGATGCATTAGGTTATTTGAAGGTTTACTATAGGATACATTAGGTTATTTGAAGGTTGACTTTTGAACACATTAGGCTATTTAAAGGTCGACCATAGGACACATTAGGTTTTTTGAAGGTTGACTATAGGATACATTAGGTTAGTTAAAGGTTGACTATTGTACCGTTCAACAGACAGTGCACAAAGACCATCCCATTTCTCCTTCAATTCAGCAATCTTTGCTTCAACAATAACCGCGTCATCAACCTCGCCGCGATCGATAAGAACTTTACCCGACTTTATAGCAACGTCCATTTTGGCTTGCTGTGGACCAAGCGTGCTTTGGAAAACCTGCAAAATAATAATAAATAAATCAATTTGAACTGAAGCTGTAGAATTTTATATTGGGTTGACAACTTCAACAACATTACCTTGTGTTTTTTAAGTTGAAGTTTCAATACTACAGGATCCGCGCCAATATTTTCTTCGGACTTTAACTGTTTATCAGCCTCATTCATGAAAGCTATCATGTCATCGTACGATCCAAAGAATTTCTTCGAAGCTCTGTGATTATCATCGATGTTTTTCTTCGTGTGATTCAAACGGTTCAATAACTCACGCCATTGCCTGTCGAGGTCGGCCATATCATCGAAGATTTTCACAGCATCATCTTGTATACACGAACTAGTGATTGAATAACTTAAACCACGCAGCTCTCTGTATGGTTCCTTGCGTTCATCAACCTTTGTTGCACATGCCTTGGAAAACGAATTATAAGTTAGTCCGACATACATTTCCGGAAAATATATCAAAATTGCAGATTGAACAATGAGATGTGAGTGCTATTGTGAAGAAGCAGAGGGGTGCGTTTGTGAAAGCAAAGATATGAATGTATACATTACCATAAACTTATTCTTTTGTTCATCAACTTTATCAAACACAACACTAATAAACTCCAATGATAAGAGTTCAACTTTAATCTCGGTAAACCACGTGATCATGTCATCACAGCCTCCACGTAGCCCTGTCGCCATTTCCAAAGCACGCTCCAGCTTCTTCTGTTCTTCCTCGGTTTTTGACGTTATCTCGTCCCAGGTTCTTTTAACCTCATTCTGCATGTTACGTAATGTGTCGGCGACAGCTGGATCACTCGTGAGCAACAATTCACTGCTTGTTGACATAATCATTTCGTATTTAGGAGCTCGAGAAGTCACTTGTTGTGCGAATTCCTGTGATATCATAGAAATATAATGTTAACAAACACTGTTTTGCAAACTCTATTCATGGTCTTTCCTCTGACGCTCCTGCTTAAGCTTTAGCGAGGTAGGAACGTCAAAAAAGTCCTGGTACGAAATTAACACTGCTGTAGTACTACTCACACGCATTGTAAACTCATGGAAATCATTCCTACCTCATGTTTTGTAATCTGTTTCTCGCATGTTTCAGGCAATCCTCCGAGCGGTCTTCTCTGTTTCAAATATTCTCTTGCTTCCTTCAACCAACCCAACATATCACGGACCTCGCTCATAAAGTCACGTGCCATCGTTAATGAGTCAGTAAGATCTTGTTCCCGTTTTGCCGATTTAGCCAAAAGTTCTTGCCATCCATTTTGAAGCTCGTCGATTTTATTCTTGAGGACAGCCGTATCCATTTTTGTTTTTCCAGACTCCAACAGTTTTTCAGCAGCTTCCGTTATGCTCTGAACTGTGGGCTCATGAGCACTGATCTCATTCTGAATAATCTAAAATATGGAAAAAAGGAATCATGTAGGTATTTAGACATTCTAACTTTGTGTTGGAGTTATCATTTGTCTTCTGATAAATAGACAAAGAAAATGACGTAAAAATATAAAATTACGTCATCTCACCTTGTGTTTAGACATTTCCACTTCGATTGATCTGACGTCACCGTTCGGTTTCCGCTCCAATTCTTTATCCAATGTGTGATTTGTGTGGTCTATCCAAGCTAATAATTCATCCAAGGCAAGCTGAAACTGTCCTAAAGCAAGCAAAGCTTCTTCCAGTTTCTGTTGTCTTTCCGTAACGGTAACACGTAATGCCTTCCATCTTTCATTCATGTCTTTCAAATGCGTTTGAACAAGTGGTATGTCTTCCTTGCGACATTTATCAATCAACGCTTCTCCATGTTGATTTGCTGTCGTAACGTGCACCTGCTGCTCCGGGATTTCACGTTGTAATTCCTAAAAAATCAAAGGTAATGGGATAAGATTAGTAGTAGCAGTAGTAGCAGTAGAATTTATTAGCCACTTCCCAGAAAGGGCTTTTCAGTGAACTATTACAAGTTTAAAAACTATTTTAAAAAATAAGTACTATTTTACAAAAATTATTTCAGATAATGTACATACAACATAATGTAATTATTTTAGCAAGTTCTACCATATTTCAGTCAAGAATCTAAAAATTTGTTCAATAAAATCATCTTCAAAATTCTTTTTTAAAAATGAACAAATTTTCTTTATGGATATTGTTTTCAATACTATAGTTCCACAGATCAATAGCTCTAACTAAAAAGGATGGTTGACCTGTGGATGTTAAATCTTTCAATTGATAAGAGAGACAAAAGTCACAAGTCACTACATACCCTATGTGCATCAAGTTGTTGTTTCACCGACTTAGCATCAGATCCTACAGACGGAACTTCTTCCAATTTCTTCTCCGTAATATCAAGCCATTCGCAAACAGCACCGTGTGAACTTTCAAAAAGTTCTGCTAGTTTAAATACTTCGGCAAGATCGTTGGTTCGTGATTTGCATGTATTCTCGATAACATCCCAAAGATCACTGATTTCTGTCACAGCATTTTGGACAACGAGCTTATCGGACTGACCGCAGTTGGCAACGAGAACTGGACTTGTCTGACAGATTGTGTTTATTTGATCTTCATGGCTATCTAGTTCTTTGCTAAGCTCCTAAAGAATTAAATCAAATATTTAAATGCATTTTCAACTATCATTATTTCATAGAATGAAATGATTTCAAAAAAAAGAAAACCTTTCATAGAAAAGAAATCCAATTCTCTACCTGGTGTTCCTGTATTTGTTCCTCGACATGCGTTAGTTCCGCTGCGGGGGGATCTTGTGTATCCAAATGTCCTTTAACACTCTTCAATGCAATTCTCAATTGTTCAACACCTTCCCAGAACTTTTCACATGCCTCTAAGACATTATCCAAAGCAAGCTGACGTTCGCTAGACAATGTCTCGTTTTCGAGATAAAGACTTTTCACTCGTCCCATTTTTTCTGTCATCAACTCGGCCGTACTGGTGCCAGGATTTGATTGGACGGCAAGCTCAACTTCCTTACTCGTTTCCTCTAACACTTTTTGATCGTCCAGGATTTCCTTGCTTAAATCCTGCAAAAAAACTAACGTTAGGCTATCGACAAACAATTTATAATATCTAGGTTTTATTGCATACCTCGTGAGCACCTATCTGCTCCTTCACAATATCGCTGTAGATGGCCAACGGTTCCAGATTATTTAATTCTTCTTTGCGTTTTTCAAGATGTGTAATCAACTCTTCCAAAGACAACTGAAGTTGTTCCTCTTGCTGTAAAGTCATACCCACTTGAATACCGCGCTTTTCAATCTCAGCTCGTAGAGCCTGGTATCTATCTTTATTTCTCTCCAGTTCTTTCTCCACTTCAGCTACTTCGTCAGCACTACAGTGTTTAGCAAGATCTGCATGCGTATCGGCATAGTTGATCATAAGTGGTGATAAAACTGTGATACTTTCTTGTATTGCCTGACGATAGAGATGAGATTAAATATCAATTCACTATTTATAAAATAAACACAATGAAACGCGTGCGCTGATTGGTCTAGAGCTGTGTTTGCATTAGCCTGTGGAAAGCATATCCGAGCTCAACCAATCAAATCAATCAAAACAATCAATCAGTCAAAGAGAATTTGCAAATCGATCATGAATATATTTTAGAGGAAAAATTAAAATGTTTGCCTGTTTGCATTATTGTTATTTTATTAAAGAAATAGAAGATGTTTTTCATGTTTGCACTGGCTTATGAAAACGTCGGAGACGTTTGTGAAAACTCTCAAGCCTGTGCAAACACAGTAAACATCTTTTATTTCTTAATTGAAATATGTATTATGATAATACCAGTAGTCATGTGTACTCACTTTTATCCTCTCTTGTTCCACTTCAGCCGCTTGTCCCTTATTGTCCTCCAATTTTGTCATGTTTTCTTCAGCTCTGCTCAGTCTCGTCGTCACCTCGTTGATGATGTGCAAATATTGCTGAGTAAGCAATAAAAGTTCAACAAGTTGGGCTTGTCTTTTCGACGCTTGATCGTTGATTTGATCAAATCTTGTTTTTATATCATCAAATTTATGCTTCATGTCAGCGCCCTCCTCTTCTCCAAGAGCAATTAATATTGTCTGACCGCTTTCCAAGAGACTTTTGACGACGGGCTCATGTACTGCGATGTCATTGGATATAGGCTAAAGACGATAAAAATATCATAATTGTACTGGGGGTATAGTCGATGCAAATGACACCTAAATATAATTCTGTGTGTGAACAAAATCATTTTCTTAACATTGCTTACATTGAGTTCTTTAATTTGATCCTTCACTTTATCAGGTTTCGACGATGGTGCTTCAAGATTTGACAGTTTTGTTTCAGTAGCTGCCAACCATTCTTCGATGTTTTCCATGTTTTTTCTGAACTTCTCCAGCTGCTCTTTTCCAGTGAAAAGATCTTTTGCAACATCCTCCATCTTTGCATTCAAATTCTTCCATCTTATTTCTGTCTCTTGGACATTTTCCTCGATCATAGGAACGTGATCATCACAAACAATCTTCGTAAGTTTTAAACCAATATCTTGGAACTTCTTTAGATCTGGTTCTTTGTTTTGGAGAGACAATTGAACAGCCTAAATATGACAGAAATTCAGTTCAAGTCCTTTTGTTCATGATAATCCTGCAGTACACATTAGCACATGCTGGTACAAACAGGTACATATAGGTCAATCTGATATCTATAGCGGATTATACCTTCAGTTTTTCCTGTTTCGTTTCGTTATCTTCACATCCATCCAGTTCATTCATTGCGCTCTCCGCCACGTCAAACCATTCATCAAATGATGTTTTCATGGCGTTAAACAGCTCAGCAAGTTCTAAAGCATTATTTTGCTTTTCCTCGACTCCTTTAACTTTTTTCTCGACATTCCAATATCTTTCCTTCATATCCTCAAGTTTTTCCTCGATAACACCAACATCTTCATCGGTTGCAAATCCAAGAAGTGTCTTGCTCGCATCTTCAAGTTGCTCCATTTTTGGTTCACATGCATTGAACGTTTCAACAACATCACTGAATTCTTGAATCTGTTCCTTTATCTCGTCTGGTTTAGCTTTCACTTCAGAGAATGTTTTTTCCTTTGATTTTTTATCAATCTTTCGAAGATTATCCGTAAGTTCCTTGTTGAGATCAGAAAACTTTTGAGAGAGCTCTAACACCTCGTCCAATTGATTTCCTCGTTTTTCAACTAAACCAGTTAACTCATCCCATTGGTTGTTGATGTCGCGCATTACATCCTTGACTTCCTGTTTTTTCTCAACGTCAGCAGTTTTCAATAATTCATCAGCAGTTGCTTGTATCGATTTCAGAGTTTCTTCCTTTCCTTTTATCATTCGCATGATCAACTGAAAAATTATGAAAAGATTATTTGTCTGCAATATGTACAAGTAACATTCCACAACTTATTCATACTTGATTCTCTTTTATTTGAGCCTTCAAGACGTTAGGGTCAGCAGCGGAGACTGGTCCTTGAGACTCGTAGAGGTCGCGAGTCTCAGATAGCCAATCGAGAAGAGAATCGGCAGTTTCCTTGAATTTTCCAGATTGTAAAAGAGCTTGATCTAGTTTAGATTGTCTTTCCACTAAATTATGACTGATGGCCATCAGACGTTGATTTAGTTCGTCAATCACTTTGTCCAGCGGTGTTGCATCGGTATCTCTGTATCTGGCTGTGATGCCATATTTCAAATCTTGCAACGTTTGAATGTTCTCTTGAATCTTGGCAATCTCATTTTGACAAACCTGAAAGGTTATTTTGGTGCTTCAAGTAAACAATTTTATTGTGTACAGACTAACATTAACTTGTATGATTCACACATAGTTTTAACCATTGAACTAAATATATAACTGGAATGCTATCTTTAAATAAACATGCCTCAACTTGCGTGAAGCCAAATTCGTAATGTCACGCACATTAGCTTACTTTCATTGGGCAGTGGGTGAAAATATTGGGAATAAATTATAAATAGCTTGTTTCAAATTCAGTTCAATAATTTTACCTTGATCTCTTCGATTTCATTATTTATCTCATCCGAATCGCCACCGACTGGCTTATCGTTCATCTCACAAGTTTTTTCTTCCAATGAGGTAAGGTCTTTATCAACAGCATCTCGCTCTTCTTCAAACTTACCAAGCTCTGTCATGACGTAATCAACTTGCTCTTGTAATCCATCAACACTACTAGTAGCGTCATGATACTTCTGACCATTCGCAGAAATCTCTTTCACCAGAGATGGGTCGTTAGAAAATCCAACAGAAATCAAACGTTGACCACATCCATTAAATGTATTCATCAATTCAGCAGAGTCGTCTAGATGTTGTTTTAAAGCCTGATAAAAAAAGAGGAAAAGTCTACAATGATTATCATTAAAAAAATATCAAGGTTAGATATTAGAGAGATTAGCAAAATTACAGTTGATGTTAGAAGAACTACGACAAAAGCAATGTATTTTACTATCAGTTCTACCAAGACTTTACCTTGACATTATTGTCCTTATCTTTCAAACTTTCCACATCCAATAAACCAGGTTTATTGGCCTCGACTTGATCGTGGATGTAATCCAAGTCTTCCATTAAATTTTTACATGATTTCGTGTATTGTTCCATTGAATCAACAAGTTCTTGCATTTTGCTTTCTTCATCTTTCACATTCTTATCAGTTTTCTCTAACAAGTCTTTCAATTGCTCATTCCTTCTGGTAACATAAGAACCATCGATATCAGGATCTGTAGCGAGTAAATTATTTCCAAATTCCACTGTGTCATCCAGTTGTGGTTTTATCTCGTTCAATTCTTCGCTGCAATTTTTGATATTCGATAAATTGCTTCTCATGACAGAAATGTCCATTACTAGGTCACTCTTCGGCGTTAAACTTTTTTCTGTCTTTTTCAATTTCTCTTCAACGGTGTTTGCGCGTTTTTCATATTCTGAAAGATCACTTGCCATTTTTTCCAGAGCGTTTTCTTTCTCTGACTTTTCGTTGTTCATTTCGTTCCACTGCTTATTCATATCATCAACTCGCGCCATTAAATCATCAACATCACCATCCTTACAACACTCAGCAAGTTTTGCAGACGTCGCTGTAACAGATTCGTGAACAGGTTGTTTCTCCGTTATTTCACTTTCGAGAGCCTGTAAAAAGAGGAAAGTCTTGCAATGAAAAAGTTATGGTTTGGAAAAGGATTAAAACAATTTGGTAGCAAAAGAGTTTATTCCAAAATACACTCGTCAAACGTTATTCATGACATATTTTACATTTTCTTTAAGTTAATTATACCTTTATGTTTTCTTGTTCTTTAACAATAAGTTCTTCATCGTACGAAACTGGTTTTATATCCCGTATTCTTTTTACGGTGACAGTAACAAATGTTATCACAATCTCAAATTCTTCTTCAAACTTTTCACACAGCGTCACGACTTCTTCAATCTCTTCAACACGCTTCGTAATAATCAACACAAGACTTTGCCATTTTTTTGTCGCATTTTCAACTTTTACTCTAAGACCATCGCTTTCGACGCCAGGACTATCTTGTATCATCTTGTCGCTCAACTCTTGAAGTTGATTACAAGTTGCTTCTTGCTGTGAAATTTCCTCATTGATTATCTATAACATAAAGATTTGTTTCTTGAAGAAGCACATTGGCTAGTCACGACTCAAACTATAATTTAGGATGCAATGAAACGTTCTTAGCGAAATTACTTATTTTAGTAGCCAGAACTTTTCATGTGAGCATCTGAGATACAAAATATATCATTCAGGGTAATTGTAAAGTAAAAAAATCTAAGTGCATCATTATATAGAAGGTTTTAGTGTGATATTATTTCGTTAGTAGTAATTTATACCCAGCGAGTCGACTAATTTACTCTTATTGACGTCATTATCATAGTGTTTGAAAAGAACAATCCATTTTTCCGAAAATATTGAAAGCAAAAAAATTAACCTGAATTCTTTCTTGTTCTTCTTTCAACTCTGGAAGTTTCGTAGATAATGGTTTCTTCTCTTTCTCTAAACGATTCTCTAAATCACCCAGTTTATCCTCCAAGCTATCAAGAAGTGTTTCAAACTCTCCGTGTTTTGCCAAGTTGTCACGATCAATCTTTACAGCTCCATCCACGAGGTCATTTACTTCTGTAAAAAGATCGTCGACTTTCGTCATCTGTTCGGGTATCTCTGTTTTAGCAGTATCGTGGAGAGGTTGTTCGGCAAGCTCATTTCCAGCGTCCGATGTTTCATCAAGTACATATTTCAAGTTTGCAAGATTCGCTTGTTCTTCCTAGTTAAAGAAAAGAATCAGAAATATATTTAATGAACAAAATGATACAGTAAAGCAAACAGTTTGGAGACAATAATCTCGTATAACATATATTGCGCGCAAGAATAATTGGGTACTGAGACGAGTTGGTGGTTGCTATGTATTTAATATATAAATAAAAGTATATTTGAACGACTAACTGAAAATTTACTGCAGTATTAGTATTGACTTACAGACAAAAAATAATGAAGTCAAAGAACAAACCTCTATTCAAATCATTCAACATACATCTAATGACATTTTTGAGTTTTAAAAAGATGACTAACAAACACTTAAATATTGATTATAGAGAAGGTAATGAATATGAGCCACCGGTAACTGTGCTCTGGTCACAGGTACGGATGACCAGTTGGGCTCTCATCCTAAACATGAAATAATAGCTTTATATAGGAGAATAATAATGCTAAAATAAGCAGTGGCAGTTGCACAACAAGGCAAAATACATAAAAATTAATGTGTTTCAAATTCAAAACACTTAACAATCGTATTGGTAAGATTTTGGCTCAGTACACTCTAATGAAATTTTTAACAAACAGTGTGCAGTGTTGTCATAGTGTTTAGAATTTCAAATTAGCTGCAATAACATTTCTGTTTTACTTTGGATCTGTTACTAAAACGAAGTTGTTTAAGTTGTATAATTTTTTTCGAGCGCAGCATGCATGCGCATGTATATAAATCTATTCTACTGGGCATTATTCAATGCAGTTTCATTCAAATTAATGAACATTATACAAAAGGAAATAAAAGCAATGATGAAGTCAGCATTACGACATTCAAGAACGAACTAGATTACATGCAGTTTGGCACTTTACAAAAAAAGTTGAACAAGAAAGTTAAATAACACATGATAAAATTCACGATAATTATAAATTTTGTATTATTGTCAATATTGCTGTAAAATCCGAAAGTTGCCACAAACTCAATATCTAAATACCAAATCGAGTAAGACGATGCATCAAAGCCAACTACTTTCTTTGAGAATATAAAATTTAGTATAAGAACACAGCTAGCACGTTTAAAATCAAGCCTTAAATCGGCGGCCTCGTCTATATCATCGAGCAAATTATTGTTTTGAACAAGACATTTGCCTAAATAACAGTTCTTCAATTGAAGTACAAAGTCGCCCACTGATAATACATGAAATTGAATGGGAACTTATGCAAACACACATTCATTAGTTTCAAAACACGAGCATCTCAGACACTTTTATACCTCTTTTGGAATTAAAGTGAGCGTGAACTGTCCAAATTTATGAGGTTGAACAGGCAATGACTTCTGTGAGACATAATGAATACCATTCGCTTCGCCGTCGTTGTTATTATGATGTGAAAATTCTACTGTCATTAAACTTGAGCCATCCGCTAGTTTTACCGTGTTTTCCTTTTGTTTAAACACGCAATTGGAAACTTCCATTTCACTTTGAAATTATATTTAAACGTGCCGTGTAAATAAACTCTCCTATGCAAGGACATCCATCATATCGACTTGTTTGGTCGATGAGGAAATTATGCAATTATGAATAATCGCTTCACGAACAATCCATACACGAATAATGTATTTAAAGATAAGTCTTCTTCGTACGTACAACTTGCACTTGACAACACACAATTAAATCGATGCAAATTTTGAGTTTCGTCACACGTCACATGTTTTCCCAAATGGCTAACAGTATTCAAACATAATTTATTACACAAGAATACGCTTGTCAGGACAACTGGGATAACCGAATTATTCGCCTTGACGTGGCTTAAGTTTCCTAGGTAACAATATTTAAATTTTTGTGTCTCAGGTTTATGATAATTTGATGTTTAAAATTGATTGAATTTACTTATTGAGTTCATAAGTGAGGTGAATGACGTAGTTTTGTGTACATAGATCTGGATTTCACCAGAAAGCTCATAATTGTTCTACACAAAGGATAGCTTTACAAATCGAAAGAAGAGTTTTGTCTTTGAGATAAATTGGACATGTTTCACACCTCGAAATGATTAACACAACAAATAAAACAAATAAAATACGGATATATGCAACGATGGTAAGGATCACGTGACTTAACTTAAAGAAGCCAAGTAACTTTACAGCATAATGAAACAACGATGCATGTAGTAGACAAAAGAAAGTTTTGTTTTTTTCTTTTCGTGTAAAGAAAGACTTCGACATTTTACAATTTGTACAATGGGTAGCATGGATAAAACACGTCAATTAAATTTATCAAAGCAAACACCGACATAACGCAGATTCATTCATTCGTGGTTAAAAATTTGCAGCTGCCAAAGGGAGTCACGAGAAAGCCTTAAGAGAAAACGTGTCACATCTCATTCTACGATATATTAAACATACAATTAATTGTTATACGTCTTCTTGTCTTTAATTGGGAGTGAACAATTAAATACAAATGAAAGTGACTCAGTCATAATCGAATCAAAGATCAACAATTTTAATGTAAAGGCAGATGGATGACATGGAGGAAGCCACCTGTATTTTTGAAAACCACAACAAGTGCATGTGGAAAAATATACAGAAGGTGATTGAAGTTTAAAGCTCACGATCAAAAAAATTATTAACACTACCCAACCGTACCGATGTCCAATTAACATAAATGAATACTGGAAAATATAGGTGTATATTATGTTATACACGTACGTACAACAGTGTAGTCTTATTTGTACACTACACGTAACATCAGTAAGTATACAAATGAAAGATCAAGTGGTCGATATCACTTTAACATGGCAGTGACACAACTCTTTATAGAACATGAAAATATATGTTTAACTATTTATATTTATATAAAATGATCTATCATAATGAAATGAAACTTTCCATTTAAACTAAGGAGTTTGTGGAGATAAATCTTTTTGATTGATTGCTTATTTTCTTTCGAACAAAACATTCGCTTAAATTTGCATACCATTATGGAAACAATACAATTTTTTAAATTCTTTAAAAGGAGTTAAATGGACGATCTCATAGCTTGAAAAGAAGAAATGTAATGAAATGTCTCCACGATTCAAAGATACAATTATAATTACAAATGCTACAAGAGTACATGATTTATACGCGTTTGATGTACGCACGAGACAATTTACGTAGATTGTTTGAAGCGAAAAGAATAGTTTAATAATAGCGACTAAAATTTACATCTGTTCTAAACTTACTGTACGTCTAGGTCGTGTTGCTCTTTCACGATTACGTAAAGCCCAAAGTACTGTTGTGATTAAGGAGCCCATGCGATGACCATATAAATTACATTTCCCCCAATTTAATTAATTACCATGCTATATGATATCTTGCCACTAAAAATTTGCCATGTTCTTTAGCATTTAACGCTTCAATGGCAAAGCATTCCCATTCTTCTATATTATGACGCGAAAAATGCCGCATAATGCCGATGCCACACAGCTGTATTTAAATGTCACTTAAATAAACGATTATGTATTTGTGATAGCACTGTGAAGAAAAACACGTTTGATCACAAATTCTATGTTCCACGAAAGCAAACTTCCACAATGTGATAAAACTAGCGCGCAATTGTCGATATTTTAAACCGCATTTATAATATCGTCAATAGCGTTTTCACGCACTTCAAGATATAACACAAATAAACGCGCAAAGATCTTTTAAAAATTCATACTTAACGTAAAACAAAACAAAGCTTCATACGTAAAAATACACTGCAGATGAGCAAACAAAACTTACGCACTTTTTAAGAACAAGAAACGACGATATCTTATCGAATCATATATTAGAAAAATATATCATATCAATATCATATGAAACAGAGCAGCTCACTGCCATAAAATTCATAAAAGAAACATATAAAAAAAAAAACTAGCAGTTGAAAATATTCCCCTAACAATTTAATTTAATGATAATCAATAAAGATGTCATCCCTACCTCCAATTGAATCAAGTGTTCCTTGATCTTGTCACTTTCTTTAGCTGCAGGTGCCAATCCCTCGACCTTTTCACGAATAGCGTTGAGTTTTGTTTCCAGCTCGTCTCGGCCAGCAGTAAATCTCTTAGCTGTTGCCAAACTCTTGTCCAAGTTCCCAATAGCATCATCGAGTTTCTTTAGAGTGTCTGAAGTTTGTTGTTTCAGATCAGCGTAACGGTCGTTCACACGTGATATATTGGAAAGATTGTTGTCAATCTTAAGAATTTTGTCTCCATTTTCATCAACTTTCGGAAGCACATTTTCCTCTTTATCTTGAAGAACTGACCGTGTTTCCTGGATCATAAAAATTAGACTATTACAATCCTACAATAACCCCTTGAACCTATCATGAACCCTATGCAGTAAAGATGATTTAAAAGGAAACAGAAGACACGTAGAGTCTAGCCCAGAAGGATTAAAGATAATAATTTGACGAGAAGTGAAGTGAAGTGAAGAAAAGAGAAGAGTATTTAAAGAGGAGCGTTTCCCTGGAACTGCAGGAAGAATTTCAGATACGCACCTTTAATTTCTGTAACTGATCTTCCTCCTTATTCAAATCAAGACCAAGAGGTTCTACTGAAACCAAAACATCATCACAATACTGCAGATACTCTTCTAATGATTTTATTTCGACATCATAGTGAGGTAGAGCATCTTGCATGGCTCGAATCTTCTCCAAGACTATTTCTAACTCTCTAAAAATATTTTCCCATCTTTCGCGAACGTTGCTGTTGTCGTTTTGGATATCATTAATGTCTTCATTACAATGCTCAAGAAGCGGTCGACAGGTAGATTCAAACTCTTCAACGATTGGCTCAGTTTTGGCCTTCTCATCTTCAAGTTCCTGAGAGACAAAAAATCATTTCTCAATTATATTTTGTGTTAAAATTTATGCAACAGACGGAAGTATTCTTGACATCAACCACAAAATTTCAAGTAATAAATATACCTTGGCAATTTGGTCTTGTTCCCTTAAAACATCAGGATCCGATGAAACATCTTTAATCTTTTCTATAGTTTGCTCCAAGAAGGAAAGCAAAGGTTCAACTTTCTCAAATACTTCTGGATATTTGACGGCAGCTTCGACAACAACGTTTAAAATTGAAAGACGTTTAGTTACTTCAGCCATAATGCTGTCCCAACGTTTTGTGATTTCATCAACGGTCTTTTGATCAATTGCCTTTTGATCAGGAGAATTTAAATCCTGTGATTTCAGAATATCCTCATATATAGGTTTATGAGCTTCAACATCTTCATGAAGATTCTACAAAATATATAAAAAGTAAATAAATACGAATCCTAAACTTGATGACTATAAAAAACCATCAACTGACCTCGCATTCTTTAAGCTGTTCCTCGCATTTGTCACGATTACCAGAGATCAAATCTTTGTTCGTTAATACTTCCTCGGTTGTCGTCATCCAACGTAAGAATTCGTCAAGATTATCACGGAAAGCTTGGGCATTGTTCAAACTACATTCAAGTTGAGTACATCGATCATCAACCTTCACCAGTATCTCTTTTACAGGATCTTGGATATTTCTTAGCTTTTCCTTGACAAGTTTTGCCGTTTCCGAATCTCCAGTACTCGCCAGAACATCCATACCCAACTTTTCTACTTCTTCTACATCTCTTTCGTGTTTTCTTACCGCATTTTTGAGATTCTACAATGATGGAGAAATTGCAAAAATGACTCGTATTTAAATGCTGACGTGATGATGCGCAAGATTATGCTGAAAAGATAAAGAGAAAAATCTACCTCAGCTTCATCCTTCTGTTTCTTGATGTCATCAGGCTCGGCACCAATCTCCTGACCATCCCAGACTTTTACCAACTCCAAAGTTGTAACCACCCATTGTTCAATTGCTACAACCTCTTCATCAAATTTACTAACTTTATCCGCGGTAGCCTTTTGTTGCGCTACCGCGTTCTCAAGGTCAGCGGTTAATGCTTCGTAACGCGTTTTCGTATCGTCTAGCGTCTTTTTTAGTGGATTAATGTCACCGTTAAAAGAGTGAACCTCTGCAACAACATTTTCACCAAAAACAATCAAGGCTGTCACATCTTCTTTGATATTTTTCGCATCTGATAGAGACTTCTAAAAACAATAAACGATTCAATGTTCAAGCCTGGTTCACACGAGTAAAATAAGCACGAACGTCGAGGCTTTTGTTTCTATTGCTCCAGAGGTTTATAAAGATTGGAATTTTCTTTAAATCTTCTTTTTGTTCTTCTCTTAGCTTATGCTTGAATTTTTTCCTAATTCTTGCGTTTATGTCGATGCTTATGTCACATGCTTCGTTGTTGATTATCTTTGTTTTATCTTTTGCCTACGCTTGTTCATGTCCTTACTTCACTCGTGTGAACCAGGCTTTAAGGCAGTCCTGCACAACTCAATGTAATTTATATCTTTACTTCTATAGCTTTTACTATAAAGTGTTGAAAAACAATTTCTTACCTCTAATTTGTCTACTTCCTTTTTATTTTTCTCAACATCCATTCCGATAGGATCTAATGACTTCAAAGCATCGTCACATTTCATAATAACCTCATTTATAGGATGCAGTTTGTTGGCAAATTCTCCAAGTAAAGTGTCGACTGTGCTAAGCCTCGACATAATCTCACTCAAATTAACTTTTAAATTCTCCCATCGTTTTGAGATGTCATTCAACTCATCTTTAACGACATCTATGTCTTTCTTAGCTAATCCAATCACATCATTCCCAGCATCTTTCACCGTCATAAACTGGCCATTATGATCAAGTATTTCGTTGTTTATTTCCACTGCAATTTCATTTTGCTTGTTCACAATGATTTTATCACCTACAACAGCTTCAAAGTTCTCAACTTTCCATTCAGCAGACTTGAGCCAATCGATGAAATCATCACATGTGTCTCTGAACAACTTAGCCAGCGGTAAAACTTCATCAACTTCAGTCATATTGCCAGAAACTTTGTCCTTGAGTGCTTGCCAACGCTTGGTAACATCATCTAGTTTAGATTGTAACCTCTCCTTCTCATCTTCAGACTCCATGCTCTGTATAAATTGCTCGCTTGTTTTCATCAATTGCTCGTAAACATGTTCGTGTTGTTCCACTTTATCTTGTAAAGTCTATAATAAATTCATAAAATAAAAATGACATTAACTGATATGAAGGTGACAACAAGAACATGTTAACGCCTTACCTCCACAAACTGCTTCTGCTGTTTCACGTTTGCGTAGACAGCTGAAGATTCCACAACATTTGAGCACAATTCTTCCAACTCATCCAACGAATTTAAGAAATCTTTCAATGTTACATCGAATTGCTGACTTCGAATTTGAGCACTTTGTACATTGGTACAAAGTTCACACACACGAGCGTACAAATTTTCATAAGGCTGCTTTACATCATCAAGTTTGCCACGAGTTTGCAGCGCTTTCATTGGCTCATTTTTGCAAGCATTCACTAGCCAATCACATTCATCCGTTGCTCTTTGAAGGACCGGACGTTTTTCCTCTATTTCATTTTTAATAAGCTGGGGGAAAAAACAACCGTATCGTTAAATCATTCATGTTCATGACTGTGAAATTAATCTATACACCATACCTGAAGATCGTCCAGTTGAGCCCGCACGACGTCAGGGTCAGACGACACTAATTTTTGAGCTTCAACTCTATCATTCACTTGAGGTAACCATTCCTCGAGATCTTTCACAGCTACACGGAATGCAGCGCCATGTTGAACATCTTCCTGAACCTTGGCTTGTTTTTGGGCAATGCGTTCACTAAGCTCCGCAAACCTTTGTGGTAATACTCGAGTTTTCTCGTGAACGTCCGCTCTCTCGGACGACTCCTCATGCATGTCATTAAGTAGATCATCAGCGTGTGTATTTATTTGCTCAACAGATGGTAGAGCGCTGTTGAGTTCTTCCGCCATTGCCTGAAAAAATACAACAAGTTTTGAAATTTCTGTTGAAGAACAGTGATGGGAATGAAACATTTAGTAAAAGTACCAAAATACTATGGCTGAAAAATTGAAACCTTAACTCTACTAAAAACCCATCTACTGAAAGAGAGTTATCTCAGTGCTGTTTAATCAACCAAACGCTTTATAATATTTACAATATTAAACGCTGTATATTTACAATATTAAATATCAAAATATTTACTCCGTAAAACGAGTATTTTTCATCATAGGTTAATTAACAAGATTAAGAAACAATACCTTAACTATTTCCAGTTCCCCTTCTGCTTGCTCCACGTCATCTCCGAACGGAGAGGTTTCATTAACAGCCTGTTCGACTTTGGTTAGAAGTTCTTCAACAGGAGCAAGAGTAGCGTGATATTTTTCAGACTTTGAAATTAAACGACTTAATTTTTCTTCCTTCTCGTCAATATTAACGACCAAATCATCGTATCTTTTCGCCAAATGTTCGGCTTCTTTCGCTATAACAGCTTGATCAGCTTCAACTGTATCATCGAGACTTTTGCAAAGCGATATCAAAACATCTCGTTGAGATTTGTGTGACGTGATGTTTTCCTTGAGTTCCTAAATAAAATATTGATTAGAAAACAGCCATTTAGTATAATATACTTCTTAATCATTCTAAGTTCAACATAACATAGTGACATCAACATAGCCATTTATAAACAATAAGCAGCAGCAGCTCATACCTTGAGTTTGTTCAACTCAGTATTAGCGTCAGCTTTCTTTACACTTCCAGGTTTAATTTCTTTTACAATTCTCTCGGTGTTCACAAGCCATGGAGTAAAATCATCAACATTTGTTTTAAAGTCCAATGCAAGAGGGTAAACCTCATTGATCTTCTTCTTTCTTTTCTCAACTTGCTCTTTGACTTCTTTTAATCCATTATTAATATCGTCAAGACGTTTTAATAGTTCTTCTTTATCGGAGTCTTCGTCAAGGTTTTGAACAACCTTTGTCCCACATTTACTCAGTCTACTATAAAGTGCTCCTTGTTGTTCAATCTCATCAACTAAGTTCTCCATTCGTACTTTCTGATCCTTCACTGTATCATAAAGAGCAGAAATCGGATCATCTGTAAAAGATTAAGTTAAAATTATATTGCAGTGTGTGATCATTAATTTGGAAATCGGATCATCTGAAAAAGATTAAGTTAAAATTATATTGCAGTGTATGATCATTAATTTGGAAATCGGAACATCTGTGAAAGATTAAGTTAAAATTATATTGCAGTGTGTGATCATTAATTTGGAAATCGGATCATCTGAAAAAGATTAAGTTAAAATTATATTGCAGTGTGTGATCATTAATTTGGAAATCGGAACATCTGTAAAAGATTAAGTTAAATTATATTGCAGTGTGTGATCATTAATTTGGAAATCGGATCATCTGAAAAAGATTAAGTTAAAATTATATTGCAGTGTGTGATCATTAATTTGGAAATCGGATCATCTGAAAAAGATTAAGTTAAAATTATATTGCAGTGTGTGATCATTAATTTGGAAATCGGATCATCTGAAAAAGATTAAGTTAAAATTATATTGCAGTGTGTGATCATTAATTTGAAGACAGTCTTCGTGTATGAGAAAGCTGAGAAAGTTGATTTTCACCTTTTGCTGTGGCATCAGAAATACCCTTCATTCTGTCTTCAAACTCTTTCAACACGTCATCAAATTCTTCAGTTTGCATCAAAGCATATTTTAATCGAACCTCACGATCATTTACACCAGCCTTCAACACTTCAAGTTGCGTGGAAACACTCGCTAGTTTCTCGTGGACATCACGCACAACGTCAGGAGCCTGAGATGAATCATCAATCAACCATTGACCGGCATCCTTTGCGCTCTTCACGATAAAATTCTTGTCTTTAATTTCATCTTGAAGTTTCTTTTATAAAAACATAAAAAATTTTTAGTAATACATGTCAACGTGCTTCATTATTTATCAATTGCAATACCTCAATGCCATCTAGTTGTTTACGTATGATCTCAGGTCTGCTGGCAACAGATTCTCTAAGGGCACGAGTATTTTTAGCTTCATCAGCCCAGTCAGCCAGTTGAGATAGAGAATTGAGAAACAAATCTATTTGACAAAGTTCTTTATCAGAATTTTCAACGATGTCGCTCAACTGACGTTTTAAATCATTGTATGTTTTCTCTGTTTGAGCAGCTTCGTTCTCAATTACAACACTATCATCACAATCGTTTCCCAGATGCTGCACAACGTCGTCACTCGCACGTTTAACCTTAAAAAAAGACAAGGTTAAGATTACAACCATATCTTACGTAGATTGAAGTTTACAACCATACCTTACGCATGTTTAAAATTACAACCATATCTTACGTAGATTAAAGTTTACAACCATATCTCACGTAGATTAAAGTTTACAACCATATCTTACGTAGATTAAAGTTTACAACCATATCTTACGTAGATTAAAGTTTACAACCATATCTTACGTAGATTACAGTTTACAACCATATCTTACGTAGGTTTAAGATTACAACCATACCTCACGTAGTTTAAAGATTACAACCATATCCCACGTTGATTAAAATTTCATCATTATAAAAGACTTACTTTATTGACAGTTCCTTCGGTGATTTCCAACATTGCTAACTTTTCCTTCGACGTCTCTCGTTTTTTCTCTGCTTCATCACGGCTGATACCGGACGGTTTACATTCCTTTATGAATTTCTTCACTTCCTCGAAAGGCTTTTCACAATTTTTCTGCGCAAGCTCGAGCACCTCTACAGCATCTTTAAGTCGTACTAACCACTGTTCCTTTGTGTTTAACATATCCACCAATATCCTCCAACGTTTATTGGTATCCTCTACTTCACCTTCTACGACATATTTGTCAGCTTGAGCCAATTTCAAAGTCTCTGAAGCGTTTTCTGAAATTTCCTTAACATCAAGAGCACGTTCATCAATGACTTGCAGAGTCCTGGTAACAAGTTCTAGTTGCTTAGCAATCTCTTCAGGAGCACGCGTCACCTCATTCAATGGCTCAACTTCTTCCTCTGTTGTTTCTAACCACAGTACAAACCTATTTCTTACAGAATCATATGCTTTCGCCAAAGGTCGAATCTCTTCCAAATTACACTCCTGAGTGTTCGTTTTTTCTACAGCAGTCTTCCAACGATCCTTTGTGTTTGTTATTTTACGTTCCAGGTTTTCACGTTCAGTGCCGAATTCAATTGTATCCAGGATATCACGACCTTTTGTCATCAGTTGATCAAACATTGATTTGTACAGTTCTAATGTTTCTTTGACTTCCTAAAATGTCACAATTTAAAGTATTTAGAACATTCTCCAACATTTATGGATAACATGAACCATACTAAGATATACCTTGTTCTCAATAATTTGCTTCTTTACTGTCTCATACACCGCAGAGACTGGACGTTGCTTAGTAACAGCTTCTTCGATAAACAACAACTTTTCCATGAAAATTTCGAAACCAAGATTGAACTCCTGGCTTTGAAATAGCACCTTGTCCAGACGGGCCTGTCTCGTCTGAATTTTCGAAAAGAGTTTGTCAAGATTGTCGCGGACATTGGCGATCTTTGATTGAACATCGGTAACGACTTTTGGGTCTTGTTTGCAATGTTCCACGAGCCACTGACCAGAGTCTTGTAAATCGTCAACAAGCACTTGTTTCTTCTCAATTTCATCTTTCAACGTCTAAAGGAACACATCAAAGTCTGTTATTCCAGCCTCATAATGACACTGTATAAACACTACTTTAAAAACTGTGTGTCGTTGTAACTTCAAATCGTATCTTCCAAAAATTTACGATATATGGATGTGCAGAAATATGGAGATTTGGGTAATATTCTCTACCTTGCTACGAATCGCTTTAAGTAAGCAACTCTGAAATTCCTTCACTACTTTATCTCGACGTATATTCGCGTCTTTTTTAGGCACCGACGAACAATTAGCAAAAGCCATGTTGCAAAGAAGATAGTTTCATTGTAAAATTGATAGTATATTTTCCACATCAATACAGTCAACAAAAATCCATTATACAATACTCCCACTTAACGTTTTACCAAAGTTGAAAATTACTACAGATAACATGTGGCAGATAACGTTTCATTTTGCAATAGAGGTGGAGACGCATGCATTCCATCGCATCCTCGGAAACATAACTTTTGCAATGTAAATTATCAATAGAAAGATGGACGGTTGAGATGATGAAACATCGTTATTACAATCAGAACTATTGTGTAACACTTCATATAAGTACACATTTTCAGTCACATTTCGTCTAGGAATGATTCAATCGTCAACATAAAACTATATCACAGGTTAGAAGTAGAATTAAAACAGAAATGTTAAATTAGCAGGTACCTGTTTGGCAAAGTAAAAAGCAAAAAACAAGGGCAAGCCCAAAGTAAGCTGTGATGTAAATAACCATACCTCAGTTTCAGCCTTCTGTTCTTCTATAATATCAGGCTCTGTGCTAATTGGTTGAAGTTTGAAAGTCCGTTGTTCAATAGTCGGAAACCATTCGATAAAATCATCGTACAATTTCGTGAACTTCTCAGCAACTTCAGTATAATTTTCCAGGTCTTTAATGAGATCAGCGAGAGCCGTTTTTGACTGTTCAAAACCATCGGTAGCATCAACCGTTTCAGTTACGAACTGTTCGGCTTCTGGTCGTGACTCTAAGGCTTTCTGTACTTCCTGGCTTGAGCTCAACAATTCTTCGAGAATTGGTCTAACAATCTCTACCTCAGATGCGTTTTCCTAAAAATGTCACACGAAATTCATTCATTTCTAATGAACAATATATAAAAATTCAAATACAATATTTCCTAACCTTAGCTTTTTCTAACGTTCTCTTCAACTTATCGGCATCTACCTCATATGAATCATCACTTTTTACAATATCTCCAATCTTTTCATTTATATTGCGAATTTCCGCCAATGCTTTTTGATGTTTCTTTAAAACATTCTTTATATTCTCAACTGCCGGCTTTTTGGCGTGAATTGTTTTCTTAAGATCGTTCCATCTTCGTTTTATATCGTTCATCTCAGTGTCAACAATAACAATATCCTCACTTGCATCAATCACCTTAGCTGCATTACTAATACACTCTTCATAAACACTCTTATGATCCTCGACATTTTCCTCCAAATCATTACGACTTTTTTCAACTTTTTCAATATTTTCAAAGTTCAAAGGAATTTCTTCAATGTTCACCATTCTTCGTTCCATTTCACTTAGCCAGTTCAAGAAATCCGATTTAGTAGTGCTGTATTCTTTGGCGAGAGGTAAGACAACGTTTAAAGTTTGAATACGAGAAGTGGATTTCCCTAAGACATCTTGCCATTTTGCAGTTAGATCTTCAAGCTCTTCCTTCAAATCTTCATCATCCGTTTCTTCTTGTATATTTCGACCAATCTCCAAAATCGTCTCGTAAACAGGTTCTTGTAGCTTCAAAGAACCAAGAACCCGTTCAGCTTCCTCGCTTTGCTTCTTTGTTTGCTCGAATACAGCAGAAACTGGCTGCATTGTTGATACTTCAACATCTAATGCTGATATTTTTTCCTCGTGTTGTTTCGTCAAATCTTCATAATCATTACACTTTAATAAAGCGGTTTGAAGTTTGTGAAGGCGATCATCTAACTGGAGACTAGCTTTATTCAAAGGTATTTGAAGATCTGCAATCATGTTTTGCACAACTTTTATCACTTCTGGGTCGTTCTTGTTGATATTTTGAACGTCTTCGGCAAATTCGTCGACCGCTTCCAATTTCTCGTTAAATCTTTGAGCGTCTTCAAGAAGAGATTCTGTTTCTTGTATTTGAATTGTGAGTACACTCGCTTTGGTACCGACTGGAGATAGAGCTTCTACGCTTTCAAGTAACAACGGTAAACCTTCCTCAACAGTTTCATAAATCATAGAAAATTTAACGATGATCATTGTATCACTTTCTTTCGACAAGAAGTACTCGGAAAGATTATCTTTGTCTGTGTAGTAACGATCAACCATCTCATTGACTTGTTTATCCAATGACCGTGCTGCACTTGAAGTTCTGTCGACGCAATTAATGATAGTCGAACTGGTTGAAGTTATTGTTTCTAGTTTTTCCTCGCTATCGACCAATTTATCCATAAAACTTTCTACTTGCTCAAGGAAAAGCAAAGCTTCATGTCTGTCTATTCCAACATATGTTTCGTTTTTCACCATCGACTCTGCTTTGCTCAATATTCCATCTATATCTTCAAAGCAATCGTTAAATTCTAAAACAAGTTTCTTCGTCTTATTTAAAGTGTCATTTTTCTTTCTGGCCTCCATTATCAAGTCATTATATCGCTTCATTTGAAGAACTGTAGTAGATTCAATTATATCTTCATCCGTCTCGCACACATCGCTTAGATCCTTACATTCTTCCTCAAGTTTCGTAATTTCTGTCTTCTTAGAGCGTAATTCATTGATTAAGATTGCAAATGCTTTGAGTCCCAGTTCAACATTCTTACAGTCCAATGATTCAAAAGTGAAATCTTCAACACGACTTTCTGTTTTGATTAGCCATTCCAACATATTGCTCGAATCTTTGTCGAAATCTTTAGCCAATGGAAGGACTTTACAGATAACAAACTTTCGTTCGTGAACTTTTTCGTTCAAATCATTCCAACGTTTACCAAGACCTGATAGATTTTCCTCCAACTCCCTCTTCTCATCTCCTTCCGAAAGACTATCCATCATTTTTTGCCCAGCCAATAAAACTTTCTCCACCATTTCTTCCTGTAGATTGACATTTTTCTCTAAACACTCCACATCCTCAAGTTGACTAGTACAAGTCAAATAAACCGCCGAAACTGGCAGCAAGCCTGCCAATTCATCTTCAATGCCTGCAAGTTTAAGATTGTAGTCGTCGAAGTAGTCTGCAAACTGCTGAGATTGTAGGGCAGCGGTCTCCAGTTGGTTCTGGCGCAGATCAACTTGTGCAGCCAATTTCTTCACTGGTTCACGTGCCTTGGCCAAACGTTCGTGAATTTCACGGATGTCATCTGGATTGCTTGGCAGGTTCCCGACTAACCATTCGGTACAATCTTCAAGATCATTCAACTCTGCGTGATATTGTTGAACATTTGTGGCAAAAAGCTTATTCTCAGTGATTTGATCTTTAATCATTTCAGGCTTTGTGCTTACGGGATTTTGCTCGTCAAACTTCTTCGAATCTTTCGAAACAGCAGACTCGAGATTACTAAAACAACAAACAAATGGTGATCCAGGATTATACTAAGGATTGCTGTAAAAATTCTACGAAATGACAAATAAGTAAAGAAGTTTCTTACCTTTCAATCGCGTCAAGCTTGGCCAGGTATACATTTTCTTGCATCAAAGTTTCTTTCAGTTCTTGTAGTTTCTTCGGAATTTCAGAATTCTTTTTATTGATGTTATCAACGCTTTCTTTCATGATAGCCGCTTCAGGATCATCCTCGAAGCACATTGTGGCAAGGTCTTCGTAGATGTTTGGAATCTTCTCTAGAACTGGTTTCCTTTCCACAATGGTCGTTAAAAATTGGTCTATTTTATTTATCTCTTGTTTCCTGGCTTCTTCACTCAACCCAAAGGGTTTTCTCTCAGATAACATGGCTTCACAAGGATTGAAGACCTCCTCCATTATATTTACTCCATCTTCAAAGTCTTCCAATTTATTCTCTTGTCTCTTTAGTTGATCACAAGCGTTTTGCACGTTGTTTAGTAAAGTCTGCCAACGTTTCTTCACGCTATCAAGTTCGACTTCAATAACGTTACTATCCTGTTGTGACGTATTTACAAGTTCCTTACCCAACTCTTGTACAGAAGCGTAATTACGAGCTTGAGAATTGATTTCATTTTGAATGGTTTCCAGTTCTTTTTGGGTATTTTGAATGCGTTCGTGCTTTAAAGGAGCAAGACTTAACAAATCAAATCTCGTATTGATTGCGGTTAACCAATCAAGGAAAGGTATTGAAGCTTCATTATATTTTTGGGCCAATGGTAATGTCTTTTGAATATCCTTGTCGTAGTCACTGCATTTTTCATTTACATTTCTCCACCTGAAATATTTAAAAAAATTAAACTAGATGAAAATCAAAAAATTTATATACAGCCAAGTTTATAGTTCCCAACCTTGACTTGATTGTTGACAAGTTTTCAACAAACAAATCTTTCTCTTCTCCAGGTTCCATATCTTCAATCATCTTTTCGCCCTCTTCTACAACTTTCGTATAAACTGGTTCGTATTTCATAATGTTATCCTTCAAACTGTCACCATCTATCTTTTGTAACTTGAGAGTATCATAGATGAGCGAAACGGGACGCAATGTAGCAATCTTCCTTTCAAGGTCATCCAGTTTTCCGTTTAAATCTTTGCAATTATCGTCAAATTCCTGCCCGTGCAGGAGAAGATCTTGAAATCCGAGGTATTTCTTGTCAATCTTTTCTTGTTGAGCATTTATTTGTTCAGTAAGTTCAGCCTTTTGCACTTCAACATTAGCAGCAATGCTTGGTTCATTAGTTGCATGATTTATCAGCCATTCTCCAAGAGTGTCCAACTTTTCTAGATCTTTTTTGCAATCTGCCGCCTCAACACGAAGAATCTGAAAATCAAAGATAGTTCGAGACGTTTGTATAATGTTAGCATTACTTAGTATGTGGAAGAAGTATGTTCAAATGAAGTTACTGACATCACAAAATGATATGAGCAATATCTAAACGAAATCATTTTTGTTAAACAAAACAATTATTACCTCAACTTGCTTCAAACGTTTCTCAATAACAACAGGGTTTGTCGTTTTTATACTTTCAGAGAGAACAGGTTCTTCAGTCGCGATCCATTTTTTCAATTGACTTGCTATTTCATCAAACTCCCGGAACTTATCAACTGCTTCTTCCAACATGATCTTTTTCTCTTTCAGTTTCCGTTTTGCCTCTGCGACACTCCGTGGTAGGTTTGAGATGTTTTCGCGAAATGCTGACTCGTTAAGAAAATCACCCAACAGCAATATTTCATTTCCTTCATTCACAACTTTAGGGACGTTAGGTTCTATGTGCTCCACGACACTCAACATAACCTATTATGAGGGAAAACAAGAAAAAATGGGATTTAACAACAGCAACGATGCAACATATCGTCTTTATCCTACAAAAGGATAAGTATTTGATGGTTCACTATTGAAATGTGGCAGTTTTCAAAATTTGTGAAGTTCTGAAATTTTTTATTAAAGACTTTTCGGAAACGTACTTTAACCGAGAGGAAACAATAAAATACAAAAGGCTTTTAAAATCTCTAACATATCAGCGGGTTTAGCGAGGAAAATTTGCCGTGTGGTGAAAACGAGGTGAAATTGTCTATAAAATTATAGCACGATGTTTTTACTTTTCTAACATAAAGAATTAGCCATAGTGTTTATCCCGACCGCTGGCCGATAATCCCCAAAGTCATTGCAGGCCTTTCTATCAACGACCGACAACACACTGTACCTTAGTCTCCCGTAGTTGGTCCAACAAGTCTTCTACAGGAGAGGCCATAAGAACTTTAACATTAGACAACTCTTCAGCTTCATCTCGTATTCTTTCAATAATTTCTAAATTGTTCTCAAATTCTTTCAAAGCAATTTGAAGTGTATTGTGTTTCTGAAGTCTTGTGCCCAGGTCTCTCTTTAAACTATTAAAACGGTCGGACAAATCATCAATTTGAGCTTTCACTATCAATTCATCAGCAGATGCCGTTTCCATCAAATCCTTCGCAATGTTCTCTGTATTACGTAATTCGGGCTCCCGAGCGATGACATCATCATTCAAGGTCTTCAACTCATTACACTTACGAGTGACGTCATCTTTATTTAAGGAAGTCGGTTCCAGTTCTTCAGCTCGTTTTTCCATCACTTCTAGCCAAGCAGTAAAGGATTCTGCTGAGTTGGTGAATTTTCTTACCAGCGGTAATACACGAAGAATTTGTTCCTCTCTTTCGGGTACTTTTTCACGGAGACAATACCAACGTATCTTTACGTCATCAATGCTGTGTTCCAGTGCCTTGCTCTCCTCGCTCGGTTCGGATGACTCAAGTAACGACTGAACAAGAGTCACTAGACTTTCAAAGACGGGTTCAACTTGAGAAAGATCTTCATCAATTACCTAGAGAAGAAAATAGAAATAAGTGAAGTTTTTTATTTACTAATTTATCCCAATTTAGTTAAAGCAAGTTAATCTCCTCTCACGGTGATCCGTAATTCTCGAGATAATCGAATTAGTGTAATAGATTATCTATAGAACAAAATGCACTTACATCTGTGTATTGTTTCTGTTTATCCAGGGTCGATTTCACAGCAGAAACCGGAGCTTGACTTGCAAATTCTACTTCCAACTTTCGTAATTTTTCGTTAAATTCTTCCAAACCAACTTGAACATCTTTGGATTTTAATTCGGCAACTTTTAGGCGATCAAAGCGATCATCGATGCGTTTTGCTACACGATCAAAGTTAGTGCGTGTCTTCGTCATCCTTCCCACAATGCTATTCTTCCATTCCACGTCATTCGTGTTCTCAGCCAACCACATACCAGCTTCAAGTGCCGTCTCCAAGGCTTGTTTTTTCTCTGCAGTCTCATTTTGAAACCTTTCTGCTTCGCTCAGTTGTTTTGCAAGTTTTTCTGGAAGTGTGGTTATAGCTTCTAGTTCATCCAAATTCAAAATGGTCTGTGTAATCCACACTTCAACCTCTGAAGTATTTATTTCATAAACTTCAAAACGTTTTAGTTGGGACTCCAAGAAGATCTTTCTAAATACGGCTTTCTCCCGTGCACCAGTGAAGTGCTCATCGATGCTCGTCAATTCTTAAAATAAAAAGCCGTGCATGAACACAGTAACAAAGAAACAAATTACACCAGATCACTGAAAAAAACCCATAATCATTTACCTTTCTTCAACGGGGCAACATTTGCCATTTCATCACCAAATTCTTCAATAATACCTTGACCAATCTTATCCAGCTTCTCCTTCTGAGGTTTACTAGCGTCCAAATCTACAATAGACTTCTCTAGATTCTTAACTTCGGACTTTAAACTCTCCAAATCACGCACAGGTGAATCTTGAACTGGAATATTGTCTTTAACATCATTGATCATCTCTTCTACTGGTTTCTTGGCTTCATTGTATTGAATTACCTGTTCCTTGACTGCATTTACCTTACACTGCCAATTGGAAATCTTATCCAGTATCGTTGCATAACGAGTTTTTAAGTTATCAACCTCGGCTGCAACTACGGTAAGATCAGCCAGCGGCTTACTGATCAAAGCATCGCAACTCTTGCCCATTTCTTCATTCATCCCTTTCAATTCATCGGCGTCGCTTCGTAAGATCACGGCTTCCTTCGCCTGTTTCTCGAGTGTGTCCGAGTCGACGACCAAGTCGGGGAATGACTCTACCTTCTTTTCAAGATCATCAAGCTTTGATTGAAGTATTTGTACATTAGTTTGACATCCTTTAGCTAAAGGTACTGTCCGGATAAGTTCTTCTTCTCTTGTTTTAGCGTAAGCAATGATTTTATTCCATCTCTTTTCAAATTCAGCCGTTTCTTTCTCGGTGGTTTCTCGTTCTGGGCAATCATTCAATTCTTGAATCACGTGTTTGTTGTCCTTTATTACTTTCAGAAATACTGGCTCTTGTTTTCGAACGGCATCCGTCATTCGCTGAAATATCATGGATGTAAAATAATGTAAAAACATCACTAAAAATGAGGAAAACTTCATTTTCGTTATACAAATTATATTTTGCCCGCTTGATAACTTGTATATGCGTCAGCAATCTATGTTTATTACAGTTTACTGGTTTATTACAGTCTATGCCTGAGAGTTACGTAATCAAAATGGCGTCGATCGATTGCGAAAGACATCAAATTAATGAATTTTTTCAATGGTGACATACTCAAAAACTGCGGATTTTTGAAGTGAATTTACACTTTCTATGATACATCCTACTTATATATCGTGTAAAAAGTAGTGCCCAATCGGGGGCAACAAAACTGAAAGATAATCGGGCACGGAATACGGCATATTAGTTCAATTCAAGATGGTTACCTTATGGCTCTGTTGTTGTGCCTTCACCGTTTCATATACGGCGGACAAAGTTTTCTGTTTTCCTAGTTCTTCCTCTGTGGCTGCTAACCACGACAAAAGATCTTTTGACGTCTTTTCAAATTCTTGACTTGATGTTAATGCTGTTGATAAATCATTTTCACGATTCTTTAGTTCCTCTTGTACCTCAGCTACTGGTTTCTTCAAACTTTCAACGTCATTCATCATTCCCTCTTTCAACTGAATACATAAAAAATGTTTCTTTTCAATCAAATGAAGAATCAAAATAGAAGAATCAAAATAGAAAATAATTGCAACTTTATGGTAGATAATAATTGCAACAAACCTGAGATTCCACTTCAGTGTTATCAAACAACCATTCATTGGCATCTTGAACAGATGAAAGAGCTTCAACAACCTCATCAACTTCCTTCGAGATCTGTTCAGCTTCTTGTATTTGCCTTTTCACAGCAGCAGGACGTGTGTTAATGGGTTGCAATTCTTGTAATTTCCCTTGAAGTTTCGTTAATTTCTTTTCAACTTCCGTTTTTTTCTGACTCAAGTCATCTGTGCGCTTTGCAATTTCGTCCATCGCTTGTTGACCATCAGCAAGCAACTTCTTCAGTGCTTGAACATTTTCATTCTTGTCAACCATCTGTCCTCTTACATCAAAAGCATCCGTTTTTTCAAGTAATGATTCACCAAGCTCGTTCAATCTTTCCAAAACAGGTGATAAATCGTGCACCTTCTCGAGGGAACTCTGAAATGAACCAGTTGACAAGTTACTTTTACCGTTACGATCAATAGAAAAATATCCTCATATATAATTGGTGGAAGTTAACTCTAGTGAAAGTTAATCGTCGTAGCTAAACAAGCTAGAAGCTGACTTGAGCATGAAAATAATCCGTATGATGGTATTAAGATGTTCCATTACAGCCAGAGGCGAAACTAGAACGTTAATTGGGGGGGTAAATATTCATATATTCAGCTCTGCCCTGCTGACTTCTTTTGAAATTAACATCGCAAACAAAAGAAATCAGCAGGGCAGAGCTGAATATATGAATATATACACCCCAAATTAACGTTCTAGTTTCGCCTCTGATTACAGCAACACGTCTTCCAATCTAGATCTCGTCTGTTTTACGCAAGAAAATTCTTAACTATGAAAATTTTCCCGTCTACAACCTATATCTATATACTGATTGTAATTGTACTACGCAAAATCTCAAAAGTTATTCGTTAAAAACTTACATTTAAGATTTTTAAATCTGCGCTGACGTCGCCATCCTTGGTTAGTTTGCCAGATATTTTAATATCTTTTATCTGAACATCATCTTCTTCGGGCATATCAAACACAAGAGCATCCTTCATGGAAGTGATGATGTCATCTACACCTATCTGCAGTGTTTTGACGCATTCTTGGAACTCGTCCATCTCACCCTCAGCCACAACGACACGATGAAGTCTCTCGGAAACATTACGATTAAGGTTTCTCCAACGTTCATTCATCAACTCAACCTCCTTTTCAAGTGTTTTTATTTCTTCTTCCAAACCAATATCTTTGCCAACTTCTATCAGTTTCTCAGCAGCACTATTCATGCAGTCATGGTCAGGTTTGTGCTGCTCGATGTTCGCAGACAGTTCCTGGAAATGCGTTATTTCACAATTTAACTAAATTAAATCTCAAGACAAATGTATCTACCATTGGGATGATTTTCTAACCTCGAGTAAATCTTGATGTTTTTCTATAATATCTTCATCGTCGACGTGTTCAAGATCAGTTTCCAGTCTCTTTTCGGTCTCATTAAGCCACGAAACGAACACAGCACTGATGTTATTGTAATTGTCAACTAGTCCAAGAACCTTTTCAATCTGATCTTTGCGTGTCGTGCATTTTTCCTTCATATCATGCCATCGTGTATTGAGATCATCCAATCTCCTACGAAGGACCTTTTTCTCTTTCCCAGGTGCTCTCGTTTCCAGGAGCTTCTCCCCTTTTTGCATCACGTGATCAAATGCAGGTTGGTGGTGCACGAGGTCGTCTACAATTGGCTGCAAAGAATAATGTCATCGATATGTGAGTCAAAGGTGACAACCTCGACAAAAACAAACATAACCTTTGCTGTACTTTTGTGTTAATTTTCAACGCAGGAATTGATAACTTACCCACTGTTTTGCCTTCTGCTCAAGAATGACATCATATTTCACAGACACAGATCCTTGCAATGCAAGTACGTCACCTGTGCTTATTAGCCAATCTTTAACATCATCAAATGCTTCTCGGAATTCTTGCCTTTCCAGTAAAGCTTGTTTTAGCTCAACGAGCCTATCGTTCACTTTCTTTGTCAATTCTTTCAACTTCACATCATATTTATTTACTTTATTGCTGACATCGTCTTTAATGGATGTGTCCTCTTCGCAAGTTGCAATGATTTTCTCGCCAAGATTTTTAGCTTTTTCAAGAAGAGCAAACTGCTCATATATTTCGTCTCTCGTGCTCTACAAATATCAAAAGTAAGAAACAAAATGAGATGTTTGAGCTTACACACACACGCACGCGGGCGGACGTTGTTTTTTGTCAAAGAATTTACTGCACGTCAACTACCTCAGTTTTATAGATTTGTTCGCGTACGCCATCAGGATCGATACTGATTGGTTTGTCCAGTTCAGAAGTATCAACATCATTTAACCAGATCTCAAGGTTATTTAGGTGATCATGACAAGTCTTAAAGACATTCATATCTCTCTCCATACTAGACTGTTGCTTGTGGATTTTAGCAAACAATCGACGCTGTCGTTGCTTGACGCCAGACAATCGGCTGTGTACGGTCTCGGAGCTAGGCGAATTTTTGTCTACAACTTGTAGAATTTCCTTACTGGACCGTCGCAGTTGAGATACTTGAGGCTTTGACTCCTCCAGCTGTGCTTTGGCATCCTAAAAAGTATAGTATAACATTAGCTAATTTTAACAACCAACTCGCTGTAGGATTTAGAATGGCAATTTGTCAAGCTATTCTCCCCCCCTGTGCTTCAAAATAAAAACATCACCTTAATCTTTTCAAGATGTGCTTCGACATCATCAAACGAGACGGGGGGTGCGGCGTCAACCAACTGTTCCACTTCAGAAAAGACTTGTTCCAAAGGTTCAATAAGTTCCTTAGATGTACTCATTTCCTTCTCAAGTACACCAAGTTTCTTCTCGCGATCCTCAAGAACCTTCAATACACCGTTATATCTCTTCATCACATCATTACTCTTCTCTTTTACATCACCGACTTCTTTCTCTTCATCGTTTCTTGCGTCAATCAGCCACTCGGACGTCGTTCTAATCTTCTCATTTAATGGCTTCTTCGATTGAACAGAAGGGAGGATTTCCTGTGCAATACCGAAAATCAAACGCACACACAAATCAAATATGACACATCAGATAGTTTTTCAGTTTATTGAACAGTATAAATGTGCTAACCTGAACTTTTTTAAGTTCATCGAGAACGTCATCAAGGTCTGATTTGATCGGTTCCAGACTTTCAATTGTCTTTTCAACCTCCGGCAACCACTCCTCCATTTGAGATAAAGCATGATTATAATCAGTAGTCTTGTTTATCACATCAGACAGCCATTGAATTCTCTCGTGCACATCCTCATTCAACAACTGTGTATCATTCAACAGTCTTACAATACGTTCAATTGGAGCACAATAATCAATAATATCGCTTGTGTTGTTCACACTCTGCAATCTTGACTTCAACGGTGATGCTTGTGTCTTGATCACAACAAGGTCATTCTTGATGTTCTGAAACAGTTCAGAGATTTTGTTGTCATAACATATCTTAAATTTTTATACCTGATAATAAGTTGATATTTGCAATAGTTAGGCTTGTTCTCACCAATAATTTTCTAGAGTATTCTTCCAACTTTTCAGTTTCCGAACCAAGATCGCGTGGTTTTTCGTAGCACTTTCTGCAATTCGACACTTTATCTTCAAGTGGTGATATCATACTTTGGAATTTCTTCTCGAGCATTTGAGCTTCATCGATCTGTTGTTTTCTCTTTCCTGCAAGTCCTTTAATCATGTTCCATCTTTTTGTTGTTACATCAAGTATTTCTTGTACAACAGCTACGTCACGAGTTGTGGAATGTGTGAAACATATTTCAATAAGAGTTGTCGCACTATCAACATACTCTTGATATGTATGTGTTACGAGCTCTACAGCCTTTTCCACATTCTAAAATAAGATATCAAAGTCGAGCTCAATCAGGCGTTCAATAACACATTATTATCATCGTTTTATGAATAACCTTCAAAATATTTTGTTGTTTTGCCAGTCCTTTCGGTTCAATGGGAATACACGTGATCTTGTTTAGTTGTTCCTCAATATCCTTCAGATGTGGTTGAATTTCTTCCAAGGCTTCCTCACACGTAATTGCTGATTGAACAACATCATCAATAACAGTCTCGTGATCAAAAACTTTTTCATGGAAGTTGCTCCATCGACATTTAAGATCATCCAGCTTTTTTCGATCTTCGGGCATTTGATCATCTTGTTCCTGGACATGCTGAACGATGTGTTTGAAGACAGTGTCGTAGTCGCTCACTTTGCGATAAAAAGGCTGTATTAAAAGAGACAATTGCTTCAATAAATAAATGCAACTACAAATTTTTCTTGTGCCCTGAAATAATAAAGTTAGAAACGATTTTTGTAATAAGCCAACAGCTAACAGTTAGGTCAAAATTAAGCGAACAACTAACAGCATGGTCAGAAAGTTTTTAAAATATTTTGTCTTGTTTACAAACCTCGTACTGCTGTTGGACAGCCATGGCAATATCATGCTTTGCAGACAATGGTTCAATTTCAGCAAAAGTTTTCTCAAACTTGTCTAATTTCTCTTCAACATCATTAAGGTTCACTTGAGCCTTCAGTACTAACGTTACAACATCATACAGTTGAACCTCGCGACTTGTAACCTTAGCAACAAGTTTAGTCACCGGTTCCTCAACCTGTCTGTACTTTTGTTTAAGTAAGGCGACAGTTGCCGGGTCATTTCGATTGCTTTCGACAAGCCACGACAACGTCTGGTTCAAAACGACAACTTTGATCTCGATTGGATGAAGCTTGTTTCTGATGAACTATACAATACAACATAAGCATAGAAACATTAGTCAACAACGTATATGTATTCTTCAAGATAAAAGCAAACACAATCAACACAAACCATAGTTTCAGTCAACAGTTGTTTTGCTTTAACACAATCTTCACTGACTGGTTCCAGTGCTTCCACTTCTAACGTAAGATTTTTAGTGGCAGTTTCAACTTCCTTTGATGTTGTATCGAAAATTTCCATCTGCAAAGACCGTTTGGCGAGTTTTGATTTCTTCTTCTGTAAGTTAATCAATGCGATAGAGTATTGTGTGTTAGCAGCGACAATCGGTTGAGGTATTTCTATTTCTTGTTCCTCGATAGCCTCAACTTCACATTGCTCAGCTTCAACATTTAGTATAGCCTCCTGTTGTAAAATGAAACAAAAACAAAGAGAGTTATTTTCTATAATATCAAGGTTACGTATGTTTCAATAAACCAGCTGTAGTAATACTTTCGAAATAACAAACTTTCGTTGACTAACACGTGAAAGATTTAAATTGGATTCCTTCACAATAGTTACCAACAAACCTCGATTTTAATGATTTCTTCCTTAGCCAGCTCGGGTTCGGTGACATTTGGCATTTCGTTATTCAAAACAGCGTTAACTGAAGACATAGTTTCTTTAACGGGGTACAAAACTTCATTGTACTGTTCTTCTTTCTTTTCATGTTCTTTCACGTGTTCTTCGGCTTCATCCAGAGTCACTTTCATTTTTTCATATCGAGAAATTATATCATTCACGGCACTTGCTATCTCATCACCATGACTTGAACAAACATGGTTTCTTGTCGACAGTTCAACTAAGACATCACTTTTGTCACAAAGATGTTGTACAACAGGACGATGGGCATTTATTTCATTAGCAAAATGCTACAGTAAAAAAATGACCACATTTGATGCTGGCAATAAAAAAATTTCCGAAAATGTCCTTTTCCTACTCAATAATGGACAAAATATAAAGGTCAGTGATTGATTATTCTAAAACAACGCCAACAAGTATTAAAGGATCTTTGTTTTGAAATGAATAGTTGACATTTAGAAATTTCATAAATACATGTTTGTATATTCAGTCAATGGTTAGTTCATTCCTGATAAGTACTGTTCGTCTTAGTATTAACTGACATTTTGACAGTCTTGACGGTAGTCATCTTGACTCCTCAGTCAGTCAATACCAACACTAACAGTCCTTCTCGGTGGCTACACTAACCATGGACCATCATCATCTAGAATAACGATATTCCAAGATTCAAAATATTTACTTAAATTCTAGATACGTCACATGTTTCAGTAACCTACTTACTTTTATCTCAGCTCTTTGTTCCGCCAAATCATGCTGACTTTTTTTGCCAATGACCAACGCCTGCAGTGATTTTTCAGCGGTAGTCAACCAGGACAAGAATGTGGTCATACTTTCATGATATTCACGGACCAATGGCACAGTTTCGTTCAATTTGTTCGTACGGTCAGCGATCTTTTTCTGTATTATCTTCCAATACTTGGTGATGTTGGTAACTTTATGTCTTGCCATATCTCGCTTCTGTCCTGGTTCTTTGTTGTTGATATAATCAAAGCTTGAATGTTGAAGATACTCGTAAACAGGCTCTGCATGTTTAGCCTCTTTTCTCACATCCTTTTTTAAGAAACAGAAAATATTTCAAATATAAGATGATTCTTTAAAAGCAGACAAGTTTGGGAATCACACCATCTTCATTACATGGACGTGATTGACAATAATTATTGACAGCAAGTGAAATACAAAAATAACTTTTCTGTGTAATGCATTTCTGGTGTGAATTCACTTGATTATTTACCTGTATAATGTATTCACTTCATTATATACCTGTATAATGTATTCACTTGATTATTTACCTGTATAATGTATTCACTTGATTATTTACCTGTATAATGCGTAGTTGAATAATAATCTCAGCATATTTCAGAGAAACAAGATCCTGACTTCGTATTCTTTTATCAATAAAAACACACCACGCCATGAAATTATCAAGCGATAAATCATAACTTTGTTTCTCGCATAAAACAACATCTAATTGTGAACTCTTTTCCATTAGCTTTTCCTTAAGATCATCGACATCCTGTTCAATAGTTCCCAGTCTCCTGTCAACGTCAGACCTTTTCTTTTCATTATCAAAACAGTGATCTTTCAACCATACACTATGTGCCATAGCATTGTCCAACTTTGTGTTTATATCGACCAATTCATCTTCTAACTCCTATAAAATCGTTGTTTTAATCAGTTTTATGTATGTACATGTTAATAACTTTACTTAGAACGCATCACGAATGACTCCTTGAACTAAAGAAACGTTCCAGGGAGGGGGTGATAAGACAAGTTATTTTGGAAGGATAACTTAGTTAAATATTTAAAATCCTATAATAAAATACGATGCTCTGTGAAATTATGTAAAACCTTATTAGTCCATATTAAGACTTTTGGGGGGAATGAGAATAATAAAATTTTTCAAATACCTTAACGCTGGCTAGCTTCTTTTCAACACTAGACTCGGAGCTGCGAACATCTATATCATCAAATGTTTTGGTTGCCACGGACAACCACTCCGAAATTCCCTGAAGTGACGTCACAAATACTTTGGTGTGGTCATAGAAATCGGAAAGTAAGTATTGTTCATCCTGTATTATTGTATACAAAGTAAAATATTGAGAAGTCAAGTTCGAGGTACGTTCGTTGATGGATTGGACATTTACGAGATCGTCGTCATTTATTTCGATCAATTGTCGTTCGATGAAGAAAAGATCGCGTAAAAACGATTCTTTTTTTGATAATTCAAGCACCAAATTCTGTTGAATATGCAAGGAAAACAAAAAAATATATGTAATAGAGTAAAGAAAGCTACATAATTCGAATACTTCATGTATAACAAACATAATGCTACATAATTCTAATACTTCATGTATAACAAACATAATGCTACATAATTGTAATACTTCATGTATAACAAACATCTTTACCTTGACTTTCTGCCATTCGTTCAAAGTGACATGTTCATCAATAAAAGGACTTTGTTCGGAATTTAGAACATTCTCGGCTGAAGTGATCATATCTTTGACGTTATCATATTGTACATCATATCTTCTCAACTCTTCTACTATGTTCTGAAGATTATATGTATCATTTGGCACCTTCACGCGTGTTTCCCGCCAGCAATCGTTGTTCAACGTGAACTCAGATCGAATCTTGGGAAGATCACGTGATACATGATGCTGTTCACAGATGTTGATGAGATTTTGGTACGCCTGCGCATAGTCCTCAAATGAATCCGTACCACTATCGACTTCGTCACATAATGCCTAATATAATAAAAACGATGCCATCAAAAACGTAAATTAAAAAATCATTTTAAGAAATAAAAGACACAGGCTTGTGCAAACCGAGGAGAAATTTGGGAGAACTCGAGATTCTCTTAAACCGAAGAGACCTTTGAGAGAACTTGAGATTCTCTTAAACCGAAGAGACCTTTGAGAGAATTTGAGATTCTTTTAAACCGAAGAGACCTTTTAGAGAATTTGAGATTCTTTTAAACCGAAGAGACCTTTGAGAGAACTTGAGATTCTCTTAAACCGAAGAGACCTTTAAGAGAACTTGAGATTCTTTTAAGCCGAAGAGACCTTTGAGAGGACTTGAGAGTTTGCACCTACTCGAAAGTTCTCACCTACTGCATAGGTCAGTGCAATCACGAAAAACATCTTTTATTTCTTTTACAAAATAACAATAATGTAAAACAGGAAAATTTAAAAACAACGTTTAAATTTCCTCAAACATGTATTCATAAATGATTCGCAATCGATATAAGACAGGTTTGCACGGCTATAGACCAATAAGCGCATACGCTTCATTGTTTTTATTTCATAATTTACAATTTATGAAAAGATCTTTCGATACAAACCTGAAGTGTCCTGTATTGCTTGAGTACTTGGGTTGCCTCTGCAGGAACTGCCTGAATTGCGTTGATTTTCAATTCTACGGTTTTCTTACGCGACAAAAATTTCTCTTTTGTTGACCGATGTTTGTCTGTGGCAGGAAGCAAAACAGATAAAACATTTTCTCGCGTTTTCAATTTTTCATCAACTTTAGCCCAATAAAGCTTGAGTTGAGAATTTTCTTATTCATTATGTCTTCATCGCTAATTTGTTCCGTTGTCATTTCGTTATTCTTCATTTCTAATGTATTCATACACGGGCTTTAATTTCTTCATTTCATTCTTTACTTCCTGCATAAATTATAAGACATTTTATTAATATGCAACATTTACAAATAGACAAACAAAAATGACTTTCTGATATCTTTTTCTCACCTTGAACCTATCATTTTGCTTTAAAAGAGTTGGTTGCAAGACAGATAATTTTTGCTCGAGATATTTTCTTGTCAATAGCTGCTAACATGTTCGCAAAGTCATCAAGAACAACACTCAACGGTTTGTTGTCCAAGCCAGTAGCTTGATATAGTCGGTGAAGATCTAAAAGTCGACCGTTCGTGTCATCCATCTCTTTTTGAACAGACTCTAACTCGTCACTAACTCGGGTGATTGTCGTAGGGTTATCGGGACTGTGTTCAATAACCCACTTTCCCGCCTGCTCGGCAGTATTAAATGATTCATGGAGTTTTTTCAATTCATTGATAAGGTCCTGATAAAGAAAGTAAAACATGAAGTAAAACACGTGAAATGCGCTCATCAGTATTAATAAAACACACAATGGCAAAATAAAGTTTGATATTTATTATCACACAATGAAATACCTCGATTTCAAGAAATTTTTCATTTATCTTAGCAGGTTCTTCAACTATTGGATCACTACCAATGTCGTTCATTTTCTCCTGTATTTCTTGCAGTGATTTCTTCATCTGTGCCATCAATTCTTCGTAGAGTTCTACAGCACGTATATGTCGTTGTAAAGTCGATTCTTGTTTCACAAGTTTATTTTTCGTATTTTGTTGTTCACACAATGTATCAATGGTCTTTTCACGAATGGGCGCGTGTCGGGCCGATTTTACAAGCTTTTCTTTTGCCGTATCCACAGTGTTAATCAAATCCTGCAATGAACCAATCACAAAACGATGAACCTTACAAAGAACCAATTATATAATGACATTTATGTCACGTGAGTTGGTTAATTACCCGAACTGTATTCAGTTGTTTCTTTGCTTCATCTTTATCCATACCTACAGCCATCTGATTGACAAATACTTCGTCTGCTTTCGTAATACTTTCTTCTAAAGGCACAATGGCGTCTTTATAGTCTTGCAAACCTAGAAGATGTTCAGAACAAGCGTACGGTTATATAAAATGTCCACTTACACAACACCTATAAATTCTGTTCGAAAACGAATGAAACAAAAACAAAGTGATTGCAAAAACTCCACTCCAATCTTGCGTAATATATAGCAGCACAACAAACCTTGTTTATAACCGTATAACTTGTTCAATATATTTTGAAGATCTTCATTCAGATCCTCCCATCGTGACTTCGTTAAATGAACATCCTTGCTGATCTCAGGAATTGCGGACGCAACTTTCAGTTCTTCACAAGCTTCCACGAGGGTTTCGGCCTTTTTAGTACACAATTTGTAATCTGGTTTATGTTTTCGTGCATCATCATGGAGCTCCTAAGCAAACAAGATGTTTGTCAATAAATCTGATACACGTTTTGCAAATGCCAAAGAATGTTGAAGAAGATATTTCCAAAAGAAATACGTAGCAAAAACTTTACCTTAACTTTCTCAAGATATTTCGGTAAGCTGATCTGATCCACGTTATCAATGGGGATCTCCTTAATAGCAAATTCTGTATCAGTTAACCAGCGATAAAAATCATGTTTTGTGTTTTCATATTCCGCACTCAATGGTTCGATCCTGTTCAATTGTCGCAGACGATTTTCCGCATTTCTTGCCAGTACATCCCAGCGATGTACAACGTCATTAACATTATCCTCTAGAGCGTCACGTTTAGGACTTCCTTCTGTCGTACAAACAACATCAAGAACCATTTCTACGATATCATCATACAAAGGTTTTTGTTGTCAATCTCTTCATTAAAGATCTATAGGTAAAAAGGTATTTTAACAGCAAATATCCCAAACGCAGATAAAGGAAACAAATTATTACTTGCCTTTTGTTCACTAACAAGCAAAGATAGATCTTCTTGGTTACACGTCAGCGGTTTTTGCTTGGAAACAAACTTCTCCTTATCTTCCAACCATGCACAGAGATCCTCCAACAGATCTTCATAATCGTCAGCCTCTTGGATGACGGTCAATTTCTTTCGTGGTTGACCGCTGCTTTGTCGGTTCAGATCGTTATACATGTCAGAGATGTCATTCAGTTTTTTCTTCAAATCAAGAACGTAGCGTGGATTGTCTCTGTTAATGTTGAGTAACCAGACACCAGTAGACAGGAGTGACTCCATTTGAGGATCCATCTCAGTTAAAGCAGACTGGGCAGCCTAGGTATGAACATGAAACAATGATATAAAACACAAAAAGCCATTTTCATTCATAAAGCCACAACAGCATCATTTTCATTTATAACGGGAAGAAAAAAGTACCGGAAAAAAATTGGGTAATTATATCATGCTTAAATATCATGATCTTTTTTCATTGCATTCAAAATCCACCTTTTGCCACAAACTTTCAAACAAACAAAAAACAACAAGAGAGTTAAGGCTCAGTATGCATGAACTAGCTTGTCATTGAATAAATAAAACATATTTTCCAGTTCAAGTCATGTCTGTAAAACTCAAAAAAGTTTCTTTTACCTTAAGTTGTTCTTTGTAGTGTTTTACAACCCTTTGATCATTCGACCCATGTCTTGTGTTTTTCACAATCTTCGCAATCCTGATGAGTTGTCTTTCCAAGGCTTGCAGCAAGTCATAGAATCGTACGATATACTCTACTTCCTCGCGTGTTGTGATCAACATCTCGCGTGATGCAAGCAACAGACTTTCGTAACGTTTCATAAGAAACGTCGTTGTTTCTATGATTTGTTGCGTTGCGTCAGAATAGTTAATCAAGGTGTAAATAAGCTCCTGGCTTGAACTGTTCATTGTTGCGACGTCTTGTCGTTTTTCCTCAAGTTGCTTCACTACAATCTCCATTTGATGAATTTCTAGTCGACCTTTTTCAACATCTGCCGCTAATGGACGATGATCGACGAAGAATTTCTCAGCCTAAAAAATAAAATATTACATATACAAATACATATCATAAGCCAAAGAAGAATCAAACATAGTTAAAGTATTTTCTCACATGATCAGTCACTTGACGAACAGGCTCTACAGCGTTATGATATTTCTTGGCCAGCGGTATGATTACACTTAACTCACGAACATTGGCACGAACTTTCAATTTCAATTCACGCCATAATCTGACCACGTCAGTGTACTTCTTTTCCAAGGCACTGCGATAGGGCCCAGGCTTCTCGCTACTTAACACATTGCGACACCACTTGACTACGTCATTATACAAAGGCTCGTGATTGGACAATTCATTGCGCATGTTCTAAAACCGAAAGGGATATTTTAAATTTAAACTAGGAATCAAAGGAAAGTGCAAAGTTTCAAAAAAAACATTGTCTTTTGACTCGTAATCTGAATCAATCATAAAATGTTTTATATATTTATTTTATTTCTCCATTCATGTATCATGAGGTGATTCATGTATCATGAGGTGATTCATGTATCATGAGGTGATTCATGTATCATGAGGTGATTCATGTATCATGAGGTGATTCATGTATCATGAGGTGATTCATGTATCATGAGGTGATTCATGTATCATGAAGTGATTCATGTATCATGAGGTGATTCATGTATCATGAGGTGATTCATGTATCATGAGGTGATTCATGTATCACGAGGTGATTCATGTATCATGAGGTGATTCATGTATCACGAGGTGATTCATGTATCATGAGGTGATTCATGTATCATGAGGTGATTCATGTATCATGAGGTGATTCATGTATCATGAGGTGATTCATGTATCATGAGGTGATTCATGTATCAAGAGGTGATTCATGTATCATGAGGTGATTCATGTATCAAGAGGTGATTCATGTATCATGAGGTGATTCATGTATCAAGAGGTGATTCATGTATCAAGAGGTGATTCATGTATCATGAGGTGATTCATGTATCATGAGGTGATTCATGTATCATGAGGTGATTCATGTATCATGAGGTGATTCATGTATCATGAGGTGATTCATGTATCATGAGGTGATTCATGTATCACGAGGTGATTCATGTATCATGAGGTGATTCATGTATCATGAGGTGATTCATGTATCATGAGGTGATTCATGTATCATGAGGTGATTCATGTATCATGAGGTGATTCATGTATCAAGAGGTGATTCATGTATCAAGAGGTGATTCATGTATCAAGAGGTGAACATCCATTGATTTCAGGGTAAATAAAATCACTAGCTAATAATCTACATAACCAGTTGTTGTTTTGCAAGCATTTAGGAAAAATTCAGCAATTTGTCATCCCTTGAATTTTTTCCTCAAAAAAGAAAAACACCTCGAGACTTCCTAATGCAAAAATAATTTTAAAAAAAAGTGTTTCGCAACAAGCCTCCAAACAAAGATTACCTCGGAGAAATCGCGCAGTTTCAATAAAACATTCATATCCTCAGACAATGGTGGCAAAGATTTCATCGTCTTTTCGTTGATACAAAGCCATTGCAAAAGATCATCGAGTGTTTTTTCTGACTTTTGATACAGCGTCAGTTTTTCGTGTAATTTATCTTTTCGATCATTCACTTTACCATCAAGTTCGTTCAATGTTTTCTTCTTGTTCGAAACATTCGATTCAATGTCCGAAGTGATATTCTTGTCTCTAATTATTAAATAAAAAAAATTGAAGTGAATTTTATAACGAAACGTATTATGCTAACAGTTAAAGTATAAAAGAAATATGTCCATTACTCATTGTTAGCTTTCTCAATAATCCATTTTCCTGAATCTTCAATAGCATGAAGAGATGGTCGAACAACATCCTGTATAGTATCTTGTACTGACTCCAGTTGAGATAATTCATCTTTTATCGCACTGACATCCTCTACAATAGGTTCCTCGGCATCCTTTACTGTACTTGGTTCGCTTAAGCTATCCATGAGTTTCCCGTTGTTGCTCGTGTAGCTGATAGCCTTATCTAAATGTCTCTTCTTATTTTCTTCAATGCCGTCAATTTTATGAAGAAGATCAAACACTTTGATCTTTACTGCAGTCAGTTGTTCGGTGATTGACGCCATATCTGCGGTAGACTGGGGATTATGCGGTGAATAGTTGTGTTCCTCTACCAGTTTCCATGCACTATCCTCAAACGACCCCTTATGTTCTATAATATCTTTCTTCAATCCCTGCAAAGATGAAACATTTAAAAAATAAGCAAGCAAATTGTATAATTAATAAAAATGTCGAATATTACCTTTATTCTGTCTATCTGCTCTGTAACTTTCTCGGGTTCAGCTCCAATCACATGAAGTGAGTCCAGTGTCGTATCAGTTGTACTCATGACTCGAGCAAGAGTTTGCAATGTTTGTTTGTATTTAATGGCCAACGGGTTAACTCTTTCAATCTTTTTTCGACGATCTTGTAGCAGCGTGTAAAGCTGACACCAAACTGTCTTTATGTCACTCAACTCGTCCTCGATTTCTTTTGCATCGTGACCGCTGGCGTCTTTCACTGCCTGTTCACCTACGTCGAAGATCTTATCGAAAATTCGTTTGTATTCCTTAACATCCTGTTCTAGATTCTACGGAAAACAAAATGGCGCATGATTTTTAAGTAGGCCATGAATGTGGATAAAATGCGCATGTTTATGAAAGATACCTGTAAATTTCTGGCTTGTTCCGTTAATGTATCAATTTCACCCGATACAGGTTTTAATTTATCCATCTTCTCACCCATGTCCATCAACCACTTCAGGACTTCTTCGTAAAGCACATTCAGTTTGCCCATTTCAAGTATTTTCTGACCCAAACGCGAATTTCCATGAATGACACGAAGGTATAATTCCCGAATGAGAATGACAGAATACGATTCAACAGCAGACGTTATGACTACATGACGTTTAGGCAGGTCAAACGATGATGCAAGTAACAAGATATCAGGACGCTCTAAGGTTAACTCAACAAATGCTTTCTCCATTTCGGCGTCCAATGGTTCATCTTTGTTTTTCGATGCTTTTATGAGCTCAATAACATTGTAGTCCTATAGACCAAGTTATAATTAATACATTTGATAAAATTACATTTAGTAAATTCTCAAATAGATAGTAAAACTACAAACAAGATGCAATCATTCTTCGTAATGTTAACTATACAAATTTAATAAACTCAATGGTTCTACCTTTCCTGAGAATCTTTTCTCAGACGGTGAATCACCTTCATCAGAGTCAACCGAGACAACAGGAACATGATCGTCAAAAACTTTATTAAGATCTCTTAGTTCATCAACAGAGAATTTATCGACAATCTCCAGTTCTTTGCCTGACTCAGGCTCATCATTCAGTACCACTTGATCAACAGGCTCAGGGTTATCGCCAGGGAAATCGTCAGTATGAATAACTTTCATTTGTACCAAATCATCCTTTGAGAATGGGTAATCATCTGCAATTGGTCTTCCTTCCTCAGACGGCAGACTCTCCAATGGTATGCTCTCTACTGAAGGTTGTTCTGTAGGTGTGATGAACTCTGTTATTACAGGTATGAAATCCTCTGGTTTTTTGGGTTCCAGTGGTTTACCATTCACAGTAATGCTCTCTGGGTTAACAGGTTTGCCATCAATGATGTAAAATACTTCTTCTTTGGGTTCTTTACTTTCAGTTCTTTCACCATTTCTGATTACAATTCTTGTCACAACTGTCTTTACAACAAAGACTTTCACAACCCTTCCTTCATCATCAGTGAACTCTTCTACAGGTGTTTCTTGATCAAATGACAGATTCTCCAATGGTATGCTCTCTACTGAAGGTTGTTCTGTTGGTGTGATTAACTCTGTTATTGCAGGTATGAGATCTTCTGGTTTTTTGGGTTCCAGTGGTTTACCATCCACAGTAATACTCTCTGGGTTAACAGGTTTGCCATCAATGATGTAAAATACTTCTTCTTTGGGTTCTTTACTCTCAGTTTTTTCACCATTTTTGATGACAATTCTTGTCACAATTGTCTTTACAACAAAGACTTTCACAACCCTTCCTTCATCATCAGTAAACTCTTCTACAGGTGTTTCTTGATCAAATGACAAACTCTCCAATGGTATGCTCTCTACTGAAGGTTGTTCTGTTGGTGTGATGAACTCTGTTATTGGAGGAATGAAATCCTCTGGTTTTTTGGGTTCCAGTGGTTTACCATCCACAGTAATGCTCTCTGGGTTAACAGGTTTGCCATCAATGATGTAAAATACTTCTTCTTTGGGTTCTTTACTTTCAGTTCTTTCACCATTTCTGATTACAATTCTTGTCACAACTGTCTTTACAACAAAGACTTTCACAACCCTTCCTTCATCATCAGTGAACTCTTCTACAGGTGTTTCTTGATCAAATGACAAATTCTGCAATGGTAAGAAATCCTCTGGTTTTTTGGGTTCCAGTGGTTTACCATCCACAGTAATGCTCTCTGGGTTAACAGGTTTGCCATCAATGATGTAAAATACTTCTTCTTTGGGTTCTTTACTTTCAGTTCTTTCACCATTTTTGATGACAATTCTTGTCACAACTGTCTTTACAACAAAGACTTTCACAACCCTTCCTTCATCATCAGTGAACTCTTCTACAGGTGTTTCTTGATCAAATGACAAATTCTGCAATGGTAAGAAATCCTCTGGTTTTTTGGGTTCCAGTGGTTTACCATCCACAGTAATGCTCTCTGGGTTAACAGGTTTGCCATCAATGATGTAAAATACTTCTTCTTTAGGTTCTTTACTCTCAGTTCTTTCACCATTTTTGATGACAATTCTGGTCACAATTGTCTTTACAACAAAGACTTTCACAACCCTTCCTTCATCATCAGTAAGCTCTTCTACAGGTGTTTCTTGATCAAACGTCAGATTCTCCAATGGTATGCTCTCCACTGGAGGTTGTTCCGTAGGTGTGATGAACTCTGTTATTGCAGGTAAGAAATCTTCTGTTTTTTGGGGTTCCAGTGGTTTACCATTCACAGTAATGCTCTCTGGGTTAACAGATTTGCCATCAATGATGTAGAATATTTCTTCTTTGGGTTCTTTACTAACTGTTTTTTCACCATTTCTGATCACAGTTCTTGTCACAATTGTCTTTACAATAAAGACTTTCACAAGCCGTCCTTGGTCATCAGTGAACTCTTCCACTGATGTTCTTTGATCAAATGACTGACTCTCCAAAGGTATGCTTTCTATTGGAACTTGTTCTGTAGGAGTGATTAACTCTGTTATTTTAGGGAGGAAATCTTCGGGTTTTTTGGGTTCAAGTGGTTTACCATTCACGGTAATGCTCTCTGGGTTAACAGGTTTGCCATCAATGACGTAAAATACTTCTTCTTTGGGTTCTTTACTTTCACTTCTTTCACCATTTCTGATGACAATTCTTGTCACAATTGTCTTTACAACAAAGACTTTCACAACCCTTCCTTCATCATCAGTGAACTCTTCTACAGGTGTTTCTTGATCAAATGACAGACTCTCCAATGGTATGCTCTCTACTGATGGTTGTTCTGTTGGTGTGATTAACTCTGTTATTGCAGGTATGAGATCTTCTGGTTTTTTGGGTTCCAGTGGTTTACCATTCATGGTAATGCTCTCTGGGTTAACAGGTTTGCCATCAATGATGTAAAATACTTCTTCTTTGGGTTCTTTACTTTCAGTTCTTTCACCATTTTGATGACAATTCTTGTCACAACTGTCTTTACAACAAAGACTTTCACAACCCTTCCTTCATCATCAGTGAACTCTTCTACAGGTGTTTCTTGATCAAATGACAGATTCTCCAATGGTATGCTCTCTACTGAAGGTTGTTCTGTTGGTGTGATTAACTCTGTTATTGCAGGTATGAGATCCTCTGGTTTTTTGGGTTCCAGTGGTTTACCATCCACAGTAATGCTCTCTGGGTTAACAGGTTTGCCATCAATGATGTAAAATACTTCTTCTTTGGGTTCTTTACTTTCAGTTCTTTCACCATTTTTGATGACAATTCTTGTCACAACTGTCTTTACAACAAAGACTTTCACAACCCTTCCTTCATCATCAGTGAACTCTTCTACAGGTGTTTCTTGATCAAATGACAGACTCTCCAATGGTATGCTCTCTACTGATGGTTGTTCTGTTGGTGTGATTAACTCTGTTATTGCAGGTATGAGATCTTCTGGTTTTTTGGGTTCCAGTGGTTTACCATTCATGGTAATGCTCTCTGGGTTAACAGGTTTGCCATCAATGATGTAAAATACTTCTTCTTTGGGTTCTTTACTTTCAGTTCTTTCACCATTTTTGATGACAATTCTTGTCACAACTGTCTTTACAACAAAGACTTTCACAACCCTTCCTTCATCATCAGTGAACTCTTCTACAGGTGTTTCTTGATCAAATGACAGATTCTCCAATGGTATGCTCTCTACTGAAGGTTGTTCTGTTGGTGTGATTAACTCTGTTATTGCAGGTATGAGATCCTCTGGTTTTTTGGGTTCCAGTGGTTTACCATCCACAGTAATGCTCTCTGGGTTAACAGGTTTGCCATCAATGATGTAAAATACTTCTTCTTTGGGTTCTTTACTTTCAGTTCTTTCACCATTTTTGATGACAATTCTTGTCACAACTGTCTTTACAACAAAGACTTTCACAACCCTTCCTTCATCATCAGTGAACTCTTCTACAGGTGTTTCTTGATCAAATGACAGACTCTCCAATGGTACGCTCTCTACTGAAGGTTGTGCTGTTGGTGTGATTAACTCTGTTATTGCAGGTATGACATCTTCTGGTTTTTTGGGTTCCAGTGGTTTACCATCCACAGTAATACTCTCTGGGTTAACAGGTTTGCCATCAATGATGTAAAATACTTCTTCTTTGGGTTCTTTACTTTCAGTTCTTTCACCATTTTTGATGACAATTCTTGTCACAACTGTCTTTACAACAAAGACTTTCACAACCCTTCCTTCATCATCAGTGAACTCTTCTACAGGTGTTTCTTGATCAAATGACAAACTCTCCAATGGTATGCTCTCTACTGAAGGTTGTTCTGTTGGTGTGATGAACTCTGTTATTACAGGTATGAAATCCTCTGGTTTTTTGGGTTCCAGTGGTTTACCATCCACAGTAATGCTCTCTGGGTTAACAGGTTTGCCATCAATGATGTAAAATACTTCTTCTTTGGGTTCTTTACTTTCAGTTCTTTCACCATTTTTGATGACAATTCTTGTCACAACTGTCTTTACAACAAAGACTTTCACAACCCTTCCTTCATCATCAGTGAACTCTTCTACAGGTGTTTCTTGATCAAATGACAGATTCTCCAATGGTATGCTCTCTACTGAAGGTTGTTCTGTTGGTGTGATTAAGTCTGTTATTGCAGGTATGAGATCTTTTGGTTTTTTGGGTTCCAGTGGTTTACCATCCACAGTAATGCTCTCTGGGTTAACAGGTTTGCCATCAATGATATAAAATACTTCTTCTTTAGGTTCTTTACTCTCAGTTCTTTCACCATTTTTGATGACAATTCTTGTCACAACTGTCTTTACAACAAAGACTTTCACAACCCTTCCTTCATCATCAGTGAACTCTTCTACAGGTGTTTCTTGATCAAATGACAAATTCTGCAATGGTAAGAAATCCTCTGGTTTTTTGGGTTCCAGTGGTTTACCATTCATGGTAATGCTCTCTGAGTTAACAGGTTTGCCATCAATGATGTAAAATACTTCTTCTTTGGGTTCTTTACTTTCAGTTCTTTCACCATTTTTGATGACAATTCTTGTCACAACTGTCTTTACAACAAAGACTTTCACAACCCTTCCTTCATCATCAGTGAACTCTTCTACAGGTGTTTCTTGATCAAATGACAGATTCTCCAATGGTATGCTCTCTACTGAAGGTTGTTCTGTTGGTGTGATTAACTCTGTTATTGCAGGTATGAGATCTTCTGGTTTTTTGGGTTCCAGTGGTTTACCATTCATGGTAATGCTCTCTGGGTTAACAGGTTTGCCATCAATGATGTAAAATACTTCTTCTTTGGGTTCTTTACTTTCAGTTCTTTCACCATTTTTGATGACAATTCTTGTCACAACTGTCTTTACAACAAAGACTTTCACAACCCTTCCTTCATCATCAGTGAACTCTTCTACAGGTGTTTCTTGATCAAATGACAGACTCTCCAATGGTACGCTCTCTACTGAAGGTTGTGCTGTTGGTGTGATTAACTCTGTTATTGCAGGTATGAGATCTTCTGGTTTTTTGGGTTCCAGTGGTTTACCATCCACAGTAATGCTCTCTGGGTTAACAGGTTTGCCATCAATGATGTAAAATACTTCTTCTTTGGGTTCTTTACTTTCAGTTCTTTCACCATTTTGATGACAATTCTTGTCACAACTGTCTTTACAACAAAGACTTTCACAACCCTTCCTTCATCATCAGTGAACTCTTCTACAGGTGTTTCTTGATCAAATGACAAACTCTCCAATGGTATGCTCTCTACTGAAGGTTGTTCTGTTGGTGTGATGAACTCTGTTATTACAGGTATGAAATCTTCTGGTTTTTTGGGTTCCAGTGGTTTACCATCCACAGTAATGCTCTCTGGGTTAACAGGTTTGCCATCAATGATGTAAAATACTTCTTCTTTGGGTTCTTTACTTTCAGTTCTTTCACCATTTTTGATGACAATTCTTGTCACAACTGTCTTTACAACAAAGACTTTCACAACCCTTCCTTCATCATCAGTGAACTCTTCTACAGGTGTTTCTTGATCAAATGACAAACTCTCCAATGGTATGCTCTCTACTGAAGGTTGTTCTGTTGGTGTGATGAACTCTGTTATTACAGGTATGAAATCCTCTGGTTTTTTGGGTTCCAGTGGTTTACCATCCACAGTAATGCTCTCTGGGTTAACAGGTTTGCCATCAATGATGTAAAATACTTCTTCTTTAGGTTCTTTACTCTCAGTTCTTTCACCATTTTGATGACAATTCTTGTCACAACTGTCTTTACAACAAAGACTTTCACAACCCTTCCTTCATCATCAGTGAACTCTTCTACAGGTGTTTCTTGATCAAATGACAGATTCTCCAATGGTATGCTCTCTACTGAAGGTTGTTCTGTTGGTGTGATTAAGTCTGTTATTGCAGGTATGAGATCTTTTGGTTTTTTGGGTTCCAGTGGTTTACCATCCACAGTAATGCTCTCTGGGTTAACAGGTTTGCCATCAATGATATAAAATACTTCTTCTTTAGGTTCTTTACTCTCAGTTCTTTCACCATTTTTGATGACAATTCTGGTCACAATTGTCTTTACAACAAAGACTTTCACAACCCTTCCTTCATCATCAGTGAACTCTTCCAATGGTATTCCTTGTTCAAATGATACATTGTCATCAAACGGCAGACTCTCGAATGGTACAGACTTTTCAACAACGGCTGGTAGCAATTCCTCTGGTGACTTTGCCGTAACTGGCTTGCCCTTGTACACGATGCTCTCCGGTTTGACTGATTTACCATCAATAAGATAAACAACGTCTTCTTTCGGTTCACGTGTTTCAATTTTCTTTCCGTCTTTGACGACAGTTCTTATAACAATGGTACGTACGATGACTATCCTTACAACTCTTCCTTCATCATCAGTAAACTCTTCAACTGGAATACCGTCATTATATGGCACAATTTCAACAGGTGTCATCTCGGACACCTGGGGCAAAAGATCTTCAGGTTGCTTTAATTCAAGAGGTTTACCGTTTAGTTTAATTGTTTCTGGCAGCACCTGCCTGTTGTTTACCAAATATATTACATATTCCTTTGGTTCTTTAGATACAATTGTCTTTCCATGAACTGTGATAGTTTTTCTTAATACTTTCCTGACAATACACACTCGAACGGTTCTACCAAAATCGTCGGTGAATTCTTCTACAGGTATTCGTTCTTCGGAAGGTTCCTCTTCCTCCAAATCTTCCAAAGGAATTTCTGCAACATATAACAATTTCATGATGTAATTGAAATGAAAATTTAAGTCAATAAAAAATAAAGTTTAATCACAAGAAACTACATTACTCAACTTATTAAGGTACTATACCTGATAGCGTTGGTTCAATTTTTTCAGTAAATGCGACAGGGATTTCGTCAACTGGCTTTTTCTCAATTTCACGTTCTCCTTTAATCGTCACAGTTTTGGTGACGTACGACTTTTGTTCAATTCGTTTTACTCGTCTTCCGTTTTCATCGACAAATTCCTTAACTTCTTCACCTTCATTCTACATTTTTAAACGCGTCATACATGTTAATTGAGATAAACACAAACTTTAAAATTGACAAGAATGCCTTGTTTAAGTTATTCCGTTAGTTTACACTTACAACGGGTTGACGTGGTAACATGGTCGGCATTCCTATTTCAATTGGTTCTGAGACATTGGTCACAACATCATCATGTTTAACTTGTTTTGTCACAATGGTTTTACGTGTAATCTTAGTCACCGGATATCCTTTATCGTCCTTGATATTCTCTACTTTCACAGGTAATCCTTCAGTGTCTCTCGGGAACACAAGATGATCCTGAGGAAGGACAAACGTTTCGCGAGGTTCGCCGATGTTCTTACCATCAACAATAGTTTTTGTTGTGATTTTTTTGGTGGTAATTTGACGAACAGGATAATCATTTTCGTCAACATAATCGTCCATCTACGAAATGAATACAAATATTATACATAAAACGATCATTTAAGACAATATATAAATGATTCAGCTAAGTATTGACTTATTTATGAACCATTCTTCATTACCTTGTGTGGCTCTTTTTCACTGAATGTTGCTGGTGGGGTCTCTTTCTGAACAGTTCTTACGTTGAACATCAGCGGATTTCTTTTCTCTGACATGCGCGATTTACTAGGTGTCAAATTTGACGCATCATCGTCATCACCAAGGAAGAAATCGTCATCAAATTCGGGCATGCTGTAAGAACGATCTACCGCTGATGATTCAACAGTTTCATCGTTTAAAGGAACATGAGACGATATATATTTATCAGCTGCTTTACGGTCATCATCACGTGAAACAAGAGTGACTTTAAAAGGTTTCGAGGCAAGAGTTTTGATCTCCTTATCTGCAGGTATCACGGTAATAGGCTCATCAAACGTCAAAGAAATTGGCTGGATTTCTTCAACGGTTGGATTTTTCGTTCCATCAACTGACGTATCTTGAGTTTGTGGCGTTAATATTGGAATGTTAAACTCGATCGGTATAAAGTCCATCGCTTCTGGAGGCTGAGAACAGTTTGGAAATCGGTTAGACAACTTAACAAAATTTCTATGCTACGGAAGATCAATCACAAACGATGTACATGTGATTTTGTAGGTAAATTTAACATTTAAGAAGGAAATATTAGAATGACATTTTAAGGAGTTGGGAAGGTGTCCAGGTAAACCTACATATATGTTCCTATCTTTCCCTCATACCCAAGTTTGTACCCATATGTTCCTACCTTTTCCTCAAAAGAAATATGATCAGTGGAATGCACAACTGTTCGTTTGATAACACGAGTAATCTTGACTCCATCTTTATTAACAAATTCCTCTTTTGTCTCAACTGGTTTCTTTTCTTCAAGAGAACCAGATTCGTCGACATTTCCTGGAAATAGTCTCGAGAATTCTTTGGAAGATGTCGTTGTTTTTGTGACACGTTTTACTCGTCGACCATTTTCGTCCGTGTATTCTTCAACACTCTCAGAAGTTTCCATGGGTTCTGTTTCCAAAATATTGTCGAATTCCAGTTCAGGTAACGCTTCTACACCGACTGCATTTTGCAAGAACTCTGGTTCCTAGAAGCAAAATAATGATTTAAAATGCTAAAAATAAACAATAGAATTTAAGCAACAAACACAATTTTACATACATTAGGTAGGTGTTTGCCTTCCTTCATGTAACTTTTTGTTAATTCTAGCTTTTCTTGAAACTCTTTCCAAGCTTTATTCAACTTTGTCATCATAGTCTCGACAGCTTGAGGTTTTTGCTCGATGCTCTTGAAGTAACTGATGACGTTTTCTCCATGCTGAAGCATCAACTGCATCGACACTTTCATTTGATTGTTTTCATTTACCATTTGCTGGTGAGAAAAATGAATAAGTTTTATCGACTTTACATTCACAAAATAGACACAGAAAATAAAACATGAAAGATTATAATTAAGGATAAAAGGTTATCACTAAAGATTAAAGATTATAATGAAAGATTAAAGATTATAATTAAAGATTAAAGATTACAGATTAAAGATTATGTGCTAGGGTTATGTTGACATAATTACCTCAATATTCATCTCATTTATCATAGCGGAGCCTTCACCGCGTAAAATCTGAGACAAAATCATCCAAGATTCCTGAATCCACGTACTGATTTTCCGCACTTCATAACGGAAATCAGAGATATGACGTTGGGCAGCGAGATGCAATCTATCACGACGATCACGAATGCGCTCCAAAACTGATTCCTCCCTTGCATGAAGTAAAGATGTCTCTTCAAAGACATCTTTACATCCTGGAGCGTCCTCTCGTTCATGGACTAATAACTCACCAAAACTATAAACATCTTTAACAGGTGTTTGTGTCTCAACCTTTGCTAACAATGCCTGAAAACATAGAAACGACTTAAAATCAAGCAATGAAATGTTCGCTCAACAATGACGATTAATTTTATTTTGAAACACAGTAGCTTTCTCAGCAAATGTTGATTGCCAAAAGTGACGTGTTTACTATTTCCAATCTAGATCCACAGAAATATATTGAAAAACTTTCTTTATCACACTGACCTCTGTAACAACTAGTTGTTTCTGGATGGAAGGGAGATCATCAGCAATCGGTGGCTGGTGAGCCAATGTATTCTCCAATTCATCCAAAAATTTCGTCGCTTCATCCAAACTTGTGAAGTATTTATCGGCATTGTTCAGAGTGGTTTCAAGGTCAACTCCTCTTCTCTCAATATCACGCCATATGTTGTCATAACGATCATTTAAATCTTGAATCTCGTGAGCCATTGGTGGTTCATGCTTTCGACTTTTCTCATCCCCAGGCTTCGCGGTAAACGTCACGATCACTTTGACCATTCCCAACAGAATATCAATATTTGCCTTGTATTTTATTGCCTCGTCTTGGATTATCTGATCATCAAAAAAGACAGAGAAATGCATGTTGGTAATTAGTGAAAATCGTGGTAAGAGATTTGCCAGGCACAAAGTGAATCTTCAACGTGAATATGATGAACCATATTAAGACTTGAAATAGAGCCATTACACAAGAGAAAAAAATGTACTAAAAAGTTGTCTGAATACTATCTAAATACTGTACATTTGAAGCCTCGTGTAAATATTTACCATTATATCTATCTAATAATGTATTATACAGGAGCGATACTCCCATGTTCAAACCATTTCTTTTACTACAATGAATAACGTGCTATACATACTTGTTGCTCTGCCATCTGATCTAATAATGTATTATACAGGAGTGATACTCCAATGCTCAAACCATTTCTTTTACTACAATGAATAACGTGCTATACATACTTGTTGCTCTGTCATCTGATCTAATAATGTATTATACAGGAGCGATACTCCCATATTCAAACCATTTCTTTTACTACAACGAATAACGTGCTATACATACTTGTTGCTCTGTCATCTGATCTAATAATGTATTATACAGGAGCGATACTCCCATGCTCAAACCATTTCTTTTACTACAATGAATAACGTGCTATACATACTTGTTGCTCTGTCATCTGATCCTTAATTGATTTCGGTTCTATACCGCAATGTGGTAAATTTTGAAGCCTCCCCTCAATGGCTTCAAACCAAGAGAGAATCCTCTTTTTTTCTGTATGATATTTCAACATCTGTTCTCGGAGATCATTATACTTGTAAGTGATATTCATGAGCAGTACAGACAAATTTTGCCAATCACGGTTGACAATCTCTAGTTTATTCACTACAGAGGAGTCTTTGCGCCGTGGATCTTTATCGAGAGTGATTAATTCGTGGGCAATTTGATTAATGCTTTGAATTGTCGGCAGTCGAGAATCAACTTCTCTTTGTAGTTTCTATAACATACAGATGATATGATGAAACGGAAAGAAGAAATAATCAAGAGATTAAGAGTAAAAAAACATGATTATCACGTAAAAAAGTTACGAATGAGAGAAACTCGATGAATACACGACACTAAATGGTTTATGAAATGCCAGGGAAAATACTGCAGTTTGAGAACAATACATCGATATAGTAAGTATTATAATCATGTTTGTCCGAGTAAAAAATACAAAATTCGATGTTGAATTTATAAATTAAATCACAAAATAATACACACCGAGACGTTATCTTCAAATACAAGAAGATCATGCGTCACTAACTCGCCCCTTTCCAGTTTCTTCACTTGACCACGTATCCAAACAACAATTGGTTCGAGAATTTCTACGAATGACGTCGTAATTTCAGAGAATAATGACGTAGATAACGTGACCACTTCTCGCCACGTGTTATTCAAGTGATCAAGTTTGATGTCCTTTCCTTTAACCTTTTTCTTACGATGAAGTTCGTTGATGGATTCTACGTTCGGACGACAGCGATCTATGTCGTTCTGAATGATCTAAATAAGTGAGAGTGCTATTTTACATACACGCAAGTAGGCTCTAGGTACGATTTTCAGCACACAAAACAGGCTATGTTGCAAATAAACTTAAAAGAATTATAAAAACAAAAGTCCATAAAACCCCATTGCTAGCAGTTTCCCAATGCTAAGTTTGTGAAATGGAAAGTTTTTCAAAAATCATGTTTTGAATGCTGTCTTAAAGAAAACAAGATTTGGCAAACATTTATTAAACAATCCTCTCCACGAACCAGGCTCGTGAAACAAAAATTCACCTTAAATTGTTGAACTTTTTCCTTGAACATTTCAATATCATCTTGGAATGGTTTTAAGCTTTCAAGTTGTTGCATAACATCAGTTAAACACTCAAGAAGTTTCTTTGAGTCTTCCTTGACAGTTTTACTTGTAATCACGGTGGTCTGAAGCTCAGTTTTAAATGATGTTAACGTTGAAGTCAATTTATCATAGCGTTCAGTTACAGTTTTTCCAGAAGACACGGTCGACGCCTGAGCACCGGAATTTGGTTGGTTCTGTTCTGCAACTTTGATGGCAACCACTTCCGGGTGATGAGTTTGCAATTCACCTTCAAGAGCCTGGGAAGGAATGTAATTGGTAAATTGAGATTGGCTGCGTTATCTGCACTTGGCAACATTCCATTGGAAAGACCCAGACTCAAGCAAGTGAAGCAACAAACAAAAACGAATAAGACAATATGCTTTGGTACATCGAAGCTTAGTTGTTCACGTGCACATAATGTGCATACAAAATGTTTAGGTACATCAAAACTATGCTGTTCACGTGCACATAATGTGCATACAAAATGTTTAGGTACATCAAAACTATGCTGTTCACGTGCACATAATAAGTGCATATTATGGAAAGCACCTAATAACAGCTGCGTACTTGGGAATTTTTAAATTTAAACGAAAATCAAGCCTAAAATCTAATGAACAAAACGACACTGCGACGGAATTCAAACAACAGTCAACACTCCTGCATTTTATGTAAACATTCTTTGAAAACGAAAGTAAAAATATAATTAGTCAATCGTGTTTATCAACACCATGTGATGTCAAGGAACTAACGTCTTAAATTACAACCGCATGCAAAGGTTAAGCTTTTACCACATAAGCCTGACTGGCACCTAAAATGTGTCATCTCAAAATCTATTGTATTTTAACACAATAACATGGCTCCGCGAACTTGCCTGAATGTGAAATAAGATAGATTAGTAAAAACAGATACAAAAGTACACATCAACGCAAACGAAAAGTCAAAATTTTACTATGCAACAGGTCTTTCTGTATGTAAATCATAACGTTTGCACGCAAAGCAAAAGTCCTGCTGTTACGTTTGAAAACTCGACAAACCAGCTCACCATTGATAACAGAATTCTAGAAGAGCGTCAAGTATGCGCATACCAAACAACTAAACTTTCATTTGCAAAAGACTTTCTTTATCCATCGCCGCTCAAATGCCATACGTACACATTGTATAATTTGTATTGCGTTAACATGAATGGCAAAATCTGCAACATTACCTTAACATCTTTAAGGATGGTTTTATTTTCTTCCGTGTTGTTCCTTGAGCCTTTCTGCATCATGAGAGCAAGTCGGTGTTCAAACGACGAAAGCCATGGAAGAATTTGATTGGTTTTGATATGATAATCATGCAGTTGTAACCTAGACTGATTTAATATGGATCCTTTCTCGGACAACAGAATCAGTAATCTGTTGTAGCGTTCGTTGATATCGGAGAGTTTACTTTCTAGAGCCCAGGACTGCTCTTGCGCATCCTTAGCAACACCCTCTAAAAGCTCCGGTTTCTCAACAGCGTTGACGTAGTTCTCAAGTTCTACTTGGAATAGCTGTGGTTGACAATGTAAAATAATGATGCAATCAGAAATTACGTACGCTAGAAATTACTCTGTGTATTTGAACTTAATACTGATTTCAAATAGCGCGCAGATGTATTTCAACGTCTTTTTTATTTGAACTGTTCATTCCTCCTAAGCTTTCTTAGTAAACGAGAACTTCACAATATGCAAATATAAAACTATCTAGTTAAAGCACTTTAGCGTTTAAAGAAGGGGGTGTGAATATGATATAGCCACATATAGACAAAAACAAGGGATCATGCTGTGTGAACCTATCAGACAAATGAATATCAAGTTGTTTAAACTAGTATATCCCGTCCAGGGCACACGATTGCACAACAGAAGAAATTCTAGAAACTTCGAATGCCTATGATGAGCCATTGACTCATTATATACAAAGGAATAGGGCATCTAATGAGCAGACCTACACTGTTTACACTTGATCACATGAAGCCGCTCGTAAAGCATATGTTACAACAATGAAAAACGTTTAGATGTTGGAGCCATTGGTTGCAACAACGTAGTGCGATATGACCGGTTTTTATAGATCAGTTAAAAGTACAGCGTAAACAACGATAATTTCTGTGGAAAAACCTTAGCACATATGTTTATTTGTGTTAAATCTTTAGAAGTATGCTCTGCTCTTGTGGTATTTTGTCACGATTGCAATTCGAGCAACATGTTACAAATACTTGGCTACATCATGGATGATTTTTATTCGTTAGAATTATCTAGGTTCACCCGAACACCAATATTTTATACAAAGAACCTTAACTATGTCATCATAGAATTTTCTTCGACGCAATGTTGTTGAATAATGCTTCGACGCAATGTTGTTGAATAATGCAATGCTTGTTGATTGAATTATTTACCTACGTCATACGATACCAATTTCATTACTGTTAGTGGAAGAAAATAATGAACTATTGCTCAACTTTTCTGTGGTAACCAGCTGAGACCATAAAACTTAGTCCATAAGCTTTATATGGTCGATTGCTTATAAGACTAAAATTATCATAATTCTGAATAATTATTCGATGTATTTGATAAAACAAAGCGTCTCTACATGCACTCAGTAAGAGTTGTATTATCATTTATAAGAGATCAACAAGGAATACACAATAATTTTCTAGATAATTTATAAATGCGAAACTGTGATGATTATTGGAAATTCGATGAAATGAAACACGAATGCGTGTTTTGGAAAACATGAGACGCGTATTTTACAGAAATATAGGATAGATGCATTAAAGGAATTGCAGTCAAAATACATCGAAATCCTTCAGAAACATAACTGTTCGTAAAATTTCTACGCATACATAGGAAACTTCTCGAAATAATCAACTCGCTTCAAATAAAAGTTATCCTAAAACAAAATTTAGGTTTGAAGGGGATTCGTCGTTGTGATCAACAACATCAAAATTTTAATCCTTATTATGGTAATGCTCTCGCGTACAACATATCAGCTGTAAAATACATAAACTGTATCGATTTATACATAAATACATGAAGTATCGCACAAACCTTGGCTTCGTGTAGAAATATTTCGCCGTGATGGTTCAATTCTTTTAAATCGCTTTCGTGTCGCTTCACGTCCGAAGTGAATTTCTGATCGAACGGAAATGTAAATAATTTCAATTAGGGCATACTTGTGAAGCAAATATACAAATGGAACGCGTCGTACTTTAACGATAAAAAATAAAATCATTCTCGTACATACAAGGGTAAATAAGGAGTGCACAAAAAGAAATGATTGTGTAGAAAGTTTAAAAAGGGGATGAAAAAAATCACAAGAGAAAAAAATCTTTATAAAAGTCGATGCTGCATAGAATAAAACATCATCGTCTATACTTCATGATTATATTGTTGTAAACTGTCAAAACAGTAATCCGGGATTTAAAATTTGCATGTACGCATTCCTTATATTCCACTTTTATAATATCGAAGTGAAACTACTCAGTCCTCAAGCAAAAAACGTAAGATTTAAGTCGTCATTGAAATAATTTTCTAATCCCGTGTTCGACAAACAACCCCAAGAGAATTCAAAACTACAATTTAACAATGTCAATTTCCACACTCACGATGTAAAAATTAAACATGTTCCACAAACTACAACAGTCCGAAGACTGGGAAAGACGTAGTGGTAGTACCTTGTGCTGTGCCAACGCATGCTCGAGTGTATTCAAATCGGAGCCCTCGGTTATTATGGTATCCGCTTGCTTCTCAGCACGACCTAGCCATGTCTGTGGATAATGAAAAGTAATGTGTATATTAATGGCAAAAACAGATTAGAAACAATATATTTTTCATACATTTGACAAAGGTCTATGATTCTATGATGAAAACATAAAACACACTGGCGACAACTAAATCTTAGTAAAGAAGTTGTTAATTGCTGGTTGTAATGACTTTTTCTTGACATTTTACTGGCTGCATGCTTCATAAAGAGCAAGTGATCAGGTCAGTAGACATAGGAGCAGCAAAACACAGGTTCTACTTTTCTTTTTGATGTTAACAAAAAAATGAAACCAAACGTTTTACGAGTGATTTAATAGGGATGCGTGATAATAGCTACTTGATCAAGAACAGACCAAAGATGGCTTACGTCAGCATTATGAAGAGGCATGACTTCAATTTAAATTAGCAAAGAAAAATACAAATTTGTTTTTTTCATTCATGCATTCCGATGTTGTCTGGTGAATACAACACCAAATCAAACTAAAGCCCAAGTTTTATCCAGAAGCTTGACTATTTAATCCACTTAGAAAGAAAAAAAACGAAGTTTTAAAGCAGCTTGCATCTTTAAAGGAATTCATTAAACAAAAATATATAAAAGGAAAAGTCATGCAAAATGCAACATTTGAATGCATGACGAACACGAAGATAAACATCACCATATTTAAACACAAAACATATTCCTATTCAACTCTAACCTTTCAAAGAATGATTTAAGACAATTCCAAGCAAACAGTTGATGATTACATAAATTACAATTAAAAAACAACGAGACAGACATAGTCTCATTTTGTAGTAAGAAGAGTATGTTTGTCTACAGGTTTGTCTGTTTCCATTGCATTAATTTTACATAAATTATACACCAAACGTTATTGATATATTGTTGATATGAATTAACAAACAAAATATATCGTAAAATCTTTTGCCAAACAACCAACTTTCATTGATTTGACACTAGAGCGACATTAACATGCTGTAATGTTCGACGTATTAATATTAATAAAAGCGAAACTTCTTCAATTCGCAAAACTCCACCGATTAATTAATTATCCGTATAAACTAATAGTTCTTAAATACATCTATAAATTCTCAATACAACAATTGTGCAGATGGAAAGCTGTGACTTCTTTTTATCGAAAAAAGACAACATATACATTCATCTTAGTATATACGCTGACACAAACAACATGACAATAGTGAAAGGCACAAATAAACTTACAACAAAAGGATGAAGCACTTCTTCAAATCGAGACAGCTTCTCGTGGATAACAACAAGTCTTCGATATCGGCTATCTGATTCACGTTGTAACCTCATCCATCGTATTTCCAAACTCACCATCTTCGCTTCAAGATCGTTAGAAGCAAACACTGGCAGGCTATGTTTATTTTGTTGTAGGAAGCTTCTTCCTTCATGAAGAGTGCTCTCGATGCTTTCCTCGCTCGTTAGTACATCTTTGGAGAGTTTCTATAAAATGAAACAAGACTTTAACGTGCCACTATAGACACATCATTTGCATCGTTTTTTTATTCTTTCCGATGGAACCTGCTGTTACTTCTGTGCTACTCCAACAAACTATGCATAAATTATAGCTCATAGTTTCTTTAAAACCACGGGAACTATAAAGGTAACAACAAAGTTCTCGTTCATCTATGATACATCTTATAATATGAAGACAAACCTTTCAAAAGACACGTCAAAAAAACAATAATCTGGTGCCTAAATTACAGCGAGTTTGATGAATCTCAACCGGACAGTAAGATATGTATACTTTTCAAGGTTGAATGAATATCGTATTATGACATGATTATAAAGTATTCTTGATGTGGTGTGACATTCATGAGACTTGAAGCCAACACGTGACCACACATCTGCCTGGACATACAACTGAAAACGAAGCAAGCGATGAAAAATGCGCGGTCATTTCACGGATGTGATGTTGCTCGGCAAGTGTAAAGAAAAGTTTTCATAACACAGTGTGAGTCAAATTTTAAAGAAATTTTTTGCTAAAATGGTTACGTCATTCATAGCGACTGAAAATGAACATTTATGAAAAAGCATGCATGCTACGAAAAAGAAAATTTTGTATAAAAAACAAAGCTCATATCATGAGTTTACAACATGTGCTTTTTTATGGAATTTTCTTTCTGGTAAAAATTGATATTTAATAAGGCACTTCCACAACATTTGAGTGAATCTAAAAAGCACGATGTGTATTGGTTGAGTTGAGATTAATCCAAACCTTTGGATTAGATTAATTCGTACTTTTTAGACAGTACTTTCAAACGCCCCCACTCGATCAAGGCGATATTCTCAAATGCTGCAATATATCAACCAGGTGGTGAATATTGAATCAAACTTACCCTATATTGCTCCAGATGCTCGCTAAGATCAGTTTTTTCCAGCAACAGCGCACTTTGATGGGCTAAAGAGTCTTCTCGTGATTCAACCCAGTCTAACAACCCTGAACTTTAGACTGCAATCTCTTTCTCTCAACATCGATTTCTGCTCCATCAACGTCATCGTTTTTCATATCACGTGTCTCGTCCACGTAACGCTGAAGAGTTTTGAAACGACTCATTAAAGACTTTACTTCATTTTCAATATCTCTCCTAGCTGCCTCAGCATTTAGGAACACAGAGTCGTCCACAGGTATAGCCACACTCTTTGCATACCGTTTTAAACCATTTTCAAAATCCTATAATCCCACCAAAACAATTTTAACCCTTAAACTTCTATTTCTAGTGTTAAAGAATGGAGTTGAATGTAATTCATGGTTAGCAACTTTAACACTTCTATCTCTAGTGTTTAAGAATAGAGTTAAATGTAATTCATTTTAGGCGTGTATATCAGCTCACCATACTATCAAATATGTAACCATTTCCTTGGGAAACAACTGCTTCAATACTTTTGCCATGTTTTCGGATGTCGAACGAGAATTCCTGATTAAAAGATTTGCGAATAACAAATAAAAAGTAACTAAAGAGTTTTTAAAACATTTGCAAAACAATTATTTTACATTCAAGGTATTTAGTACTTCGCAAGCACTGACCTCCTCCGACGTTCGCCCCAGTTCATCAGACGACACCAGCGTTTCCTCCATTTGTTTCACCCATAATTCCTCAGTGGCGTACATGATCTGGTAAGATTCCAGTGTTTCAACTGCAGTCAGTAACTGCTTAGCCCTATTCTGAATCTCTGAACTCAACCTCTCCCATCTCATGATGACATCATTTGCTTCATCGTTCGATGACGTAGTAAGTTTCAAACTCGCTTGTTTTATTTGATATATCTTCTCGCGCCTCAACCGAATTTCTTTTTGAATTCCCTTGATAAGAAAACAGCAGGTACAAGTCACGTGACAAACACAGACGATGTGAACTTATGCTGTGAATACCTTAATCTGTTTGAGTTGTCCACGAAGAGATTGAGAGTTCTTCGTCAATCCCTGTTGATCACTAAGAATCTGTTCGACATGATTCAGCCATCTTTGAAAATCATTCACAAGCTCAAATAAAGTGTGGCACAAATCCATTCTGTTCATAAGAGATACACAAAGCCATATGATTAAACAATTTTGTACAATGGATGATAATAGTGAAAAATATTCTACTTTTAGATGGTTACCTTTTTTGATACTCTTCAAGATGATCACATATGGTGATCCATTTCTTTTTCAATCTTTCGTATTTTTCACGTAAAACAGGATCATCCCATTTTTTGTCACGTAATGACTCATACTCTGGTTCTTTATTGAACAGTCTCTCCGTTTGCAATTCCTAAATGCAATGTTAAAAGAAAAATGAAGAATGTTGAAAGTTAAAACAACTACTATAGACGACATGACATACTTTAATCTCTCGTAACTCCTCACTGACAGCTTCGCAACTCGATGGCAAAGTTAGTGATTTAGTTTGTAATAAATCTTGTGTTTTTTCCAACCACAGGAGTAACTCGTTCATTGTATGCTCAGAATCTTTCCGAGGTAAAGAAATAGAATTTTCACTAAAAGTACCAGTGATGTTTTCACTTTTTACGATTGATTCATCAACAAATTTAGGTTGGCTGGCTTTATTGTTGGATGAATCAATTTCAAAGTCGACATCTTCACAATCTTTCAGTTCTTTTAAAAGTCTTTCCAATTCCTCGCTGCCAGAGTCGTTCAAACTTTGAAATTTTACCTATATCGTCACGATAAAACGTCGCTATGACAACAACAACAATAAATCAAAGCCATGTGTATAATTTAAATATTTGTAATGTAGATAATGTCATTGTGAATACTTCGATTATCCACAGGGCATGCTATATCAAAGTCCTGTATATCACGTAATAATTCGCACATCACGCAGTACATTCCTATTATCTACTGTCAATCCTTTAATTATCCACATGGCATGCTATATCAAAGTCCTGTATACCACGTAATAATTCGCACATCACGCAGTACATTCCTATTATCTACTGTCAATCCTTTAATTATCCACAGGGCATGCTATATCAAAGTCCTGTATACCACGTAATAATTCGCACATCACGCAGTACATTCCTATTATCTACTGTCAATCCTTTAATTATCCACAGGGCATGCTATACCAAAGTCCTGTATACCACGTAATAATTCGCACATCACGCAGTACATTCCTATTATCTACTGTCAATCCCTTAATTATCCACAGGGCATGCTATATCAAAGTCCTGTATATCACGTAATAATTCGCACGTCACGCAGTACATTCCTATTATCTACTGTAAATCCCTTACTCAACTCTAGTTCATCGTCAGAAAATTACTTCAAACCTTTTCAGGCAGTTCCAACACTTTAACATTTGAAGATACTTGATGCGTAGAGATCGTTTTATAAAGATGAGAATAACGAGCCTTCCAAGACATCAGCAAATGTTTATATTGAATTTCGAGACTGCAATGAGTAAAATATTAATTTTCATCGTTATAATTGATGAAATTTTATCAAAGACTGTAAAGAAATTGAGCTCCGTACCTTGTCATGTATTGCTCAGCCTCAAGATTTGGAGCAGGTATAACAAAACAAACAGATGGTACAATGCATTCTTTACCTTGGCTTGTTAATACCTTGGTTACAATGTTAGAAATGATTTTAAGTTTATTCAAAATGATTTGAAAAAATTCCTAACACATCATTGCGTCCGTACCTTCCACTTTTGATACTGGGAATTATCGATTAAAGTGCATTTTTCGCCTTGTTTTACTTGATGCTAAAGACAACAAACAAATTGTTTAGAATTAAGACAGGAAATCGTACTTCGTGCAAAGAAAATGGTAAAGTAATAAGTGACTGCTTGCCTGCTGTGTCTCATCGTAATTGCACACTGCTTCAACTGATACGTTGGATGCACCATATTTTGATCTTTCTTTTATTGGTACCACTCTCTTTCCGAGAAGTTTCAATGAGCTTAACTTATCATGTTGGCGTAAAGCTTCTTGCTTTAGTTCCTGATATAAAAGGAAACACATTCAACATAATTTATGGAGACAATCTGTGATGGTACTTCAATAAATAACGTACACTTTCCCATTAATTTTTTGTCACAAATTTTGCAACAGATACGTACAATGGTGAAATTTCAAACACACTAGAAACAAAATTTACACTGAACTTTGAAAATTTTGGTTTTATTACATATTTTGTACGTTTATTTAACAGATATTTACAAGTATTTATAATAACATAAATTGAGACACGAGTGGATTATTAAAGATATGAAATAATATTGAAATTAAATGATAATTTCACAAGTGCTAATTAAAACGAGCTACTACATGATTGTTATTAAAAAGACAATACTTAAACATTTGCATTCCAACAACCTATAACTGTCATTGCAATGATGAGAGGGATTAACGGCATAAAATTTTGCCAGGCGTTATAGCAATCATTAAAATATGTCGCAATTTTCCATTTTATTAATGAAGATAATACATTATCGCGCTGCATGTTATAAACGAAAGCTTCGTAGGTATTATGTAAACATTGAACACTGACCTGATGAACAGTCAATACATCTTCAACAACAGAACTAAAATATCGCTCAATCTCAGCCTTAGCTTCGGGGCTAGCGCTTTTAAGAATAAGAGCATAGCGTTTTTGCTTTCCTTTAAGCTTTGGCGAAGAATATAACTCGTTGATAAACTCCTTGGAGTATGCTACAACCAAATCTAACGAAGCAAGAAGTCTGGTTAATGGGAAATCGTTCGACAACATGTCGATGTTTTCACTTAAATCTTCACTAGAGTCACGGCCATTGTAAATCGTCTTCCATATTCTGTAAAACAAACAAACTGTGAGGAAACGTCGCTTATTAAATAATATTTAAGTAATATGATGACGAAATACGTACCTTCTAGTGTAGCGAAAGACACTCGTGATGATACAAAAGCAAGAGCGACATATGTCGACAATAGCATAATTCTGCTTTGATTTATTCGTAAATCGTTTAACGAAACAGCATAAGAGAAAAGCGAGGATAGTCGTCAAGACGAACAGACCAATTGTAAAATTCTCTTGAATGCTTGAGATCTCTTTAGACATAATTATTCACGGTATAACCACGTGGATTTTGTAATCATGCTTGTCTGAGGAGAGTTTTTTTGTTCGTCTTCATATCACAAGGAGGACAAGGGATGATGTTACCAAGTGTTAAGTTTCCACGATATAGAATAACCAGTATGATGCGCAACAATATCATAAGTTGAAAACATACGCACGAAAAGGAGCGTTAATTATTTTAAAAGGCTTCCAATATCGTGCCACGGAATACTAAAGGCGTACATGAAGTTTGGAAATATGATACCGCGTCTCCGATTGTTCTCAGAACATGCTCAACAAAATCGCACTTCAGCTCACGAACATAGTATGTAAACAATGCTCTTCATTATAATCCGCAATTCGGAAAAAAAAATCTAAAATTCAAATTAAACGCAGCGAGCGTCACGCTACGTTTTCAACACTTCGACTTTCAATAAACAATATAGCAAAAAGGATGACGACAACAGCTGTCTTTCGAATACAATGTGATCGAATTACACATGAGTAATTGCTACATGTTATCAGGTAATGAATAATTGTCTGAAGAATGGGAGGGAATGATAGCATCAACAGACCCTTGACTTTACCTTTTACGATGGGAAAAACCTGCTAAAATGATAGAAGACGATAGTCGTAAGTTTTTCTTACCATTAATTTCTTCCATGTTTTTTGTAAATTTCCTTCCGTATAATCGTCTTGGGATGTTTCGTTCAATTCTTTTATCTTGAACGCGATCCATTTTCTTATTTTCTCAGCTTCAGTGTAGAACTACGTCAATGGAAATTCTCATATTAAAATAATGAACATCTTCATGATCATAAGGACCTTTTTCACAAACCTCATCATATATGGATGCATTCAATAAATGTAGCTCCATCGCCTTGTCTATTTCTAATATCCAAGTCCATTGACGACGTAGTGACGCTATGTATGTCTGGAGATCAACAATAAAGTGCGAAGGTAAATTATAAAAAATATATACAAATAAGAGCTGTTGTATTAACTGAAGGAGCCCACCTCAATGGTCTGTTTAGCTGGATGATCAATCTTTAACATTTTTATGGCTTTGTCAATCACAGATCGTTGTTGGATTTCATGCATCTCCATTTCACTTTTTAAATCCTAAAGAATGTAATGAACAACTGCCGATCCATTTTTCCACCTTCCACAATTCTCAACAAACTTCTAAATGCTCTGTCTAACTTTCTGTCCAACAACTTCCACACTAAATCCTCACCACCTAACCATGCCTTCACCTCTTCTACCACTGCTGATCCAATTTTTCCACCACCCACAATCGTAGACATGCCTTCCTAACACATTCTACTACTACCACTGCGTATCCATTTTCCCATATCAATCCTAAAAAACCTTCCTCACACTCTCTACTACCACTGCTGATCCATTTTTTACACCTCAATCCTCCATACACCTTCCTCACACTCTATAGTTAAAATCCTAAAGTAACTCATTAAAATTTATAATCTATGTCCCCATACACACCTGTCTCCACCTTTCTCACACTCTTTAGTAAAAGTCCTAAAGTAACTCATTAAAATTTATAATCTATGCGCCCATACACACCTGTCTCCACCGGTTTATTTCATCGACATTCATGCATGGCTTACTCCAGTCACGTGATATTTCCATGGACTCTTTCTCGTTCATCCAAACCAGTTCTCGTGACGCTTCGTCCACGAATGTCAGAAGACGTTTTAGATGTTGAGTTCTTGCAGTGGACTGAGTCTAATAAAAGGAATAATTCTACAGGTAACATGTATAGTTATGAAGAGAATGAAGAAATTATATAAATACGCACCAAGAGTTCAGAATAACAACGTTTCAGTTCAACATCATTCTAGATAATGATTACAATTCTCATATGGTTTGATAATCGATAACATTATTCAATATTCACATATAAACTTTTCCACTTTTTAAAGACCAGACACTAGTCATATGAAGACAAACAAAATTTCCAACATAGTTAAGTTTAGTTTTCTGAAAAAAATACGGTAACGTAAAAATTTCTTGTGCGTTGTTCAACATTCTAAGAAGCAACAATTACGTTAAAGAATGGAATACAACAAAAAATTCAAAACAAATGCGTACCATTTGTTCACAAACAGCTTCTACTTCATCTTTCCAACTCATAATTTCCTCTTCATTGACTAGATGTTCTTTATAAAGTCTTGAAACTTCATCGACACCATTACCATACAATGCAGACGTTAGATCATCTTGTTTCCGTTTTATAACAAATGAAAGCTCGTTTGCTCGCTTAGAAATCTTATTGGGTGACTTCGGATCCTCGTCATAAAAGGCCTGGACACCACTCACTGTCGTCTTAGTGATAGGACTCTCTGGTGAAGGTAGATTCTGTTTGTGTAATGTTGTTTTGGAAACCTTTTTAACAATGGGAAATATGAAAGTCGAATCCGTTTTTGATCTTTTCTCCAAGGTAACACGATCAATGTTCAATTCAGTCTTCGCGTGAAATTTGAGATAAAATTGTTTTAATGAAGAGTGGTTATTGAACAAAGAGATTCGTTCCAGTAAAACCTTCCATCTTGACTGGATTTGATGAATTCTGAAGAATCAAATTCACATGAAAAGTAATTATACATTGTAAAATATATTCTAGGCATGTACGTTGCATATTACCTCGTTCGTATTTCCTCCAGTCCTTGATAATGAGCTGTTATTAAATGTTCAAAATTCTGATAGATCCGATGTAACCTATCCTGAAACATCTACGAGAAAAAATTGACGTCAGCAATAACAGTAACACGTGATCAGAATATGAGAACATCTTCGGCATGCGCACCTTCAACGTCACTTCAACATTTCTAAAGCGTTCATTAGCAACGTCGTGATCAAGAGACTTCCAAACACGCTCTGCCTAGTAGAGAAAATATACAATATGTTCAAAATAAGCAAGAACTATCAAATATCAATACACCACCACAGGCCACTGGAGGAACCTCAGACACGGATAATTCGAGCTCCGTTAAAGTCTTTTCCATTTCTTTAGCCTCCTGAGTGATGTGATTAGCAATCTGGTAAACCTTCTTCACTCTATAAAACGATAACAATAAAGATTAAAAAATTACGAAAGAAATGAGTTGGTGACAAAAATTCATGCAACAAACCGCGACATTTCGACCCTTAACGTTGCTCCACGTTCTTCGATACAACGCAAAACACGCAGCCACAACTACACAACGATATATATAGATAATGACTTAAGAACTTTAAAGTTTAGGAATAGTTTTATTTTTGACATCGTTTGATGGTAGAGACCATTACATACATAGATCTTACCACTTCAACATCTCTTGGATGACAACCATGTGGGAACTCTAACCAACTAGACATTGCACCGTAAAATGACTGCACAAACAAAAAAATACTTATTATTTGTATCTTTAACCAAGACACTAACCACAATATAGCTAGCTCGCTAGCATGAAGACGCGTTAAAAACATTTAAACGTACATGCAATTCTTTCAAGATTTCTTTAACGTGGTTGCGTTTTGCTTCCATACGAGTAAACTCGTCCGTGTAGAAGTTATCAAAATCTTGTATTATATCCTAGCAAAAACATGATGTAAAAACATCATACAACAGTAAAACACCATGGCTAAATTATCAACTAGTTTGGCATAAGTTTGAACCTTCATTCCTTTTATTGTTGTAGGAAACGTTCGACTTTCCAGTTGAATGACGACCCTTTGAATCCACGCAATAAGATCTTTACTCTCCTCGCAATATTGTTCGTACTTTAAAACATTTTCCTACAACACAAACCAGCTGCTAAATACAAGGAATCGCTGAATCCTCGATAAAAATCACCCGTTCAAACCTCATTTTCTGTAGACTCGAACATTGTCACAGCTCTTGGAAATTTATTATACAACGAAGACACGTAAGTCATTATAGACTTCTCGTCAGGATGGTCCGATACAACATCGTTTACATCAAGTAACCTAGGAACTCCTAACTCCTTTTCTGCAACAATGAAGGCATTGTTGACATTGTGTTCTGGTGTAGAAGAACTCAACGTTGATAGATCTATCAGATCGGGTCTGTAAATAATTTTAATGTAGCAGAGTAAGTAGAGTAACAATGAACAAAAGAAAGAAACAATTTTAAGAATAATTTAGAAAATATGGAAACAATTTAAAGGGCAGAGAAACCTTAAACATAGCAAAATGACAAATCATAAAAAGAACAATCAATGAACTGAATAAGAGACTATTCTTAACAATTGCAGGAACAATCGATGTTCAAAATAAGTATCTGCTTGCTTTATGGATTTTCATCTCACCTATATCTATGTAAAATTGCATTGAATGCAAGACCATTTTTCCAGGAAGTTGTAAAATTTAAAATTACAACTTGAGGATACCTGATAAGATAAATTTTGTAAACAACACAAATGAATGGAGCGAATGAATACATGCATCAAAACGTTATAACGTTCTGAATCTAAACACCGTTACCCTTCTGTAACTTTACGACACCAATGTAATAATTTTGCTTTAGGAGTCATGTCTTCAACTTGTCCAATGACTTTGATGTCAGACATCTACAAAAGAACAGGATTTGGTCAACGCACAGGGAAAAATTGAGAACCCGTTTACATTTAAAGAATTTTTTGTCTTATGAGTTGGAGGATCAAGTAGGTACATTCATGGATAACATTGCTAGTACCTGAAAATGTAAGATTATAATCCATATAAGACCCAATATGATCTTTGAATTGCCATCGACGATCTCGTTCTCATGAATATTCACAACTTTCACCTGGAACAACTCGCAAAACTCAGTTACTATGATAAGCTGGTTTACTAACAACGACGGAATTTACATTATAAATACCCCGTTTTCTAGAAGAAATTTGATAGCTGTTTGGCAATTCTGAAGCTTGTGAAAGCGCATGCTTCCTTTTTCTCTGGGCTACAAAAATTTCAACTATTCATGAGAAAACTACACTTGACTTTTCATTTCTAAATATTGTTATGCTCTGTACCAATTTTTCGTCCGTCAAAACTTCCAGTAAAAGCAATAAGTTTATGCCATCTCGAAAGTCTTCGTACATGTCTTCAATAACAACATCAAGCTAGGAGAAAATATAAAAATGGTGAAAAAATTCAGCACGGATTATTGTACAAAGCTATTATTACAAAATGACATACAAAATGTAATCATAAAGTATTTTCAAAATTGTTCATCGCTTTTCTTTTTGAATTCCAACCATTTTTCATTTTAACAATATAAACAATTCACAACAAAATTTCCAAAACATGTGTTTTTAATCAAGTCTAAATAGGGCGATTTGTCCCTTTATCGCCTTATATAAACACAAGATTGAGGTTTATCGCACAACCGGACGAAATTGTTATCGAGAGAGTTAACACTCCAAAATAATAATATGACTGCGGTTTACATGAAGATTGAAGAGGAATTTTTACAAAATTATCTATCAAATAGCAGACTGCAATACCACATAGAGACGTGGTAATCTAATATTTTATTTAATGATGCAAAAAAATGTACAACATATGAAGCGTCACAACACATAGAGAACGTGTATATTATTATCTCACCGTATGATTACGCTTCAAAAACTATCAACAAGAAACGGGCTTTTCACCTTTTGCAAATGATAGTTGACCCATTTCGTGAATGTTTTCTTCTGTACCGCATCGCGTTGCTCTGAAACGGAACGGCGCAAAACATCATACTCCGTACCTTCAACCTCTTCGCCCATCATTCTTAATCTTTAAGTTAACTTTAACTTTCAGTGCTTCACCGGATAATCATATTTCAGCATTGAAGTTTATTTCGAAAGTGAAACCCATTGAATTTGACTAGGTTGAGCGTCTGAATAAACAGCGTTCTGTCTATTCAAAATTTAAATTGTAAATAAACGATAGGATAATCAATTCCGCACTTGTCGTTGAATTTAATCCTAATGAACATAAGCCGCGAACATTACTGGTCAACATGTATAATTTTGGTAAACTTTACATTTCATCAAAAGCAGGTCAACCGCATTCATATCATATTTCCAATGTCTGTGTTTTTCGATAAAATAAACTGCGTTTTTGCCGAAAGGAAATTAGCTTTTTCCGGTGAACGTTTGACACGGTGCGATGTACGTAGCAAAACACTTAAATCCTAGAAACTAAACATCAACAAAGGAACAGGTTTCACCTGGCTCTACTGACGTTGGCAAAATTGCGATTTATAACACATTCAAAAAAAGGTGTCTCGCATACTTAAACATCTATATAAAAAATCAACACACTGCCTTTTACAAAATAAGCAAAGCAGATATTATATTATTCATTTATTCATAGCGTTTTTTGTACAAACAATCTTGGTTTCATTGAAAAAGCATTAAATAAACAAGCTGGACTTATTCCTTGCAGCTAGAAAACCCACCTGTCCGGATCAGTGGTCACACAAGGATATAATTGATAAAGAACAACAAAGGATGATCGATTATTTGGAGGAAATGGACTATTAAAATCCTACAAAGTCTTACATAATGAATACCGGCAGATTATTCATACAACTGGCCGATAATGAATGTTACATTCACAAGAAAACATGTGCTTCGGCGTGCATTTTACTTCGTCAGATTACAAGAACAACGCTAAAAATATTTCTCAAGTTTCACAATGGCGACCATACTCAATATAAATTATAAACAATAAAACAACAAACTTCAAAACGCACTACGCATGTAAACTATTTTCAAAATCATTATGCAATAAAATACCTGCAATTCTGCCCACATATCTATCAGCTAAAGTGGGACTTTGTGACCGAGATTTGGTATCGAAAGATTTTAACCTCTCAGCAAGTTCTGAAGGTCTCGCTCGATTCGTAACGTAGCTCATTTTATTCGTTGCCCGCCAAAACACTGTCGTTCAGAGCGGTTTTACATTAACCACTTCAAATTAAATGCCCAGTTGAGCACAAAGTCATTTTTTATAATTATATTAACAACGCAAAATATTAATGTAAAGTTAAAAACTTTTCATTGTAATATTTGAACTATATTTCATCCACGAGTTCCGAAACACGGGATACGCAATTGTACATAACGCACATTCGTGATTTCTCTCGCGTGAGTGTCACGAGTACCTTAGAAAATTAACCACGTGCGTGTCGAACATTTGCTCTCTAATAAATGGTGAATTGAAGGTTTTTTAATATCACAAATGATATATCATATTTACATAACTAATAATCCAGTCAAAATGTTTGATAAATATTGCGGAGATTTGATTTTCATACATATTTGGGTTATTGTCAATGATATTTTTGAATAAATTCAACACAATCTTTGCAAATTTCACTCGTTAATTTTTCATAATTTTGAGATTTTAATTTGAATATTCTTCGAATTTGACCAAACACACCGCCCGCTTCAACATGACTTACATCACATGACCAATCATCGCTGTCACGAGAAATCATTCCTGAATCACGTGACCACATAGTGGAATTCTTTGTTTCCTTACTCAAGTCTCGCAAAGATATAGTTCTTATACAAGACAAACAGCTTTTTCTCTCACATATTTCACAAATCCCATACGATCTGCTGAACAAGGTAAATTTTGTCGCTCGACAACAAAAACACATACTTCCGTTGCGCAAGGCATTATAAGTCATTTCGTTATCCATTGCCGTGTCAATTTGCAATTCAGTAAGAACACGTCTTATCCTTTTCATTTCTTGCAGCCAACCAATAGATGACGACACATGCTCATGTTCTGACGACTCTGATCCTTCGTGACGACATGAGTCGTCATCATGATCGGGGCTGTTTTCCATCATCCAAGTTGTCACCTGATTAACCAAACGTTGTGGAGGACGAAGTATTTTACGTGTCTTGCGACATATTGCTGCAGGTGTGCTCTGATTTGATGGTTTTAAAACTTGTAAATTGCTTTCTGTGTTTTCCTGTTTCTCAACAATGGTCGTGAGGGAGTTGTTTGAGAAACGGGCGATCGGGGAAGGTAAAGCATCTGCTTGATAAGACGGCGAGCTCTCTTCTGTTTTTTCTTTTTTTATTTTTTCTCGGCGTATTTCTGACATACATTGAAGCCAGTTTCCTACTACTGGACGAGCCTGGAATGACATTAAACAATCTTCGTATTAACGTGGTATATTAGAGAATACTTTCGTTGCAAATGACCACTTCACCGTACAATACCTGATACAACTGAAACGCAAAGTAAGAATCTTCCTTTGATTTTTCCTGATTGATGACAGTCATAACGACAGCTAGAAAATTATGCATTCCTATTGCTTCCTCAACAAGGGATTTCGAAACTGAAGTGTAGTAAACCGATGGTATTAGTTTGGTGGGAGTGTGTCTGACGCAACACATGTCTACCATGCGTAACCAATGGAAACCGCCATGATCATATTCACCGAAAGACAAATTCCAAAGAAGTGATTCCAGTTCACCACCCACTTGACGTTGAAGTTGTTTATTTGGACTTCCATTCTCTAAACACGCCATTAAAACCTTACTGAGATCATTTGTATGTTTGTATGAAACATTTTCCTTGAGCTGACTGTCGTTACAAACAAACGAAACTCCTCCATCTTTTAGAAGATAAATAGTTTCGATGGTAATTCGTATACCACTCAATGGCGAACTACCTGTCTGAGTCAACAGGCTTTGAGAGATTTTATAGCACAAAGCCCAGACTTGTTCTTCTTCCAGTGGTTTTGATAGAGAATCCAACATTTGAGAAAGAAGCAAGCCGTATTTGTGCTTAGACATAGTGTTGACACACAAAATTTTGCAATGGACTGTTGCAAAGCACCATGTATAGGCTGTTTAAATAAAAACGATGATTGTTAATTACTCCTTTGCTGCTATAGACATATTTAATTTGAAGCATGGTTCCTGGATTTCACTTCATTTGAATTTGTCTAAATTGTTATGGAGAGCTTACAATACAAGAACGGATTTATCTGGGAATACTCAGATGTAAAACAGTCATTGTTATGAAAAAAAAAGTTAGATCATTAAAGGATTTCTTTTTTTTTAAATGATAACATATGTGCACGCAACGACTAAATCCCACCGTCACTATGCATTTTATGAACGAAGTTGATACCAAGAAAATTGTTGAATAATTGTGGTGTATGCAGTGAACCACAATTTTCATTCCAATTTCGGTTTTTTTCATTTATCATTGATAAATCTTTAATACGCCGAGAGCATGTACACTATCGACCATAAACAGAGTAATGTGGTGAACCGCTAATCTTCTCTCCCTTCCACAAAAAGCAATAACATAATTTTGGAATCCACCACATTACTAACAATTTGTTTTATTTTGCAACACACAAAAATTATCGCAATTTTATCAAAGGCACCTGAAGTCCAACATATCACTGATATCATATAAAATAAAAAGTAAAAGTTTTGTTTAGGAATATAGAATATCTAATAAAAAAAATTTAAACCGATTGTCATCCTAGTCGTATTATTGTAATATCTGAGAATCTCAGGGGCCCCGCGTGCATGAATGAATGTGGGCGTCTATACAACGTAAACAGACTTGGCTTACTGGCTACACGTTTCCTGTGGTCGATTTTGTGCTATAAAAGCGCTTCCTACTCAGGGCAAATATGACATTTTCTGCCGGTAGCATTGCTGGACATCATATGATGCACGAAATGGATGTTGTTTCTAAAGTCGCTGGTAAATTGCTGGAAATACAACAATCGCAATATTTTGATCGATCAGTTTTGCTGCGACGTCCTTTAAAGGTAGTTTTATCAGAAAATCTTTTCTATTACTCTGGCCTGTTTTCTTACTTTCTTAGTTAGCACTATCTTGGATTATCAATCATGAAACAGAATTTCTCAGTGAACTATTTTTTATTCGATTAAACCGTGGCTGAGAACGAATTTGCAAGTTGCTGATAATGACAGCTGATAGTTATATAGTATGCCATTAAGTCTATGTAAGAAGGCAAAGGGAACGCAGTTTTGCCGTCGTTTTTTAACAACACACTCAGTCCATTTCCATCTTATAAGAAACGATCAAAACTAGATTTATTTGGGCAACGACGATGCACAGAAAATGCTTGGTCGAATGACATTGAACGACAGTTTGTCTTTGAAGATAATAAATAAATTTGTATCGATCGAGATAGGATGGCTAGCACCTTTTGATATATATGGCCAATTATATACGTGCATATCGCAAGCGCAATATTTATCAAACAATATTCTTGGTTTCTTCAACCACAGTGGGAGCATTTCTGAAAACGTTAAATAAAATATTTCAAAAGAGCTTTCGTTTCAAACAAATGGCTAGATTTTTTCAAAGACACACACGACAAGCACATTCGCGTTGTAAAGCATGCTTCAAACATGTCTTTATTTTATATACAATATTTTATAGCGAAACAACCCATCACTATTGTTTATCTGGTTGAAAGGCTCCGTATTTTATGTCCTCCCTCTTGTGGACTTATAATTATGAATTATTTATGAGCGTCATTCTAATTGCATTCATAGAATATCAATTAATGTATTTAATTAGATTTTCTTGGTAGAACAATTGGAATTAAGGTAAACAATCTAATGATTAATGTTGAACAGTTGTCACAGGCATATTGCTTACTCTGGCAAAATCAGGAGACAGGGGAAGTGGCAGGACGTCAAAGCTCATCTCGAAAACTTGGTGGATGCTTTTTTGCAGTTTTAGTTGACCTTATGGCCATGGGAAAGATTACACTTGTCAGTGAAGGAAGCAAAAGTTTGGCTGTACAGGTGAAAAAATGGCTTACAAGTATAGAAACATAGCAATGATAATGTGCTGTTGTTGCTTCAATTAAAATATGTGGATTTTGTGTGATTGTATTGAGACTCGAATGAATAAACACAAATTTTGTCTTAGATGCTCTTCAATAGTCAATTATGCTCAAGTATGACTTGGAGTGGGAGACTTTATGTCCATAATGTCTTACGATCCTTGTCCAACACATTAGTCAATAATGTATATAAAATATGTTAATGTTATTACAGTGTTGTCATAAAAAGTATTATTGAAATATTGCAGTAGATTCTCATTATACTGTCCATTATTAGGTTGTAGATACTGAGCCTACCAAAACATATTTGGATAGCATTGTGTTTGAAGAAATGGTCAAGTACAACAAAAAGCATCCTCACAAGAAGAAGGAAGTGTCCGAGTATATATTGGAGGCAGTAAAAAGAGACAATGCCAGCAGAAACTGTGCAACTTGGACTCTTGATAGCTTAGTTAACATGGAAATCCTTAGCCGAGAGGAGAAAATGCTTGGGTTAAGAAAGATATATACAACATTAAAGTTTAGTAAGTAAACGTTCTTCATCTGCAAATAAGTTGGATCGTTACCTATATGACTGTCAGAGTGAAATAAAATTAGACGGGACGAAGTAAAGTGGTGAAAAATATGGCGACTTTTTTTTGTTTGATTTCAGCGCCAGAGGACAAGTTAAAAGAGGAAATGACAGAGATCTTGATAAACTTTGCTGCTCCTGACTCGTACATGCGTTGTTTGTTGACCATAATGCGAACATCCGATAAACTTTACCAAACTTCTGATCCATTGTTGTCAAAATTTTTCAACAAGATAGACTATGAAAAGAAAGTAAAAGAAAGAGTTGATGTTATCTCAAACTCTTGGGTTTTCTAAGTGTAGACATGAACAAACTATTTCTTTCTCCGTACTTTGCGTGCCAATCCATTTAACCATATAGCATAAAAACAAATTAAAATGCGTCTTCTTTCTGTTCTATTCATTTAAATATCTTCTTCGTTGCAAAAAAATTATACACAAGTCTCTATAGCAACTTTTGTAAAGTAAATTTGTATTAAAATTAAATGTTAAGTTCATGCAATATACTTCTATGTATTACGCATCTATTTAAATGAAAACCTGGATAATGATTAAGCCGCCTCGCGTACCAATATTTATATCTAAATATCAAATAAAAATGTACAATAAAAAAGCCAAAATTGCAGTTGTAAAATTTCAAATTTGTTTTTGTCTGATAGAATCCATAGATATCAATTGCCTACCTACATTATACAATTATTATCTAAAATTTTGTCACCCAATCAAATGTATCGTTGTCAACCATACGAATTTAAACATACTGTGCATACACAACGCTGAGAAAGGTTACAAATACGAAGTATGTAAATATGGACGACAATACTAACTATACACACAATATTCATGCAAAAATAATTATCAATGTAGAAATTGTGAAGACAGCTTGTGTTACTTTACCATTCTCATCTTCCATTATGAATGGTGTGAGCTACGAAAGTTTAATTTAAACCGTTTATGAGAATGTGATGAAGTTTAAGAAATCCCCATTCATGAAATGACAATGAGCAAGATAAGTTTTGAAGGTGTTAAAGATCTTAGGCCCATTTTAAACAGCTCATTCTACATGCGTCGAATGCATTAAAAACAGACGAAATGAGATAGCATTCCTCATGTAAAATACGACGTATGAAAGAGGGGTCGGTTACACGAAGCATGGATAGCGTTATCCATTGGATAACAAATTTTTTTAAACGGTTAAAAAACTTCTTAAAAAGGAAAAATATAAGGTGTGAAGTGAGCAATCACTGAAATAAAATAATACTTCTAAGATTAATAAACTTCTTTCTCACAACGAAAATACGAACACCTTTTCTTCACAAGTTTAAAAAATTTACAATCCAATGGATAACGCTCTCCAAGCTTCGTGTAACTGGCCCCAGGCCTCTAACACATTTACACGCCCAACACCATTGTGCAGTTGAATCCCTTGTGTGCTATTTTGCTCGTCGCAAGCCACCTACGACCATTCATGTTTTCTCATAAAAACTTCTGAATGCTACAATAGATTTTAACAGCCGGGCCAAGCTTGATGTTCAAAATATTCACAAGGTCAGCTTGTTGAAGAAGAAGAAATGCCTCACCATCGATTTGCTGTGATAAGAAGCAAAATTGTATCACTTAAACATATTACAAAGATAAACAATTGATGAAACGAATCGCCAAATCCAATAGACAAGAGTATAATAGGCGTCGTTACCTGATCAATAAAAACCTGCGCCTGGCTTAAACAGCCTATAGATTTTATATGTTCTGCAACCTGCTCGCAGGTCCAAGCTAGGACATCGTTTCGTTCGTTAGAGCGAGAACCGTGGCTTACATGAGGGCTAAGGCCGGAATTGTATACATTGTTATACAAACTGTATGAAAGTAAATTTCTTGAAGATTGTTGGCCACCATTTACTTCATGACCGTTCGCGACAGGTTTTGGTCTTGGAGAATCTAAACCACAGAATATAATATGTATTTATAAAATAAGCACAATGTAACGCGTGCGCTGATTGGTCTAGAGCTGTGCTTGCATTAACCTGTGCAAAATACATACGAGCTCAACCAATCAAATCAACCATAACAATCAACCAGTCAAAGAGAATTTGAAAATCGATCATGAATACATTTTAGAGATAAAGTTAAAACGTTTACTTTAAATTTGTCTGTTTCGCATTATTGTTGTTTTATAAAAGAAATAAAAGATTTTTTCGTGTTTGTACTAGCTTATGCAAACCTTGGAGACGTTTGTGAGAACTCTCGAGCCTGTGCAACACTCGACATTTGGTCTCGGGCTTGCACTGATTTGCTCTCGAGTTCTCCTAAAGGTGTCCTCGGTTTGCATAAGCCCGTGCAAACACAGTAAATATGTTTTATGTCTTAAGTGAATGATTCTTACTTTCGACTTGAATTCCTTGGTCATGCTTACTTCGTGTTTTATACGAGAGTATTCTAAAGGAAAAAAATATGTTATGATAAAGTAACACGAAGTAAATATGATTTACCACTTCATGAATGATTTGCGTATAACTGATCACTACAAATTAGCATAGATACGTATATTCACCGAGTCACAAAAAAAAAACGTACTCTGGTTTTTGATTGCTTCTTGTTGCAATGATATTTCTGGATGACTTGTGTCCTTTCATGAACGACTTCTGATAACTTGGATGTGATTTAGGAAGAATTGGTTTATACATTTTGTCACGGTTCATCTCATTCATGGGACAACCAGACGCACTGGGAAATGAAGGTAAAAAAAAATGAAAAAAAAACACAGAGAAAGCAAAACAGAGCAAAGGATTGACATATTTAGATCAAAACAAGATTACCTGTGATGGGTGCTAAATCGACCTGTCACGTGACCTTTACCATTACAGCCCGGCGTAGGACATACGCCGAGTCCAGCAGCGTAGCCTGGGGAGGGTGGTTTAGTTTCTGGAGTTGAGTTATTGTTACTGTTTTGTTGAGATGCAGCTAAAAATAGACAACTTATCAGACAAAGCAAAAAGTCATCATAAAAAGCAAGACTGCTGTATGTTTATTTGTAAAAGCATTTAACGTGTTAAAGACGTGAATGCTTACGATAGACGAAGGCTAAATGGCGGTCTTACATTTGCTTTGTTTCCCAAAAGAATTCTTGCGTCTTTCGTAAGACCAATCGGAGTCTTCAGCCATGGAATTGGCCGCAAGACGGTCAACAAGACACGACTCCTTGCTTAGGTTTTGAGGAGAATATGGACAACCAAACTGACTATGATGTGTTGTGTATTTAGCACCTTTAACATGACCAATACCACGACATCCTGGTGTTGGACATGAAGCTGTATTTAACTTGTCGACATCAGCTATAATAATGGAGAATTGTTGATGAAGAACCATTGAATTGAAATAGATGGAACGCTACCTGAAGCAAATAATTGAAGCCAAATCTTACACCCAGACACTCGTGTGTAGTGTTTCGATTTCGAGTGTAAATTGATTGAACTACACACGCGTGTCTGGGTGTAAGATTTGGCTTCAAAATATTTTAGTTTAATGTGCACAACAGCTTATAAATGGGTACACTGAAAGATACAGTGTAAAAAAGTGCATTGAAGAGGAGGCTCAAGGATAAATAAGCATTATAAAACAGCGAAGAATATAGAAAACGAGCTACAAAAGAATATTATTAAAAATATATATACAAACAGCAGGATAGAAAGCAGTAAACGAAGACTGACGAAAGAGGTATTAGATTGTTTATTTAAACAACGTACTGATGGGTGCTTCTAAAGGATAACTGCTTTTTTCACACCATCCTTTCGGATGAAGATCAGTGGAGTCTGAATCAAACCAGTCATCATACACAGAATCCCATCCATCGAAACTGATCTTAATCTTAAATCCATCAACAGCGGCTATCGTTCCAACTCGGATCAAGGATGGATTACGTTTATCAACGGCTTCGAGTTTTTGACCAACTTTGAAAGACGTCGGTGCTCGCTAGAACGGTATGTAGAGCTTGCATTATCTGTAACCTAAAATAAATATGCAACTAGGTATCCTGACACTTACCTTTTTAAATAGATCAGGAGATGCAGCTTTACATCCAGTTGCTCGTAGATATTGAGCCCAGACGAAGGAGTCCACTTCATCATCTGTACATAAAACAATGATATGAAAGGAAAACATAAGAACAAAATACAAACATAGAACACATCTCCTTTGGTTCCTTTAGTTTAAACAGCCCCCCCCCCCAAGGCTAAATCTTTTCGTCATCCATTTTGAATACAATCAGAGGGTCTAATTGCCTTCGTTTCCTACAATGGCAGAGTGGCACGCAAAAGCGTTAGCAAAAAAATTACTGGAGATGACATTTCGAAGGTATTTAAAGATGTTTACTGCGTTTGTATAGGCTAATGCAAACTCAGGTATTGATCAATCAGCGCATGCGTTTTGTTGTTGTCATTTTAAAATATCTCATGGTAAATCAATGTTTTTAAATACAAAAATTTACAATCATTCGACTTACCATTAGGTGGAGTAAGCCGTCTACCTTGCGTGTTGCACCAACCGACAGGATGAATGTATGGCGAATCTTCGTAACACCAGTAATCGTAGGTATCGTCCCACTCATCAAAATGAACGAGGAAACGATTTCCCAAAACGTTTGTAACCGTCGCCACGCAGATGAGATCGGGATTCTTTCGATCGATAGCTTCAAGTTTCATGTTTTCCTTGAAACCGTGAAGCGTTGCACCAGGCTAAAATGACAAATACGTGTTTAAAAAAAAACAAAAAATACGGTTGACCTGACTTTTTCCCATCACTTGACTCTGAAAATGACTACCGCTAAAGTTGTTGAAACGTCAGTCAACATCAACATCTACAGTCCTTCACAGGACTTTACTAACCTGGACGATCAACATCTACAACTTCCTAAAGGATACTCGCAGATTCAAAAACAAAAAAAAACTAATGCCATGATAAACCTCTTTAAAAAGATGTTCAGGAGCCGGAGTTGCGTTCGTATCTTGAAGATATTTCTCCCAAGAAAAATTACTTGTTGTCATACCTGGCGATTAAGAAAAGAACGTTTGCTATTAATTAAAATAGGTTCATTATAAAAGTTCATTGTAAAATTCAGTTCCATATAGAAATATTTTTATGTACATGTATGTATGTTAGGACAGCAAAAGTATTTTGGACTAACTTCGTGGGGGATTTAAAATCTGTCCATTTTTTGAGCACCAGTGAACTGGAAAAATGAAATCAGAGTTGGCATTCGCCCAGAAGTCGTAACTTTCCGACCAACCATCGAAATGTAATCGTAATCTGGCTCCTTTCACTTCCGCCACAGTTACAACACAAAAATACGATGGATGTTTAGGATCGATGGCCTCCAGTTTCATATCCTTTTGAAATTCAATTGCGGGACCGATGAAGAGCTCCTTTCCAGGATTTTCCTGCAACACACAAACAGTCGGATAGTTAAATCAAATTAAAAAAAAAAATTCATGGTTTCTGTGATGATTGATGCTTAAAAGCTGAACTATTTTAGTCTAATCTTACATAAAAACTCGTCAAACTAACGTGACCATCGATCTTGTGAGAGAAAAATAACGCGGGCTCAAAAATAACCCCAGTCCCCATCCTTATACCATATGCCTAGTCACTATTTATTAAGTAGAGAACTTACTTGCGTAAAACACGATACATCTACTGCCTGAGAACCAGTTCGTTCCAAATATTCTGCCCAGTTGAAGGGTTTAGGTGGTTGAGAGGAATCTAAGAAGGTAGTAAACCATGTTCAGATTATCCCTTAAAAACCAAACATGACCAGTTAAGTATCCAAGTATCCTGACCTACCCATAGTTGAATTAAAATATTCCAGTTTTCCTTTGTTTTTACTTCCTTGAATTTCCGGTGTTCCGCTCTGTCCGGCCACTTTAATCTTCTAAAACAAATCAATTGCTTTATTGCCTTACAAAAACTGTTAAAAAATGGAATAAAAGTTGTAAGAAAAAGAACAACGGAAATCATGCTAATAATTCCAACAATTTACAATTCCTTTCGTTTATGAACGAAATTATTTACTTTGTAAACGCGACAATTTACATCGCCAACGCAATACACTGCTAACGCAACGATTTCTACCGCAAACGAGATGATGTACGTAGAAAACGAAGTAGCTTAGATCGATAAAGCAATGACATAATACTGTAAACGCGATATATAGAAATGTTTCTACATAGCCTACCCCATTCATTGATGACTGCTTAACGATAGTGAGCTTACGTCCCTTTCTTTTCTTTCGTTTCACAACTTTTCCATCCAATACCTTAGAACCCCATTTGTAGCTACTTCACCTCCCTTGTTCCGACGACCAGTGTACACACCAACGCATGTTAAACCACAAAAACGACCAGAGGCACCAAACTCCGATCTTAAACCATATTTACCACAAATTTCACAACAACAAAATTCATTGGAGTCTGGAGGTCCGTCTAGCAATGTCTTTGATGTGGATTCTATATTAATCAATTATTTATGATTAATGTTTAAAACCACATACCCTAATATTCAATAATATCTCTAGTATCATTTACATTATTGATATTTTACATTCCTAAAGTCATCTAAACTATACCTAACATGTATCTACAAACATCTTGCAATCTTTCTTGACTAATGCATACACAATGACTTGAACAAAATCATCTTGAAATTATCAATTGTTTTAACTGGTGACAAACAATGAAATGATTAATTTCAAATGATTGTATACCTTCAACTTTTTTCTCATCTCCCATGTCATTTGTTGGTGATTCTTTTTTCAAGTTTTTATCACTTGTTGAAGTGCTGAACTCCACTGGTTTGCCATCTTCATTTTCCACTGTACTGATGACCTCCAAACCAAACTCGGTCATTTTGAATTTCACTTTACTTCCTAAACACAAATAATAATACATCAGAACATATACAAAAATAATCTCAGGTCAAGGTCATTTGTAAATATGCCTTATCTCACCTGGCAAGTCTGCCACACCATCTTTCCAATCTAAACCTAACAGAGCATAATCATTTTGAACTTGTTCCCCCCCATCATTTATAATGTTTGTTCGTAGAACATCTTGGTTGTTTTGCAAAGGAGATGCCACACCAAGTTGTCGAACTTTCCCACCGGTAAGTTCACGGTTAGCCATAGCATTCATAGCATTCATTGAATTGGCATCAAATGGAGGTTTCTTAGGAGCTATTGTCTGATAGCCAGGTGGGGTTGCAAAAGGAGAAACAGTAGCATTGGATAATGTAACAGGATGTTTTGAATGAACAATTGAAGCAAACGAGCTTGATTGTGGACTACTTGTCTTAAATGAAGTGGGCGTGATATTTTTGTTGAGTTCATGAAGTTTACTTAATGGATTGTTTGGTGAAACCTTGTTATGAATGAACTGGCCTGATGAGGGAGCAGATGATATCACAGGATTGTGATGGATAGATGACACCGGATAACCTGCATAAAAAGAAAGACTGTTAAAGTGGAAAATAAAAAAATACATAACAGAAATGAGTCGACAAATATAAGCTTCCAAAAGCAAAAATTAAAGAACACTGCAAAGTCATTTGTTACTCCTGTAAAGTAACTTGATTCATTACTCTACATAAACATAGAACATATGAAAAATTGCCTAGTCCATCACAACTTTAGTTTTTTACACAGTAATACACACCGTTTTGTCCATTAGCCAAGGTTTCGGTCTTGATGGTCTTGAGAGGTGGAGTTCCAACATTGTGCTCGACAACTATTTGTTTTGGTCTAATATCTCGTTGATAGGTCATGTAAGCAGGATTATTTCTGTTGTGTACCATCTGCAAGAGAATTATAAACATTTAATTTTACATTTAACAAACAAACGCAATTTGTTACGTAAGTTAACGAACGCGTTGTATTTCTCGTTTATAACATTTTTGAAACAACAAAGTAATTTGAAATCGAAAAACTATGGCTCAGTGAAACACTCCATAATGCAATCTCTAGGCTTACAGACTGACACCGTGGCATCAATACTGATATAAAAACAACACAACTAATGATGAAAATTGCCACCCGATATACTTAATAAATATTGCACAAAATATGTTCAAATAGTTTTTGCGAGTGTATAGTTCATCGTGGAAGTTCCCTGGACGTGAATAAGCCAAGATATAATATGTATTGACATCGAAAGTATGCTGCATGAATATTAAAAACTTGTCCAAATGTATCTCAGGAAATTAGAATGCAGATTTTGAATGAAACCGGGAAACTAATACATTTATTTAATCGCGCGATTTAAAACACCAAAATATTTCACGATAAAATTTAATATCAAAAAATACCAGCTGGTTTGGAAAACTCGTATGGCTAAAAATGCACAAATTTAAAATCATGTGAGACGTATAAAATGCGTTTTGTACTACCCACTTACATAGTAAAAAAACACAACAATGCAGAGTGCAGTTAGTAAATTTTGGAATAATGTCAGATCGATTTTCAAACGAAAGATATATGTTATCGCCAGTCTTTGATAATGACTTAGAATTTTTAATGTCAATTTTCGTGTTTGCCCATCATGTGATCAGATAATATTGATTTACACACAACTTTTCTCGCACAACGTAACTAAGACTTTTTAATGCGCATCTAATATTCAGACGTTAAACTTCGCAGGAACTTTATAAAACCAAAAGCCGAAACTACTTTGTTTCTGCCAAAGACTATTTCGCGAAGAAATTCAATATTTTACGTAATAATATGAAATGATTTAGAATAACTTTTACTGCCATGCAAAGAGACAAAAGCGTCTGTGAGACACGAATAAGGTCAAATATGTTCCGGTAATAAACAGCAATGAAAAAGAAAGCACCGGTTGTCATATATTAACAGATTCTAGTCGGTGTAAAACAGCACAAGGTCGCCATGAAAACGGGATGAAACGCGCGCTAATATCTTTGAAAAAGAAAGAAAGTTTTTGGTAAAAAAAAAGAAAAATTTAAATAACAAAATTTAGCGAAGATGAATGCTACAGCACATAACAGGTCGGGTATTGTTTCTGAAAAAATGTAAATGAGAAGAGTTAACGACGGGCAAAGTTTTCTTGATAATACGTAAGACAAAAAACCGACAACGCGTAGACGATTCCTATTTCCAAGTGAAAATAAAGCGTTTTTAAAGAACCGAATTGCCTTCTTTTGCCTCGTCTACAAAACAAACAACTGGATCGCAAGAAAATTGAAATTTATCGAAAGGTCTTTTTCAAGGCCAAAACTTGTCGCGGGTTGTCGTCAAATGGATTGGCGAGACACTATATAATTTTAAAGAAAACGCGTGGGAACACAAAAGAAAATGTGCTGTTACAGAAGAAAAATATAAAATACGACAAACACACGTTTTACAAGACGACAATATGGCAATATGCAATGAAATTCTATACGATATGCACGCTTGACAGGAGTCCGTCGTAATTTTATTTGCATTTCGATGAAGTATATTGTCTAAAATTTTCGCTTTATACGCGTTTTCTGACAAAAACTAAAGCCTATACACAATCATCATGAACAGAATACACAATCTCTTTGTTTTTTTCGTAAAATCAAGAAAAATATCAGCATTTTAAGATTGTTTTTATCAAAATTATAAGCTGTGAACTCAACCACCACGCCAACAACGTATTTAATATTCAAAATATATTAACTTGCAAAATTGGCACAAAAAAATGCCTTGTAATACGGTCAAATTTAACCTAGGTCGCTTTAAATCCACACAAAAAGGATTGTAATGTATCAATTATAATTTCAACGATATTTTAACTCGGCTTTGCGCTAGTAAAAGCCAAAGAAAATCGTTAAACGACATGACCATATACTTGACCTCGACAGACTCGTGTTCCGGCTGTGGCAATCGGCTATTCATGTTTTCATTTTGTCCATCAATATTCGCTTCATCCACAGAGGCCATTGAACAAACTTGAGAGATCATTCGATCATCTAAATTGTAACAAATCACACAATGTTACGTAATTAGAACGTTCGACTGAAAGGATAGCAACTTTCACTCGAAAACGAGATTTGTGGAACAAGCCGTCTTTTTCACCATGAACATCATGGCTGACTTGTACACAGGCGAAAGCCCACACTTAGTCCTTGAAACTGCCTCAAATTATGGAAAAAAATCCAAAAATTCGCATGAAAATCGTGGCCTTAGTGAAGGGGAAACATACAGAATACGTTTTACTCGATTTTGAAAGGTTGATTCAGTCGAAAAAAAGTGCAAAACAAGATACTCACCAATAGAAACAAAATGCTCTGCTATTTCTGATAAAACTGATGTGAAAGTCCGGGGGAGACTAATTCAGGCTTGTGTACATCAGCCAATGAGAGACGGTTAAGTTGAGATCACGTGGCATGTTGTATTATTATTTCATGCAAAGTGTTCATACAAGGAAAAGAAAGAACGATTTTATTTCGAAAAAAATGTGCATATTAGCCGGAAAAATTCATCAAATATTAACAGAATGTATTGAAGTCTTTGCATTCCCTAGCTTTCAAACGAACAAAGGTGTTTCAACAGCACTTTTACAGCATTTTACGACAGAGAAAGATGACCTAATCAAATTTCCGAAGCAGATCGTAATTCAATGCGTCACTAGTTTTAAAATGATGTCGCTATTTCTTGGACGAAGAAAGAATATTATCGAAAGATAAAATGAGAGTTGATTTTCGAAATCCAAAATCCATTCATACGACATGAAGACGAAGCTATCTTGAATAGCTATTGCATAATGATATTAAAAGACTGACCATAAATATCTTTTAAGTTGTGAATTGTTCTATCATTTTCACACTGCGAGCAATTCCAATAATTTCAATATGTGTATCGCACAAAAAAATAACTCATCCAAAGTTTTCCTTATCTTATTTCGTACAAAATTCACCAGACAACCAGCTGATAAAACGCGTGCTTTACTTCATAATTACGAACGAGTCTTTATAAAAGCACAAATATTAGCACCCCCCAAGCAATGAGAATATTACGACATACCTAAGAAATTCCAACTGAAATAGGATAGGAATTGACAATGAAAAGAGAAAAAAAGATAAAGGCATACAGCAACTAATGGACAGTGTCAATCTACACTATATATTTCATTACATGCACATGTTGGATATAAGCCAAGCGTGGGGATATATAATAGCCATTATTCATACCATGTTAAAACAGCCAGCGTAATGTCTCACAAAATGAAACGAATTGTAACATTCCCCTCGTTAATAGCAACCACGACGTGTTCTAAAAAAATCAAAGGTAAAAAAAGTGGCGTTTTTTTATCCCAAAATGCTTCACGAACACGCCGAACTTTTCAGCTTTTTAACTCATGGAAGGAAATAAATCAGTGTAGAACCACTCAAGATACGGGTACAAATGAAGAGTTACTTTATTCACTATTCTACCGTTATTCAATAATTTAAGTATGATACGTGCACACTATGACATATTTCAAAAATATAATTTCTTAAATCTTATGCGGCTATCTGCATCAATTATACAAAGATACCATCAGGTATCAAACGGTTCATACATTGACGAATTTAACGAAAAAAATATAAAAACTATCAAACATGGGAAAAAATCGCTTCTAGATTTACCGCGTCAGCAATACGATTCGTCAATAAATGATTAAATGACTGTTACAATTACACATAAGCAACCGTCTTCAACGAATATATACTTGTTTTATCTAACAACAATTGGCACACAACTTTCATTTGGTTGAAAAAAACTTTCAATTCATGTTCTATAACAGAAAGCCGAACTTAAGTTGGAAATAGATCATCGTTTAGTGCAAGAATAAGTTGGATGTAACGAAATCTATTGTTTTAACACGGATCACAAACTTATTTAAAACGCATTATGATTTATGACAAAAATATTGGACTGACAAACAGTTGATTTGAATTCTGTAGAATCGCAAGCTAAAAATTAGACTTTTTACAAAAAATTAAATGAGTTTTTTGATCATAACCATTATGTCGCGCATATAATAGTTGAAAGACAGCTAGTTATCAGTAATTATTATATTTTCAAATAATATCAATATCATGTGGACCAGAATGTCTACTGAACTTGCCGAATTTCAACGATGTTTATATATTATACAAAATTATCGCTTTTAGTCGTTGGTAATTTGCTTTAAAAGGCTAGATAAATAAACCAAAGAATGAAAAAAGCATAAACGAAGAACGCGGATAAATGTAGGCTGGCAACAATCCAACATCAAACTGAGCGAACGCGTGAGGATTAAAAGTGAAAGCCACGACGCGCGCAAAGCACGTCAACTCGTGAAAGAAAAAGAAAAAGTGCTTTAAATCTTTGTGTTATACTTGAGAAAAAGAGCCAAAGTTATTGTAATGGGCAATAACAACAATCACTTTGCAGGAAAGAGACACCTCTATTTTTTATAAATCCTAATATAATCAATGAGGATTTACGTTGTCGTCTACACTCCAATCGACATAAATAATTCAATGAAACATATTTCATTTTCATATCTATACGCGCATTCGCAAAGACAGAGGAGGACAAAAGATATTACCTTTTTTTATCTAAATAATCGCGTTTCTTCTAATCCTTTTCATGGTTTATACTATAAGCCACAGGGTGTTTCTTCGTGCATGGAACACAAATATGGACGAAGATCCACCTGAAAAGAAACATAGTATAAAAAAAATGAACAATAAAGAAAGAGTGAAGTAAAACCAGTAAAAAGAAAATAGCTGTTAACATAGTTTTTTAAATAAACATTCTTCCTGCATAACCATAAACTCTAAAACACTTAGTGATAGTCGGCAAGGAATTATTTACACGGGCAACTAAATTGATCGATTGTTTCATAATTTCCCCTCATCGTGAGTACGCCTCACAAAGTTTGATAATATCAATTTGTACACACCTTTAAAAATCTAAAGTGAATAAAGGCTTATAGCAATCTGATGAAACCCTCCCCTCCCCCCCTACTTCAAGTTATGTCAACAAAAGAATGTAGCATTATATGTACAAAGAACGAAATCGCGTGTGAATACAATATCGACGAACACATCACGCGAAACCATTTCACAACCGCATGATACACTCTGACACCTGATTACAGCAAATCAAGCAAGAAAACTACATTCTACATAAAGGTAAGTGGAATTTCAAGTATTTTATATGAAGTGCTCGAAACATCAGATATTCTATCATAATGATAGCCAAACTACACTGTACACATCTCCAGAACTTAACATTTGAACGCGGCGCCGAATTGTATTCGAATCGACGTAGACCGGACGACAGAGATGCATGAGTGAGTCTGAACGGACAAACTTGAAGTTCTCATGTACAATCAACTGCTGATCATAAAATTGAACGGTGGGATCGTTTATCAGACGTTTTTTCTGTATTTAAAGAATTCCGTGTATGCTAGAGTCTGTTCGTTGTCGAGAGGATCAAATTCAACACTGCGAGCACCTGGTCGATAAAAACATCACAGAAATCACTTGGCAGTCACAAGTTTGTCTGTTTTGTTTCACTTAAGAAGCGTTCATGTAAGTAGCTTCAGTGAGATGTACAAAACGAGCAAATTTATAGCGTGTTTTACAAGCAGACTAAGCGTTTCGTGAGGTGTTCCTGACGGCACCTGGCCTTTATTCAAGCTGTAGGCAATCACAATAAACCGACGCATTTCTAGTAAGATATCTGAAGTAAAAAACGCATTTTTTACGAAAAAAACGACATCCTAAGTCAACGTTTCAATTCCGCAGAAAAGATACTACACATATTTCGTATATTCATCCCGATAAAAGCGGCATTCTATCTAATTTGCGCTGCACACGCGAACAAAGCTCAACATCTTGAATATTTAATTTCGACCAGGGATACACAGTTAAGCACTAAGAAGACACGCGATTTATGAAGAACTTGGACAAGTTGCGCATAGAAAAACAGGATATTTCTGTACATGCAAGCCGTCATTCCAATAAAATGCGGAAGAAATACAATCGGAAAACTTGCTTAACATCAAACAAGCACACATACAAAACGCTTTAAAACCTATGGCGATATTACTTATTCATAATGCTGGAATAATTACCCATGTGTCCAGGTGAACATTTTCGTTTTTCAACTGAAAAAAAACAAAAAGCTATTTAGATTAATATGAACACACAAACAAGTCCATACTCTTTAAGCATTATACGTAATTACTTGTCTTCGAGACGTTATGAACGCGCGTCTATATCTTTATATAACAACGGGTTTCGCTCGCGTGGCTTGTCAGATTTTGTATTGTATATAAATTGTGTTTGTACAAATAAGCTTTTGAATGTATTGTGGTCAAGGAAGTCGTTATTAGATATTTGTATGAGCAAGTAGACTTTTTTGCAAGCGCAGTGAGCCAAAAATGATTGTAGTATCGGAGGAAAACGAATACGAAAATATTATGGATAGTTCCGACAAGCGCTTATGAAATACCACAGCATTCAAGATCAATATTAAGTTAAACGATTATTTCTCAAACATTTGTCAAAGTCTGTCGCTTACGAGGGACAATGAACGTTTAGCAATGACCTAACTTTTCGTAAAATTTATACACTGATCATTCTCAAAAGCTACAATCATTTCAAATATCCTTCACACCAGTCACGCGTCAAGACAAATTAGCGCAAAGCGAAACCTTACAAGCGTCAAAATGCCCCCTAAAGCGAAAAGAGTGCATAGCAAACATCAATGTGATTGTAATGTTGTCTTTAGAAGCAGGTTCTTCAAGACGCAAAAATGGAGAATATTTATTTCAATGCAGTAAAAGAAGGTCAAGAAAAGGAGGAAAAACCATTAAAGCGAACCTATCCCGCCTACATCGAGGACAAAACGTATTTACCAACGTTGTCGACGAAAACATTAGTCCTGGACGAAGATGACGAGTATAATGAACTGCCAAAAGCGATAAGCTTGCACAAAAGGGAAAGAGCGAGTGTAGATAGCGATATGCCTGAACATTGCGAACGTTGGCATGTTTGTCATAAATGTAACAAAGTGTTTGGTACCGCTAAAGAATTGAAGCGTCATCTACCCAGACATAAAGTTTCAAAGAAAGTTTACGAATGCGAAATATGTCTAAGGACATTTACACAATCCAACCATCTTAAACAACACATGCCAGTACATTCAGGTAAGGAGTTGTTGAAAAAAAGCTACAACTTTATCATTTAACATATATATGTACTCGGCGTCGTCACCTTTGTAATTTCTTCTTAGGATATATCGTGCTGATATCGATTAAAACAGGAAGCGAAGCTTTATGAGAGTTTAGGATAAGATTACAAATTTCTATACTATCACAGATATTATGTAGTCATTGTTGTGCAATGTGTACTACCTACTGCCTAAGGAAATATACTCGTAGTCAGGCGCGCATGATTCTCGTGTAAGTTAAATGATAGATATCTAAAAATAAAGAAGGAAGCGTAACAAATGTCTATGCAAAGTAAAAAAAAAAGGAACACATAAGTCATCCTATGCCTAATCAATCACTTTGTCATCGCTCAGCGTTTTGAAAACTTCCTATTTAAAAACTAGAAGAGGTTTGAATACGAACAATGCAATTTAATGCGGAATAAACCTGACTATATGGGAGCGACTTTTACCTGTTATTTGCTAGTACAAATATATGCAAATGATGTAATATAATACTTATATGTATTTAGGTGAAAAACCATTCAAATGTAATCAGTGTGATATGACATTTACAAGATCAAGCAGCCTCACAAGACATCAAATTATCCATAGTGGCAGCAAACCTTACCAATGCAAAATATGCTTCAAAGGATTCAATCGTAATGGCAATTTAAAAGATCATATGTTCACACATGCCCAACACAAGCCATACAAATGCAAGATTTGTGCTCGAGAGTTTGTCCAGTCGAATAAATTCAAGTCACATGTTCAAATGCATACAGGTACGTCTTTGGAGGATTGGGCCATGTTCAATGTAAACATCACCGATGAAGGTTTGAGGGAGTAATCTTCATAATTATGAAATATGAACAATTTGTCAGGAGATGTGGATGGAATGATAGCCACAAAAGAGAGAATAACCCTAGAAAAGGATTTCTAATGTCTCAAGTATGTATCTGACAGATGGAGATAAGATGTTGAAAGTTTGCTTATATATTGACTATCTAATGTACAGAGAGTGAAAGAGAATTGTGATGGATCTGATTTATCATATAAAATACATATATTTAATTGTTTTTGTATGTAAGTGATAGAAACATAATGAGTTATGTGTAGATATAAAGATACATGGAATATATATATATATTGAGAGGATTTTGTTTAAACTATTGTGTTGACAGTTTATTATATTAGAAAATATGTTCAAAAAAACAACAGGTCAGGTATGATTCTTTAACTTAACTGCAAAGATTAGTTCATAAATCATAATAATATATATAAAAGTGAGTTAGTGACGTTAACAAATAAACAAGAAAAACAGGAGTGAAGACTTTGTCCCTCGTAAGTCGTACTTCATCAACACGTCCTTGCATTACATTGATGCAGGTATATTTTGAGTTTATTTTCAAATTGTAAACAATTGAAATTTTCAAATCAACTTGTAAATATATAAAATCAGCTTACCTTATAAAAGTTAAAAACGTTTTAATTTCAAAAACAAAACGACATTAAATTTGAGAATTAGGCAAACCATAAGTTCGTTCGCTCTAAATGGTAGTAATATACCAAAAACCGCTGACAAAGAAATCGCATGTGATATTAATTTTAAGCTTGAGCAGATGCAACAGGAAAAACACGAAGGTTAAAAGTTTGGCTGTACTCGTCGTAAATAAGATTGCGTTGGTTGTTAGATGTGGTGTCGTCGGTGAAAAAACATTATTTTGTGGATTTTAAAGTTACGAATTTCATCTACAAAACGGACTACGGTCGCGTTTTTCGACAAATACCCTTTTCCAGCTTCCCCTCCTTATAAGGTCAAGATAACCCCTGCAATACCACAAGAGTTTCATGGTAAGATACAGAAAGGTTCATAAGATAAAATCTCACTATTCATCCTGATAACTATTGAACTTTTGTGGTAAAATGCATAAAGATTTACAATACTGTCCTTTTATAATCCACAGCACAGGGACGCTCGCGATCTTCTGTACACTTGAATAAAATATTCTTCACGAGTTGTTTGCATGCGGCAAGAATTACAAAGCTCATTTTGCACAATAATGATTCTTCAGCTTTTGAATATTTTAGCAGTGTATATTTACTCAAGTTATAATCTAAAAAGGCAAAGACAAATATCAGATAAATACAAATATCAAATTCAAATATCAATAAAATACTGCATTGAGGTTTTCTGTGTTCCTGGGCATTTAGAGTTTGGGCCACCCATATATCATTGTTTTATAGCAGCGGATTTTATTCTTGGTGCATATTTTCCCGGCAGTTGTAGTTGTATTTTTCTATGACTGATTATATTTATATAAACAGCATTTATTTTCGCATTGTATAGTTGTTTTAAATTTTATCTCATTGTGAAAATGAAAACTTTCGGCCAAATGCCCCATTGGTTAATCCAGCACTGTCAGGAAGTTTAATAAGTCTATAAGTTTTATAAGTTTTATGTTTGTATGGCAATGGAAAGTCAATTTCCTGTTCATGTTATTAATGTATATTAAACTATAAATATGCTTTTGATTGGTTTACTAATTTGCAATTGAATGATGTAAGTATCCCCTTAAGTGTTATGCATTTATTTCATAAAGCAAAACTGAAAACATCATGTTATTTTGTACTTTCAGTGAAAAACCTTTACCTCTTTAACAGAGTCTTTGATAAATTCCTTCCTATCTGTTAAATCAAAATCTGGAAATCTGTCATAAACCTTAATGTATATGAAGGACTAATGAATACCTGCCTACACAGGATAACCAAAGATTACAGCAAAGTAAAATTTTATCCTATGATGTACCTGTTTACACACAGATTTCATTGTTACTTTCTCCAAGTCAGCATCCTCTAGAAGTTCTTTTACCAGTTCAACAATTTCATCATCTGTTGGTGGTGTTTTTTTCTTCTTTTTAATCAATGGTTCGTCTTCAGAATCATCATCGTTTCGTTGTCTCTTTCCTTGAAAATAATCACAAACTGTTTATGTTGAAGTGATTGCCCACTTTTTTGAAAGAAAACATTCAAAATAAACAGAATTTACACCTTTATTATTTTTTGCCTTATTTCCAGGTGAAATTTTAATGGAGACAACTTTTTTATCTTTTTTTGGTGGTTTCTTTGGTTCTGATTTTTTGGATGGCGTCTTTTTTTTTGTTGGTGACTGCAAAGTAACAATTTTTCCCACAATTAAAAATTCCCCTCAGTTAAAAATCTGCACAGTTCAAAAAATACAATCAACAAGAAATGAACAAAAGTTTAAATTTTTTCTCCCACTTTTTTATCAGTTTCCTCCGACTCCACATCATCTTCCTTTTCACTTTCTTCTTCCTCTTCTACAGTTTCAGTTGATTTTACTTTTTTAGACTTGGAGTTTGTAGTCTTTCCCTAATGTTGAAATAAATATCAGGTTATATGATATGATATAAGTTGCCAAGAAACATGTGAGATGATTTCCTCTCCTTATAAGAATTTACATATGTACTTTTGAAGAAGATGAAGTCTCTTTTTTCTTTGTGGCCTCTTTTTTCTGCGTAGTCTCTACAATAGAAAGCATCAACGAAGAAATGATACACTAAACTTCTACTATTATCATGAAACACTAAAATTAAAGAAAAACAAGATCAAACTCACTTTTTTTCTTAACTTGACCCTTCTTTTTTGGCTCTGGTACGTCCTATAAAACATTGCCCCTTATTGTGGTGATTTTGTAAAAAATTTTCCCAGTTATTTGCAAGGAATTAAAACACATCTTGTGACCATGAACTAGACAAGCTATATCATTTAATACCATTGAAAACAACTGGATTAAACTGGATTAATTTTATACAATGTACTTGTCATTCTCTGTTATATCACATGAGTATCACGTGAAATAAACAACACTTGGCTACCTTTCCTGAAGCTTTAGGGCACAAAAGAAAATCCATAAGTCTTTCAAATACTTCTTCCTAAAAATTTTGAAATAAACAATTTAGGTAAAACCTCGTATAATCAAATAAGAACATTATACATCTACAAAACCTGGCTTCCCCGTTTATCCACATCTAAAATATCACACAATCTCTTGATTGATGTAGGTGTAAATCGTCAACTTGTTCCTCTTTCTTCTTATATTCTTTTGAGCCCTGTTCGTGGAGAAGCATGTAAATCAAGTCATTTGATGACTCCTTCTCAAATTTACATTGAATTCTTCTCAATTTAGTCTAGTTTCATTGTTTTTTACTTCAGTTCTTAATTTACTTCTCAATAATCAATAACTTTGCATTTCTTCAATTCAACCTTTTCCAAGTCAAATCCTTTAAAGAGTCGAATATTTTTCTTGACTTCCATCGCCTAAATACAAAATGCGATAACATAAACACATAAAATAATAGTTAATTTGTCAATAGATACATCAACTTACTGTGCCAGGTCGACCATAGAGTAGTTTATGTAAAGGCTTCAGTTCATCCCAAACAATTTTATTGAGTTGAAACTGCACTGTAATTATAGCAAGAACACATGTCAATTGAATAACTGCAACTTTGAAACTTCACCAAAAAGTACAAATTATTAATTACCCCGAGGCATAGAACCGAGCGGATCTCCTTTTCCCTACAGAAAACCATGACAACAAAAATTATAATATGAATGAATACCTCGGGAATCATATCGAAATGAATACCTCAGGAACAACAATCCTTTTACGCTCATTGGTAATAGGTGATGTAATATTATGGGATAAAAATTCTGTGGATTTTCTAGCTCTTTTTCCTTCAACAACCAATGGTGCATCAAGACTACCTATAAACGCAATACACAACATAATGCAATAAGTTAATAATAAACATACTATGACTACTTGCAGTAATTAAAGAATACACAGTCACATATGTAACAAGCTGCAAGCTTAACCTGAACACTACTAATATTTTTCCATAATCCTATCCTAGCCTCGTTTGCAGTATTTGAGGTAGAGTATTTTGTATTCGTGCCAACTTCCTCCTTAGAGTTATTTAGGTAAACTGGCAGATTTTCAAAGAAATAAAATTAGGTTGTTCACATCTTGTAAATGTCCCAATTTCATTCAAACACGTGACAAATTATTCCTCTAATTTTCAACACTTTCTTTTGGAATATTTTTCTTCAATATTTTAAGAGCAATTCAGCTACAAGACAACAAACGTCCACATACAGAATATCGGCAGCAAGTTGTTGCCATTCACATTGCCCCCCTTTCTCTCGTAATAGAACGGAAATACAGCTTATTACATTCACATTGAAGATATTTTCTTATAATTCTCCTCCTACCAACTAATTCTTCGTCGTCGCTGCTTTCCTCTTCCTCCTCCTTTTCTTTTTTTGATTTCTGTCCTGTTTTATGTTTCGTTGCAGTGTCATCCTGAGACTCGCTCGTTTGTTCACTATCGGTTTCGGCGTCCTTCGACGCACTTTTTTTCTCCTGAGAACATACACAATTCTTGCACACTTACTTTGCAATTTAGACGAACATATTGTTTACAAGAGAAACTGTACATCATTAAATACACGTTCAATTTAGTTTCTACTGCTTTAATCACCTTTTCGCCTTCTTCTTTCGCGTTCTTCTCTGTCGTTTTCTTTGATTCTTCGTCAGCCATTTTGAAAATTCAAAATACCACCTTTTTCGATGAGCAATGTGCAGAGAGCGCGCCATTTTCTCGGCAATCATCGGACATTATCGACAGCTTCCGGAGTCCAAATACCATACCCTGGTACCCATACCATACTGCCTAAATTAAATGTTATATTCCTAGGATATTTTCATAAATTCTATAACACATTCTGGTTAAAATGAATAAAAAACTATTGGCTAATGTTTCAAAAAAGTGATTAGACAACATGTGTACACAAGACATGGTGTATATTTCATTAGTTACTGTTGCTAAGGGCAGGGATGAAGTATTTTAATGGGAATGCAATGTAGGCCTAACAACGTACGATCATATGTCAGGCAAAGACAAACATTACCTAAGATTTACAGAGCGTCAATGAAAATAAATTGCAACTGCAGCATAAATATAAACTTGCTTACATTGTGCATAAATTCTCGTAAAGATTTTAAGTTTTGAAAAAAGAAATGAAACCACGCGCTCACTGACTACAACATTGATCACGTTCCATGCAAACTGTATAAAGTAGACAAGACCATTCGTTGATTGTAAATGGCGACGCGTAAATCAGGCATTCCTGTGAAATCATCCATTTCAACAAAGGTATTAACGGTCCTATAAAAGTTGGACAAACGCACACAAGACAATCCAACATACCTGTAAAGTTAAAGGTAATTTTGTGTTTTAGTGTTTGAGATTGGTTTATACTTAACTACAGTAGCCAGTCAACCGGTTGTGCAAGGCATTAATATTTGAATCAACAACATTACATTTTCATTACATGTTTGTAGATGTAGATCGTCCAGATTAGTAGAGCCCTGAGAAGGGCTGTTGATGTTGACTGACGTTTTCAGAGTAAATGAAGATGACTACCGCTAAGGTTGTCGAAACGTCAGTCAACATCAAGTCGTCAACAACAACAGTCCTCAGGACTCTACTAAGCTGGACGATTTACATCTACAAACATGTAAGGATACTCCCGGGTTCAAACCATTTACTTTATTACATTATCTTCACACACTTTTCATAAACTAGACTGAGGCAACGAAAATTGCAGACAATGCTAAAGTAAGCCTTAGCGATAGGATAAAACATCTAGAAAGTGAAGTTGAGGAGAAGAGCAGAACAATTAAAGAACTGAATGAAAAACTGACGAAAATTTCAAGTGAATGCGAGGTCTTGCGCGAAGAAAATGAGAAAACGGAGCAAAATCTTGGTTTACCTACAAATGCCGAGGTATGTGGACGACATTTCAAAATGGGAAGTATTTGACGGAAGTTTTGTAACAAACATAACTCTCAGATTTCAGAGATGAAAGAACTCCAAGAATCGCTCCATGAAAAGGAAATGTTTATTGAAAACATGCTAGTCAAGACAAATGAAGTTGAAAAACAATTAGAAAACGAAAAATTGGTAAAAGGCGAACATGAAGCCGATCGACTTTCACTTCAGAAAGAAAGAGAGAATTTGCAAATGATGCTAGAAAATGAAAAAACGATAACCAGTGAGCTTCGAGACAAAATAAAGCAATATCAACAACAAATTACGAGTACAAAGTCACAACATGAAAACGAAATCTCTACTTTGAAGCAAAAATTGGAAAGTGATAAAGTTCAACTAGAAAATTTAGAGAAACAACGAGAAGAAAGTGAAAAGATTTCTGAAGACAAATTAAGCACATTAAATTACCAAATTCAAGAGAAGAATGTCTTGATCAGTGATTTACAACATCGGCTGAATCATCGTGAGGAAATCACAACAAAGCAATATAGTGATGAAGATGTGATGTTAAAACTAAATGATTTAAGACAGCAATTGACAACTGAGCACGAAAAAAGTTTGGAATCAGCCAATTCATTGTGGAGGCAAAAATTGGAGGAACATGAAAAGAGAGGTAATCTTTTTCTGTTTGCATGAGCTGTTTGTATATTTTATAATTTACTTATCATAAATTATATTCGTCATTTTTATTGAACGTAGAAACGGACAAGACTATGAAATATAACGATGAAAGCAATGGTGAATTGTTAAATAAGATTTCAGAATTGAAACAACGACTAAAGGATGCAGATGAAGCACAAGAAGAACAAAGCACAATCTTAGAAACACAGGAGGAAGAGATAGACGAATTACGTGAAAGTAACAGAGCATTTGAGGAAAAATATACAAGTCTTTATGAAAAGATGGAGGAAAAGTGGACATTAAACGAGAGTGAAATTGTACGACAGATAAAGAATCATTATTATTTTGAAATAGAACGTCTTCACGCTCAACTGGAAAATATTGAAAAAGAGAATACCAATTTGAAAACAGAGCTGGACATAATGAATAACGATGGAGGTAAAGCACTCTCCCCAAGACGACGTACTTCAGTTTCTGCAAGGATTGAGATGAAAGAAGAAATCGAGGACTACAAAGTTACGTTGGCAGCTTTAGAACGTGATCTACAGCATGCTTTGAACGAAAACGAACGTTTGAAACTTGAGAATAATATTGCTAAAAACGACAGTTGTGATGATCTAAAATTACAAGAGCGAATTGATGAACATCAACTGAACAATGACAAATATAATGGTGAAAGTAAAAAGTTGAAAAGTCAACTTGATGAGAGCATAAAATATTGTAAAAAGCTCGAGAAAGATATCAAACGACAAGAAGAACGTATTGTCATCGTAGAGAAAAATAAAGATGCTAAGATTGATGAAATAACTAAAGCAAACGAAAAAAAAGTCTCCGAATTGATGAAGATCATAGATGATAAAAATGTTAAGAGTAAAGAGAGCAGCGAAGAATGTGAACGAATCAATGAAGAATTAAGACAACGGGAACAAGAAATAAAAGTCATTGAGGATGATTTTCAGAAAAAAGAACATGCTTTGTTAAAAAAATGTGAAGACGCAGAAGAACAGAAGCTGAAGCTTAAAGACGAGTTGAAGAAAGTAAAGTCAACACATGATGAACATATGGATGAAGTAAACAAACTTACAGAACAAGAACGACGTTCTTTAGAAGAGAAAGTCGCCGAACTGGAAAATAAGATATCACAAGGAAAAGTCGCAAGTGAAGCGTTGCAAATGAAATATGAGAAATTGAAATTAGAAAATGATTCCAAAACATCTCAAATTGATGAATTTACTAAAATCATCGACAACATGAAAGTCAATGACGACGAAGCACATTTTAAGGAGTTCAAGGATAAATATGAAGAAATGTCAGAGGAGAATAAAAAGAAGGATGGAAAGATTTTTGAGTTGGAACAATCCTACACGAAAAAAGATGATGATTCAAACAGCTTGCGCAAGATTTTAGCGAACTTCATAAAGAAGTAGAGATTTATAAGTCAAAGATGAAATACATAGAAGAAACAAAAAACAAAGTGAAAGAATTAGATGTTTGTAAACAAAATGAAAAGAAAAGAAATCAACACATAAATATAAGTCCAGAAGAAGATCAAGAACATGGTTGTAAAAATAAACTTAGCTACGAAGAAATGAAACATAAATACCAACGCGCTCTTGATGAGAATGACGAAAAAATATCTACAATCGAATCTCTTGAATCAGACAACGTTCTGTTAAGAAAAAAAATCACGGCCTTTGAAAAGAAAGTGACGACGACCGAAAGAGAAAAGAAAAACTTGGAGGAAAAAACACGCTCGCTTGATAGCGTTATTGAAGAGCAGGAAAAGAAGATGAGAAGTTTGAAGGATAAGTTAGAATCGTATGATTGGAAAAAGATGCTTGAAAGAGAATTATCCGAACTTAAAAGTTTGAAGGACACTTTAAACAAATATTCACTTCGTAACAAAGAGCTTTCTATCCGTTGAGGAAATTACGAGTGAAAAAACTGAGCTGGCAGCCAAGTATTCCAAACTTATTCAGGAACACAAGGAGCTACAAGATACATTACAGGATAACAAGAAACGCCATGAGAATAAAGTGGAACAAGAAAACTCAGAAAATAAAAGAAAAATGGAAACATTTCAAAAAACTTAACGAAAAGGATAGAGTTTTGAATGAAACGAAGAAAAAAAGCAGGCAACTTAAAGAAAACGAAAAAACCTTGAAGGATGAACTTACAGAAAGCAAAAAACATTGTAGTAAACTTGAGATGAAGATTGAGGAAATTGAAAATGTTTTGAACCGTGTTTCACAAGAGAAGGAAGAATTGAAAAAAGAACTTGATCGTGTTAAAGATAGAAATGAGACCGAATGTTCTGAACTTAAAGAATTAAATCTTGTTGACGCCGAAAAAATCGAGTTATTAAAACAACAGCTTCTTGAAATGAAAAGAAATATGGAAAAAAGTCAACTATGAATGATAAAATGGCAGCACATACAAAAGAGCTAGAACAAGCACAGAAAACAGTTGAAGGTCTAAAGAAGAACGCCGACATGGAAAACGAAAACACGGAGAAACTTCAAAATAATGTAATGAAACTAGTGAAGAAAACCATTTTCTTAAGATGAAAGTGGAGGAATTAAAAACTGAAATCATTAAGGGAAAAAAAGATGGAAACATGATGGAAAGGTTAAAAGATGGATTAAGACTCGAAGTGGAAAATCTCCAAGAAAAACTTAACAATGCTCTTGAGAAGATTTCCACTTTACAGAGTAAACAATTACACGACGAAGAAGAAGGAATTAAAGAGAAAAAGAAGGTAATGAAGATACTTAATTATTATGAGCAGTTACACCAAGTGATTAAATAAATTTGATGTTTGTTTTAGTTGTTAAAAAATATGAAAGAATACGAATCAAGAAACGGCGAACTAATTTTGGATATTGATCGAGCATCGAAATCATTAAACCTTACCAAAGAGAAGTACGGCCAACTGAAAGGCAGATTTAAACGATTGACAAAGAAGTACACTGAAATATGTGAAGAGAAGATTAATAAATCAGACGCAAAAGTCGGTCCAGATACTAGCGAAGATTTAAGCTTGATTGTTGAAGATCTACAACGCAGTAAAGATAATGCCGAGAGAGAAAATTCTAAACTACGAACAAAAATGGACGGTTTACTCGAAGAAATAGGAAGAAGCGAATATCAAATCAGATCGGTGAGGAAAGCTAACGTGGTTTTGATGAAACAAACTCGCTGCTTGTACGAAGAAAGTGAACAACAAAAGCGTATTGACGAAGAAAAGACAAAAGAACTTCAAGAGTATCGAAGGATCAATCAAAGTTTAAAAGATCAAGAGAAGAGCTGGCAAAAGAACGGAAGAAGCTCATTGAAAATGTTAATGCTCTAAAGGAAGAAAAAGTCATGTTGAAAGAAAAAAATAATGAATACCACGTAGCAAAAAATAAAACAGAAATGGAGTTGCGAGAGAAAATCAGAGAATGCACGATGAATTCCAGGAAACTCGAGCAGTTAAGAAATGAAAAAGAATTTCATATGAAATCACAAAATAAAATTGACCAAAATATAAACCTGTACGACAGCTTCGGTAATGAATCTATTTCTAGCCAACGAAACGAATCTTTGACAGCAAAGGAGTTTGAAAGAGCTTCAAAATACGCCAATGACACGAGCATTGTGGAGATAACGACACCTGTATTCAACAATGATAGAGTTCATAAGCACAAGGTAGGAATACATATATAAAGAAAACATTTCATTGGAACATTACAACCTTTCAACTCAACTGTGTAATATACTTGCTTTATTTAGGCAGTAGAGAGTGAAATGAACGATTTTGATACACAATCCATCGTGTATTTGAACAACAATAAGCACACAAATCTACAGATGACAAGAAACATCATCAATAATGATTTTGGAAGCGATAAATACCTTGGAAAAACGTACTGGGAAACCTTAGAGTTTTTAAAGAAAAAATAAACAATAGGGATCAGGTTGCACGGAACCTGGATAGCAAATTTTTTCGAACGGTTAAAAAACTTCTTAAAAAGGAAAAATAAAAGTTTTGAACTGAACAATCACTGAAATATAAAATATTGCTTCAGGATTACGAAATTTCTATGTCGTAACGAAAATACAAAGATGTTTTTTACAAGTTTGAAAATTTTACCATCCAATTGATAACTCTATCCAAGCTTCGTGCAACCGTCTCCAGGTCTATACACACATAAACACCTTCACAGCGATCTGCGCTGCAATGTTTATCAAATAAGAAAGTTCACGACCTTTAAGAGCATGTGTATAAAGGTACATAAGGTTTCTGAAATGCGGATGTAAGAAATTTTGAAGCAAAGCAAGGAATTTACAACATGATATGATTTGCATTAAATAACAATGGTCCTAAATGAAGCGATACAATTACAAAAGATTCCCCAGCATGGGGCCAAAACATCGCGTGACATGATCATATGAAGATCACAAGCTATATACATGTACAAAATCATAACAGAAAATGCAGCAAAGAGATATAAATGACGATTCTTTGGTGTATTACGATGCACAATCACAAAATCCACGAAGGACGACTGTCGTACGAACACTTCAAGGATTATTGATAGTTGTCGGTATCGCGGGAACTTGGGTTGGTTCAACACAATTTATCAAAAGTACATACACCAAGAAATTTAATGCGCCGTGGTTTGTTATGTGGTTTAAAACATCATGGATGTCACTAAGTTATCCAGTCGTGTCCATCTGTTTTCGTTTTGTAACAGGTTGTAGTTTCAAGAATATCTTTGATAAAGCTCAAACTGTGTTTGGTGATCGCGGTGTTTGTCCTATGACACTGCTCACGCGATGTCTACCATTTGTTATATTATGGTGTGCTTGCAACTATTTGTATGTTCGTGCATTGTCCGTGTTATCAGCAACAGATGTCACGGCGTTGTTTAGTTCGGCTCCAGTCTTCGTTTACCTGCTATCTTTGATACTTCTCCGTGACGACATCTTTAAATGGCGGTGTCTTTTTGCAACGGCGATGTCAGTCGCCGGTATCGTCGTTATAGCATACAGCAATGGTTTCAGAGGACCATCAGCAGTCGGTATCATCTTGGCCGTTGGTGCTGCCGTACTGGCAGCTGTATATAAAGTGTCGTTCAAAGTCTCCATTGGAGACGCGAAAATACATCAAGTCAGTTTATTTCTGACTTGTCTTGGCTTAATAAATCTTCTTGGTTTATGGCCCATGATGGAAATAATGCATTTTACACGATATGAACATATCGAATGGAACGCAATTCCGTGGCCTTATTTGTGCGCGTGCGCTGTACTTAGTGTCATGTTCAATTTCCTAATCAATTTTGGTATAGCATTCACCTTTCCTCTCTTTATATCATTGGGAACAGTACTGGGGATTCCCCTGAATGCTGTCGTAGATACCATAGCTCGAGATGTAGAATTTACTTTCTTGAAAGGTCTAGGTGCCGCCTTCATCGTGCTTGGTTTTATCCTCATGACGTTTCGTGGAAAACAACGGCAATTGGACGATGACGAGAGTGAAGAGCCAATCATGAGTTCAGCTTTGAATAATCCTTCTACTCAAGAAAATATAAAGTTGAACATTTGAAAACAATCATTACGAACTTTGAAATAAAGCTAGAATACATTAAGGTTATTTTTCTTCATATCACACACTAAACTAAACATAACTGGAAGGGTATCTTCCGCAAAAATTTGGAGCAAGCAATTAAACTAGTTATAGTCTTTCCCCACACGGCTCAAAGAAAGTTCACTTGCAACAATAAGCAAAAATGTGTAACTTTACCTTCAGACACGTGTTTGGGGAAGAGTATAGCTTCATGCAAGTACAGGAACGGTTATGGTAACATTCCAGTTATATTTAGTTCAATGTGTGAAATAGAGATCAGTGATTTTCTAATTAGGTCATCAAAACCATTGCTGTCATTAATATAAACAATTAAAAACTATTTATTTGCATGTAAATGATTCTTTAAATCTCAAATCAAAAAATGTTTTATAGCTACAATAAAATGATGAGAATTGATGATGATTTAGAACCATTGTTTTACAATATTGTGTTCATTTCAACCAATGAAAAAAACTGTTGTTTTAAAAGTAAATGCAAACTCACTTCTATTATACTTTTCAATCCATTCTCATCCCAACACTTGACAAGGGGTGAGTTGGGATAGACAAGGATTACAATTATGTAATGTCTCTAACTAACATTTGAAATAAATATTACAAATGTATGCTTGAAGTTTGGAAAAAATCTTCAATCATTTTATCATCAACTAATAGTAATAATGTTCCATAAATGAATTCCTCAAATTAAACTACATCCTGACATTTCTTGTATGTTGGTGCAGTACAATTACCAAACTATTTCATCACTTTATTCACAATCTTGACCAAAGTAGTCAATTGTTTGAAGGAAGAACTTTTTTAAGCCATACTTTAATGTCTTTCATTTCCTAAAAAACAATTTCTTTTCTCAAATTACATAGGCACCATGGAAGATTGATAATTGGGGAAGTGGGGGGCGGGGGGGGGTTAATCCGTATTCATATATGCATCATATGCCATTTTAAGTTCTTTTGAAATCAATTGTTTGACCCCCCAATGATGATAACTCTAACTCTTTAAGAAGTTTAATGATACAATGCAGTGTGCAAATTAACGGTGTGCAATGTGCAATTTGCACATCGTTTTAGCTAAAATGAAGACAATTGCACATCACTTTTTCAAACAATGTGCAAAAATAAGCGGTTTTAACGAAAAACACTATTGTAAATCATATGAATTTGTTCACGTTTAAAAATATTAATTTAGCAATTAGCGCTATATAATAATTAACGTAATATCGATTTGATTATGCCTCTAAAGAAACACTTTTGTCAAAAAAATTGCATATCGCTTTTCTGAACTAATTCGCACACTGATACAATGTATATATGTTAACATTTGAGAAGACAGCATTTAATAGTTAATACAACAGATTATAGTCAATGATTTGTTCCAAACCTGTAAACTAGAGCTGTGACCAAGACCTGGATAAGAATTAAATTCAAAGTTTGTGTTTGGTAGCGACTGAATCAGATCAGCAGACATTTTTCCAAATTGAAAAGGAACCACAGGATCTGCCTGGCCTTAAGAATCAAACACAATGATATCACCACACAGGTAATTACATAAAACCATAACATACCAACTGAGTTACCACATAGTAAACCACATACCATGGCATTGAAATATTGGTGTAATGGAGTTCAATTTTGCTGATTGTGGAAAACTCTTGTTCATTGGTAACCAAGTGCTAAGGGCAAGTATACCACCAATGTGTTTACCACAAGTTAAAGACGTATAGAGTGCTAGAGCACCTCCTTGAGAAAAGCCTCCTGGATGAATGAAAATGTTCGACTTTCACTTGTTGTGTTATTTTAACAACTAATGTGATGATATTATAATGAATAAAATGAACAATTTACCAACAACAATTCTGTTAGCTGGAACTTTCTTTTCTTCTTCTTTTATTAAATCTTTTACTTAAGATGAAGGAAAAAAAACATAAGTCATCATCAATGTAACTTGAGGCAAAACAATCAAACAGGAAATATTCCACATGAAATGTGGTAAAATAAAAATAAAAATAAAACCTGCTTTTTTCAATTATTATAATTGTGTGATGAGACAAATTTATGAAAAATTTTGCAAAGTAAAAATGTTATTGCACCAATGTCCATGTTTTCATTAATTGTTTGCCTTATTGACTTTAAAATCACATCAAAGACCCATATTCAACAGATTTAATGAAAAAGTGCGCCTCCACATACATTCACTGGCTGCTTTCTTTATACCAGCTTCATCTTCTTTACCATTTGGACTCAGAGAATACAGGTCAAACCATGATGGCATTTTTAAACCACCATTTAGAGTGACAGGTGCTACAGGACTGAGAAAGCAAACCCTCTTGTGTCATTACTGTCAAAGAAACTTAGCACAAACAACATGATATTACAAACACTTACGCATTTGGAAAAATGTACTTAATGTGAGGTTCTTTGATGTTTTCAAAACCCACAGACCAACCTTCCCCAGTGTCACCAAGGCCATGCAAAAAAATAACCTTTGAAAGAAATTTATCAGAAATATAAAAAATTCAACAAGTCAAGTAACATCATACCTGTACTCCTATTAATAATTAATGATGCTTCAATGTTTACAAAATATTTTGGCTTAAATCAAAAGATATTACCCAATTTAATACGATCGATATTCAATTGAACAATGAATAAAAATCATGAAGTTTTATCATTTGTTCGAACTTGGACTAAAGTTTGATAAAATGGCTCAGAGCAAGTTTTTAAGCTGCATACAATAAAGAAATGTATATGAATACAGTTCATGGAAAAAATGCTTTTGTATTGCTACAATAATTTTGATATTATAAAGTACGTACATGGAAAAACAGAACATAATTTCGCTTACCGTAGCTGTATGTTGAGCAGATGGTTTTACAATAAAATTTCCTGCCATTTTCGAGATAAAACTGACCATTAAAATGAACAAAACTTCCCTAAGATATAAATCCAGCCTTTAAATTATCATACACTGTATAGTAAGTGATAATAAAGGATGTATAAAGTGAAAATGATGAAAGAAAAACTTAGAAAAATTACTTTTGAACAATCCTAATTCATTAATATATGCTCATGATGACAGGTATTATTGCGCAGGCGCAGAGGACTGGGAGACTGGAACAGAACAGAAGCGCGGCGAATTCAAGATGGCGGACAAGACGCTGGAAAAAACTCGTAAGAGAAGGCATTTTGAAATGGATAGCGCACGACAATCGCCCTTCCAAAGTCTCGAAATTGTAGTCAATCCTCGGGCATAGTTTCAAAAGCACCGCGCGGTCTTAACGTTACTGAGTTCGCCGAGTCCAGGGCATTGGAAATTCAAAATATGACCCAGGCGTTGTCAATGGCTGCGAAGCAGAGTAATAAAAGAGTATTTCAGTCATTACCTCGACACATGAGGAGACGTGCAGCCAGTCATAATCCCAAGCGATTACCTGTTAGACTAAGAGAGGCACATAACCGAGAGGTGGGACATTTTAATTACGTTATGTTTTCGTCAGACACTGAGTGAAAAATTAACTGGGTGGTTTATAATCTCGAAATAGATCATTTATAATGACCAGATATGATTTAAATAAAACGTGATTAAAACCGTTATGAAACTATAGGGTAACAGCCATCGACATAAAATATCACGTTTATTTTCCCTGTCTACATAATTTCCTACTTCGTAAATACCGTTTGTTTGCAAACCTCAACTTTAAAGAATTTTTAGTTATATGAACCTTTTCATTTCAGGTCTCCAAATCGCAAGAGAAGCAGAAAGAGCCTTTGAAACAAAAAAAATCACGCCGACATCGACGGAAAGTCGGCAACCTTCTCAAAGAGTACATTCGACGTCAAAAGAAACATGTTTGGCTAGAGACGCATGTTTGGCACGCAAAACGCTTTAAAATGATGGAGAAATGGGGCTATAAGATTCCACTTCATCCTAATGATAAGAGCGTACGTGCTTCTTATAGAGCGATGGCGTATGGTTGTCTTCTGCAGGTTATTCATACTAAACATTTTGACTCTGAAGATGACTACCGCTAAGGTTGTCGAAACGTCAGTCAACAACAACAAAAACAGTCCTTCTCAGGACTATACCAACCTGGACGATCTACATTTACAAACATGTAACGATACTCCAGGGTTCAAACCGTTTACTTTACTAAACCTTGTAATGTTTTGAAGACAGATAACGTAAAAATAGTGCTTACATTGTTCAATCTTTAGAAACTCTTTTCTTTCAGGATATATCTTACTATCAATGCATCGAAATTGAAGGAAGAGAGAATTTGATGTTGGCTGCAATGAAACATTTGACAAATAATGAAGTTGGTAAGTCTCCTAATGACATAGAGAATATTTAGATTGTTATACAAACGATGTTTCTTGGTTATTTTAGGTTTGACAATGGCCGCTGCAGATTATAGGACTGGACAATACGAAGGTCGTACTATACTCTATCGTTGTGACAAATATCCCAATCACGTCATCGGACCAGTCATGTTTCTATGGCAACAGACAGTAATATTTCGCATTTTTAGCTCGCGTTACAAGTGCTCGAACTAATGACAAAAATGTGATTATCTGCATTTTCAGCTTGATAGAGAAAGTTCTCGGAAACTTTGGGTGTGGTCACATCCGTCATGCGCAGACGAAGTTGCACAGGAAATACAACAAGCCTGTTCCATTGAGGCTTCAACGGAATTTATCAACACAAAACCGTGGCAATGCAAGGACGAAGGCTCAATAAGCGAGGAGTCTTCCACGAAGATCACAGCAAATGAAAACAACGAGTCTGAAGCTGAAAAGAAAGTTAAGTCCACGCCATTATCTGGGAATGTTAAGGATAAAAATCAAACTGAAGAGGGACGCAATAGGATGGATAACGAGAAAACAAATACTTCATTTAACCACAATGAAAAGAAAGAAGGTCTTACAGTGACGGTCATTCACGAAGAACTAGTAAGATTTCGTTTGACTGGACCGAAATCATACACTCTTTTGGCGGCCACATTGGAATTGTGTAATTGGCGTGTGAAACAAGTTGGATCGCGATGGTGGGATAGGTACATTGAAGATAAAGATAGGATCAAGATTATTGTGGAACAAAACAAAAATTGGGAACAAATGAAAGGTTTGATGTCACCTGGAATGTTCAAAGCTGGCACCGTGATGGCGTTAATAGTGAAGGATCCAAGGTTTGGTTTACCTGTAAGAAAATCCAGCATTGATATGGCGTCTGAAGATATCTACAACAGTAAGTCTGTCGGATTACTTGATTGTGTTTGGAGCAGTGAAGAACGAGAGGAGAATGGAAACGAATCCTGGTATAAAACGTTCTTTTTATGCTTTAGATAGGACGTCTACTGATATCGTCATTCCAGACAGTTCACCATCTCCATTCTCTCCACTCTGGAACTCCGAGATTCGTAAAGACGTCAAGAAAAGCAAGATACCTGAAAAAGATCTTAATAAATTGCGTTCACAGCAACGTGTTCCTGGTACAAAACTTGATCTTGGATATGATACGCCTAGAATTCCTGTTTTGATTATCCAACAACCTGGCAACGAAGGTAAGTGTTACATGGGATTTGCTGGCAAAATGGCTGCACTATAACAACTTTTTTCCCTTATATTTTAATGAGAATAGCCATTGCTATGTTTTAGTGATCTCCGGACATTTCACATAAGCATTATTTCTTTCCATTGCAGAAAACCTTCAGAATTCTTCTCTCTACTTTGGCAGCGGTTGTGATATAGTACTTCCTGCCTCGTGGAGTATGGCATTCTGGATAGCTCTTGTTTATCGTGGGGCGCGTGTGGGCGGTGCACGTGAATTGTTGACATGTTCACGTGAGAAAGGCGTGCCGCATTTTCCATGTGATTTCCCGGATACGAATGCTGGCTTCCAGCACAATGAGGAACTGAAAAGGAGTGAAGAGGATCAATTTAAACGACATCCACCAGCAAAACGGCCAAATTACGACAAACTTGGGATAACTTCTCCATTTGGTCCTGACTGGAATACATTGGTTGCAGAATGGTGTGGTGAGGTTGAAAGACTTGTGGTGTTGATAAAAAACATGATTGAATCCAACAATTTCACCCTTAAGACAGAGACGGCTGATTCTGAGAAAACCATTCATACGGATACTGGTGAATCTTCAGAGTCCAAGATATGTAGAAAGGATAATACTGAACACCATTGTACAACAAGGGATAGTTTAAGTGGTAATGAGGACAATAATAAAACTGAGAACACCAAAGAAAATGTTATAGAGTCAGACATACACTTCAATGTCTTACGATCGTTGTCGATACGAAGATGTCTTCGGGATATCACGGGAAGTTTATCACCGGGTAATTTATCATCTTGTAAAAAGCGCCGAGGTGGGACTAAGTCAAAACATGACATTCTAAAGTTTCTTTTAAACAATGTCTCTTTGAATTCTCGATGTTTGATCCATCTTCATGTTCGTCCTTTGATGAAAGGATCTCCTCAGAATAACGCCATATTATTCCTACCGACAGCAGATGATTTGATGAAATTACAGCAGGATAAAAGCTACGGTGGTCCGGTGGAACATGTACATAAAACTTCACAAAGCTCAACAGTGATTGGTCAATCATCTCGGAAAACTGTTGGCTGGATTACATCCGGCCAGTTTTCTTTTACACGTGGTCAAGGTTCAGCTATTGGTTTATGTACTTTCCCCGCATTCAGTGAATTGGTTGTAAGAACTTTACGGATGAAAACCGGTCTTCTTCTTCTCGTGAGAAACTCCAACACATTTCAATATCGATTTGCGAGTGTTATCGTTGTATGAACGTCCATAAAATACTTTAAATCAAATATTTATTATTGTGTATTTAGATTATTGTGTGAAGATATAACTTGTAAAGGTTTTGTTCAAAATAATAACTTCTTCGGGATTTTCCTCGTCCTTTTTTGACCGAATTCTAAAGTTTAAGTTTCAATTCTGAATATGCACTTTTCAAAAAACTTTTTCACCTTTCATTTTGATTAAATCACAAAGAAGCACAAAAAAAATACGAAAGCTACAAACAATATCAATCAGAAATGCAAGCCTTCAAAACTGTCAATCAAATCACAGTTTTCTGTGGTAATGGATAGCAGCTGATGCAAAGTTATATGAATAATCGCCAATCGTTAGCAATCAATATTTAATCGTATAGTTTTAGATAACAGATGAATGAGCCACATCATCAACATCACACGAATTGACGGTATTTCAAAAATGCTGCGTAAATTTCTAAAAGTGATAACTGTTTGTACTTTATTCGTAGATGTTGTACAAACAAGAGAGAAAAGAGCAGAAAATTGCTGGCAAAGTGTTCAATCAATTTACGATTACGGAGATTATAATTTATGGGGACGAGCAATTCACTTTAAGAACTTTCAAGATAACATTTTGCTACTGGTAAATGTCGCCACGTTCTGTGAATATTCAAGGCAATATCAAGGATTAAATAGACTACAAGTAAAATACCACAATAAAGAACGCTGTGGACTGAAGATATTTGGAATTCCGTGCAATCAATTTGCACACAAAGAGCCTGGAAACGATGCTGAAGAAATTTACAACGGTTTAAGATACGTCAGACCAGGAAATGGGTTCGAGCCTAAAATAACGTTACTAGAGAAACGAGACGTGAATGGAAATAAGGAAGACCCGCTTTATACTTGGTTAAAGGTGAGACAAATGTCTGGTAGTTGTGTACAATTACGTAATGATATGCTTATAGAAGGACTGCGTCTTATAATTCAATAGTGCATGGTCAGTTTGATGAAAAATACCAGACGGAAACTTATAGTGCTTACACACTCAAATCAGTGCATGTGATCTCTGTATGTTAGTATTCTGTGAAGGATTTTAACAATTGCATGCACCAAATCTTCACAGCATCACTTCGACATTGGTATGACGTCACTAATGTGTTTTTTCTGTCTCAAAAACAAAATATGCGAGAGAGAAACTTCTTAACGTAAAAGCTATAAGAGCTAACTTAATTACATAGGGATACCTTAGCTGACGGTTGAAATCTCAAATTCAAATTGATTTAAAGTGTGCCGAGTTTTATTGCTGGTAAATGTTTGGGTATTCTTCGTGATTTATTAAAGAATAATGTCGAGATAATGAATTTTCTTAATCACTAAAGATTTTTTTCAAGAGGAAATCGAAATTCATTGCCTTTTATCAATGACGTAATTTCTCATTTCATGAGTAAACCATTCAAAACACAGACAAAAAACGAAGAAGTTACTAGAATTTCCTATTTTTTCCTCATAGACCAGCTGTCCTTCACCCAATCTCGCCATCAACCAACTCTCGGACATAACTTACACTCCAGTTCGCAATAACGATATCAGTTGGAATTTTGAAAAGTTTCTTGTAAATCACAAAGGGAAACCATGGAAACGGTTTACGTCAGCCGTGGAGCCCGAAGAAATGATTGAGGAAATTGAGAAACTTATTGAAATGTGCAAATCATGACTTCGATAATATCTCCATTCAAAAGTAACCTGAACGTCAATAGAGAAACAACTTTTGCATTTAAAGAGAAAAAGTTATAAGTTAAAATGTATATATTGTAAGAATTATATTGGACTAACTCATTTAACGTGAGTCGAACATTGTAGGCTAAGGAGAACAAGAAAAAACAATTGGTTGTATGTACAATACTTCATTTAATTTGGTTGTATGTATAATACTTCATTTAATTTGGTTGTATGTATATAATATATAAACATATACAAAGTGTATTACAATGTGCCCTCCTAATATATATACATAATATGTATAATTAATTAGTTCATGTCTGCCTGCTTTCGTGTTCAAAACATACATTTTATTAACTAGATATACTCAGTTATGACAAACTCTAGAAGCACATAAAGTGTCTCTCATTGTTTCAGAATGTAATGTCGACAACATAAATATATTTATTCTCGTTGAGTAAACATAATTTAACGACTCATTATTGCAAGCACGTGCACTTCTGATAATTCTATTGTACAACAAGGCTAAGGGAAAGCGATAAGGAAAGCAATTATAATTTGTCATTTTCCACATTTCTAGCCAATAATTATCGAGAAGTTTAGTCACGTGCTCGAGAAGAAGTATCCTAGTCGCTGAGCCACTATCACAAAAACCTAAAACGCGTGACGATTTTATTCTCGTACTCTCGTTCACCATCGAAGTGTGAAATAAAAGTCGTCATCATCAACACTTTAGTGCGAGAAACGTACGAGTTTAAAGTAAGGAGGAAATCCAACTGTACCCTTTTCTGTTACATCTACAGGTCTGATACATTTTCGTCACAATTGCTGATACAAGAGTGCTACGGGAATTTCATTTAAAGTCACAGAAATTCAAATACAATGTTTGCAGTTTATTACAGGTGATCGAGAATGTACAGAGGAGGATGTCAAAGACATTTCAAGATAAAAGGGAAATTCTTGTGAATAAAGTTAAAGCATAAGATAAAACATATGTCTTCATCGTGTTGAAGGAGTCGCTTTGACAAAACCAAGCGACGCTTACTTCATTAAATAATCAATTTACATAACAGAGAACATGCAAATCTTGTTTACAAGACATACAGCAATATGTCAGAGTTGATGATAAACCACTATAGTGAAAAGCAATTTCAATGAAGTTGAACGTAAGGACGTTGACGAGTATTGTGATTTTCATCACACTATATACTGCATGTGTTGTGCTCTATGTAACTTATACAGATCAACAGATCCTCCTGAAAGGGGAAAGGAAAATTAATAATCGTACAACATTAATACGAAGGAAATGGAGTCATAGAAAACGTGCCACATTACAAGCAATGACAGATGATATGAAAGACAATATAATTCGCCACTTACAGAAACGGGTTAATTTTTTGCTTCGTGAGTTGAACAGCATTAAGAATAAATGTAATTTACAAGAGGAAAGAGACGACACGGTTCCAGGTAACGAAGACTTAGAGTCCAACACAAAGTTAAACAATGGACAAGTTATCGCTAAAGCTGATTTTCTCACATCCTACAGTCGACGAACGACGTTGCATATAATATGTTTTCGGCAGAAAAACTTTATCAAGTAAATTCTATCGCTCGTCCAAGTAAAGTTTTCACAAAAGAAAGTTTTCAGAGACAAGGAAAGCACGAACATCTATCACGTGCTTCAGATGAAGCGAAGATATTTGTTAAGAAATCTATGAAATTCACATCAAATGTCAATCTAACATTAAAAACGGGCTTGTTTCGTGAAAATGCAAACCTTGGTGTACAGTACGAGATTCATTTAGAAGCAAAGTCGGCAAACAGACGCGAAACCTATGGTGTAACACTTGCACAACCTTTATCCCCCTTTGTCCTACTTTCTCCACCTGTAAAACAAACCTCGATACATTAGTGAACATCATTGTACCACTACAAGGAAGGCTGGAGCGATTTGAAGAATATCTCCATCATTTCAAACGCGTTTGTCTGCAACGCAACGAAAACGTATACCTTACGGTGGTATATAGTGGTGAGAAAGGAGTTAAGAATGTGCTAAAATTGTTGAATAATTTACGAAAAGAAACGAGCTTTACAAACTTCAACCTATTGACGAAAAAAGAAAGTTTCAATCGTGGACAATTACTTCATGTAGCAGCAACTCAGTGGAAAGGTGATGAAAATGTGTTGATGTTTTTTGTGATGTAGATATCTCATTTGAACCGGATTTTCTCGAACGGTGTCGCATGTTTACAAAACCAGCGGGCTCAGTGTACTTTCCAATCGTGTTCAATTACTACAATCCATACTACGTACGACAGGAAACAGATAAATTATGGAAAATATGTAAGTTATCAAAAGGAATATTTATTAAGTCGTTAGTTTAAAACAAAGTCTGAAACTCACACAAATAGATGATATATATTTCAGCCAGAAAGACCGGATATTGGCGTATCCATGGGTACGGAATGGCGTGTCATCATCGTCAAGATTACTTTCGTGTTGGTGGCTTTGACCTCAATATCAGTGGATGGGGAACTGAAGACGTCAAATTGCATCAAAAATATGTCAGACAAGGCGAAATTCGTGTCATACGAGCACCGGACAGCGGTATCTTTCATCACTTCCATCACAAAGAGTGCAGTACCACGTTACCAAAGAAACAATATCGCAACTGCGAGTCTTCGCGACTCAACACAGAAGCATCAAAATACCAATATGGAAGAGAGGTTTTAAGACTTAAGAAAATGATGAAGAGTTTCGTGTAAGATATAGAGCATTAATACAGTGATTATCTTTGTTCAAATATTAAATGGATTGGATCAATTATCACTCCAGTAATATCCTGAAGTCAAGTTTTGAAATTTTTTATACGTCATTAAAATATATATTATATATTTGTTATATATGATGAGAGTACCATGCCCGCATGGCGCTCATTTACGTATGAATGTAGTGGGTCATTCTTGCTGTTAGACAATGTTTCGGCTCGCCAAAAATTTCAGTTCATCAAACTTTTCGGTTCGTCAAATTTTTTGGCCGGTCAATAATGTTTAGCACAATATGTAAGACGTGGCCAGCGAAAAACCCCAAGCAGAACCTTATTTTTATTAGAGTATAAGAACAAACGTAATATCATAATGACTTCCAACCTTCGTTAGTCTTCACGTGTATCCACGAAGATCCCCCGCTGTATCATTCCACAGCAAACCCAAGATAGGCCTTGTCTTTAAACAATTCTTTTGTAAGTTGCTTGAGAAAACGAGGTCCGTCCAAAAGGCAATTTTCTGGATTCACTATGAACTTACAAGCAAACTCAACATGTTCAACACAACTTACATAAGTTTTATTCGAGCGCAGCGACTCCAAATTACGGAACGCAGTTAGAGTTCTTTGTGTGGCGACCATCTCCGATAATATGCCAGGCTGCTAAGAAAATAGGCTTTAAAAATACTGTATTCAGAAGCAATAACGAACGTTGAATCTGCAAATTCCATATTAGAAATCCAGTAAAACAGTTTACTTACGTTTTTAAGAGAAACATTTTCAACAGAACTCGCCTTTATTCTTAGCTTACCAAATGATGTTACTTGAGCTGAGAGAAAAGTAGCTAAAGCCCGAGATAGAAAACGAAAACTACATAAAGAAAATAAAGCGTTTAATAACTTTTTCAGTCAGCAAATATTTCAAATCCTCATCATTCTTACCTTGGACTTAGTGGAGATTTTCTACCTAAACCAATTACCCCTAATAATCCAGTCGTAACCCTGTCTTCCCCCACATGAAGTATGTATGGCACAAGAAAGTCGACTTGTTGGGTAAGATCTCGCTGTTTATTTTCGCTGCTCATCAAACGAACAAGAAGCTCCAAAATTTTATGCCACAGTAAAACAATTTTACTTTCCATGTCCGCGTTACTAAATAAGAAAAAGATTATGACGATGATTTCGGACGTCTTTTTTAATTTACTTTCGATTTAAAGAATCTTTACATCATTTGATTTACATCTATAACCTACACATTTACATAATATATTAATCCTAACACGGTTTTCGAATATGCACATGAAAAACATGTGACTTGGACGAGATTTGAACTCGCACCTTCGGGATACTAGTCCGCCGCTCTACCTGTTGAGCTACAAAGCCCACAAGAATTGGAGACGAGTCAAATCTCTTTTAAACTGCGTATGGACGAGAGATTCTTGCCACTATAGCAGTTTACTGGATGGCACCGTGTTTCGACTTTATTCCAAAGCCATCATCAGAGTAAAAGAGATTTGACTCGTCTCCAATCCCCGTGGGCTTGTCTCCAATCCCCCGTGGGCTTGTAGCTCAATAGGTAGAGCAGCGGACTAGTATCCCGAAGGTGCGAGTTCAAGTCACATGTTTTTCATGTGCATATTCGAAAACCGTTTTAGGATTAATATATTATGTATATACTCTGATGATGGCTTTGGAATAAAGTCTACACATTTACTTTCAACAAAATCTTACGAAATTCTCACCTTGGCTTAATACTTGCTGTCCATTTAACTAAATCCTTTAACATTTCAAATTCCTCCACAGAACTTTGACACAGAGATAAACTTTGTACAGTGTACGTATACAGAGTAAGAACAGTTAAGTTGTTTATGCATTCTAAAGAAAAAGGTTTTACAAAAAATATTAACAATTACCTCATTCCATAATTTGAACAACAGTGATATGGTGATATAAGAATATATATTCATATAAGAATATATAGTCATATAAGAATATATAGTCATATATAAATATATAGTCATATAAGAATATATAGTCATATAAGAATATACAGTGATTTAAGAATAACAAGACCAATACACAATTATGTAGCAAAGAAAAACTATTCAAAACTATTCATTATGTGTTTCACCGTTGGTTCTAGTTACCTTGTACAAAAACACGTTGAGATAGCTGAGGAACAACAACTGATCTTAGCACATCACTCCAGGGTTCGATCAAACTTTCACGTGACTCGGTATACGTAATGTTATTACTAAAATGCGTTTCTATAGCAACCTCAACGAGTTGGACCATCAAGCTAACAGTTGTAAGTGAATGACAAGAGGCTATAATCACAGCCATGATTAAATCTGTTCGTTTAAGATCACGGATTTTCTCTTGTATCGCTTCCAACACCATATCAGTGAGTTTAGCTTTGGCTGGCAAGATGTTTAAAAAATTTAAAATCTCCATGTATTGACATACAATTGCTTGAATGTTGCTCACTGGATCTGAAATAAATTGTTTTTAACATGATGTGATTTGTTTATAGACAATCTCAACATATAATCATCTGATTATATTGTTTAATAACTATGGATAATATTATAATTAAATTTAAATGAAGTATTGTCACGTCATCTTACCAACCTGAAGGGCAGGCAACTAGAACAGAGTCCATTAGATGTTCAACTATTGGACAATATAAGGTTGGGGAAAAGTCTGGAATGCTAGAACATTTGGATAATATCTTGACAATGGAGTTGAAATAGTGTAGGCGCTTCTCAGGAATATCCTACCGACAAGAAATAGTAGAAATTGTGGTTGAATATAATCCCATTGCAATCTCAATAAAAATCAATGCTATATTCAAACTAATGTTAATTTGGTTTTAAAAATCAAATACATACAGCGTAAGTTTGTTGAGTAGTAACAGAGCAGGAAGAGAGCAAACAAACGTTTTCCAGCAATCTGGAGAAGGAAGATAAATGTATTTCAAATTGAGCAAACATCAATGAATCTAGAACAGATGAAGAAATGTGAATTTACCGAACTGTGTTCCACATCGTTGAAGAGAAATCGAGAATTTGACGAGAATCACAGTTGGCTACAAACCAATCTAAGACGCTGCGAAAAGTTCTACGCAAAAAAAAACAACAGAATTTCTACGTAAAGGAAAGTGACCGATGTTTGAGAAATAGATCAATGTTGAATTACATTCCATCCAGCGCATTCCAATCATATTTCGTGGCCTTCTCTATGAGATTGGCGATTCCGTTTTCCTGTAAGGTACAAGCGTGATTTTAGAGAAATAAAGCATTACAAACACGCGTCGTGAAAAAGATCCTACCTTGGTATTTATAAACGTTTTATCGTTGTTCAGTACAATCAAAATGTTGAAAAGATGGTTTTCAAACAACCTGAAAGAGGACGCTCTTTCCATTGACCTAAAAATACATCGTCGCTAGATATAGGAAATCCATTCAAACAAGCGAATGTAAAACAGACAAGAGATTCGAAGACAGTGCAAACTTTTATAAAGTTTTAAACAAACACTGCCTTTTCGAGCATTGCATGCACAGTTCACTCAGCCAACTGTTCGACTTTATAGTCATGACTACGACCAATTGGCCTTATTTCTACCACTTTCAGAGTGAAAAGCTCGCTTAGTCACAGGAGCCGAAATCGTCAACCGAAACGTTAACATGCGACGCTCTAGTGCTCAATAACTATATAGCGATGAATGAAAAGGAAGATTTTTGTCTCTTATCACAATACTGCCAAGTGTTTATTAAAATTATTGTGAATATATGTAACTCAAATGGAAAGATTCTGATGGAAACAAACCGATAATGCTCCAAAATATCTTCCCACGGGATCTTACAAACAATGTCCAACATAAAGCTTTGACTTTTCAAGTTTGATGAACAGATCTGTAAGAGAAAGAAACATTCCATTGAACGAAAATCGTTCTTTCTTTCTATAGGACGCTAACATTACGTAAGAACGATGAGCTATATATTACCTGTGACATTGATTCCATGTGAGTGACGTTTGGATGGAACAAAGCCCATTGCAAGTGCGAAAACTTTGCGTGATACACACGATAGAAATGAGAAGGAAGCGAAGGCATGGATGAAAGTGATGTGTAGAGTTCCCAAACCAAGGAAAGGATATTTGGTCTGCCATTGGATAGAACTAACAAAAAAGACAACATAGTTCTAATTTAAAGATAACATAGTTCTAATTTAAAGATAACATAGTTCTAATTAAAAGACAAGATAGTTCTAGTTAAAAGACAAGATAGTTCTAATTTAAAGATAACACATTTCTTATTTAAAGACAACATAGTTCTAATTTAAAGATAACATAGTTCTAATTTAAAGACAACATAGTTCTAATTAAAAGACAACATAGTTCTAATTTAAAGACAAGATAGTTCTAATTTAAAGACAACATAGTTCTAATTTAAAGATAACACATTTCTTATTTAAAGACAACACATTTCTTATTTAAAGACAACATAGTTCTAATTTAAAGATAACACATTTCTTATTTAAAGACAACATAGTTCTAATTAAAAGACAACATAGTTCTAATTTAAAGATAACACATTTCTTATTTAAAGACAACATAGTTCTAATTTGTTGTCGTTAAATTGGAAATCATCAAAAGTCTTATGTTAAATTATCATATTCATAATGAAAATTCGCTTGCCGCTAGGCAAACATCTCCCTCCACATTGATCGTTTAGATAAATCTACTCTAAAATCGCTTCATATCCATGCATGGTAGAGTACTTGAAAACTTCTTAACTTCTATACATACCAGGAAGAAAATCCCCAAAATATACAAGAACTTGGACATAGAGATCGACAAACTGCAAAGCTTCAGGTTCTTCCATCTCGCTCCACGGAAGCGAGAGCTTACTACACATTAATTTCAAATGAGTAAAATATTAATTTCAAGCCGTAACTTTTTCGTTCTCTCAACTGAATGGATTGTAACAAAGGACAACGATAAAAACTTCACAATTTGACTCATTAAAGATGATGAATAAAAAATCAAAAAAAGATGTAGTACTTGGCCTGTTTGTTGATATAGAAGGGAGAAATCCATGGAAAGAAGAAATCAGAGATGCTGTTCCATAAAAATTTTATCACTGAAAAGTAAATCGATCCGCAGTTCTTTTGTACCGTCGAACAACAAAACTTGAAAAACCATTATAAAAAAATTACCTTCAATATTTTGCTCGGAAAGCTGCATTTCGTATGCAGCAATACTCTGACGTGACGTATATTCATAAAGCGCGCTCAACGATCCAAGATACGGCTTCCAAAAGGTAAACAGTCCTTCGTTAGATCCAACGGGACAAGATTGCCGTTGATCGTTAAAATATTTTGTCAACCATGATATAGTCTCGATAACCTATGTAGAATGAAAGCACGCAGTTAGTATTGAAAGTTTGAAGTCAGTATACGGGTGGCGCTATGTTTAAAGTAATAAACCATATCATACGGATATATCACATTAAAAAAAGGTCTAAATCAAGTCTTATCAAGTTTTAAACCTTAATTTCATTTACCACCCCAACCCCCATCATACCTGTTCATTTCTTATAAGAAACGGGGGGTATGTATTTAATTTAAGTTCTCGTTTGCTCAAGTCTTCAACCAAAATCCTTGTCGTAATAAGAAATTCGTTCCAAGACTTCACGCAAAGACAGTGATTGGCAGATCCTTAAGAGATAAACAAGAAACACAGTAAGATGTGAGATGGTGATGAGATTATGTTACATACATTATTAAAGAGACCATACATGGTTCACATGGTTAAAGATTTAACAAAGATGGTAGTGTTTATATCATTAAAATTTACCGTGAATGAGCAAACTTAATGTTTCACCAAATAAGTCGGGAAATTGGTATTTGAGAAGAACGCTCGATTTCCTTAGGTAGTTCTATGGTAAAATATTGTCATTATTAGGAATAAAGAAAAAAGCATCGAGTCCCCTATTCTGTAGGACCTATACAATGTACACCATGGTACATCATAGGATCCCCATTCCCATGCAACCATATTACAGAGGATTCGTTTCTTACCTCTGACAACATGGTAATTTGGACAGGAGGCTCAAAGCCACAATCACACAGCGCAGTAAATAGAACTTTCATCATTGACATCCTCTTCGATAAAGTTGGTTTGGAGTTCAGCCATGTACGGAAGTTGAACTATTCGAGGATAAGATATTTATCCTTTAAGTAATGCCTTTTATCCCACAACATCTACTAGAAATTATCCATTAAGTAAAGCCTTTTATCCCACAACATCTACTAGAAATTATCCATTAAGTAAAGCCTTTTATCCCACAACATCTACTAGAAATTATCCATTAAGTAAAGCCTTTAATCCCATAACATCTACTAGAAATTATCCATTAAGTAATGCCTTTTATCCCACAACATCTACTAGAAATTATCCATTAAGTAAAGCCTTTTATCCCACAACATCTACTAGAAATTATCCATAAAGTAAAACCTTTTATCCCACATCTACTAGAAATTATCCATAAAGTAAAACCTTTTATCCCACAACATCTACTAGAAATTATCCATTAAGTAAAGCCTTTTATCCCACAACATCTACTAGAAATTATCCATTAAGTAAAGCCTTTTATCCCACAACATCTACTAGAAATTATCCAAAGCCATCGTCAGATAATCACATTATGAATTCTGACACAGTTATACGCACATGGAAAAACATGTCACTAAGACAAAAACAACTCGTCTACATTCAGTTTATAAGCGATTTAACTCGTCTCTAATCCCCGTTGGCTTAAAACCTTAACAGTAAGAGTAGCGGACTAGTATCCCAAATGTTCTAGGTTCTCAAATCTCGTGTAAGTCTTAGCCCCATGTTTGTTTATGTGCGTATGATCATGCAGGAATTCATAACATGATTCTACTTGAATTTATATTCGAGTTTTCCTCACCTTGGAGAGTAAAGAAAATTTCACTTCAACATGGAGATTTGTATGAATAATGTTTTCGTACATTTCAGTAAAATCTTCCAAGGCAGTGCTGGGTTGAAATATTGGCAATAAAATACCAACGATTTTGGGATGGGCCAAAATAGCCCGTAAAAGAACCTCCGTTTGTGTTGGATTGTCCATAATGAAAGTCTGAAAAAAATGAGTATTTCTTGCGTCAACCATAGAGAAGTGTATGTTATGTTGTCATCAACCATAGAGAAGTGTATGTTATATTGTCATCAACCATAGAGAAGTTTATGTTATACTGCCATCAACCATAGAGAAGTTTATGTTATACTGCCATCAACCATAGAGAAGTGTATGTTATACTGTCATCAACCATAGAGAAGTTTATGTTATACTGTCATCAACCATAGAGAAGTTTATGTTATACTGCCATCAACCATAGAGAAGTGTATGTTATACTGTCATCAACCATAGAGAAGTGTATGTTATACTGTCATCAACCATAGAGAAGTGTATGTTATATTGTCATCAACCATAGAGAAGTGTAAGTTACACTGTCATCAACTATAGAGAAGTTTATGTTATAGTGTCATGAACCATAGAGAAGTGTATGTTAAACTGTCATCAACCATAGAGAAGTGTATGTTCTACTGTCATGAACCATAGAGAAGTGTATGTTCTACTGTCATCAACCATAGAGAAGTGTATGTTCTACTGCCATCAACCATAGAGAAGTGTATGTTATACTGTCATCAACCATAGAGAAGTGTATGTTATACTGTCATCAACCATAGAGAAGTGCATGTTCTACTGTCATCAACCATAGAGAAGTGTATGTTATATTGTCATCAACCATAGAGAAGTGTATGTTATACTGTCATGAACCATAGTGAAGTGTATGTTATACTGTCATCAACCATAGAGAAGTGTGTGCTGCCCTATAATCAACCATAGAGAAGTGTATGCTGCCCTATAATCTACCATAGAGAAGTGTATGCTGCACTGTAATCAACCATAGAAAAGTGTATGCTGCACTGTAATCAAACATAGAAAAGTGTATGCTGCACTGTAATCAACCATAGAAAAGTGTATGCTGCACTGTAATCAACCATAGAAAAGTGTATGCTGCACTGTGATCAACCATAGAAAAGTGTATGCTGCACTGTAATCAACCATAGAAAAGTGTATGCTGCACTGTAATCAACCATAGAAAAGTGTATGCTGCACTGTAATCAACCATAGAAAAGTGTATGCTGCACTGTAATCAACCATAGAAAAGTGTATGCTGCACTGTGATCAACCATAGAGAAGTGTATGTTATCCTGTTCACTGATATGAAAAACTCTATATTTATATTCTTAGTAAAAGGGTAAAATGTAACAAACCTTTCCGAGCAGATCCACGCATGTTGAAAAGAATTGCATTGTGGAAGGAAACTCTCTCACCGTATCCGACATTGCATCAATAAACATATAAAAAGTACTGCAGCCAATTTCTTCAAACTTTTCTAATAAAAAAATAAACATATAATTGAGACATTCGGGTCGTGGTTATCGTGAAAATCTAAAAAAAAATACTAACGAGAAATTCCTGGATTCTGACAACTCTTCCACTGCCTCAGAAGCAATCTAAAATAGAAAATATCTCCCTTGACAAAGCCAAAAAATACAGACTGTGTTTTTACACGTATTTTTACATCACTAAAATTGCTTTACACGTAAAGAACATTGAACTAAATGTATAGCTGGAGTGCTACCTTTAGGTAAACATGCCTGAGCCCGCGTATTATCTAGCTGTCGTAATAATCTTTCCTTGGGGGCGGGCGTGCGAAAGATGTGGAAGAAATGGGAAAAGCTTCAAATCTTTGACAGTAGGTAGTCTTCTAGTCATATTCAATTCAATCGTAGAATAATTTTACGCGCATCAACAGATTCGTATGATTGTACTTACGTCAGTGTCTTCTCGACGCTCAAAGCACTCAAGCAAATATCATTGGGCATTTCATGAACTATCCTTTGAGTTAAACTTTGAAGCTCGTATCGATTTCGTTTCACGCGCTCGACTAATACTTCATTCGTTTTCTTTTCTTTGAACTGGTAAAAAAAGCAAGCATTGTTATTTTTGATGTTCAGTTGTCCTTTCGTATAAAATTACACAAAAATCACCGTGACGACAATATTGGCCGCTCCTTTGCAACCTTTCTTAGACGCTCCTTGCTTATTACATGGAATATTTACACGAAGCTACAAAACAAAAAATATATTTCCAATCATCAAACTATGAATGAGAAGTGAACAATAAAGAAGTAACTTTATCTTCATCAACATAAACAAGATGGAAAGACACCGATAAAACACTACGTTTAAACTGGGAGAAACACGTTGCATTATGGCTACCTGCGTCTCTACGTTTTCGTGCATATGCCTTAGACATTCAAGGTACTCGTGATCAAGAGATGAGTGTGTGGAAAGTTTAAACATGAACTTTCTATGAAAAGAAGAGCATAATTTAACCCGTATAACTTCCAGACATATGTATGCCAACAGTTCAATACAAGAAGCTAAAATTTACAGCTGAGAAAAGTCACTTCCAGCTAATACCGTGAATTGTCGATAAGAACATCAACATTCTTCTGTAACAACTCCAATGTTTTGTATTTATCCATAAGCATTGTGACATCGCATTCTTTTTGAGGAGTCGGTAATACTTTAAATACTGGAGGTTCTTTAACATCCTTTATGGCGTCGTGAGAAGCAACACGTTCTGTTTAGAAAAGGATATAAATCACGTTACAATACAGCAATAACATTACAATGCAACAAGTAAAATTAAGGAAAAGTTTAGGAATGGATGGGGACATTTGGGGTAAGAGCAGCGGCACGGCTAGGATAATATCACGAGTTCAATTAGTGTACTACATGTGTCCCAAAAGAGAGCTAGTCTTTACGAGGTATAAAAAAATGATGCATAAGTACATACCAGGTTTTTTAATCAAAGTTCTTTTTTGTTTCGCACATATATTTCTTTGCCTTTCCTTATAAAACTTTGACCAAAATCGAAGCGTAGAGTTAATCTGATAGTCAACGGCCCCATAATCAATACAGTCAAACCACAAACTCTATATGAATAAGAAATGAGTTTATGTTATCGACATTGTATCCATATACGTCTTGCGGATTCCTTGTAATCCATACATTACCTCATCATGCTCTAGGATCCTAGCCAAACGTTCACTGTCATAGATCGAAGGAAGACCTTGTATGAATAAAGTTGGATCGTGAAGACGAGGCTCGTCTAACCATAATGATAATGTTTGGAAAAGTCTAAAAATGAAATGGGTGTATCTCTTAAGTCTGGCCATTATTCAAGAAACATTTCCTTGTATTTCTCGTGCATTGAAGGAAGATTTCCTTTAAGATGTATACTATGTTTGCACCATTGAACAATAACGCATGGAACGCTGCCTGTAATAGAAAAGCCTAGTAATTTTTCGAAGCCAAATTTTACACCCAGACACGCGTGTGTAGTCAATCAATTTTCACTCCGCGAGAAAATCTCGAAACACTAAACACGCGTGTCTGGGTGTAATCTCGCGTGTCTTTGGCTTCAATTATTTGCTTCGGGTAGCGTTCCATGTATTTTAGTTCAATGGTTTGCACAGGTTTGTGCATGGCGAGGAGACCTATGGGAGAACTCGAGAGCTGATCAGTTGCACCTGCTGATGCGAACATAGCAATAGACCAATGAACGTACGCGTTTTATTTTATTTATTTCATAATGTCGTTTATTTCTCATCTATTACATTTGGAAATAACATTTAATCTATTCATCAAACTATAGCACGGACGTCTATAGAAGCCAAAAAACATAAAAGAGCCAAGCGCTATAGCCTTGCATGATGAAACAAACACGTTTAAATATTGTTATTGAAGACAAACCTCCCAAGTTTTTTATAAAGTACTTCTGTTCCGTTCTCTGAATTCACATTTTCTTTGTAATATTCAGATGTGCCAATGAGGCGAGCTTTGAGTTTCTAAACAAAAAAAAACAAGGAGATACAACGTACATATAGTTTCTATAAAGATTTTCATGTATAAGTACTTTGAAAAAATGCTGGAAAATCAAAGTTTACCTTTAAATACGTAATGTTAGCTGTGCTCTCAAAGAAACGTAAACCAAGACTGCCGGCTTCAGAGATACTATAATTCAAAAACAAATCAAATTCATTATTATTCACTTCAACAACGCAATAAAATATCTTTTATAAACTATACTGTGTATGATATAAATACTGCATATGTAAACAGCATGTTATTATACAACGGTGATTATATACTGAATGGACATTTTTCAGGACTGAAATTATCAATTTCATTGAGTCAATTCAATGCTACGCGCCTTCTTCCGAAAAGGCTCAAAGCACTTAATAAATATGCCAGGATTGTACCTATTTAGAAATGCTATGTGCAAACACAAACTGTATATATGAATAATGTTAAATAGATCATCGTAGATAAACATCACCAAGCGTCAATGATGCTTTGTCTTACATTATATATAACTATAAACAATTTTACTGCATTGAAGAAAGGGGGGGGAGGGGTGATGGATGAAATTTTTTCCCCGTTCATTCAGGAGGGGAGAGGGCTGTCTAAAGATAGCTAATAATAGAAAACTGAAAACAACATTACGCATATTCAAAGGAAGGTATATTTTTATTGATAATAATGAAATAATATATTTATACGTTTATAAATATACCACAAGATCGTACAAAATTGTGATGAGCGTGCAATAATAGCATGTCATATATTGCTGTAAAAAGGTATGATTTTGATATAGTGCTGTAAGAAGGTATGATTTTTTAATGTCTTCATGAAATGCCAGAGTTCTAGTTGGTTCACCAACGTTCTTTTTAACTGAGAGGTTTTTGAAAAACTCCACATGACCTGACTTGCTAGTTCCTTTCTAGTTCATAAACAATAGTTCACGAAAAACGTTTTTTGAAGCATGTAAATATAGACTTCCCGTTGTCAAATATTATAGAAATACCGCAAATTCCACGTTGCGTGGGTGAAATGTTTTTATATTATATTGATACAATTAAATGTGATAAATATAACTATTTGGATGAAGACATATTTAAATTACACACTATATACACAAAATATCTATGATAAGTCTCAAGGTGGATGTGAAGGAAGAGATGAAATGCTTAACGTTAAAGGATTTGAAGTGGACACGTCGGTACACATGGGGTGATTTGGACAAGGTTCGGATGGCGTGCTGGATTCAACAGGATACTGCGGCGGTTCACTCGATGGATTATCAGATACGGTCTGTCCTGTCGCACAAGCTTCATTGTAGGATGGTAAGGAGTATGCGTGAATAACATCATCATACTTTGGTGGATCATCGGGGTACGCTGGTGGATTTACGGTGTCGAATGCTGGCAATGTATGAGAGTTGATTGCGATATCTTGACGACGATTTTGTGATAAGGTAGTTTTAAGACGTAAGCAACAGCAACAAATCACCAATACCCAAACAAATATAATAATACATCCAACCATCCATGCCAGATAGTCACTGCCTCCTTTGCTATAATGATTCGAACTAGTGACGCAAACAATCAAACTAAAAAATACCAAACATTTAAAGATCGCCATTCTCTATCATCAGGAAATCAAAAAAACGACCTTTATAATCGAAGGACTTCCTCCACATAAGCATGAGCTGCATAAAAACGAAACTTTCGAGCGACCTTCCTTAAATTAAATGACGCTGTTCTTCATGCGATTACATAAAGAAATTATAATAAGTAAGGAATCTCCACAAAGAAATTTTTATGCATGAGCCATGGGTGGTAGAAATGTGAATAATTTCATCGCGAGATAATTTAAACAATTTTATCAACGAAAACAAGACGACCATCGTCCTACGCACGTTCGATGCATCGAAAATTATCACGAGATGTTCCTCGCACAACGAACAGTGCAACAGATGGTTTTGTTATGGAAGCACAAAACAAAACAAATGTTGGCATTGAAGCGTTTGCATGACGGATGACGATAAAAGAATTAATTGAGTTAATAATGATAAACAATTGATTGGACATTGTAAGGACAATATTCAAAAGTTTCTTACTGGTGAAATGCACCTAAGTTGACGACGTGGGTAAAGTGGACATTTGTAGTATAACAGGGTCTGACGGGGATACTTCGGTACACTCAGAATAGCTTGGCGGAGAAACGGTTAAGGTGTTAGTTTGGATTGAATGCGATGATTCATGTAGAGAAACCCACTTCATTGATTGATGTATCGTGAATGCTTCATACTGGGATGGTTGTGGATACATGTGACGAATGTCGTCATAATTTGGTGGATCATCAGGGTACAAACGAGGGTTATCCAGGCCATTACTTTGTGATAAACTTGACAGGTTAGTACGGTAACTTATTAAAATGGGATCAGTTTGTGTTTGTGTTCTTCTTCTTCTGAGGTTTAGCGATCGACGTTTCCTACATTGGTTAATGACATAAGTCAGACAACAACAGCTCGCTACGATTACAACAAACATAGCCAAAGATATTATTAAAACCAGGACTTCGTCATCGGGTTCGCATTTAACGCCAATAATTAAACTAAAAAATATCAACAATCCCAACAATTTCGCCATTGTTTTATTCTTTAAAATATCCTGTAGACTTTCTGCCTTCTTTCGTCAACGGAATTTTTCTTTGTGGTCAACATCTATATAGCCAACAATGATCTTCAAGCTATCGTTTCTTTCATCCAAATTCTTTGTAAGATGGAGTATTGTGTCTCGTCGTCCGTTTTTAAATGGAATGGTAACTCAGCAACCAAAAAATTTTCAATTGTCGATCAATGAACGTCAACTGCGATGTCAACTTGAAAATTATAAAAGCTTTGATTCAATATTGTGGCCACAGATTTGCCAGGCAAAAAGAGGATTTTCATTGCAAACATAATAGGCCAACATAAGACTCTTGAGAATATTGTTATGCATAATCGTGTCAGCGTTACCATAGCACAGAATACAAAAGTCTTTCACAGAATTTTAACAAAAATACATCAAAATATTTACATGAAACATGCCTCTAATGTGACTGCGAAGGTAGAGATGATACTTGAAGTAGTACAGGATTTGACGGGGAAACTTCGGAGTAACTTGGAGGAAGTAAGGATGGTGTTGTGGATTCAATGGGATCAGGCAATAATTCCTGTGGATTCACAATAGACGTGGGTTGTTCTTCTGTGTAAGCTTCATTATAAGAAGGTAATGTATACAAATGGAAAATATCCTCATAGTTTGGTGGATCCTCATAGTACGTTGTTTGATCCTCATAGTACGTTGGTGGATTATCAAGGTCATTCACTTGTGATGAAGTGTTATTGTTGTGGGTTGTTGGTGGAACTGTCGTTGAATTTAATGTTCTTCTCATCATTCTCGTTTCATTTCGTGTTATACTTCTATAATAAACTATACTACAAAAGCAACAGCAGAGTATTAAAGCAAAGACAGGGATAAATATATACAAGAAGAATAGAGATAATGATGGTCCATCGTCTGTCGCGCAATTGACGCAGATAAAGAAACCAAAAACGAGAAAACTTCTCAACAACGTAGCAGCCATCATCTGTATCTTTAAAAGATTGAGTTGACAAAACGATTTTTCACCTTCTTAGGAGTAATTACACGTGAAAATTTACCAACTTTAACCATCATTTATCATCTTTAACCATTTGTTTGAAAAAAACCAAGTGCTAAATGTCAAATAATTGCCACAAGTGATGTCGTTTGATATAAAAACATCAATGATTATGCAAATGATGAACAATTAATTATAAACATTTCTCCACTTGCGCGTTCCACGATGTTTTTGTCGCTGCGTCACGTTTTTCTCCACTTGCGCGTTCCACGATTTTTTTGTCGCTGCGTCACGTTTTTCTCCACTTGCGCGTTCCACGATGTTTTTGTCGCTGCGTCACGTTTTTCTCCACTTGCGCGTTCCACGATGTTTTTGTCGCTGCGTCACGTTTTGACGTTGGGAAGTTTTAATGAACCACAACAAGACAACAATCTTTGAGCAAACGAAGATTTAACAAAATTGGATTCAACACTACAGGGCAATGTTGATGTTCGCTTGATGATTCCTGGCCGTCTTTTCGCAGGAAGTATTGTCCATTAAAAATTGTTTCATCAAAAATGTTTCGTCAAAAATTGCCGCCATATTTATGATGCATGAATGTACAACAATGGATATCGTGAATGTACAACAATGGATATCGTGAATGTACAACAATGGATATCGTGAATGTACAACAATGGATATCGTGAATGTACAACAATGGATATCGTGAATGTACAACAATGGATATCGTGAATGTACAACAATGGAAATCGTGAATGTACAACAATGGATAGCGTGTGTGAATCTTAACATACATTCACGATAATCTACTGTTGTACAACAAACATGCTCAGAGCCGTCCAATGAACGTTGATTGGGGGACTGTTTATTCATATATTCAGTTGTGCCCAACTGATTTCTTTAAAAAGTGAATTGCTTAATTCCTTAAGAAAATTTGTTTTAAAAGAAATCAGTAGGACACAACTGAATACATGAATGAAATACCCCCTTCCTCAATTAACGCTATAGGAATGTTCTGTAGCATGCATCAAAACTTTGAAATGAAAACACTTCAAAGCGTTTTAAAAATGCAGAAAAAATGCCCGTAAAAGATTTTTAATGCAATTTCCGCTGTTTAATCTTTTATGGTTTTAAATTAAGATGATTAATAAAAAAAACTTACCCTGAATCATCACGCGAGCGATGTAAGAAATTTTCGAAAAACTTTTGCCAAATAATGACGAGAATTGGTTGCTTGTGATCAGTAAAGAAAGCAAGATCAGCCCATCTATATATATCCAAATTACAAGAGGGAATCGCAACAATATCCTTCGAAGATGCCAGAACTTTCTATTGTGAAGAAATAAAGGTCATTTTAGAAGAATTTTTCTACATAGAAACTGTAGGAGAATGAAGACAAAATAAATAAATTGTAAATACAAGGAAGCAGAGCGTGAAAGTTAAAATGGTGCGATGTGAATAACTGGAGAACAACGAACAATCGCATAAACTGCCAAAAAGGGGAGTGGGGCAGAATGTTAAGGTCATTTGTAAATACTGCGAGTGTAAAACGTCGAAATTTTGATAATTTGACTAGGCAATATCTAGGCTCTTACAAGTGTTTTACTTTTATTGTGTAAAAAAATTTAAAAAATTTTGAAAAATAAAGTCAAGCAAAAAAGTTGCGGATACAAAGAGAGTAGAAAGTCAATAGCAGCCGAGCGTTCAAATTCTCAGGCCATTCCAGCTACAATAAAGGGATTAAAGCTCTTTCTCAGAACGGTTAACAAACCTTCAACGCCGTCTCCATGCACATGTCGGGTTTATCGTAAAGTTTCTTAGAAAGACTAGATTTTAGACCACATTGTTCTTGATATAATGACTCAGCACATATGACATAGTAACAAAGGTACGTGTATTGGAAATATGTCTAGAGAATGAGATAAGTTTAAGAAAAATTTCATCTTTTAAGATGTCTATTGAATGCATGAAAATAAAAAACAAAGGTAAAAATAGTTTATAACATTTATATTGTATGAAATTTGTCAAAGAAGCTTTCACTGACGTTTCGAAATCGACAAATGATTTAGAAAAGGTTAGAGTGAAAACATATCATAAAAGTAAATTAAAAACTTTCAGTTTCTACTTCAATAAATAGAAATCTTAACAACAAACTATGGAATTAATCATAAAATATTTCATGCATTTATTTCATTTCGCCATTAACTCCTAATTAATTTTGATTTATGCATCATGAGGTGAACATCCATTGACTTCATGGAAGATAAAACATTTTTAATATTTTCATTCCATTATGTACGTACACGGAGATTCGGCAATCGTTGACCAAAGATGATCCAAACTTTCAAATAACAACAAAAACTGTCTAAATCACCTTCGATGCATTCACTGACTACATTAAATCCCCAAGAACATAAATTGCATGCTCTTCATGACTGCACTACACTTTTTGTGAATAGTTTTAATTTTCGTAACTCATCACAAAACTGCGAACTTTTCATTGCATTAAAAACCAACAATATCCTAAAATTACAAAATTACCTGAATATCAAGAAGAGTTGCGGATGATGGATTTGAAACAACAAATGACAACAGAGAGGAAAGAAAACTTTGGTCCTTGAGATTCTTCAACATTTTCTGAACAGTAAACACGAATGCACGTCTTGTTAAAGTTTTGAAAAGTTTCATTCAATTTTTGAACATGAAAACATACATACATTACACATTCAATTTAACAAATAAATAAATATGACAGTGATAAAATCGTAAAAAATAGATAATTTCCAATACAAAGGCATGATTTAAGTGATCATTTCATTTCACGTTATAAAGTTCTTTCACAAGAAGGCTTTATTGTACAGACCTCGTGTTTGCTCATAAAATATTTCACGACAAAAACGTTCGTATTCCAATTTCTGAACACAACTCGTAATAAATCGTTCAGTGGTTTCAACACATTTGTGTCTCTGTAAAAAATACAAAGAAATGATCACAATCCAAGCCACATACAGGCCACAAACTCGACTTAGTCTTCCATCATTTGACACGCGCCAGATTCCTTTGTAAACATGTAGAAAACAATGTTCTAACAATAAGCAACTGCCAACATCATCAAGTGTATGTATACAATGTGTATACAAAAATACGGTTTTATAAGATAACCAAGAATACAGCGTATGCTAAATGGGAGAATGGGGCGACAACCGGGAATTCTATGCACCAACTGACTCACGTATTCCATTTCGGTATAGATCCCAGTCCTCTCAACCAAAACTCTGCTGCAATAAGCGAACGGTTTTCATCAGGAGGAAAAGTCGACTTCTTGATATGTTTCTGTACGTGAGACAGTATAAAAAATCTTTTAGTTTTATTGTAGTTCAAAAAAAAGCAAATAAATATTTAGTTTACGAGCTTAACAACGAGTTTACCACCTGAATAATTCCAGATAAAATATCGACGACTTTTTCCTCCCTCCATTGAGCTTCAGAATGTATTATAATATCAATGATTTTCGTAAATCTATGGATTTTGCAAAAAAATAAGAGAAGAAAATAACAGTTTAGCTTCACATACAACATGTCAAGAGGTGCATTAATCCCCTCAGATCAATGACCTAGAACCCAAACTATGAGATATATGACTGAACCAAAATTCTATAGTAACGAGTGAGGCAAGCTGCCATCTTGAAAGATGGCAAAAACTAATGCTATTTACGACTAATATCTGCTTTTCGTGAGTTTATAAACTTTTGCAAATTTGATAGTCTAGGTCTGATTCTTAAAATGTTTGATAGGATTGGTTTTTAAACTTTTTTAGCTTATTTTTCATTATGAATTTTATATTTTGTCACCTTTAAGACGGTGTCTATGACGGTAGGTACACGTCTAGGGGATTGGGTTCTAAATAATTGCTTCAGACAATCATTCGCGAGGAGCAATAAGCACAAACCTGGTGCTTTCCGAGATTGACACGAGTTCTGGAGCAAAGAATACTGGGATAGTGTTTTCAATGATTCTGCACGCAGGAAACACGTGACCGTCATCAAGAACCAACAATAAAAAGTCGAGACCTGTGTCTTTCATTTTCTCCGGACTAAAATCATTCAGTTAAATACAAAGATTAAAGTAACATTATAGGTACATTGTACAAACAATACTGGGATTTAAGATGAAAATAAGGATAACATATGATAAGTATGGGGTAACACATGATTAATAAACAATATTACTCGGAGTTTGAGGACAAAAGAGTATATGCGATATAGAACAGTGGACGTGGAGAGAAACAGGGGATATAAAAGAGTGAAAGTGGAGAGAAACAGGGGATATTGAAGAGTAGAAGTGGAGAGCAACAGGAGATATTGAAGAGTAGAAGTGGAGAGCAACAGGAGATATTGAAGAGTAGAAGGAAAACAGGGATATAGAAGGTGGAAGGAGCAACAGGATATGGAAGAGTAGAAGTGGAGTAGAATAGTGGAGGTGGAGAGCAACAGGGGATATGGAAGAGTGGAAGTGGAGTAGGGAATAGAAGAGTGGAGTGGAAAATAGTTAGTCTTAATAACAAAATGTTGGAAATTGTTAACGTTTATAAAACAATATAGGCACTTATTCATTTTGCTAACAACACACAGTATAATAAATCTTTACATAAGCATTCATATGATTATCACAACGAGAAATGAAACGCTCTTTAAAGGAACTTACTCATGACCATAATTTGACATTTGTAAAGCAACATAACAAGCGAGAGGTCCATCTTTCTTTGCCGAAGTCAAAATGTTCACCAAAGATTCGTCATTATCCAAATCTGGAGGTTCGTCCTTTGACAAACTTTTAAAAAACTCATGCTGTTCATAGCTTGATGTTACTGCAAAAATGAAATATTTATAACTTTAGAAACATCCAAAATGACATGGCCTTCTATAATTAGTTTATCAAATACCATTAAAATAAATCGATCATAATTTGTAAATATGTCAAATATTTATCGCGTTTTGATCATCATTGATCACCATTTATCATATAACAAATCAATCTTAAAAAATTGCGCAACTCAAGAACAGTCATGTTTTATTTCATGCAAAGAATATCAAATGAGATACACCAAGTTTACCCGTTTCATTCGATAGAGATGACGTAGCAGTAAACTGCATCACCGAACGCGAACGGTCATGCGCGTGAAGATGAAGAAACATAACCAACTCCCATAACCATTTGTGCAACTCTTGATCTGTAAAATGCTGCATTAAACTTTTGTAAGGTTGGATGACGAGTTGTGATGCCTGTATGTAATTAAAGCGATATTATCCGTATAAGAAGTCTTGGAGAATTCTGTAAGCGAGAACTCATAATGTCCGAACCTGTCCAAAAAGACTTTTCTCCTCTTTAAAAACATCCATAGCAATACCACCAGGTCTATTTGGCAAACGCAAGGCGCATATCTCAACAACAATGATGGCAACAGCTCGATGTAAACATAACGGTAAAAACAAAACATCGCCATCAAATTCCTGACACATAATTAAACGTAAGTTGTATCTTAAAACAATTTTCCAAGAATAAAACATGACATATGCATTTAATAATGTACAAGAAAATACCTTGCACTGCCAATTGATATTTGTGAGTAAATAACGAGAGAGTTGATGTTCAGGAGATTCCACTGCCGACCGAAGAAGCCAGTTACGAATCGTTTGAATATCAGAAACCTTCGGTCTCCACATCTCAACTGGTAACGCTTGAAATAAGCCAACACAATCCTGTATTTGTAAATGGAAAATTATCAAACGTATAAAGGTCTTTCATTCAAACCAAAGGAAAAAGGCTTTCTTTTCTGGGCTATGAAAGTATCTTTGCACATTACGTTATAGACTTTGAATAAAATCAATGGACCACACAACAGTTTAACATTTATTTTCACGCTCAAAAACAGGCAACCATTACGAAATAAAAAAACAAAGACGCTAAATTTGAACAAAAAAAAACATACCTCTCTAACAGAATCCAAAGTACTTTCAACTCTTTCAACGAGCATTGATATAATGAAAGAATGTCTTTGACAAATAGAGCCGAGAAGATCTTTACCGGTTTTTCGAAGAAAATGAACAGCTTCGTCGCTCAGAAATGTGATCTTAATAACGGAAGTAGATTTAATCATGAAAAAAGAGAAATTTTAATAGTTTATAAAAAGTAATACAAGTGCACTTCACTAATTTAACAAGATAATTGTCTTTTTATTCTAACCGATAGGTTCCCAACCATTGCAACAATATCAATTTAACAAGATAATTGTCTTTTTATTCTAACCGATAGGTTCCAAACCATTGCAACAATATCAATTATTGCAAATTATCAACATTCTAAATTTCTTTAGCTGTACTTGTCTATTCCAAAATATTTACCTCGTAAATCTCCTGCGACACAGCACGAATAAAATCCATATCTGCAAGAGAACGGGCGCAAGCCATATTGGAAAAAGTTGTAAGCAGAAAGATGATCTCTGTTTCGTTCATCGACTTAAAACTTTCCACAAGACTTGAAGTGTCTAAATTCAAATGAAAGAAAATGTGAGCTCCACTCAAGTGCAATCAAAGCCGAATAAGATTTTACATTTCTTTGGAAGTACGAACCAGAAAACATTCAGCTTATTTCAATACATGCAGTTTTTCATTAAACATTGATATATTATTCCAATATTTGTCTACGTTATGAATAGTCTATCTTACACAAAGTAGTTCTAAAAACAAAGAGATTACTTGACGTAATCACCTGGTAGATCATTGCTTGAGGAAATGTGTTCATCTATTGAATGAAGAGAACCTTTATCACTTGTGCGATCGTGTAGAAAACGATATGAAGCCCAAGTCATGCTTGAGGAAAGGCAGTAGAAAGGCATGTCGATAAGAAACTGCCAAACACCAAGTCTAAATAATGAAAATTTCAATATCAAAAAACAAACTTCATTAGTTTTACGGTATTTCAGTTGTCACTCAACGTAATGACGAGGACATACTTTTGAGCGATGAGAATCTGCTGAGATGAACGTATAAAAAAATGATCGTACTCCAACTGTAGTTTCTCCAGAGAATAATCGGTACCAAACGCAAAATGAAAAGTCATCTCATTCTCGCCATATTTTTCAACATATGCCGTCTTATACGCCAACCAATATCGCGATACAAAAATCACGATTTTACTAGAAAGTGAGAGAGAGAGAGAGAGTAAACAAGAAAAAATCACACCATCTCAATTTATCAACATCTTAAGGAAGTTTATGAGAGGAAAATAAAGTGGAAACACAAAGTATGACTCTATTACCTTATCATTCTCCCCAGTCTCTTGGAAAACTCTCTGTATTTTTTTATACTGTATAACTCAAAAGCCTTTCCTAAAATCTTCACAAGACACGTCGAGAAAGCAAACAAATGTATCAAATTACTGGCTGTGTCTTGACCAGACGCACGAATCTCGAGGTTAACTTGCTCATTGCCTACAACTCGTATGAAAAAAAAAACACATCACACTTAACTTGTGAAGACTGAGAATTGTAGAGGAAAAATTTTTCACCCGCCGTACAAAAAAACAAAACAAAATACAATGAGACATAAAGACTCACCTAAAACACTATCTTTTGCAAAGATTATTTCATATAACGAATCAATCGAAAATTGTGCAAATAACGCAATAATATCACTCTCTTGTATCAACATCCAATTTTCATCCAAATCCTGTTAAACAAGAAAAGGCACTATAGTAAATATGACATAAATGGTGTGTATTATGTGATGTGGTGTGTAATATGGGATATGGTGTGTAATATGTGATGTGGTGTGTAATATGGGATGTGGTGTGTAATATGGGATGTGGTGTGTAATATGATGTGAATATGTGATGTGGTATGATGTGGTGTGTAATATGGATATGGTGTATGTGATGTGTGTAATATGGATGTGTGTGTAATATGATGTGGTGTGTAATATGGATAATATGATGTGTGTAATATGGATGTGAATATGGATGTGTATGTGGTGTGTAATATGTGATGTGTAATATGATGTGATGTGGATGTATGTGATGATGTGGTGTAATATGGGATGTGGTGTGTAATATGGATGTGGTGGATGTGAATATGATGTGGTGTAATATGGATGTGGTGTGTAATATGTGATGTGGTGTGTAATATGGGATGTGGTGTGTAATATGGGATGTGGTGTGTAATATGGGATGTGGTGTGTAATATGTGATGTGGTGTGTAATACCAGAGAAGGTTTATTTTATCAAAAATAAATCGCTTTTAAACTTTTTTCTCTTTTAACTATCCCATACTAAATAGATAGTTCATGTATTTTTCTCAATAAAGACAATTTCTTTGACGTGATGGGTGAGAAACCAGTAGTCTTGGGACTTTATTTAACTTTGAAAGAAGGGAATAACGTGGATAACGTGGATAACGTAGATAACGTGGATAATGTGGATAACGTGGATAACGTGGATAACGTGGATAACGTGGATAACATGGATAACGTGGATAATCAATAATACATATTTAAGTATAGACAAAAGAATACCACAAATTCTTTCACAAACCTCCTCGCCATCTTCGTCTAACATTACCCAAGAATTTAACACTGGATTTTCTACATAAAACATTAAAAAACAAAATGCATCTAGACCAAAGGCTTCACTAATTAGAGTTTTTTTTTTCATCGCAAGATTTATGCACCTGAACTAAGAACGGACTTCATTTCAATGAGATATTTTTCACGTAGTCTGTAAATAAACAAATAAAATATACCTTTAGGAGTTAGGACGATTTAAAACAAAAAATAACAAATGTCATTTTGATTTAAAACCATTCCACCAAGAGGTTGTTGTGAAATTTTTCTTAAACATACTTGATTGGAAGAAGCAAATAAGCCAACATTGTCACAAAATGGTGAAGTAAAGGATGCTGCCAGAAATTCACTCCAAAATCACTGATGCCAGCACGTGATAACAACACGGGCTGGATGAAGTGAGCTAGTTTCTTCGCATGCCCAGAAGGCATGCGCAGTAGGTGGTTAAGAACGAACACGTGATCAGAAAAGCTCGCGACTCTCAGAAGAAGAGCGATTAGATTTTCGAGCCAAAGTTTGATGTCATCAAGGAAGATATCGTCATCTGTAGGCTTTCTCGTGAAATGAAATAGCGCCGTGATACAATCTCGTAGATGCCGAACTTCCGAGAATACACCGTTAGAAATTTGGGATGCATCCACACCTGTTTGCAGGGAAAAAAAGATACAGTAGTCTAAATAACACAGAATAACATCTTAAATGCAACTGTAACCGCGCAAATAATACTTACTAACGACAGGAGAGTGTGTATGTACGCCACAGAAAACAGGGGACTGGGCATGAAGATCGTGGACGTATGACATGACGTGAATACGAGCTAATTCCCAGGAATATTTTGTCAGTGTGAATGTCTACATGAAATGAATAAATTATGCACGAATAAAGATGTTGTAAATGTTTCATATCAAAATCCACCTCAAGACAAAATAAGCTCAAAATATTTTACAAACATTTCCATTTGCAAGATTGCATTCTTTAGAAATTTATAACCTATGACAATGAGAGTATTTTAAATTTAAATCGAGCTGCTATAATTTATTTTGTACAACACTGAATCCGCCAGATAAAAATTTTGTATTTACTCGTTTTAGTGCGGAGCGCTTAATATACTATTCTCATTTATTCTCATCCTAAGTGCCGTTGCTGGAGGCAGAGTGTTTACGGTAAACAGTTCAAATTAGTCACGCCATTGTCTTCAAGAGAAATGAAAAAATAACAAAAAGATTCTGATCAACAATTTCAAGACGAAATGAAATACAAATCACCTCGTGGACGTTGCTCTTCAAGGATTCTAAGGTTCTGTCTAATTTTTTTGCTTCATCTTCATTAAACACAGCAAAACTGTAAGAGTGCTTGTATGAAACTTTATTGAGATCCTGACACATTGCCTATGTGTAGAAAAAAAACGATGTGAAATCTAACTTATAGTTTTGAAAATATGTTTGAACATAGTATATATATGTAAATGAGAATAAAAAAAATGACAAAAACCTGAGCTGTTACTGTCTTGCTTTCGGTCGACCAAAGCGTCGTCGTTTGATTTTCACATTTCTCTTGTAGCAGCTGTCATTTGAATACAGCAACAAAATAAAAATAGTTTTAATTATTAGCTGTTGATAACTGAACTCTGATAGATGAAATGAAACGGTAACTCTCATATTTGTGCTATTGGCCATTTTGAAAACGCATTTTTATCTGAGTTTTTCATTTTACCAGCAAAACTCTTGTGGTAAAACTTATCGCGACAATTTTTGCTACAGCATTTTATGTACATCGGTTGTTGACTTTTAAAATTATACAATGGAGCTTTTAAAAGTTCAGAAAAACAAACTTCGATTTCAGCTTTAAAGATGATGAAAAACTTAAAGAGTTCCGCTATACATTACAGTTCACGACTGTTGATAATATTGAGTAAAATTTCAAAGGAATAATTAATGTTCACATACATCGATTTCAGATAAAACTTTACGTAAATTGCGCGATGAATTTTCATATGTATTTAGCAACTCGAAGAATTCATTTTCTCGTCTTGGTTCGAGCGTTTCCTGAGTGAAAATATAAACGAGCGATTAAAGAATGAACTTTAGGTGTGATTGCAAAAGAGGACAAATTACGCTAACTTTGACGAAATCTTCCATTGAATCTTCGACATTTGCAAGGTATGGATTAAAATAAAACGCTGTAAGATCGTCTTCAGAGAAAGCCGTCACATTTTCACGAACAGTTGATGAAACTAAAAGAAAATTGAAATGGAAACAGTCAATTTGAGAGTAAAATATCAAACGTTTCTTTCTCTATTAAATTATGAATTAAACGCGTCAGTTAAACTCCTAAGCAACATTAAAGAGCCTTACCTAGTTCTTTACCAAAAATGTTGGGAATCTGCTTGTTTGAAGTTCTTTCAATGACACGGTCAGCCATAACTACATGATTTTCTCCTGTTATAAAGCTTGTTTTATTTTCAGTACTAGAGTCCTTTGAATGTTCCTGTATTGTTGTTACAGTTGAAGTTTTAGACATAGTCTTTGATGAAGAATAATCTTGAAGGTTTTCAACATCTTCTTGACAACTGTAACTCACTTGAGACTCTGGAGAAAGTTCTCTGCGAGCATCATCTTCTTGTTTTTTTATAGGGACTTCACTCAAACCATTTTTTTCAAGAACATTGGCGGGAGTTCCAATACAAACAGAACTGTTGTTGCCATTATTCTTTACCAAAATGTCAACATTCGTCCCATCATGTATCATTGCGTACTTGCCCTGTTCATCATTATCCGTGTTTGATTCTTCATGTTGTTCATGTTCTACAACAATGTCCTTATTTTTGTCGCTCTCATGCTGGATTTTTTCAGAATCCTCCACTATAATATCTTGGTTTTTATCTACTCCTTCCTCAACCTCAATATGAGTCCTCAAATTATTAAATTTTACTTCTGGATATCCCTCAAGTTCAGGCAATACTTCATCATGTTTAGTTTCACTTGACTTTCCAAACACACAAACATCTTTTGCAGTTTCGCTTTCATCATCAAACTGCTGCTCTTGTTCATTTGAGCAAGAAGAAATGTCAGTGGGACTATATTTTTCTTTAAAACCTACCATATCATCTGTACTTGCTTGTCCATCGACATTTTTAACATGAACTGAACCAGCATCAAGTTTTCTTTCGTCTGAATCACAATCATCATCGATTTTTGTGACATCTTGTTTATCATCGACTTTTGATGATGATGTTCGGGTTGGTTTAATGTGGGCTTCTAAAAATGATAAATTTAAAAAATAAGCTATTGCATATCGTTTGGACTATAACCTAGGGCATCAGAAAATGTGTAAAAAATTCCCTCAAACCTTCTTTCCAACTAAAAACCACGAAAAATCACAAGACGACTAAACTGGCTGACGATATTCATTTGTTATTTCGACACTACCGTGAAAATAAGAGTTCAAAAATATCCTTATCACCTGTTTGTTTTTTTTCAACTGCATTTCTTGAGTTTCGCCGCGGCTCTGTGCTCGTTTTGCCTGGTTTTTGTCTTTTCTTCGCCGGACGAACTGCTTCCGCCATTTTCCTGACTAATTTTGGTTGCAAAGGTCAATATAATATGGATACACGACAATGACAAATGTTTATAGTCGAATGGCCCTTGCTCGACAAAAAAAAGAATGCATCCTTATCGACATAAAACGCTTTTCGAACGAGATATCTAAACTTAAATACTCTAGAAACGAGTTTTTCATGGGCAAAAACACTTTAGTAAACCTTTTACAACGTCCTTGACAGTCCTTCAAGGAACAGTCCGATCTGCCATCGGATAATCAACCACCGTCTGAAGGATGGAAAGTAGAACAGCGTGGATGAACATCGTTCAGCAATACATATAAACATGGTGGACAAAATAGCCATCGTTGTTGCAATTATTTTTGTTATTAACGGGATAGCAATGGCAAAGACAGATGCGAAGGAGAAGAAAGATAAAAAGATTGGAAAAAACATTAATGACTACACTGAATCCGACATTTACAAGCTTGCAGATCAATGGGATGTAAGACTTTTGAACTTAGGAAAAGCATTCGCTCTGTGTTGCTTTACCAAGAACATAAACCACTGTAGCTAGCCATTTGTTTTACGTAATTGAATATTTTAGTGATAGTTATAATGCATTTTGTCGTTACACCTTTTGTAGATAGTGAATATTCATTTACTTCAGTAAACAGCTGCTTATCCTTTATATATTTAAGCATCCAGCTTGTTAACTAAATGTTTTTGTTTGTCTTTAGGAAAATGATGAAGAGTATGATCCAGATGATTATGACGACGATGATCCACGAAAACCACCTCCAAAAATGAAAGGTGGTTTTGATCCATCAAAATTTAATGGCGATCCTATGGCGATGTTGAAGTTAGCAAAGAAAGGCAAGACTATTATGATATTTGTACAAGTCGTTCCTCAGTTCTCCAAGAAGGAAGCAGACCATTTGACCGAACTATGGCATCAAAGCTTGTTTAACGCTCAATTTCAGATACAAAGGTCTTTCATTCAATTCCTGCGTCTGCATTTTTAATACCGGCGTATTTAGCATTAATTCATTATCATGATTACTTCAAATGACAAATTCTCTCACCATAGATACATGGTTGCCGACCGACGAGCGATATTTCTTGTTAACGACGGCAGCACAGCTTGGGAAATAAAAGATTATCTAATCAAACAACCGGAGTGTGAAAGTGTCGAATTTGATAATCAAAAATTTCCTGGTTTAGGAGGGCAGAAGGATGAAGACAGAAAATCGAAGATGGAATTATAAGCACATTTGCGATTTTGAACAGTTGATAAAATGTAGTTAGACCATTTGTGAAATTATGTATAGACAACAAAGATACAAAAAGTTCGTTCTTCAAATGTTTTATTTTTATGTTATTTCCTTCAGTAATATGACGAAGGTATCTTCTTACAACTTAACTTATGGTTGATGCGTTATATCAACAAAACATATTTATAAAATTTACTTTATTACTTCAAAAGTGAAGCAGGATTTGTTCATCTTTTCGGTCTTTGAAAATATAAAAGTTTTTCAATTCAGTATTTAGTAACTGTTGAAAACATTCGCATCCGTCTTCCTAAAGACTTTTTTATAACTCTCAGAAGTTTTGCATAGTCGTATAAAGGAAGATGCTAACATTTCACGAATGTTTAAACCAGCAAATATAAACGAAACTCTCTAAAATATATATGCTTCGTACACTAATCATCCACTTCATTTTCACATTATTTCGACATGCATTTCTTTCAAAGTTGTTTGGTTCACACAAGTTCGTATATTACCCATTAAATGAATAATGTATGAACTTGAGAAAGAACATTTCAAACCAAACTTTGCAATGATTTTATACTCAATCATCAATGATCACTTCATACCAGTAAGGTTGAACAACAGTTAAAATTAACGACAAAATATAGGAAAATACACTTCTACTATGAAACAAAATTCAATCGAAACTATATGAAATAAACTCGACATTTTCAAGTATAGTTTTCATAAACAATTCATGTATTCCTCATTCAAAATATTTTGAGACGTGCAACGGAAACCGTTCCCTTGAGAACAATGGAACCATGTTGAATGATATTTGCATTGTAAAAAAACGAAAATGTTTTGCTAAATCATCCAACATGGCGGACATGACGTTTTTCCACAGCAAGAACATTTAAAGGGGATGCTGTGCACGAAGTTCCTGTAGATCCCACATAGATATAATGGCTTCCTTCAGCTGAAACAATTCATTTCAATTTTTAGCAACAACTTCTCGCTGTTGTTTCAACCTTACTGTTAAAACCATGCTTTAGGAGTTCTATATGATGACTTTATGCTATATCAAAGGTTAATTTGATAAACACAACGTAAATATTTAACTCTTAATATATAAATTATTCATAGTTGCAGCAGATGGCTTGTCTATCTCATAAATATATACACGTCTATAAGACGTTTATAAATACATCTTTATATAATAAATATAAGAATCCTAACTAAATATATAATATATATCTATATGCTTAATATATTACTAGTTATGCGTCAGACGACCGTAATATATTGCATTTTACTCTCGGGCAAATAAACAACAGTTGTTTGCGTTGGAAAGTCTTCGTCTATAAACACATCGTTTATAAGTTCTTCTGAAACACATACCGATAAATTGTCATCTTTACTTAGATAAAGTACTGCAGCTGCCAAACATACAGCAACTGTAGCTATTGCTGACGCTACATGCATGACAGGACTAGGATCGTTCATAGTGTCGTAGATCCAACCTAAAGATCAAAATAACGATAAGCTTGTTACAATACACGATGTGCGTTGGGGAAAGTTGGTTTAAAGTAAATCTATCGCTGCATTTACTGTACATATCATATGATTAAAATCATATTTCAAAGAAACTGATGTATTTTCCCATTTTTTTCATGTACTGCATAATAAATACCGAGTAAAGATCGATGAAACCTACCAAGAAATGGCGGACCACCAAGGGTTGCAAACGAACCAACACAGCTAAATAATGCAAACGCGTGTTCTGTACGCCAACCTTTGACGATTTCCGCAACATGTAAAGGTAGCACAACCCAATAAACACTGTCCATGACGGAAATAAACGCCATGTATAACATCATTAACACAAAAGAATGAGTAAATGAACACAAAACAGTCGCAACTGTAAATAATGTCATCACGCTGAGAATAAGCAAGCGAACTTTTCTTTTTCTTGAAGCAAGATCACCGAAACGTCCTGCAACTGATCTAACAAGAACAGCAACAATTCCACGTATAATCATTAACCATTTTGATTGATGTAATGGATGACCGAGGTTCGTGGCAAATTGGACCTGCAAAAACAGGAATAGATAATTGTGATTGAGAGCATGTACTTGGTCATATAGCAAGGAAAATCAACTAAACTTATCTTTGAATATGTATGGTGTCATCATGTATGGTGTGGTACATTGTAAGGTATGGTGTGGTACATTGTACGGTATGGTAATGCATATGGTAAAAGTATGGTATAATAACATATAGTAAATTAAAATGAATGCTAACTTACCATAAACATAGGTGGCAAAAATATCACAATTGCAAAGATAGTGTGCGCAGCTAGAAACACTATTACTTTTTTATCCTGTAATATTTTGCGATAAATAAGTAAATCGTCTTTGGAAAAGTCTTTGCTTGGTAAACTGATCACAGTACTAACACTACACACTCTTTCACTTGGATAGCCATCTTTGCTTTCTCTATCGTTGTACAGGAAACCATAAAAGAACGTTATTAAACTGATTCCACTTAAAACCCAAAACGTTCTTTTCCAACCAAAATCGTTGAGCATTACAGGAAGTACTAATGAAAACATTACGGTCCCCAGCGCATTTAGAGTCGAGCGAATCCCGAAGGCAACTCCCTGATGTCTGTCAAAGCATTCCGTGATCGTTGTTAAAGTAGCGACGCTAATAATGGAGCACGAAATGGCCACAGGGACCGAAAATGTCAAGAATAACAAGTTCATGTTTTTAACCATCGGTGAAAATATGAAAACTGGCAACAACAATGCTCCCGCAAACAATACGGTCGTTCGTAAACCAAACTTATAACGAAAACGTAAAGCAAAAGGGTACAAAAATAAACAGCCAAACGTCGCAGACGAGCCAACCCATGCTGAAAACAGAAAAGAAACAAAAATATGTGTTATTGATTTATAGTTTATAAAATAAAGTAAATGGTTTGAACTCGGGAGTATCGTTACATGTTTGTAGAGATCGTCCAGGTTGGTATAGTCCTGAGAAGGACTGTTTTTGTTGTTGTTGACTGACGTTTCGACAACCTTAGCGGTAGTCATCTTCAGAGTCAAATGCGGAGTCAAAAGATGACTACCGCTAAGGTTGTCGAAACGTCAGTCAACAACAACAAAAACAGTCCTTCTCAGGACTATACCAACCTGACGATCTAAGTTTATAAAATACTAGTCAACCAAGAAAAGAAGTGTTGTACAATAATATCGATGGAGGCAATAAAAATCATTAAGTTTGCTAGAAGCTAGTAATTATGTCAAGGTAACTTTCAATTCTAAGTAACAAAAAATGCGTGGAATTTACTTTGAAAGAATTGCAAAAATGACTTTCCGAAAGTCGTAATAAAACATCGTTAATAAAGAGATAAAATATAGTTAATCACAAAGTGTCGATTCAAAGGAAAAGTTGAAGGAAAATTCATTTGACCTTGCAAGGTTAGCATTCAACAATATAGATTTGAAAATTTTAAGTGATATTATCTACTGAATATCGAGAGAAACGTCAAAGCAGCCCACTCTATAAAGTGCTTTAGTGCACTGTTCCTAAGTCATTATGCAATGACGTTTAGACATTCTCTAAACACAGATGTCTTTAAACAAGCTATTTTGAAGATTTAATTGTACTAATTGCTTTGGCAAGTGCTTAGGTACAAAGTTTAGAAGTTCTATATACGGTGGTTCATACTCCTTTTTCATATAAACATATCATATATGGGCTGTGTTTTCGTAAACATCAGAAACAAAATATGCATATTATATATAGACTTTGGTCAAGTGTTTAAACTTTGCCAAAGGATTTCTAATGCAATGGCAGTAGGGAAAACCGAACAGATTCATTCAAATCATAACTGATGACAAACACCAACCTGCTTTACTATTTCTTTCATTAAAATGCTTCACAAGGAACACAAGAAGTACGCCATAGGTATCGAGAAACCCAAAAACAAAGAAGGTTATCAACGATATAAACGAAAGATAGATCCATGATTGACAATTGTCTTTCTTTATCTGAGAATGTGTCATCGTCATTTTGTCTTTCAATAAAGTAAAGCTGAAAAAACACGACGTTTCTTTAGAAACTCTCTTCCTCCTTCACGTGGGGTTAGCTTCCACAACACGTGGGAATAATAACGACACTTTACCGACTTTACCAAGGATAAGTGCTCTACAATTAAAACAGAAACATTTCAAATATTTCATGTACGTCAATAGATGCACGTCGAAACGACATTTGCTTTAGGCGACTTATAAACCACTTGGCTATTTTCCTCGTTAAAGAGATATAGGGAATTTGGGCTTCACAAGGCAACTCGATGTTAGCGTTTGTAATATCACAGCTATTTATCCTAAATTTATTTCCTGGGGATAAAAACAAGTTATAACTTTATTTTATTGTTGTTTTTTTCACGTAGTTAAATTATTATGCTGTAGCATTGATTGTGTTTTAATCAATTATGGTCATGCAACTGAAAATCGACATTTAACCCTAAAGTCTGACTTCAAACCGTGATGTTTGTAAAACCTATTCAAGGTTGTTTCCTTTCCTTCAAGTTAACCCAGCATGCAGCATATTTCCTTTCAATGTGAAAGTAACATAAGGATGAATAAATAAGCATTACAATGAAATAAAGTTAAGTTTCCCAGAATTGACAAGGACAACTATACAGTTCGTGTTTTATAGCAGATCGTGTCAAACAACGGTTATGTAAAAGGAAATTTCCAGAAGGAATGAGGTTGTTTGCGAAACAACTGAACTAGACTTGGAGGTAAAAACCAAATCTCTCAAAACTTGAAATTGCTCCTTCGACCAAACCCAAAATTTTTGAAGATCAATATTGTCTCCCTCTCCTGTCTATTCACACTTGTGGTTTTAAGCCAAGGGAATATATGATTGTACATGTAATTTAAATTCATTCGCAAAGCAATCAAAAGATTCTTCCTTCAAAATGTAAAAGCTTTTGTCTTATTGTAACTTTAATAATCTTTGAAAAGAATCATTCTCATACAAAGACTACAGTTCTTCTCAGTTCAAATATCTAGATATCGGCCTAGAAACATATGTCTGCCTAAAGCCGACACGATAAACACTTAGCTGGGAAACGCATTTAGAATATCATTTTGACAGAAAAAGATTAGACATACGTTAACGAAACTCGCTTTAAAATTAAAATGGCATTGTGCAGAGATTACATTGACATTTTATTATCATTTCGATCTCTTAATGAAGTTTGCATTAAGTAAATGGGTATAGTTGGACATAATGATGAACAGACATAAAGCGTTTAATGGCGTTTTTTTGCGATAAGAATGACGAAAATACCACACAGTTTGAAAATGAAACTGATTTAACTTAAGACTTTAATATATATTTTGCTTTCACGGCTCATTGAAAAAAACCTCAAGGTGAATGTCAAAACATGTTTATGAAATTTTGTCACTGACATCTTTTATCTTTTAATTATTAAGACATTGAACAAATTATACCGTGACAAAAATGGCAATGTGACGTGTTTATTCATTTTTGTATGGTGAGTGTGTGCGTCTGACGTTAATGCTTTGTAGACAAATGACTTCCAATACATTAGAAAGTGATAGTTTTTCCAAATCATCACAGACACGTACGTCATAACTACGACTGGATACGTCAAAAGAAATATTGCTTTGCCAAATATCACTACTCTTGGTCATTTTCGACAAATCTTCTTTGTATGAGCATTCTTGAAGCCCACAGGAGTTAAATTAGTGTTATAGAATTAAAATCTGTTACAACTACACAGAAACACAAACACGGGAGGGGGGAGAAATGAGAACTCGTGACAATATATTCTATCGAGTTGAAGTTATCGTGACAAACAAATCGATATTTAAATCAACGGACAAATAGAAACTTCAAATATTGTATTCAGGAAGTTTTGACCAAGCAATGAAGGAAGGAAACATAAAGAAGTTAATGCATGCCTGACTGGTTGGGAGTGAAGTCTTTGTAAAAGCGCAGCACATGGCAAAAAAAAACCCTGACGTTGTCATTTTTACAACACGTTCGCAGGAAGCATCACTTTTTTTATCCTACCTAAATACACGTAAATTAATGAGGTTTACTTCAATAAAGATGAATTCGACCTGGAAAAAATATTATTCGAAAAACTTCGATTGCGATAACATATGTTTTAACATTTGCATTGATTTCGCACTTTGAAAAACAATGTAGAACAGCATATTTACAAGTAAAGCAATGCTTAGATGATGCATATAGCCACGAAAACCTATAGCTACTAGCAGTAAAGAGCTTTCGCCTCAATCGTAGCGTATTATACATGAAAGCATAAAGTCTAACAAACCCTCTGTCTACATAAAAAAAAACGTTTTTGTTTGATTTCTGAGTACTCCGTATATTTGAGAGGTAAACACACATGTTCGTTGTTAATTGTTCACTCTATCTTCGAAATAAACCAACATTAAATCGATTATGTATATTCAGAAAAAATCTAGACTCATTAAGCATACCTGCATTGCTTTGTCACGGAAACTTTGCTGACGAATGAAAATTAGATGTTCCACGTATGGTAAGGAAAAACGTTTTGCATTAAATCTCTAAATTTTCAACTTTGAGAAAACGGTTTTATGTTGATGTTAACATTATGTCAAATACTGACTTGAGAGGGGAGGTAAGTACCGTATATCAAAGGCATAGTGTCCAAGGTCAGAGCTGATTAAGTGTTTTCTTATCATTAATGTTGAATGAGCAAGGCTTACCGCCCTGACGTAATAGTAACGTTTAGCAGAAATTGAAAAGGTCCATTTTGCTAATAAGGTTTTCCTACAACAGTTCTATAATTTCAATTTTCATACCAATATGTAAATGAAGTGAAAGAAGAAAGATTGCATAAATATCTAACCACGCGTTTCTCAATACATGCAGACACATATTTAGAATGCCTTGCATACTGGCCGAAGATCGAACGCAATTTCATAAAGACATTAAGCATACAGGCTTAAAATTAACCTTGCCCTTGGCCCTTGATACAAAAATATATTAGTTCACTTAACGAGCACATGGAAAGGAGATATGGAACCGAAATGGCATAAAGAATTAATATCTAATGTTGCCTATGGTCGTCCACTATGATGAATAAGAAATGATTTCATGAACAAGGCTTGCTGATAATCAGAAGCTGATAGAAACTGAAATGCAACAGGACATTTTACTGTCGTTATGCGATCAATGCCGTATGTCGAACAGTTACTTGCAAGCAGAATGAATTTGATTGAAGAAATTATCATTTGCGTGATCTTTGCAATTCATCAGTAATTTCATTAAACTCACGCTAAGGTATTTATGCACTTTTGAATCAACGGGTCACGGAAAAAGTTATGTGCTGTATAAATTACAATTTATCGCGATGGAAAGAAGATCATTTTGACGGGTTGTCTAAAATCACTTTCAGATAGCCATCATTTAATTTAAATTTGACGTTATCACATCATGTTGACAGCGCAGATAACACAAAAAAAACGAGCAAGTTATGCAGAAAAACTGTTCTGAATAATTACACGTTTCTATCAATAAGAACTCACCAAGTCCTTTAATGATTAGCAAATTCCTGCATGATTCCGTCTTCTCAAGCTTAATTCTTTCCGTTGACTGTCGAAGAGCTATTAAAACAACGTTTTAACATCAACCAGCGATGAAAAGAAAAAAATACTTGTTGAGGTAGTTATGCGCGTTGTTGATGGCGAAAGTTGCCTTTAAGGCTGTAGCCCAACAACGGATCTACTAAACAGACTAAACTAAGTACATGCTTGCTAGGAATTCAGGATCTACGCACGGCGGCCTATGTCCGGTCACTTTAAATATGGCATGTTCAAAGAGCAGATATTGACAAAGAAACTTACAGCACAAATATACCACTTAAACTGACAAGTTGTGAGTCACAACATTACAAAAAATCCTTCTAGATAAATCTTCAGTCAAAATTCATTAATGAGTGTTAATGGTCTTACAGTCCAAAAAAGTATAACATCATGCTATGCTATAAGTAAATTACCGAATTTAATCCAAACAAACTCTTTATAGACACGATATATTGGCTTTGCATAAAGAATTTTCAAGTAGCCTTAAGCTTCTATTTAAAAACGCAGAATTTCACTGCATTAAGTTAAAACTGTGGCGAAACATTAAACAGCTGTAGGGATAATAACGATTTATCAGTATGTGGAGGGAGACATAAACACAAAGTAAATTGGTGAACATCCTCTGGTCAAGGTCAATCGCATTCATACATAATCGCCTAAAGGGCTAGTTTCTGGAGGTTCAATACTATCGCTGCATGTGAAAATAAGAGCTTGCACGAAACGCAATGGAATTTTTATTCAACGTTCAAAATATTTTACAATTTGAAAACTGACATGAAGCTAAACAACGTGAAGATATCGACAACACAATTATAACTTACAAAAAAATAGTTCGCGCAACTTATGATAATTAAGTATTTTCCGTCACAACGACGCGGCTATGGTTTTGGCATCGTGCAGCAATGTACATTACAGTCGTTATTGTAATGTTTTCTAAACAAACTGTGAACAATGATCGTCGTTACTTCGTTAACAAGACAACAAGCACATATAATATAAACAAAACTGTTTTATGCTCGCCAGGATGACACACTGGAGAAATGAAAGAAGTAACAATATGAAACGGATATCGCACTGAGAAGGTAAAAGACAACGAAAAACACAACGTAAAACACAGCTAAAGTGATATTTTATCAAGTTTCCCGCAGAGAATATATTTCAATATTCGAGTCAAAAAATCTAGTTGAAATCAACTGACATTTGTGGTAACCTCGCTTTAGAAATGTGTGGTTTAGACTATATAAAAATAAAATGAAATAATATGTATTCCTAATGCTAAAAAAGCAGAAAAAGATAGTTTGAAATCGTACCTTCCTCACATAAAATATCCCGTGTAACACATAGGCCTCTTTGCTCCAAAAGAAAATGTTCGACACGATAGCAAGCAACTTCTAGCACGCTCTCGTGTACAAGCAAAGCGCAAATAATCTCAGCTCTTAAAAATCAATCGAAATAAACCAAGGTTGCTACGCAGGATGCCTTTCCGGCGACAAAATTCCATGCGTGCATTTCTTTGAATTAATTGGCCTCAATTTATGTACATCGACAACCACAGAGATTCATCGTTCATCGTCAAACAAATTGAATACAGTAACAGCTCAGGTCTTTGAAAAATTTTTTACTAAGTGTTTTGCATGCTTTTAAGTGCTTGCACATGACAGATAATAATATTGGTCACCTAGCTGGGGCACCCTCACCTTTAAAAAGACGCTTGTCGAAAGTGAATTGATGCTTTGTTTATTGTCGAAGCCAAAGTTGAAATAGGTCAAATAAAGAAACGTTATGCAAGGCAAATAAACAACCGAAAGCGCGCTTTTTATCCAGCGACTTCTACAAATGACTTTTTCTATATTTAATGAAATGAATGGAAAAACCACAGGATGGACAGACAACGGTCAAAAACACCGTTCGACGGCTAAAAGAAGAACCGATTCCTTTACAATTTGACGGAAAACCGAAAACTTATCAGACTTTGTTTAGAGAGATAATACGAGGCTATTATTTTGAAGATATTTAAATGACGAAAAAGTAAATAGTTTGGTTCCTCGTAGAGGAACAATAAATCAGCAATTTGATACTGGAAATAGTTGCTGGTTAACATCAGCAATCCTTAATCGCACGGCAACGAAAGTTTGACGTAATAAGGATGTTTATTTCATTAAATCTTGTCTGCATGACTTTGCTAAAGATTGCATCTTTATTCACTCGCAAAAGGTTTTATTAAGAAAGCATTATATATCATTATACTAATACATTTTTCATCATAGAACAACACAGTTTAACGAGCAGTAAGTGCTGTTGAAAGATCAATTTATATATTGAGCGCATTTGCGCAAAATCTTCGTCCATCCTTGCTTTCACATATCATCAACATAAATTGCGCAGAATTTTTACATTCGCGTAAAACAGTTATTGAAACGTGCTTGTACAACAAATCACTTAAAAAATGAAATTCTTTAAATATTTATCTGAAGAAGTATTTTTCAACGAAAAAAAAATTTTGAAAAAATCTTCGTGGAAGGAAGAGTAATACCCCAAAAACATTTCAACTCCACAATCTCGGTCTTTACTCTTACATTATTGCTTAAACACTAAGAAAGACTATTCTTCAACACTAACCTTGATTTTCTTTATGTTGATTGTAACAAAGTGAACTCCAGCTAAAGAAATCTTTGTGTTTTTTTGGATAGCAGCTAACAAACAGAGATAGCACAACTTCCTTTAGTCTCTCACACTGAATGTGTTTACTACAAATGCAAAGTAGAAGAAATGAATCAAATTGCTCTTTGTCGTCAGGTTATCTATATTGATTCACATGGTTTATTAATTAATGACGTAAAAGATATCGGATTTTCATAATGAAGCTGATTGGGTGGCAACTTTTAAATAAATATCTATTTGACGGATGATGTCAATGCGGAAACCCTTTCCCAATTTGCGATATTTGGCACGTGCTGTCACCACAGTCGTTCATCGATACAGAAAGTCGCATCAATATGATGCTGGCAATGGACATTGACATTGGCCTTTCGAGATCAAATCGTGTATTGTTTATATCTGTCATCATGAGAGCACTACGTGAGTTGAAAAGAAAGAAGTGATGGGGATCTATAAGGAGGAGAGCTAGGGAGAACGTGTCATGAAAAATATGTATAGTCTCTTTTCAAAAATTTTATCAATCGAAAGTAAGCAATTTCTGCAACGGAAAGTTATGAAGGCAATGTCCTATGATGCACTTCCTATTTTCAACAATTGTTGAGAAAAAAACCATGTCCGTTTAATAACCGGTAAAAAAACGTATGCATAATTTTTTGATGAGAGGTCAAACACTAGATCTGTTTGATTTTAAATGCTTTTTGCCACCTTTGGCCGCAGACATCAAAATTGGCACGATTGAAAAGGAAGTCGTTTTTCGAAGTGTGATTTTAACTAGAAAATTTCTCGAAAATTTCATTTTGATATTTTCTATCTTTGAAACATGCAAGATAAAAATTCGCTATTGTTCTAAGATGAATGGAAATCATGAAGTTAAGAATATATAAAAGTATAATTTATCCGGCAATTTGTAAAAAATTTATTAGAATTCAAAGTAAAAGTTTTTGTCATTGGAGAATATTTGCTGTTTCAGGCCTACGCAGTTTTTCTAAATAAGTCAACTGCGTTTAATATTTCTACTTACGTAAATTTAGGCAGTTCTGAGAGGTTCAACTATGTTTTTTGGCATTGTATGCCTTTACGCAAAAGTTCCCACAAATCTACGTCAGAAGTCCTTAATTAATTTATGATTTCTTCTTCTGGAATGTTCTTGCATGCAACTTAGACAAAAGTCAAAAAAATCAAACCATGTAAGCAACTTCTTTCATAAGAGTCTGTAGTTGTATGTAGGTAGACACTAACGCTTTAAATTAGCTTTCATGAAGTACGGCTTTTCTCATAACCATTAAATCATAAAAATCGGTAAACATAACAGTTTCCATTAACTTTATTCTTGATCTATAGTCGAGGATCTGGTTTGCTTAATGTAAAGCTTATGTTTAACTAATATTAAATCAAACACTCTTTAGTCCGTTTCATATTAAAATAGAAACCAACTTTGACGTTATTCCTCTTCACACATGCTTTCAATTTTTAAACACGTACACCCAGATTGTTTTAACGAGATTATTCTTATTGTTGTTTACATTAACGTCTCCTCATGATACTAATAGCGTCATTAAATATGGTATTTTTTGCTTATGGCCGTTTTAAAGCGAGAATATTTTTAAATGAAACTTCATTAAAGCATCAGATGCCTCGAAAATTTTGTCTAGCGAGCTCCTTATTAGTTTGGTTTTTCCAAAGAATTTACCCAGATCTGTGATACATATGTTATAAGTTCTGATTATATGGGTATCAACCATAGGATGTTGTTATAACCTCTACGCAATACTTATGCGACGAATCAGTTGTAAAGAAAACATCACAAGTATTATTATGACAATCTTAAAAAAGAAATTACAACTACAAAAGAGGTTGTGTACTTATATCACCCAAACCGATGTTAGAGCTACACCCCCAAACCAATATTATACAGTTATACCGCCCTAACTAATGTTGCAATTATATATCTCAAACCAACGTTAACGCTATATATCCCTCAAACCAAATCTTTCTTCTCAAAAAGATTGCTGCTTAGGATTGCATAAATTGTTTAGGCCACTTGCTTCGATAAAGGATTAAAGGTATAGATGGAACTATCATATTACTATAGCTTTTCTCGTCGGTCACAATATAATAATGCTACACACAGCCAAGATATTTAGAATTACTGGTATCATAAATAAATAAAAATACACATGAACTTTAGCGTGGAACAACAATCCATACGGTGTTAACGCAATCTATAAATGTGCAATGTTGTGGTAAAAGAAAAATGTTCAGGAAAAACCCTGCCTAGTGTTGTCTTTGATGATCGAGAACAAGTTTAATTGGTCTACGTGTACTTAGTTTATGTTTACTGATGTTTATGATACTTGATTAAATGGACTGTATAAACAATACACTTTTTTCTATATTTCTGATTGCATCATGTATGTACACAAAAAGCGAACTGTGATTTTAATTGTGTGCTTTAATTTCCTGTATTCCGACGTCGCTGTATATTTCATGTCGTTTTCCTTATTGTTGCCCTTGTGCCCTTGGACTCTTAAAATCAAGATTCGTTTATAAAGGTAAATACGAAAATTAATATGAGAAAGGGAATACACAGAGAAACTTATAAGCGCCTCTACATTACCATAAGCTACTTTGCAGACTATATGTAAAGGAAAAATATTTAATCACACAAAGTAATACAGATCAAAACTTATCCAGTATGTATTAAACCCAAACTTCAAACTCATCAACCTTTTGTCAGCCAACGCAAAGATGAAGTTTTCAGCTGCCTTGCATTCCTCTCATACACGTTGTAAACGAAAGCCTTTTTGAGCTCAACTGAATAATTATTAATAAATGAGCACGTACACATGCCGTGAAAACCGTTTTCAAATATGTGTTGTGCATATAATGAATATGAAGTATGAACAAAGATATCAACCAAAATTTCAGTGACTCGGTTGAGGACAAAGTCTGCTCATCACATAAAGAAGCAGAAAAACCTACATAATTTATGATCTTGATCATGCAAAAATAAAATATTTTCAATTGGACATTTGTCTATTGAAAACATAATAAAGCACATTCTATACTTACATAAATTTTCCAGCTGCCACAAGTTGTCATTTGAAAAAGCAATCAGCATCAACTACCTAACGAACACATTAAAGAGTTAAAATCGCCCAAAGATGTTGAGTAAACAGTCTATATACGAATATCCGGTGGCACCCCAATAATAACATGATGTTTACACTGCAGAGTTTCGAAAAGTATGAGTACCGCTAAATTTCTTCCTGTTCTTCGTTGAAATTTGCCGGAAACAAGTATGTACATATATCTATATGGTTAAAAACCAATCTTTCATATTTCGAGACAAGTTTCATGCCATTTCTTAACAAGTTATATATGATCAATTTCTCCTTCAAAAACTTTTCAAAGAGTGCTTTTATTCATTAAAAGTCACATCGATTATTCAATTACGAACACAAAATGATATACTAGAGCGAAAATGAAGAAGTTCTAACTAAAACATATGTATCATCTGTACTTCAAATCTTGGGAAATGATTTACCCTCTTCCAGGAAATCAAAATTACCGATTCTTTAACATTTTAATATTAATCTTACTTCGTTGACATACACAATACACAAGACTCACCAGTCACGATACCAGGTCATCAAGATCCAAATGATCTTCGTTCTCCCTGCAGCAAAATAAATGCGATGATCATGCAAATTGCACTCTAAAATTGAACGCAAATGATGCAAGAATTGAAAAGGAAAGATAAATAAACTTTGTACTATTAATTAATTAAAAAGCACATGGATTTTTATTCAAAAAACAGGAAATAACGAAACAAAAAGCAAAGAAGCATGCAGTTTCGTAAACTTTGAAAGACGACTTAAGGTTTCCGAAGATTCCGTGACTGCTTCTTCGCCTCGCTAAAACATTTTAGAAAAGTTAAGCAGTACATAGCACAATTTATCAAAGAGAAATGGCAAACATATGCATACAAATATTGATTGATGGGTATTAATGTGAATACCTGCAGAGTGCGAGTTACTAAGGAGGTGGTTTTGAAATTACATTTATTACAACAAAATGAATTAAAAACAAAACAACTCATCTTATGACAACATCTATGGTTAAACTGCTGCACAAAGGACTGCACACACCCTGTTCACAAGACGCCATTTTCACACGACATGACATCAAATTAACGAAAGAGATGAAAGTTTTGTTTCGTCTCCGCAACAACTCTAATAAGTAAACCTTATGAATACAAACACGTTCAAGAGTTTGAAACATCGTATCACTCTATATTTTATGATCTCAATAAGTAAAACTGGAGTGGTGTATGTGAAGATCTCAAAATAACACGTTGATAAACCATTCCTAAGTATTCCCATGAAAAATACATGTTTAAAATCGTTTATCGTACTTGTTAACCCTATCATTATAAAAATAAAATGTTTCGGCGTGTTTGTCGGCTGGCATTAATAAGTACATTGACGCCCCGGCGCCAAATACGAGAACTGTTATTATCACAAAATTTAAGAATATAATCCACTCGGTACCCTCCTAAAAGACATGCCAAAATTATATAAATGAAATTTGACAAAAATCAATGGAGATATAACAAGATGACACACACAGCATGTGAGCGTTTGACTCACACCCACTGACATTGTAAAAACTTGTGAACCATCTCCAATACAGACATCATGTCGATGGGAAAATTGTAAAATTAGTTCACTGAACAACTGTTGTTACAGCTACATTATATAATATACATAAAGAACATGAACTACGATGAAAATCTAAAAGCAGGGACCGAAGTTGATAGAGTGTGACCTGGAATATAAAAAATACATTTAATCTCCTTAAATGGATAATATTTTCATCACTTGCTGGATAATTAACTCCGCGGGTGGTTAAGTAAAAACGGGCGCGTTTTCATCTTCATCAGAACATTTCATGCAGAAAAACAATAATTTATGATAATTTACAAGCTGCGCTTCGACAAAAGCCTTTCCTGTTACAAATCAAAAGGCAAAATTATAATTAAACATATAACTGACCGATAATGTTGAAACTTTCTTTCTCCATCAACATCATGCTAGTTTAAACCTCAAAAACATAGAAACGTTAAACAAAGAATGCCAATGTACATTTCATCAAAGGATACATTGAGGACACTTAGCTCAACATGAAGTCACGTGTCACGAAGTCACGTGTCACGTATCAAACAAAGAAAAACACAATGTTAAAAATGACAGCCTATTATTTCATTCCATTATCCTAAATAAGGAAAATTACAACTATATCGAAAGAGTAAGTATACTTATACACGGCAAATATTATTTCGAGTAATTTTCAAACCTATATACTAGAATATCATCTTCAACAAAAATGGTGAACTTTCTATGGAGGAATCCTAAAAGAGGATGATTTATATGCTATATTTCTCCTTATGTTATGTTCAAATTTGATATTTGTTATAAAAAATACCCTCATATTTTCAATCTTGAGAGGGGTATTTGGAAATTTGATATGATTACGAGAAGATCACGAAGAGTCATCATCGTCCTTGTATCTCGCCTGTCGTATTTGCATGAGTTTCTTACGAGCATCCTCAAGCTCCCTTTCTTTACGTAAGATCGCTTCTTGCGCCTGAATCTCCTGAGCAATTCCACCAACGAATTTCTGATTGATAACTACAGTAACGCTCTGTTCTTCAAACACTCTTGCATTTTGGGCTGCTCTCACGAGATCATCCGACGCCTTTCTCACAGCTTTACCCGCCGACTAAAAAATTCCAATTTCTTAGATGATCGGAATCAAAAATTATTCGAATTCTAACATTCGGGTCAGTATTACAAAATTCTGGAGAACAGAACCTCGTTCATTGAAGAGGATCGCCCACCATTGGATGTTGGGATCCGGTTTTATCGATTTTGAAAGAAATAGCAATTACTGATGGGTGCGTAAAGCTAATGATCAAAGAATTAAGATTCTGCTATTCGAGAGAACATAGCCAAAACAAAAATTACCTGCAACCGTTGCTGTCCTGCGCTGTTCGGATCAGCTTTGACACGACAGGCAAGTAAGAGTTGAGCTGTAGAGTTTGACACTTGTTGTGCTGAAGCTATCAATGTCTCTTGTGTCGCGTTACCTTGAACAGTCGCGTTCGCAGCTTCACAGAGTGAATTAACAGCTGTGGCGACAAGTCTTGCCTGGAAACAAGAAACGAATATTTAAAAAAAATATGTCGAAAGAACCACCAACATTAATGCCATTCATTGAAATACATAAAGTTCTTCAAAGACGAGTACATACCGCTGACACTAATCCTTGAGACCACTGCCCATCTTCATTTGGGTCACTACCAACTGAGCATACCTGTGCAAATGAAACATGTGAATAAGTTCAGTTATGAATGCTGGTGACAATGTTTTTCGATAGAACAAATAAAAAGGCGTTTTTATATACCGCGCCAGATGCAACAAGTTCCCGTTGTGCGGTGGCTGCAGACTTCACTAATGCACTTGTTGCAGCTGCAATTGCTTTGGCCGCTTCAAGAATCTGTTCTTCGAAAGCCAGAGACTCGTCAGCTTCCTACACAAAGATATTGTAAAAACTGATCAATTCAAGGATAATGCAAAACGAACAAACAACGTAAGAAAATGCAGTTGGTATTGTATTATTATATCATTTGCGTACTCTGGGTCTTTCTCTCGGTTTCAGTTCAGCTAATTTTCGCGCAGCCGCTTCAATAGCTGATGCAGCTCCAAGCAATTCATTTTCGGCAATGACGTTAGGATCCTCTGGATTCACCCAATCAGAACCTGATAAAAAAATTCAAAACTGCCATTTCGATACATAGTACAAACTCTTAACGAAAAGAAACCCACTAGAGATGTTAGTATTACACACGTTGTAATAAAACATGTTGAAAAAAAGTTAGGAGCCTCTGCTATTTGTAATATAAAACCAAAATACAAGATTAAAGTTGATTGCTAAATTACAAGATCTTTGTAAATACTAATTGATAAAATCAACCTTTTACTTTCAAATACTTGAACAAACTCACTCCAATAATTTGAAATCAAACACCTCAAAAAGACCTTGTCAAAAATCCTTCAACATTTCAAAAATAACTTCACCTTTGAGGGATTCTGCTGACTTTACTAAAGCACCAAGACAGTCGGCAACTCTTCTTGATGCAGCAACCAATCCTTGCTTCTTCTCAGGAGTTGGTTTTTGCAGTACCTTGTGAAAAGAAATTCCTCTCAGTATTACGGTTTACACTAATCGCAAATCTTAGACATCTTAAACACAATGTCAAGGTAGAAGGCTCACAATATGAACTTGAGCGAGCATTGAGTTAAACGCAGTTCCACTCTCTCGTCCAGCACCAATAACTACACCACGAACTTCATCATTTTCTGCCTTTGCTGCAGCAGCCTGGAAACAAGAAGAAACAACATTACACAACAAAGCAAACATTAAACACAAGAAAAATAAAGGTTGCTTGTGAACTACACCAGACTAAAGTTCTACTTAGAAACATGATATTTACAATCCATAAAATAAACTTCTATAATAAAAACCCTACCTTACAAATTGTCAGCATTTCTGTCACCGCTTTTCGTCCCATATTTGCTGCAGCGGCGATGTCCTCTTGATGGCCTGAATTACCTGCAGCCACGACTTTTGCTGTTGCCAAGGTAACAGGTTTTGTACTACGAATAAGATCCTCGGGTGTTGCCTGCGTGACGGCCATCGTGGGCGAGTTTAATACCTTCAAAAACAATGTTAAGTTTAGAGAGAAGCTTTTCACAGTGTTCACTGATCTCGAAATAAGAGTGGATGAAGCAACTAGCTTTTCAAAGTGTTCACTGATCTCGAAATAAGACTGGATGAAGCAACTATACGTCTGCGATCGACTTACGGCAACGCCTTGTTTAATGGCATCCATCGTTGAATCAAGAGCTCTTGCACCACGTGATGTTTTATCTTCGACACTTTTCACCGTCATTAATAAAGATGATACTTTTGAAATCATGTCCTACGTAGAGAGAGGGTATTTATATGAAACACACGTGACCCAAACAATGACCCATTAACTATCGATGACCCATCAATGATCCATCAATGATCTATAGATGACCCATCAATGATCCATCAATGACCTATAGATGAGCCATCAATGAGCCATCGATGACCCATCGATAACCCATCAATCATCCATCAATGACCTATAGATGAGCCATCAATGAGCCATCGATGATCCATCAATGATCCATCAATGACCTATCAATGATCCATCAATGATCCATAAATGACCCATCGATGATCCATCAATGATCCATAACTGATCAATCAATGATCCATCAATGACTCATCGATGATCCATCAATGATCCATCAATGACCCATCAATAGTCTAATAAATCTATTATTTGTCCATCAATCATTTGGGCATGCTCAAATAACATTCCTATACATATATTTATCAGCCAACCTTGGTTGAAGCCTTTAATTCCTCCCCAGTTCCTTCGCTTTGTTTCGACGCAGATGCATTTTTAGCACTGTCAAGCATGTTCACAAGACTTGACGCAACATCTTTAATGGCATTCAGCAACATGACCTTAAAAACAAAAATAAAACATGAGGCAATTGACCACAACTTGACAATTACACAATGTTTTCTTTCATACAAGAATTCAGGACAAAAAATGACAAGAGAAAACTTTTATTCCCACATAAAAAGCAGCGATTTTTTTCCAGCTTTAAAACGATGTTTATACTTACTTGTGCATTCGTATCATCGGGACCCAGTGCGGCTGCACCAAGTTTTACAACATCAGACAGTTGGTTTATACTTCCAACTGCAGATTGAGCAGCATTTGCCAAAACATCCTGCGAGGATTGTGCAGCGGGGACAAGTGCTTTAGTATCTTCGACCAAAGCTTTAGCCTTCGTAAGGATTTCCTCTCTGAAGTAACGCACAAAGTAAAATATTACAACAATGAACAAAGTCGATGAAAATAAAGATGTACAACATATCTCTGTTTACAATGATCGTTTACCTATGATCAGTGAATTTCTCGCCTTCATTTTCTGGATTCAATGTTCCGGCAGTAGCAAACATGACTGTAGTGTCCAGGTCACTAACAATACCCCGAATTGTTGCGCCCGCGTTGATACAAGCCTGCGTACCACGTGATCCAGACTGTAAGGCGGCGAGAATATGCGATATCTATAGAATACAAATTGAATGAATAAGGCAACGGTTCCGTTGGCAAAATTTTATTGCCAAAATTTATATTAAAGAAATCATTAATCAAAACATCCATTTAAACTTACAAAATTTAAAAAATATGCATTTCTTATATACTAGAACTATATTTAATCACAAGACATTCACCTTCTCTGCCACTTTTCTCGCGGCATCTGCAAGATCTCTCATTGAAATCGGATCGCGAGGATTAGCTTGCACATCACCACCATTTTGAACAAGTTTCATGCAGGACGCGCCAAGAGCCTGGACACCAACTTTTATTCTTTCTCCAATTTCAGGACTTGATGCTGTCTGTATTGCTCCCTGTGCATCATGAGTAAGTGTATTGTACAATCTAGAGACGTCCTTTCCAATAGGTCCAAGTTGTGTTGGATCAGTTCCAGCTCGACCAACCTTGAAAAAAATATAAGTGAAATAAAATGGAATCAATGGTTTATAACTGAGAATGGTTGTTAGTAGATTGCAGTAGATATTACAAACCATATCTTGGCCTTTTCGCGATAAATCTTTCATTGTTTTGGTCATTTTCTCTTGATAATGAACGAATGGTTTGAATTCTTCCGACTCTGGTAGCGCTCCTTGCACAGTCTGTGTTTAAGAACTTTAGTTAGTTCGTGTACTTTTTGCTAAATTAAAATGTTTTCTAAACGATCATGGTACAGGTTATGTCCCGCTCAAACATTATTGCCTCTAGATTTAGTTTATAATTTTTATAGATGGAAAGATTATTATATACAGAGAAATATCGGATGAATAAGATGGAGGGTACCATCTAAACAATCTTACCCGATTGGCTCGCAAATTAGCTCCTTGCCCAATATTAGCCGTGCTCTGTTCGAACTACAAATATTTTATTGATTGATTGTATTTGTCAATGATTAGTCGTTAGAATGATTATAGTTAGTAGCGTTATAGATCGAGAAAATCATCGTTAAAAATCATCAGTAAATCATCATCATAATCTATGATAAGTTTAAATCTATAAAAGTTCTCTACCTCGTTCATTGCTTTACTTATGGATTCAATCAAACCGGTGACAGCACCAGTTTCGCTGGCAGCTTCCTCTAATGTATCGGTAAGATCTTTCACGGCATCTTGCATGTTTTTCGCAGCATCGTCGACAGCGGGATGAGTACTCTTACTCTGACGAGAAAGAGGAGAGGCGTATTTATTATTTTTCAATTATTGAGTAAGTGCTCAAGCTATGTCAGTAACATATTGGGAAATTTTTTCGCTGCCCTATCTTGTTTCTACAACACAATGATAAAGATAGAAGAAACTGCCATCAAAAGTTCGTGAAGCCATAGCAGTTCACCGACTGTAACAATCCAATGCAGCGGTTAGGTCATATGCGACGATAAATAGAAGCTATTTATAAGTCCGTCTTTACTCTACTGTCCATCCTAATACAGTGTGTGTATTCTCCCCAATATCATAAGAAACTTTACACAAATGAAGCTTCGAACATGAAAAATCGCTGAACAAAGTTTTGGCTTAATAATCTAAATGAAAGTTAGAAAACCAAGCCATTCCACAGATCAAGTCGAAGTATGGCGTCATAACTGCAACACATCAAGCGACTATCAAAGCTAACATCTTTGGTGCGTTTTGATGTCAAAACTAGGTAAAATAATTTTTCCTTTATGAAACTTCATTTGCGTAAACTTTTGCCAGCTAACAATTTATATGGAAGATTTTTCAAAAATGCTCAGATATACGTTAATGTACTCCATTAACTTGGAAAAAACAGTTGATGTTGCTACCTTAGGATTACCACCGGCGTCTTTGACAGAATACAAGAGTTCTGTTGCGGATTCCGCGACAGTTTTTGTTTGATCCAATAAATCAGTCTGTTTTTCAGAATGAGGCATCTTGGACGCAGCAGCTATGGCTGCCTCAGCCAAGGGATCGACAAAGTTTGCTAATTTTGCTACCTGAAAAAAAAACATTGGCTTATAAATTAAATTATAATATAGTTTATAAAAAAAATCATCCTTTCTCTTACAAAACAACAATCTAAAATGTAGCACAAAACAAGTGCAGTTCTGACTCTTTCATTTTCATGTGAAAGTTAAATTCATGACGGCGGCCATATTTATGATACACCAACGTGGACGCATGCGCTCTAATATTCCAACATTCCGCTCGTTATACAATATTGCGCGTTCCGGAAAAGTATTGGGGGAAAGTGTTGATATAGAGCCGAGCATAACAATGGTTAGGACTGGGGGAAAGCGTTGATATAGAGCCGAGCATAACAATGGTTAGGACTGGGGGAAAGCTTGATATAGAGCCGAGCATAACAATGGTTAGGATTGGGGGAAAGCGTTGATATAGAGCCGAGCATAACAATGGTTAGGACTGGGGAAAGCGTTGATATAGAGCCGAGCATAACAATGGTTTTGAATTTTAAGTATTTGCTTTCTCATGTAAATTTTGAAATATTACCAAGAAAATATTTACGACTTCCATTATGTTCTCTTCTGAATTGTTTTATACATTTGAAAAGTACACTGCCTGGCTCCATCTTATACATGGACAGATCCATTGTATCATATACATATTTTCGGGAAGTTTTTACCTCCTTCAAACGTGTATCACGCATTAAAACCCATCAATAAACGATAAACTAATAATTCTTACCCGATGACCGATATTTTCTGGAGTATCTTTTGCGGCGCTAGCTAAAGGATTGATGGCGTCACCAATTTGAGCAACACTCTGTAGCATGCGGTCTTGAAATTCCTTCAAGAAAAAAAGACAACATAAATTTCAGTGAGAAACCGCTGACACATTTTACTATGTTAACAGGACAGTCGAGTGAAGCTCGTACCTTCAAAGTTCCCTCGGGATTGGGTTCAAGATTTTGACCGATCGCAGCCAACGAGGCTTGATCCAGTTTGTTGATGGAACGATTGATGTTTTCAATTGCTTCATCACATTCTTTTTGTCCGGGAGCATTTTCTCTGAAAGATTACAAAGAGTCGAAATCAAAGTAAAATAAGACTATTCTTGTCGACCGTCCACGATAAGTCCAATGGTTTTAACTTGGTAACAAGAGATCGAAAACCTTAAAAAAGATACGCGAGAAACGAAGATTGTTTTGCAGCTGTTTGAAATGCATTTCTTACTTGATGGTCTGAAGAAGTCTTTTCATGGCATCTGCAAGAGCTTTACCGTGTTGATTGAACAACGGCCAGATTGAGGAGTCGTTGCGATCCATTGCTAAGCTATTTGCTGAGTTCAGATAATTACTGCTTGATGTTACTAACGATCGACCAGACATGATAATAGGAACCTGAGTTGAACGCGCCTGAGAAAAAAAGAAAGGAATTGATTCAAACCCGTTTGCAGCTCCAGTGGAAACAAACATCAAAATAAAACAACGGTTTTGTTCATACCTCCTCACTAATCTTTGCTGGAACGGCAGCAAATTCAGGTGACGATGCATAGGTATTCAAATCGTCCACGCTGTCAATCAATGGTACAATGTGTTGAGCACAATCCTTACGATTTTCGCCGTTTGGTTCCTTTGCCAAAACCTGAAAATACAACGATATTATTATGTAAAGTATTTTACACTCTAAGATCGATGATATAAAAGTAGTGTTGGTGTAAATGAAGACGAATGTTGAATTTGTCGAAAGTCCTAACCTTGATCGACTTTACTAAATTGGCCGTGTTGTTCGCGATGTCTTTGGCGGCTTGAACAAAATGCTTCTTTGCAACAGGATTATTTGTTTTGGCTGACGCAGCTTTGCAAACATTACAGAGATTTGAGGTATGTTTGGCAACAGCCGTAGCAGATTGTAAAATCTACAAGTGAAAACAGTGGAAAAACGGGAATTCGTAATTAACGACATACAACTTTAGACACACAACGTAGACACACAAGTCACGATGCTTGAAAATTCTATCATGAAGTACCCACCTGTTGTTGATCACTTGCAGGGTTGAGTAAATCATCGCAGGCTTTTTGTATGTCCTCTCGAGCCCGTTGAAATTGATTGGCATCAACTAAACCTGGCTTTCCTGCGACACTTGAAGGATCTGATATAGCAACAAGATAAGCGGCCTGTACAACATAAAAAGAAAGTGTTCTTTACCTTCGGAGACAAACAAATATTAGAAGTATTTAGTGTCGATTGGATTAACTACGACTAGTAAACAAAAGTTTCAAATGTTAGAAATATTTAAAGTCGATTGAATGAACTACGACTAGTAAACTAAAGTTTCAAATATTAGAAATATTTAGTGTCGATTGAATGAACTACGACTAGTAAACAAAAGTTTCAAATATTAGAAATATTTAGTGTCGCTTGAATGAACTACGACTAGTAAACCGAAGTTTCAAATATTAGAAATATTTAGTGTCGATTGAATGAACAACGACTAGTAAACAAAAGTTTCAAATATTAGAAATATTTAGTGTCGATTGAATGAACAACGACTAGTAAACAAAAGCTTCAAATCTTAGAAATATTTAGTGTCGATTGAATGAACTACGACTAGTAAACAAAAGTTTCAAATATTAGAAATGTTTAGTGTCGATTGAATGAACTACGACTAGTAAACAAAAGTTTCAAATATTAGAAATGTTTAGTGTCGATTGAATGAACTACGACTAGTAAACAAAAGTTTCAAATATTAGAAATGTTTAGTGTCGATTGAATGAACTACGACTAGTAAATAGTTTAAAACAATATAAAATGTGATGTGTGTATTAAATTGAAGTCATTGACGTCAAATTTCGTTTATGTGAAATATCTTACATAGCTACAAGATGACTTTACCTGTGAAGCGGCCTCAGTAAGTTTAATAACAGCATCAGCAACTTTCTTGATGGCATCATCAAATGCAGACATATCTCCTTTCTTTGCGTTGCCAGATACATCAGTCATACCATCACGAAGAGACTTGGAATTCTCACTAACAGCATCGAGACAATCAAAGAATGAATAGTCGTTGACAGGTTCAACAGGATTCTCAAGAAGATTGGAAACGGCCTAGAAAACCATTCAACAACAATTCATATCATGAGCTTCAGATGAAACACGAAGCACAGTGTCTAAATGAAGTAAACCTGGATGTTTCGAAGGGCACTTTCGCATTCTTTCTGTCCTGGGGCTGCAGTCATTGCGGTGTTTAATAAATTGTTGATGCTATCAGTAACAGCTCTGAAATAAAACAAAAATAGATTTTTATCACTAGATACAGACATAAATACGCACAACTAAAACCAAGGCTACTTAAACAAATAAAAAATCATCATTAAATCAATAATTTATTGAAAAAACCAAAAGCGTCAAGGTTTCGTCGGACCTTGCAGCTCCTGCTAAAAGATTCTTGGAATTTGGAGCGTTGGGATCGGCAGCCAATGATTTAGCGGCGAGAAGCAGTTTACTTGAGGCAGTGGATGTATTTTTTAAACTACGAACCAATGCCGACTTTGTTTCCTCGTCCTTAAAACACACAAGTGCGCACAGTGAATAAACAATGTTTAAAGATAATATTTAACAACGAAAGTAAAAAAAAACATCAATTATTGAATTATTCATTTGAAGATCACTACAGGAGCTTACGTAGTCATTGAAAGATTGTCTCACCGTAGTTTGACCTGCCAGTTTCATACTGGGGGTCATAAGATCTTCAAAAGATTTGGAGTATTTTTGCGATGATACGGCAAGTTCGTTTGATGACCCACGTGAAGCTTGCACAAGTTCACTTGCAGCCAGATTCAGCAAAGCACCAGATTCATTAACTTTATCTTGTAGTTGTTGGTAATTCTCGTCGCTGTCAGGGAACTTTAAAAAAAAAGATTAAGATGATTGATGTTCAAGTCTGGGAAAAATAGTTTGGTTATTTTATCAAACGTTTCCTTGTGTTTTTCACCAGTGTGGTGGTAAACTGTGATGGTAAGAAAATTTAATGTACATGAGAAACCAAAAATTTGGTCGCAGAGAAACCAAATGTTTTCAAATAAATTTCAAAACATTTAATGCATCAAAACCGTATCACTTTTCCCCATACAAGCTCACTTCGTTTAACATAGTAAAAAAGTGACAGAAAACAAAGATTTTGCTGTTTCCCAAAGCTTCAAACAAAGGGAAAAAGTTTATGCAAAAAGAAAAAGCAAAGTGCATAATGAAAATACAATGCAAGTTTAAAACCAACAAAAACATACGTCTTCAGCTGCAAGAAGCTCACTAGCTTTTGAAACTCTCTGAATCGCTTCATCGACATCTTTCTGACCAGGAAGACAATTGATGCAATTCTTCAGAGCCTGAGATACATCTTTTGCCACCTGATTACAAGAAAAAATTATATCGCAGCGTTCTGATCATGCATCCATAAAAAAAAATGTGATGCACCACACTTAAACTTTATTTCGTGGTCGATTAAGAAGAGCTTGTATTCAGCACTATAGGTCCTACTTCTTACTGCTCATGTTCTATGTAATATATGCTATATCATCCCGTTCTAGTTAATCATCAAACTATACTTAAAATACCTATTCAAACCATGCATGATACTTAAGGTTTTTCTTCAATCTATACATACTTTTCCCAATCTCTCTTGATTGTTGGGATCGTTTGGATTGCTGGTCGCTTTTTTTGCTTCTTCCAACAACTTAGCTGAAGCTAACATAACTTCTCTAGCAGCATTAATTATATTCTTTTGATCATTCTTGTCATCGAAAGCGGCCGATACGCCTCGGACAGCATCGGTAAGAACGCGGAGAGCGTTCGCCGTATCTCGTGCAGCAATACCAGTGTAGTTCTCGTTCGCTTGAGCTGCAGCGGTCAAAAGTTGAGCCATTGAAGAGCCAACAGTCTTTGATGTTGCTCCCAGTTCTAAGGAGCTGCTTTCCAACTAAAGATTGGAAGAAATGGACAACAGGAATGAGACAAACTTCAGCTGTACGTATGTACAAAGCTATAAAAAGAAGCCTAAATGAAAATGTTATAAACATAAAGTTACAAACCGACTCTCCAGGTAAGGGGAGAAGTTTTCCTTCGTCAGCAGACTTCTCAAGAGCCTCTAAGTCGTCAGCAAGAGACTTCACATTTTCCAAAGCGCTGTCAATTTCAATCGATCCACAAGCCTCCGCAGCCTACACACACAAAAACAAAACATGCACGTTTTGAAAGAAAACATAATCAGACAAACACAACAAAAAGTCGTTCGCTCGTTTACCTTATTTGCTGCATCCCTAAGTTCTGCAAGTGATGCAGCAGTTCCTTTAGCAAAGGTACCAGTTGAGTGCTTGCCACTGGATCACTAATCGTAGGTAAGGAAGCTTTGCTGCTGCAACAAGCTTTGTACCCGGCTGCAGTGAAAATAGAAAAGAGTATAATTGAAATGATCCTTCATGTACGAAGAATTGATATAAAAATCTCTCAGCGCATAAAACAATGCACTGCATTAGGAATTTTACGTACGGGAATGAAGTCTTTCGACGTATTGATGAGATTGAGTTGCGCAGTTGGATTATTTGGGTTGTTCATGCTATCTTGAATAGTTTGGTTCAGTTTCTCCACGTGTTCCTGTACAGGCTACACAAAAACATGAAACAATTCACGTTTGTCCTTATTCATTATTGTCACTGATCTCTTACCTTCAATTGATCCTGGAGCAATTGCTGAGATGTTGGATTACGATTGGCTGGAGATGTACGATCAGCAGCGGTCAGTAGTTGTGTCGTCATCGCTGATGCTTGTTTTGCAGCATCCTGTCAAAATAAACAGTTTATGACTTAGAGATGAATAAACCTAAAATAAACTGCCAGTAAAAATTAACCTCTAAACGTTTAATCAATTTCTTCTTCAATGCGTTATTTGCAGCAGCGTCAGTAGCTAAACGAATATCGGCAGCAGCTTCACGCAGTCTTTGCTGTTCTTTCGCATCATTTGGATTTCTTGCAGCACCCTAAATATTCACAATTATTTACAGTTAAACGTCGCGAATAGCGATTTCTTGAAGTACAGTTTAGCTAAAATTAACCTTTGCTGCTTCAACCATCTTTGCGGTCGCGTCAGCAAGATTTTTTGCCGCTGCGAGCAATCGTTTCTGCAGGTCAGCGTCTTCTTCACCTTCAGCTTGAGCTTTGATACCATTGACGAGAAAGGACATGGCCTAAAAGGTAGCAAACACGTGCAAAAAAAAACAATAAAAAGGAAAGTCATGAAGAAACTCACACATACATCATCTCTACAATCATTTCAGAAATAATCATCGAGAAGTTATTTACCTGAGCCAAAACTTTAGCTTGTTTTACCATCTCTCCAGCATTTCCCATGCTGTTAAACATACGATCTGTTGCATTCAAGATATCATCACAAGCATCATCATATTCACCAACGTTGCGGTCATTCTTTGATCCCTCTTGAACTTTTTTCAAAAGGTTGTTTAATGCATCACGAACGCCTTTCGCTGCGTTTGCCAGATCATTCAATAAATTAGGATCCGATGAAGCGTCCTAATGCAAAAATGTACCAATACAAATGTTAATTAATAACTGAATGAAAAACAAATGCTAATTAATAACTGAATTAAGAACAAATGCTACTTAATAACTGAATTAAGAACAAATGCTACTTAATAACTGAATTAAGAACAAATGCTAATTAATAACTGAATTAAGAACAAATGCTAATTAATAACTGAATTAAGAACAAATGCTAATTAATAACTGAATTAAGAACAAATTCTAATTAATAACTGAATTAAGAACAAATGCTAATTAATAACTGAATTAAGAACAAATGCTAATTAATAACTGAATTAAGAACAAATGCTAATTAATAACTGAATTAAGAACAAATGCTACTTAATAACTGAATTAAGAACAAATGCTACTTAATAACTGAATTAAGAACAAATGCTGAATTAAGAACAAATTAATTAATAACTGAATTAAGAACAAATTCTAATTAATAACTGAATTAAGAACAAATGCTAATTAATAACTGAATTAAGAACAAATTCTAATTAATAACTGAATTAAGAACTATTACGTTATTATTTTTGCCATTTACATGGTAATTACGATTTTCAAAACAATTTTTAATTCACATTTGTTCATTTTTAATTTATATACGCGTTTAATTCGTTCGAAATTTACCGATGTAAAATCAAAATAGTAACTTGCTTTGTCTCAAAATTTCACGCAATATTATAGTCATGTGTTTGGGTTTTTCTGTGAACTTTCTTTAATTTAAACTTTCAAAAATACAATTACGCTCGTACTGTATTGAGTATTTTAATAAAGAGAAATTAATATTCAATCATGTATCGCGTGAATGAGTATGAGCTAGCTATTTTGTGTGAAAAAACTATTCAGCCCCAAGCCTTATTTAAGCCCCCTCCAAACACACCTCTAATTGAATAATTTCAGGTAAAATAAACCACCAGTGAGGCCAAAAAGAGCCAAGAGGCCAAAAGTAAATACGATAATTTACTTTTGCATACCGTAGTTATTTTAAGGAAATTTGAGCGACTGAACATCCAACTCACTTTGCAAGCTCCTTCAGTTCCTTCGACAGCTTTTGACACGAGCTTAGCAGCTTCGACCACTTGATCTTTACACAGCTGTGAATTGATAGAAGGTGCCAACACTTTGGTACACGCCACAAGCTGTGATGTTGTCATGGCAGTATCTTTGGCCGAGCCAATCACTTGGCTTTGTAGGGTGACGTCATCACACTTGCTCGCAATCGCTTTTGCTTTGAGAACAAGAGCGGCGGTGGCGTTAGCAACAGCTTGAGCTAAAGCAAGCAACATTTCCTGAATAGAGGAAGAAAAATATCATGTTACAAAATGCAAAAGATAACTTTCAAATTGTTTTATATCATAAAAACAAAATGCGTACGCTGGTTGGTCTATAGCTGAGTTTGCATTAAAGTGGTTATATCACGAATTTTAGCCCCCCTTTTTTATGAGCTTAATTGAAAATTTGGATTATTTGAAGAACTATGACATGTCGCTGGACTTAAACAGATAAATATAAGTTGCTTAATTTTGCCTCCAAAGTCGGGTACTATTTGCGAATTTTTTACGACGCCATATTGATACTTGTGACGTAGATAGTTGAACACGTCTGTTTCCGTCAATATAATATTATATTATAGAAGGTGATTTTGTTGTCGTTTTTCTTGTCTTAAAAACAAATAATGACAGTATTTTTAATAAAATATTAAAAAACAAGTTGTCCGGAAAGTATGGCCTCAAATCAGTGTTCAGATAATTCGAATTCGATGTCTGAATGCGTATCTGATTCGAGCTCGGAATCCGTGGGTTATGTCGAGCATTTAAACGACTTCGCATATGACGATGAACCGCTAGCAGGAGATGGTGATGAAGTGCATACTCCAGATGATCCCGATGGAATTCTCCCTGCGACATTAGAACAACGAAGTGATGGCGTAATTCCACTTGGTGAATGGTAAGTTGTTGTTTTCTCCTGTATGTAATATACATAAAGTTACTTTATAAACCAGAATGCTCCCACGTTTCAGGTGTAATTGTCAATGCTGTCATACCGATTTGTTAGAAGGCGCATTAGAGTACAGATGCTGTAAGGAAATTGGACCAGCTTTGCAGAAAATGACATTCGATGGCAGCATTGAGAAAATATCATGCATAACACAGCATGCCAAATTTGGGCCTTTAGTTCATGAGGCTGTCCTTGAAAACGTCGGGCCACTATTGAGAGATAGGAATGGACGTGCTTATCGCCGCCAAGCATCACAATCATTAAATATGTAAGATTGTAATTGTATGAGAAACAATGTTATAATCAACATTGTTTCATCAACAATAATTAGTCCAACCTTTTTATTTACTTCAGGTACTTGAGAGCTGTGGCATACAGATGGTTGATGCGATGGTTTTGTGGGTCCATGGGATGGGAGAATACTCGGCCTTTACCTGCTTGTGTTTACCACTTTATTCGGAAAGCATATCCAAGTGGTAACACAACAGGTTACATACCATCAAAGGGGCGATGATGGAATAGTCTTTTAACTTGTGCACTGTAGAGAATGTTGACCTTCTTTGCTGAGTTTGGAATGGTCAGGAAATATGCCTAGATGAAAACCAAATAGGAGATACATGGATGCACTATATAAGTTGACATGCAGTTTAATGCTTTGAAACAAGAGTAAACAATAAAAACAAATTGGTGCAACTACTGAGAGGTTAAGCTGAAAGAATTAAATGAAAGAATATCTTTTCTTCAATGTCAGTCTGGGAAAAAAGACAAAAGAAAAAATATATGGAATTAAATCATAGCATAAATGTAAAAAAGGGAAAATAGCAAGCCGTTCAAATGGCGAATCGTTTGCTTCCCCAGTGCATACTTAAACATGCTCAGCTTCATCACTAGTAGATGATACTTCGTCATTGAGAGAACATGTTTCCTTCAGCGATGGCTTATGGAGAGTATGTCGAATAATCTACAAAACTTATATCGAATTTACATATGACAAAAGAAAAATTAACATAAACAAGCGTAAACTTACTTGTCTTCGCTTTCAATCGGTTATTTCGTCTTGTAATGGTTCAGGAATCCCAGCCACGTCAATGGTTGGGATAGCATGTTTCTTCAACCTTTTGAGCTTGACTTACACGCTCAAATTAAGGGCAAAACAAGAATCTTCAAAATGCGCAGAACACAGACACGAGGTAGAGGAAGCCTCAAAACCCGGTCTATGTTTACGCACAAAATTTACCATTTTCTATGTCTTTGCGGCTCTGTTTCTTTTTTAGGAAACAGATGCATCGACATTCCTTCGGTTTTTGAATCATTGGCGCAACTAATTTGCTTAGGTCCGCCAGCAACACAGCGTTTTCCTCCGCGTTTCTTATTAAGATTACTAGTAGAATACGCCATGTTGATATATGTGTTCAACTTTCTACGTCACAAGTCATTAGCATACCGATCAAAAAGTTCGCAAAAAAAAATGCTGAAAATCGTGACTTTGAACGTCCGTAAAATCACTTTCACCAATCCAATTTCAATTATAATTGCAGATTTAAAATCACTGAAACAAGGTCTTTCAATTTAGCTAATAAAAAAGGGGGGCTAAAATTCGTGATATAACCACTTTAACCTGTGCAAACTAATCTGAGCTAAATCAATTAAATCAATCAAAGAGACTTTGCAAATCAACACGTTTGTGTTGAATTTTATCTGTTTTGCATAATTGTTCTTTTATTTAAAAAATAAAAGATGTTTTTCGTGTTTGCTCTGGCTTATGTAAACTTGGAGAAGTTTGTGAGAACTTTGTAGAAGGCGCAGAACCTCCACTTTTGATCTCAAGCTTGCACTGATCTGTTCACGAGTTCGACGAAAGTCCCCACGTTTGGCATAAGCTTGTGCAAACACAGTAAATATCGTTTATTTCTTAATTAAATCTTCAGCTATCTAATTTGCAACGCAATACAAATATAATGTGTGATTAAATATCCAGAAGTGGGTTACCTGTATTCCCGCGTCAACTTCTTGTTCACCTCCCATCGCATTCAAGACGCTCGCTCCAGCTGTTCCGATTTCACCAGCAGCTTCAAGTAACTTCTGACGGTTTTCCTAAATATTGACGCAACATGAATCAGGAACTAGCAAATAAGACGGTAAAAAAGAGTACCACTTTTTAAAATAGCTAAAAACACATAATACAACGAGAAACAAGAATTTACCGTGATTGTTTTTTGTGTTTTATACGAAAAAGAAACAAAAATATTACTTATTTCCTTACGTTATCAGGAGAGACGGGACTTCCCTGAGCAGATTTAAGAAGATTCAAGAAAGCATCGGCCAAATTTTTAGCAGCATCTTGGAGTCTATTGCTATCATCTTCATCGTCCATAAGGGCAGCGATCATTTGAACTCGTCGAGTCAACACATCCAAATTTGAAGCTCTTCACAATGAATGAACAGACGATACGTATGTATAAAAAAACTACATAAACTATTAACTCTATTCCCACCCCAGCCCCTACGTACTGAGAAAGATTTCAATGTACCATAAAACAATAAAAATTTCATTTGAAACAATCTCGTGCAAAGAGCGAAGAAATGAGGATGGTAAAAATACAACGCTATTCACAGACAGTTATAACTTACATTGTGTCAACAGCAGCACTAGCCTTGTTGTAATCTGTTTCTTCTGGTTCTCCTGCAAGAAAATATATTTTTTTCATCGTGAGGAAAACCCTTCTCTTACTATAAACAGACGATGCTATTTATAAGTACAAACCGGATGTTAATGTGACAATCGATGCAGTAGAAGCCGACAGGGCAGCGAGACGATTTGAAACATTCTGCCGATTGGCGTCAAGATTGTTTTGCTTCCATTTACGAGAATGCTACAGAATTAAAACCTTTGTTAACCATAATAAAAAGGTTGAAAATGTGCACCAGTAATCTACTGTTCAAAAGATGTTTTTAAGTAATAATATTCGATAAGTGGAATATGTACAAACATCATTTAAAAACTTTTTTTTTGTAAGAGAAAATTTGCAATCATCCGAGTCGGCGTGAAATACAGTCATCTCAAAAATTCACTAAGTTTGCAGATTTCCTTAAACCATGAAGCATTTGCATTAGAGAAAACCGCTGATCAACTTACTGGATCATCTCCTATAGCAGGCACCTCTGCTGATTTTTCCAACTCGTCACGTGCAGATCTCACAGAATTCAGTCCTTGGCTCACGTGACCAAAGAAAGCTTGTTGTGCAGTTGCTGGTTTATGAATCTTCGGTTGTACACCAGTCTACACACAGGATAAAAATGTCACGTGATTTATCTTCATAGAGAACATGGATACGTCACAAACACTGTCATTGTTGTTGGCTTATGATAAGCGCTTTAATTTTAATTCATTATTTCACTGTCCTAAGTTGATCATGTTCAAATCATTAAACTAAATATAACTGGAATGCTACCCTCCGTCAAAACTTGAAGCAAGCAATTTAACTAGTCCCAGTCTTTCCACACACGGCCCAAAGAAAGTTCACCCTCAAATTTGGCTTCGTGTAAGTACAGGTACGTTTATCTTAAAATGGCATTCCAGTTATATTTTCATTCCAAAGGTTCAAATAAACTAATGAATATCTTACTTGCGCCTGATGAGCTGCAATCCCTTGTCCAGAGTTCACACGATATTGTTCAGATGGAATTTGTCCTGTATCAAACTGAGTTGCTCCTTGTCCACCATTTCTTAAGATTCCAGGCAAAGCAACCGAGCCTGCTTCTGCATGACCGTGTCTGCTTGATTGCCGTTCGAGAATCGTTCCCCTAAATTCGAAATTCGTTTAAAACAGGAACATTCCATACTCTTCTTTAAAATACCAAATATTTGTGCCTACATCACATGTTGACATGAAAGGTATTATCAAGGTAAATAAAACAAGACAAACTTTGAAGGAGTGACAGAATCCTCCAACATCGTGGATTCCTCATCAATATCCATATCATAGCCATCGTTACCACGTTTCTACATGAGAAAGTCGATAGAATGAGAGACAAAATACAGAGTAAGTTAATACGAACTACATCCTGAGCTTGAGATTATAAAACATCGTTCCTTGTTGAGATTTATTCGGAGTCGTTAAAAACAACACAACGGGAATAATGAACACAAGCAAACCCTTTGTATCCTTTTACAAACCTTTTTAAGAATGATATCAATGTAACCAGCAATGAGTTGAGATATTTTTTCGCCTTCGTGTGTTTGAACGGAGTAATAAGATTCGGTGTAGTCGCCAAAATCCTGAACAGAATACGACACGCGTGATATTACCATAGAAACTGTAAATTCATTTAAAGATCTTAGAGAACGTTTAAAGAACAAACAAACGTACATACCAAAGTAAAACTATTTGGCGAGGCAGCCCATCTCCTCACGGTAGTAAGTGGCCATGTTTTGAGGATCTAAAATTGCATAAGACAGAAGTAAGATTAATTACGAAAAACAAGAAAAGCAACGATATTGGCGCAACTAGTTGTATATTGAGGTTAGGTACATTGGTGTACGTGGGTATTTATTAAGATACATTGGTGTACGTGGGTATTTATTAAGATACATTGGTGTACGTGGTTATTTATTAAGATACATTGGTGTACGTGAGTATTTATTAAGATACATTAGTGTACGTGGGTATTTATTAAGATACATTAGTGTACGTGGGTATTTATTAAGATACATTGGTGTACGTGAGTATTTAAGATACATTGGTGTACGTGGGTATTTATTAAGATACATTAGTGTACGTGGGTATTTATTAAGATACATTGGTGTACGTGGGTATTTATTAAGATACATTGGTACGTGGGTATTCATTAAGATACATTAGTGTACGTGGGTATTTATTAAGATACATTGGTGTACGTGGGTATTTATTAAGATACATTAGTGTACGTGGTTATTTATTAAGATACATTGGTGTACGTGGTTATTTATTAAGATACATTGGTGTACGTGGATATTTATTAAGATACATTGGTGTACGTGGGTATTTATTAAGATACATTGGTGTACGTGGGTATTTATTAAGATACATTGGTGTACGTATTAATTAAGATACATTGGTGTACGTGGTTATTTATTAAGATACATTGGTGTACGTGAGTATTTATTAAGATACATTAGTGTACGTGGGTATTTATTAAGATACATTGGTGTACGTGGTTATTTATTAAGATACATTGGTGTACGTGGGTATTTATTAAGATACATTGGTGTACGTGGATATTTATTAAGATACATTGGTGTACGTGGTTATTTATTAAGATACATTGGTGTACGTGGATATTTATTAAGATACATTGGTGTACGTGGTTATTTATTAAGATACATTGGTGTACGTGGATATTTATTAAGATACATTGGTGTACGTGGATATTTATTAAGATACATTGGTGTACGTGAGTATTTATTAAGATACATTAGTGTACGTGGGTATTAATTAAGATACATTGGTGTACGTGAGTATTTATTAAGATACATTAGTGTACGTAGGTATTTATTAAGATACATTGGTGTACGTAGGTATTTATTAAGATACATTGGTGTACGTGTGTATTTATTAAGATACATTGGTGTACGTGTATTTATTAAGATACATTGGTGTTATTTATTAAGATACATTGGTGTACGTGGGTATTTATTAAGATACATTGGTGTACGTGAGTATTTATTAAGATACATTGGTGTACGTGAGTATTTATTAAGATACATTGGTGTACGTGAGTATTTATTAAGATACATTAGTGTACGTAGGTATTTATTAAGATACATTGGTGTACGTAGGTATTTATTAAGATACATTGGTGTACGTGAGTATTTATTAAGATACATTGGTGTACGTGTGTATTTATTAAGATACATTGGTGTACGTGGGTATTTATTAAGATACATTGGTGTACGTGGGTATTTATTAAGATACATTAGTGTACGTGGGTATTTATTAAGATACATTAGTGTACGTATTTATTAAGATACATTAGTGTACGTATTTATTAAGATACATTGGTGTACGTAGGTATTTATTAAGATACATTAGTGTACGTGGGTATTCATTAAGATACATTAGTGTACGTGGGTATTTATTAAGATACATTGGTCTACGCAAATATAAGAGGATATACCTCTTTTGTCTTTTCATCAACTCTTAAAACACTTTCTTTTGTGATACCAAGCAGTCGAGGAACGAGCTTATTTTTTCCTTTCATCTTTTCCTGTTTTATTCAGCAAACATTGTCATTGTATAAATCTTTCAACGAAAATTTCTTTATAAAGCTTCGCTATAGCTTACCTTTACTAAGAAAAATGTTATTCCGTATGTTTTCAAGCTGCGACACAGTTGTACATATTTGAATTTGGCTTGAAGTTCATCTAAACCATGACATTTCTTGTGTTCCTAAATGTGAGAAAACAAAACAAAACAAATTATAATAAATGATTTTCATTATAAACACGGTGAAGATGCAGGCCACATTATTACGCTGAACATACCTCTTTAATTTTCTTGTCAATACCTTTTGATTTACCGTACTCCTTTGGTAACACTTCTTTGACTCTGTAATGAAATATTTCATTTATCGGCGAATAATAGTGGTAATGAACGTGAAAATTGAGTTGATTTTAATGGTAAATAAGAGAGAGAGAGATGCTGCCCGTCGAATCGACGATGGCTGTCTGCAACTGTCATCCGTAATGATGGACTTTTGATTGCAGACTGCATGCACAGTGAGAAGAGCATGGTTGTGCAGGCCATGTTCTATTGGCTTGGCCACGCGGTTCCATCTTCAGTGGCACAAATGATCGCGACGACTGTGAAACTACGCGGTTGCAGGGAGAGGCCGTCGACACAGTTAATCCGTGAGCGTCCTTTGCTGGCGTTTTTCCCGTTACACCAATGGTAAATAAGGGATAGCATTATTTACAAACTCACTCAATTTTTCCTGATTTGTAGAACTTTTCCTCATAATCTCCGAATTGAAGTTGAATCTGCAGCGCTGCAAGCTAAATAAAGGAATTGTTCGCAATAAAAATTGCAGTTATTCCAGAGGGATCAACGTGTCCACAGAAGCGGGTGTTCAGAGTAGAGGATTGAAATCTCTGTCACAAAGAGGTTTTTACTCTGAGACATTACATCACTTGAGTTCATATGCAAACATAAGGTATCAAGAAACTGAACAGTTTGTAAAACGACGCTGAAGACATCGCCGCGAAAGCTATACAAAAATCTTTAGCGAAATAGGTAGTTGGACTTCCAATGTTTTATCTGATTGAAAAATTGTCGCAAATAATAACGATTTTAGAGTGAGAATTGTGTCACCAAGAAGCACTTTCGAAATAGCTTCCTCGTAAAAATGCAGTTAAAAACATAGGGTTGTAAACATGGCAAATGTTGTTCAAGGTACGTAAAAAAGTTTCCAGAAGTTGTGATAAAAGCGTACGCGAACGCTATTCATCCCAATAGCGAAATTTTTTTCGTTTTTTCTTATGAACAAATGTGAGCTTAAATCAATGCAAACATTAATTGAAAGTCTGACTAAAGTTTTTGCAATTCGTGCACGCTGGCAAATCAGTGATGTTTTCCTAACTGTTCAGTTTGTTTTGATACACCATGAAATATAATCTCTTCAAGTGATTAAACCTTCCTCTTTACTTTCATAGCCACATGCCTCAAGACCTCTGATACACGACATCTTAGTAGGAGGATTTTAGAAAAAACAAACAAACGAATACCTGGGCAGCTTCTTCTTGGTTACAAGGATGGCTACCTTTGATAATGCCATCACGACACTGAAGATAAAACATCACAACATAAAAAATATATAAATCGACAAAGAAAAAGTTTTGATATTGCTAACAAAGTAAAACATAACAGTCACCTGCACATATAAAAGATTAAGTTGAACAGGGTCTTTTATGTCGACATTTTGATCAGAGTAGAAGAATTTCCTCTTGAGTAGCAATGAGTGAGATTCGTCAATACCCTGTTCACGTAAAGTCTTGTCCAAATCAAGCCATTGAACTAAGAAATACGTAAGACATATCAACCAATTAATTGTCATGAAACACACAAACTTTTTAACAGATTCATTTTTAATTTTTGACCACTTACAAAAAGTTATAATCAATTTCAACATAAATGTCAGTCTATAATTTATTACCTTCATCATCTGTGTGTAACTTCTTTCTCATTTCATCCATCTTACGTTGATCACGTTCTTCAATTCTATTTAAAGTTGAGCCCTCCTTCGTAGATTGTATTGTCCCTTGCTTATCCTACATTAAACAGAATGTCTTTTCAGCTTTCTCTTATGCTAGAAAAAGAGAAAATCCATAAAAACATTAAAATATACACCCACTTTTTTTAAAGTTCCCCTGCTTAATGTAGCTGTCTTGAATTCTTCACTTTCATCATCAGCCTTCTCATAGATAACCAATGAAAATTCTTCAGAATTGCCAACACCTGAAAAACAAAAAGTCAGGAAGTCGGGATTTTAATTAACTCAAATCACACACTTCTTTTGAACAGCAAGACATCTTATATTGATAATTCTTTAATTCAAAAAACAGCTAACGTGACAAGTGATCTTACCCATTTTATGGCAAGCTGACTGCAAAATATCACCAACAGTTTTACTGTCATCAATCTAAAAAATTAGAAGTACGAGCATAAATAGTAATGTCACATACTGTGATTGGTTAAAAACATATACTCACGAGCTGTGATTGGTTAAAAACATTAATAAGAAACTCATTTACAATGCCGATGACGACTGCAGATAACAAATTACCTGAACTGTTTTTACAGCACCATCCATGGTATAAACTTTCAAAAGACGAATCTTACTCTTATACAGCAGCATGTCCTGAAACACATTTCACAAAAATAATAAATTCACATCAACTTTCAATGTTCATGCTTATCTTCAACATAACATACACCGCTTGAAAGTGGGTAGAAGTTCAAGGGTCTTGATGGTTCCAACCATCTTCCACGATCATTTTCTTCTTCCAAAAACAAACCATAGTTTGTTCCTATTGAAAAAATTAAACAGAAATTCCAATACAAAGAACATTGAGGCATAAAGTTGACAATTGAATTTGATAATCTTTAATATTTTGACAATAATAATTAAACCTAAAAACTTATACAAAGGAACACATGTTTTTCCATTATAAGTTTTTAATTCCTCTTCTCACCAATGTTAACATAAATGCTTCACTTACGTTCGCCTTCCGTAGCTTGAGGTACTTTTTCATCAATAATCCTCAACGCATCCTGAACCAATATAGTTGGTTCAAACTAAAAATATGATCAAAGCATAGTTTTTTTTTAATTAATTGTAGAAGTAGAATTTTACTAATTTACTTAAGTTGGTTCAGACATTTTAAAAGTGAAACCTAAGTTTCTTATGTCAATATAATCAATTTCCTTCGCAATAAACATAAGCATCCTAAAGCATGCTCACTTTTTTTAAGTATCATTTTCTCATCAATTGATTGTTTCATTAAAACTTGTATTGACCTTTCAATGTTTAAAAATTACAAGACATTTTAACAATTAAACTTTGATAAATTTCTAGTTATAAAGGTCACCATGATCAATGCGATTGAAAAGAAACATTCAAGTTTCTAAACCATGAAAGGAGTCAACCCACTGAGTTATTTTGTAAACCAAGCACAAAAGCACAAATATACATGACAAAACTGTTTAAAATTCCTACCTGTAGAGTTTTTGTGGTTTTTGTTTCACCAAATTCACTTTCAGTGAAAGGGCTGCCATATTTTTAAAACAGCTGATAGGATTGCACTAATGAAAAGGAAAACATCTTTTAATGTGGTAATGGTATAATGCAAGAAAATTGACCATTCTTAATTAGATCTTTTTATTCTCCTAATTTCATAACAAGACTTGAATATCGATACAACAGGCATATTTCCACTAAAGACAAGCTGAATTTGAATGACAGATAAGCTGGAAGTATTATGATAAATTCATCAAATGGGTTTCACAAGACACACCACAAGGAAAACTATAAGTGATAAAATAATCATACAGGACTTCTAGCTTCTATAAAAGATCAATAAAATCACTGACATAATGAAATAATACTAAACGAAACAGTACAAAATCAAATCATAAATAAAAGCATAATTGCGACTGTTAACAGGTAAAGATAACTACATTCAGAAATTTTGGAAATTATAAACTTGGACTTAAAGAAACTTTTTGAAAGTAATATAAAATCAAACGAAAATTATTTATGGTGAAAACTCGATCATTGAGCATTTAAGGCAAGCCAAAACACACATTCATTTACGACATATAAACCAAGCGAAAATAATTGATAATTTCAAATTTTATAGCTTCCCTACACAAACGTCGCTATTACAATCACAACAATAAAGATTGGAGTATGAAAATAGACAAACAACGCTGATTTTTCACAATAAAAAGCACAGCATTCTTTCTAGAATCATTCAAACTATCCAAAACATGTTAAATAAGATCATAAAGACAGGATTAATTGAAGCGTTGTTTGAGGACAACTTGAAAATCTGACAAGAACGAGCGTCTGTCACTATCAATAAATAAGTTGTACTTTTGTTTACACGGAGAAACATTTTCAAATTCCAACATCATTCACAGACGACAAAGCACATTTAAAACAGACAGACAGACAGACAGAAAATTTCTCGAAGAATAGTTGTCGCACCATTAGAAAAAGGATATCTCATCCGACTTTCGGTTTAATTTCGACAATCTGTTTAGTATATTTCGCTTACCTGTTTAAGCGGTGTCGATTAACGATCAGTAATGCTAGATAATATAAGACAGAGTATTCAAAAAACGACTATAATATTCTACAACTTGTAATATTCAACGATTTCTAGTATATATCTCCAAGAGACCAACTCCCTCGACTCTCACGACTCAAATTTTCACGTCGATATATTGTATTCCACGTCGACTTCAATATGCAGTGGACTAAGTACTACAATACTATGAATACTATATTACGAGCGCATACCGGCATTTCCCGAACATTGTCACGTCGTAATAACTATTCCGCGTTGCAAACAAAGAGTACTTCCCTCTAAATCATCAGTGAAACGTCACCGGCGCTCTCGGCTTAGAAACATGATAAACACCCTTCCTATGCGGTAGTGGGGTATGTTTTACAATTATCATATTAAAATTTCAGATCGAATATCGAAGCAGAGGGTTCAGGAATGCATACTCCTTCCTATTTCAAGCGTCTAATTATTGCGTAAAATATCAGTGTGCCACATATAGTATTTTCTAATGCCATTCAGGCCCCCGTACATCTGAATAGGCACCACAATCCCTGAACTTCGTTTCTATAACTGGTTTAAAATCCTAGGTTTGCACAATGCCTTGCAGATGAAAATATTAACGTTCTTAAATACTAAAATGCTTTTCATTCATTGTATGGTTAATGTTGATTGAAGGTCAGCATGAACGATAAAGATTTACGATAAGTTCAAAGGACATGAAGAAAAATACACAATCAAATTGATGAATGAAAAGAGCAAATTGGTATTCATAACAATTGTCTGATTGATCCAATGGGATTACCATACACATTGTACAGTGCTAATTGGTTGTTGATGGTAACATTAAGTGAAGGTGATGTCAAATGTCACGATGACGGCATCAATAAAAAACATTCAAATTATTCAACGTTTATATCAAAATGATTTTAAACATTACCGCTAACACATCGAAATGACCTTAGAAATCCTCTTTATTTAATTACAAACACGTTGATTTAGCTAAAACAATCGATTTTATCGTAAAATAGTTTAGACGAAAATATTAATGCTTAATTGCTACATTTAAATATTTACACAAATAGCAACATATGGGAATAGAGTTTAAAACTCTCGATACTGTACATAGATATATTGGCATTTTTAATTTGCTTGCAAAGATCCCACGATACAAAGTAAGTATATGTTGTAAGTGCATTTCTACTAACAGTCAAAACTTGCTTAAATTTAAAGATAATACAAATATTTGTTTTCGTTAAAGCTATGAAAAACGAAAGAAAAGAGTGGGAGGGAGGGGAGAGAGCGTAAGGAAGTTTTGTCGTTATTATGGTGTCATGACATTGTATTAACTACTTATTTTCAACAGACACTCTTTCATTCTCTTGAGTCCATTTCAAACGCAAGATTACTTCTGTTAGAAGAATCACCAGATTCAAATGATACAGAAGTTTGGCGAGTTCCTTCGGCTATATAACAAAAATAAAACACAAATATTTCATTCACCTATCAACAATAAGTTCTTGCCAAAAAATTAACACGTCAATAAATAGTAAAGTAAGTTATTCCACGCTTCTCTCGAGGTTTTTAATTTAAATTTTCGTACTTTGCAAAGAACTTGTAGAATGCAACTGTCCACGTCCACCATTTTTATTTTTCGCTGGCGATTTCAAATTCGACGTGGAATTTCCCTGAGAACTAGAAGAGCCTGGGAACGAAATAAAAACGATATATTTACATCAACAATATCACAAGTAAATATATAAAAATATAAGTTAATTTAACATACCTTTACGTAATGTTTTATTACGAGGAGTAGTTGAGTAGGTGCTCTGTGTGCTTTGTCGAACAACATCTCTCATCTGGAAAATTGACGGGAATAATCACATTTGTAATTACTTCATATAAGTTGAGTTAAAAAATCATTCTGATTTAACCTGTTTGTTTAGAACACAATGAAAGAGGAATATCAGAAATCCTTGAAGGGAATTAAAAATAGCAAAAAGATAACGGAAGAACAAAGTTTCGCGATTGAACGTCATCAAACCAAAGACCCATGTCAAGCCAAGGATAGGAAATATAACAATTGCAGCTTTAACACCAGTCTTCACTTTCTGAACAGTGTCTTGTAGTTGGACTTTGTGAGAGTTCATCATCGTTCGCATAACCATGATAAAAACAACAGTGTTAAGCTGAAATCATAATCAGTATTGAAATATTAGCGTTTTTTTGATTTAAAACAACAGTCCACGACACTGAAGCTTACTAAAATAACAAGAACAGCAGGTCCAACAAACGCCCAGATCAAATTATCATCGACACTAAGCCAACAAAATGAACCCGTGCCGTAACCATCTCCTTGAGTAACACCCCATGATATAGAAACAATTAACAAAGGAGCACCTAGAGTGAATATATCTTAAGATAAATTTTCTAAAGTTCTCGAATAAAAATAAATAAAAATGTCAAGTCTACCCCAGCCAATTAAATTGAAGATCTTCCAATGTATTCCGCGGACTCCATCAAAAACTCGAATGAGCAAAATATAAAGAAGTATTCCTTCACACAACATCCAACCAAACACAGATAACACAAAGAAGTGAAGACAAGTAGCAACTGCTTTACAGAAATCCTGCAACAATAATATATGTTCAACATGAAACAAAATACATCCTTCAAAAAAAGGTCATTCTTTAAGGTAAAAATCAATGCAATACATTAATGCAGCTATTGAAAGATGGTGGGTTGAAACCAAACTTATTGCACATTTTTGAGCATGATTTAGTTGAACCGTAATAGAGTATGTAATGTTCAGTTTGAATCTTTGGATAACTATCACTGTTGAGCCTGCAGTTTATTCTCATAAGACTGAAAATCTAGTGATACGAAATAGAAGATCAATAACAACGAGTTTTATTAAAGCTTGGTTTAACTCATCTCAGAACAATTCACACTTGCTTTGAGAATAAAGTAAATGGTTTGAGCCCGAGTTTATGTAAATGGTTTGTATCGTCACATGTTTGTAAACGTAGATCGTCCAGTCATTTCACTCTGAAGATGACTACCGCTAAGGTTGTCGAAACGTCAGTCAACAACAACAAAAACAGTCTTTCTCAGGACTATACCAACTTGCTTTGAGAATATCACATAGCATACAAAAGAGTGTTTACCGGATAATCTCTTGCAGGTCCTTCGAGAACAGCAAAGATGTCCGTGAAGCCAATAGCGACACACAAACTAACAAGAACTTTAGATCGAGGAGACTTAACTTTCTTCCAAAAACAAGCATATATCAATATCGTTAAAATGACACCCAATAAAGATATTGAACAACCGACTGTTGAGATAACTTCCAGGACTTTTTGTTCTGTGCTTGACAACTGTATAAAGATAAGAGAATGATATGACGAAAGGTAAAATTAAACAAAATAAATATTTTACAAATATTGATATTGCTTTTTCAAGTACATCAAGTATTAAAGAAAGAATCGCAAACTTTGGCTAATTTTTGTGAGTATCGACTTAAAATGTCAACATCCTTAAACCCAGGGCTATCGTTATGTTTGTAGATCGTCCAGAGTAGTACAGTCCTGAGAAATGTTTGGTGTTGATGTTAACTGAGCGTTTTCCCAGCCTTAGCGGTAGTCAACTGTAAAGGCGATTACAACAAACGTTGTCACTATACGCCAGTAATTACAATCACCCATAGAACTCCGGTTGTTAAAACGATTTACATTTAAAATGTGCATTGACCTCATTAATAATTCATTGTGTATAAGTAAGTGATGGTACACACAGTAGGTACACATTATGGTACACACTGTGGGTGCACATTATGGTACACACAGTGGGTACACATTATGGTACACACAGTGGGTACACATTATGGTACACACAGTGGTACACACAGTGGGTACACACAGTGGGTACACACAGTGGGTACACACAGTGGGTACACATAGTGGGTACACACAGGGGATACACATTATGGTACACACAGTGGGTACACACAGTGGGTACACAAAGTGGGTACACACAGTGGGCACACACTGTAGGTGCACATTATGGTACACACAGTGGGTACACATTATGGTACACACAGTGGTACACACAGTTGGTACACAAAGTGGGTACACACAGTGGGTACACACAGTGGGTACACATTATGGTACACACAGTGGGTACACATAGTGGGTACACACAAGGGGTACACATAGTGCGTACAAATTATGGTTCACATACGTGTAAAATACTGCGAGCTCAAAGTCAAACTTTACCAAAAAAACATCTTACCTCTACTCCAGCCACATCCATCATGATAGCAAAAGCTGTATTATGATCACAAACACAGGTAACATTTCCCTCCGATGATGCAGTTTCATTTAATTTACATCCTTGTTGACTCCATTTACTATTTTCTACTTCTGGTTCAATAAATGCACAAGTTCTGTTGGGATTATCAAAGCCGCTCTAAATTACAGCAAAAGATTTGGAATTCTACAGAACCAACTAAACAATATTAAAGTACAAATAAACACAAACCTGATTATTTTGTAAGACGATCTTGATTGGTTGAGTTACATTTTTAAGTTCAGGTGTTGTACTAAACGAAACTATAGTGCTCTGAATAGTTAGATTTGAACCAGCGCTTATTGTGTTGTCCACTGATTTTCGAAGTTCTTTAGGAGATAAAATATCCTTGATTGATGAATATTTAACAACTGTCGCTTGTTTTATAACATTAACAACAGTTCCTGGAATTACAACGCCTCCACCTGCCGTGTCTAGCAGACTAACAGGTTTGGGAGCTGATTTTTCCCGGAGGTTTATGCCTAGTACTTGAATATTTGAAGTAGAGAAACCAACAATTTCGTCTTGTTTACTTTGAGCGACAAAGTTCTTTGCATTCAGATCTGCCCCACTGATAATTTGTCTGGCCAACACGTTTCGATTCTGTAATTTCAAACAAATCAAGAGATCTGTATATTACAAGCAAGCTAAAAATCTATCCTATAGATAAAGAAAAGCCTTGACTTCATTATTTTTTAAAAATATCTACTTACTTCTATATTGGCCCAAACATCTCTTCTCTCGCTACCGACAATATTACTAGAAGATTTGATAAAGTTCTCACGGTCGTTTTGCGTAGCCGTTCTTGTTTGTGTTATCTCCAAAACGAAGACAATATCCTTAACATCTTGTTCAAACAGTTCTTTTTCAGTAACGCTCTCTGTTTGCTGAATAATCTCGCTCACATTATTTGATTCAAAACCGCTTTCCAACCTCGTCACCTTTAAAGTGATTGATTAGTTAAAAAAACTAGAGTTTATCTCAAAACGTGATAATAAGAAAATAAAACCTCGTCACGAAGTTTGATGACATCTTCAGAGCGACAGCCTGAAACATTGACGAATCCCCATGTTGGTTTATCATTGATATTCGAGCATAACCGATAGACAAGTCCTAAATAGAATAGTAGAGAACAAATATTTATTACGTGCAGTGAAATAAAATTGGCAAATCAACGAAAGAAGAAACAACCTTGTTGTCCTGGAAGACAGTTCTGAATAACATTTGTACCAACTGGTGTTTTCTTCCATTCATAACCACCAGCTGACTCGGCAGAACAGAATTTATTGAAATCTATATTTCAGAAAAAATGATTTTAACAGAGTGAGTATTATCATAGTAAACCAGACCACATACAGTTAAAGGTAAAGTACATTCACCATGATAAGATAAAGTATTAAATAAAACTACCCACCACTTGCCACAACAACCACTGTTACATTCTTACTGCGTGTAGAACCATCTGAGTTGGTAGCAATACACCAATATTGACGAGTGACACTTTGAGCATTTTCAATCTTAATGACATTTGTAAGATCCAGTTCCCTTCCACTATAAAAGTGTTTGTCAGATCTCGAACTATTGAACCACAGGATATTTATACCTTTCTCGTAACCAGCCAACACTTCACAAGTCAGTACTATAGTGTCGCCTGTGCGATAAGAAAAAACACATTGGTTAAGACTTAACATATTCTTCATATGTAAGTCAAAAAGATGAATGAAAAAAAAATCAACGACTAACGAGAGCATGTATAATAGTAATAGAAGGTTAAAAAGCTTTTATCAATATAAATACGCATACCTTCAGTTACTGCAACTGAAAGTGGAGAAACCGCAATTACCGGAGGTGCTTTAACTTTGATGGATATAGTTCTATTAATGTGGTCAGTACCTTTGCTAAAACACAAAGATTTGATGAAAAATAAATGTTTATCAGGTATACAATACAGTTTCTAATAATATCTTTTGAAAATCGTGACTCGTGAAAAGTTTTCACAAACCTAGCTAGACAACTGTACATTCCAGAATCAGATTTCTCAGTTTTACGAATAAACATTTTCGATACGTTATTATTCGTTTCAATCCTGACGCGGCTTGACAGTGACAATGTTTGGCTACCATTTCTCCATTCAAAGATCGGTAAAGATGGACCAGTAACTTCACAACTCAGTTCAAGATTATCTCCAGCAGAGATGTCGTCAGTCACGTTTATTGTCATGTTGGTAAAGCCTTAAACAGAAAATAAAAGTTTTACGCGAGTCTGCACGAGACAATATTAATGCTATATACAGTTATAACTTTACGTGGTTGAGTAAGTTGTTTTAATGATCCAGATTGAAGAGAATAATTTCCAAGATTTCCAGAATCTCCGATATTCGTCAAAACAGTGCTAATGATGTTTTCTGAATCTTTCACTAACACCACTTCGCCATCAACAATAACACTCCCATGTCTGGAGTCAGAGAGATAAATGTATCGGTAAATGGATACTTCACCAAAAGCATTTACTTATTAAATGTATCATATAAGCAATAAAACATAAACTGACCTGAATTGTACAACGTTGAAGCCACGATATTGGGGAACTTCAGCAAATTTTAGACTAAACTAAAATCAAGAAGAAACTCCATTCACGATAAAATCGATAAGAAAAAAGGAAACGTGTAAAAAGAGCTTACAGCCGCTTTCAGTTCATTGATCAAATCGCGACTTTCCTGAGATGTTAAAACATTAAGGGATGCGGTATACTCAATTTGAAGTGTGACAGTGAGCGGTATAAATGCATCCGGGATTCCTAAAAATTGAAGAAAATTAAAAATGTGTAGAAAATATTTAACGTATAGTTGTATTGAAGAAAACTTACTCGTGCACTCGGCTCCAGTGAATCCAACAGGACACTGACATGAATAACTTCCGGCAGAATTTAAACAACGTTTATCTTCAGGACATGCATGAGACATGTCGCATTCATTTATATCTGTTAAAAAAACCCCAAAATATTGCAATGAAGTAATCTATAACACAACATCACAGCTCGCTAAAAGGATAACGTCCAACAGTTCGGGTAAAAAATGACAACCTTCATATAATTTACTACTGAGTCCTATATGTCCTTCAATACATGTACAGGATCCCTGGTTGTTCATACATTCTCTTTTAGATCCGCATACATCAGAAATACACTGAACAAGAGACATAAAACATATTCAAACCTGAGCAACTGAATCCATCACCAGAATACCCTTCGTCACATTGACATTCAAAAGATCCTTCAGTGTCAGTACAGTTAGCGCTGATGTTACAAGGATTGGACAAACATTCATTGATATCTTAAAAAGCGATAGAAGATGTGTTAAAAAACAAGGCTTCGTTGCACATTCGTTTATATCAATAAAACAATACATAAACCAATTGATTTTTTACACAAATGTTAAACTTTATTCTTACTTTCACAAAAATTTCCATTTCCACTGTATCCATTATTACAACGACAAGCATAAGAGCCAGAAGTATCAAAACATGTCGCATTTTTATCACAAGATATATATGAACATTTGTCAATGGCTGAAAATATAATCCAATAACATAAAAATAACGTTCATTTACATAAAAAGAAAAAGTTACTCTTACAAAAAACGTACTAGTACAGTTTGTTATTCCATCACCAGAGTAACCATCGATACAAGTACATACATAAGAACCATCAGTATCATTACAAGTAGCATTTATATGACATGGACTGGGAATGTTCATACATTCATTGATATCTAAAGATATATAAAATATTACATTTTCTGTTGAAAACACACTTCTACATTTCAAAGCAACATAATTGATTACTTACTAGTACAATTGAATCCAGTACCATTATAACCATCTTTACATTTACATACGTAAGATCCATTATTATCAAAACATCTTGCGTTGAAATGACAGGAATTGTTCAACTCACATTCATTGATGTCTACAAATAATATCAATGTTTTCACACAGAAATTTCCCATTTAGTTGAAATAATAAAATCTTACCTATACAAGAGAATCCATCACCAGAATATCCTTCGTTACATTGACATTCAAAAGATCCCTCAGTGTCAGTACAGGTAGCACTGATGTTACAAGGTGAGGAGGAACATTCATCGAGATCTTAAAAGGAGACAAAAGAATTGTGACAAAACAACGTTTTGTTTCACATTCATTTACAACCATAAAACAATACATAAACCAAATGATCTTTTACACAAATATTAAACTTTATTTTTACTTTCACAAAAAGTTCCATTTCCAGAGTATCCATTATTACAACGACAAGAATAAGAGCCAGGAGTATCAAAACATGTCGCATTTTTATCACAAGATATGTATGAACATTCGTCAATGTCTGAAAATATAATCCAATAACATGAAAAAACGTTCATTTAAATAAAAAGATAAAGTTACTCTTACAAAATACGTACTAGTACAGTTTGTTGTTCCGTTACTAGAGTAACCATCGATACAAGTACATACATAAGAACCATCAGTATCATTACAAGTAGCGTTTATATGACATGGACTGGGAATGTTCATACATTCATTGATATCTATAAAAAGATACATAAAATTTTACGTTTTCTGTTGCAAACACACTTCTACATTCCAAAGTCACATAATTCTTTACTTACTGGTACAATTAAATCCATCACCAGAATACCCTTCGTCACATTGACATTTGAAAGATCCTTCAGTGTCAGTACAGTTAGCGCTGATGTTACAAGGATTGGACAAACATTCATTGATATCTTAAAAGGCGATAGAAGAAGTGTGACAAAACAAGGCTTCGTTTCACATTCGTTTACATCAATAAAACAATACATAAACCAACTGATTTTTACACAAATGTTAAACTTTATTCTTACTTTCACAAAAAGTTCCATTTCCACTGTATCCATTATTACAACGACAAGCATAAGAGCCAGAAGTATCAAAACATGTCGCATTTTTATCACAAGATATGTATGAACATTCGTCAATGGCTGAAAATATAATCCAATAACATAAAATAACGTTCATACAGATAAAAGAAAAGTTACTCTTACAAAAACGTACTAGTACAGTTTGTTGTTCCGTTACCAGAGTAACCATCGATACAAGTACATACATAAGAACCATCAGTATCATTACAAGTAGCATTTATATGACATGGACTGGGAATGTTCATACATTCATTGATATCTAAAGATACATAAAATATTACATTTTCTGTTGAAAACATACTTCTACATTCCAAAGCCACAAATTTCTATACTTACTGGTACAATTGAATCCAGTTCCATTATAACCATCTTTACATTTACATACGTAAGATCCATTATTATCAAAACATCTGGCGTTGAAATGACAGGAATTGTTCAACTCACATTCATTGATGTCTACAAATAATATCAATGTTTTCACATGGAAATTTTCCATTTCGTTGAAGCAAGAAATTCTTACTTATACAAGAGAATCCATCACCAGAATATCCTTCGTTACATTGACATTTAAAAGATCCTTCAGTGTCGGTACAGTTAGCACTGATGTTACAAGGTGAGGAGGAACATTCATTGATATCTTAAGAGGAGATAAAAGAATTGTGACAAAACAACGTTTTGTTTCACATTCATTTACATCCATAAAACAATACAATAACCAAATGATTTTTTACACAAATATTAAACTTTATTCTTACTTTCACAAAAAGTTCCATTTCCACTGTATCCATTATTACAACGACAAGCATAAGATCCAGAAGTATCAAAACATGTCGCATTTTTATCACAAGATATGTATGAACATTCGTCAATGTCTGAAAATATAATCCAATAACATAAAAATAACGTTCATTCACATAAAAAGAAAAAGTTACTCTTACAAAAAACGTACTAGTACAGTTTGTTGTCCCGTCACCAGAATAACCATCGATACAAGTACATACATAAGAACCATCAGTATCATTACAAGTAGCGTTTATATGACATGGACTGGGAATGTTCATACATTCATTGATATCTATAAAAAGATACATAAAATTTTACGTTTTCTGTTGCAAACACACTTCTACATTCCAAAGTCACATAATTCTTTACTTACTGGTACAATTAAATCCATCACCAGAATATCCTTCGTTACATTGACATTTAAAAGATCCTTCAGTGTCGGTACAGTTAGCACTGATGTTACAAGGTGAGGAGGAACATTCATTGATATCTTAAAAGGAGATAAAAGAAGTGTGACAAAACAAGGCTTCGTTTCACATTCGTTTACATCAATAAAACAATACAATAACCAACTGATCTTTTACACAAATAATGAACTTTATTCTTACTTTCACAAAAAGTTCCATTTCCAGTGTATCCATTATCACAACGACAAGCATAAGAGCCAGAAGTATCAAAACATGTCGCATTTTTATCACAAGATATGTATGAACATTCGTCAATGTCTGAAAATATATTCCAATAACATAAAAATAACGTTCCTTTACATAAAAAGAAAAAGTTACTCTTATAAAATACATACTAGTACAGTTTGTTGTTCCGTTACGAGAGTAACCATCGATACAAGTACATACATAAGAACCATCAGTATCATTACAAGTAGCATTTATATGACATGGACTGGGAATGTTCATACATTCATTGATATCTAAAGATACATAAAATATTCTATTTTCTGTTGAAAACACACTTCTACATTCCAAAGCGACAAATTTCTATACTTACTGGTACAATTGAATCCAGTTCCATTATAACCATCTTTACATTTACATACGTAAGATCCATTATTATCAAAACATCTGGCGTTGAAATGACAGGAATTGTTCAACTCACATTCATTGATGTCTACAAATAATATCAATGTTTTCACATGGAAATTTTCCATTTCGTTGAAGCAAGAAATTCTTACTTATACAAGAGAATCCATCACCAGAATATCCTTCATTACATTGACATTTAAAAGATCCCTCAGTGTCAGTACAGTTAGCACTGATGTTACAAGGTGAGGAGGAACATTCATTGAGATCTTAAAAGGAGATAAAGAATTGTGACGAAACAACGTTTTGTTTCACATTTATTTACAACCATAAAACAATACATAAACCAACTGATTTTTTACACAAATGTTAAACTTTATTCTTACTTTCACAAAAAGTTCCATTTCCACTGTATCCATTATTACAACGACAAGCATAAGAGCCAGAAGTATCAAAACATTGCGCATTTTTATCACAAGATACATATAAACATTCGTCAACATCTGGAAAAACAATGCAATAGCATTAAAACGTGGTCAATACAGATAAAAAGAAAAAGTTACTCATACAAAATACATACTAGTACAGTTTGTTGTTCCGTTACCAGAGTAACCATGGATACAAGTACATACATAAGAACCATCAGTATCATTACAAGTAGCGTTTATATGACATGGACTGGGAATGTTCATACATTCATTGATATCTATAAAAGGATACATAAAATATTACAATTTCTGTTGAAAACATACCTCTACATTCAAAGTCACATAATTCTTTACTTACTGGTACAATTAAATCCATCACCAGAATATCCTTCCTTACATTGACATATAAAAGATCCTTCAGTGTCAGTACAGTTAGCGCTGATGTTACAAGGATTGGAGAGACATTCGTTGATATCTTAAAATAAATAAAAAACTTATGGCATAAGAGTAAAAATTTCAGGAAAACAAAGATTCTTACCTATACAAGAGAATCCATCACCAGAATATCCTTCCTTACATTGACATATAAAAGATCCTTCAGTGTCAGTACAGTTAGCATTGATGTTACAAGGATTGGAGAAACATTTAAAGATGTCTTTAAAAAAGAGAAAAAGTTATGACATAATTATAAAAATCAGTATCATGCGAGAAAACCAAAGCAATAATCATTAAATTACCAGATACATTAGCAAAAAATGACTGTGATGCTTGACTCCAAACATTTCCATTTTTACCATTATACAACACTCTTAATTTCCACGCTGTGTAAGAATCTAGGACATTTCTCTCCACCAAAGTTGAACCTTGCGTTGTGCTTGCATTATATGCAGAAATTGAATAATTTCTTTCCATTATTGTTTCTCCTTTTTCATTTAACAAAGTGACCATTGCTTGCTTTGGATATCCCATGTTGCATTGCACTGCAGTCCAATTCACTTTCACAATTGAGGATGAATATGCGACGATTGAGATAATCGTCGGTGGTTCTGGATCTGTAAATGACAAGGAAGTACGATGTATGAAGGAAGAATGATAAATATCTTTATACAGGAATTTTTAAAAATTTACTTCGCCAAACTTGAAGAACGCCAAAAGGCATTGAAATATTGACATAGGGAACTAATTATATCACATGAAATTCGTTGAAATGGCATCTGAATGAAATAAATGGCTCATGAAAGGCATTGAAATATTGATATAGTAAACTAGTTTAATTGTATGAAATTCAGATGCAAGACTTCTAAATGATATTTTATTAGAATGCTTTTAGGGAAGTTTATATCATACTCTAGTCTTTATAACAAACAGATTCGTAGAAAAAGCTCACGGAAAAGATGGTTTCTTTTAAGCTGAAAACCGCCAACTCTGAGTAAAATTTTTCTGTCGAAAATTTTAATACATTTCGTTTCTTCATTAGTTTTCTTTTACATTATACTTTTTTATCATAAAAGTCATTTATACCTGCAACAAAAACTGGTAAAGTGTCATAACGTAACTCCGAGTAATCCTGACTCTCCAAGACTGCTCGGTAAACTCCAGTGTTTGCACAACTAAATGAAGTTTGAAGAGCGGTGTATTTTACGTAACCGTCAATATATTCTTGTGATATTGGGGTATTAATGCTCGAAAACTCTCCAGTTTGCCAGTTCGCCATCTCCAAATCAGCATTATACTGCAGTAGACCCTGTGAAACCATCTCCCCCCTGAAGGTGGAGTTGAACGACGTTGTAAGATTTGAGGGTGTGAACGTCACTTCTTTAAATATCGCAGAAGCTAAAGAAGTTCGTTTAAAAAGTTTCATAAAGATAAAGAATTTATAGGGGTGAGTGTTGGGCAGGGAGAAGACTAAAAATAAACTAAACTTACCATTTACATAAAGAACAAAATAATCAGTTACTAATTGATTTCCAACCCTAGCAGAACATGTGTAGTTTCCGGAATCTGTATAGTTGAAGTTTTGGAAGATATAATCAAACTTCCAACCAAATCCTGAAGATGAGAACTCTTGATATCCGGCAGGGACATTTCTAACTTCGTATCCTTCATAGGAACGTTTTGACCATGTTATTATGGGTACAGTTCTTGACACCACGGTACAAGTAAGGGTAAACGTTTCACCAAGTTTCAACATGTGCGCCTTGACGACACCATGCAAAGAAAAGCTAGTACGGTCCACTGATAATCCAACAGAAAAGTCATCTAAAATTCAAATAAGACTTCAAAGTTCACGACCATAATTTCCAAACAATATCCTTCATATCCCTATAGTATCATTTAATAAAGTCATACTACACAACAATATCCATTTATATCCATTATGTTGTGTGATGACTAATATACTCGATGGTGAAATCCTCTCATAATTAGTAAAACTTTATGCTATTCAACAAAAACATACCCCGTATAATTGTAGATACTATAGCACTTTCTTGACTCCACACAGTTCCACCTCCAGTAGCATTATATTTAACGGTAACACTCCAATTATAGATAATATTCAACTCAAAAGAAAACTCGGAGATTATCACAGATCCAACACCACTTGTCGCATTCCACATTAAATTTGTATTATTAAGTTCAAACGTGCGCGAAGTTGAATTGACGCCAGTTTCATTTAATGTTATAAGAGCACTGTGAACCGGGCCTCCGTTACATCCAGGAGAGAGCCACGTGATCATAGCACGACTTGTACCGTTATGCGTTACTACAACAGAGCGAGGAGGGTCTGGGTCTGAAAAAGAATGTTGACAATTAATGACAAGAAAATGGAAAAGGCGCAGCAAACCAACTTATTCAGTCGCACTGCGCAGACTCACTCACAGAGAAAACAAAAGATTTCTAAAGAAATGAATAATGATAATATCGTGAAATCTATCATGCAGGATTGGAATTGACGTTTGGCCATACGACTATAACTTGCTGCCTGGGAGTATGACTAAAAGCTACTGGTTAGCAGAATTACTTCGGTCAAAACACACTGATGAACTTACTTAGTAAATAAATTGCCTGGAATGTATAGTTTCGAGCGATGAAATCATCTATTCTCACAGTAAAACGATGTACACCAGTGTTTACGCATTTCACACTTGGATATCGAGCGATGAGAAGTGTCAAAGATCCTAGAAAACCTCTGACTATACAGAACATCGTTACTAGGAAGTATTCTCCCGTGCGCCAATTTCGAGTTTCCAGCTTTGTTTCATTGTACTCATTGCCAAAACCATACAGCCAATGTTCAATTATACTACCGTACGGAACATTTGGCGAAGGAGACAAGAAAAAACCTTGTTCAATAAATGAGCCTAGAACAAAAAATATCGAAAATTTCGGTAACAAAATGTTTCTTCGGGTAGTTTAGTATATGTAAAAAGTTATTTTATTTTTTCTTGACAACAACGTGTAGTCATTGTAGTTCGTTGTTTGGTAAAAATATCAACACAGACCAAGTTTGACATAAAACACTTACCTTGGACATTAAATAATAGTGTTTTAGTGAGGATAGTAGAGCCTTGAAATGACGTTTGGCAAGTATAAGTGCAAAAATCCCTCGCCAAAGTTCGGAATGCTATAAATTATGTACCATGTCCGAGATACATCATCAAATAGTGGCGTCGATGTTTGATGGAGTACTCGTAATAATCTCGGGAAGGTCCTGCTTATAGATAACGTTATTGTTGGTCGATTGGGCGAGGAAGCATTACATCCAATTCTGAAAGATTTTCCTCGCTCTATCAGATAACCGAGTGTAGTTGAAAACGTTGGACGAAATGTGGGATCCTCGAAGTAAAACCAAGAAGAAACAAATGTAGCTGAATTGGAAAAATGCACATCGTGAATTTACAAACAATTTTACACGCAAAAATATCAACTGACAAACCTGGAAATGTAAAATTATAGATGTTGCTATCGTCACTGATTATCACTTCATTGTTCAATACATAGCGAGTATTCACTTTAAACTGATATGTACTGTTAGGTAAAAATATCATAGAGTCGATTACATGGAAACTAGCTGCAGTCGTTGTGACGAGACTCCAATTCCCGGAGACTGGTGACAAGAGATAAACCATTGTACTGTATGAAAAGTCATTAGAACATCCAGTTTGAGTCCACGTGATGTTTATAGTACCATTAGTAACTATGACAACTGACATGACGTTAGGTCGAGTATACGGATCTAAAAATATATTAAATAGAGAAAAAAACTGGAATATCTTAAACAAACTACTTTCACCTACTTCGCTATCCCCATTCAAAATTTACTTGGGTCACCCCTCTGGAAGTAAAGCTCCTTTTCCCCAAAACATAAAAATTCATTTTCTTACTGCAAACTTTCACATTTAAGTCATCCAATGCAACAACTAAATTTGGTCCAGAAAAGTTGGCTACCATTGTGAACTACAAATCAAAAAAAACATGCGAAAATCATTGCATCCCTTTGTTTTTACGACACAATAATTTGCCCAATTGCAGAAACACTTACAGTAATATTCTGAGCGCTAGATTTCATTTCTAATAGCTGATACTGCCAATTTCGGTTGTCGTTTAATGCCGTACTCCAAATTGTCGATGTTGAATTATTTTGTGAAAGCAAGACACTCATTTTCCCTTTATCTTGGCCGTACATGAAGTACCAAAAGCGAAGACGAAAAAGAAGTCCTTTCTCCGACGAAGAGTTGAAAGTATACGACTTCACCATCGACGTTGTTTGGGTTGAGTTTTGGCGAAATATGAAGAATTTTGATGGAGGTACTGAAATATGAAGAATTTCAACGGGGTCAGGAAATTCAAGGAATTTTGATTTGTATTTTATACTTTAACACATCACCTTACCAGTACATCTCCCAACTGTATGGTCATGATAAGGCATATTTTCTTGAATAGCTGCGTCACTATTAGCAGCCGTAATACCATCATCCAAATTACCAAATACACACTGATTACTACTGAATGAACACTCGCCATTCGAAGGTGAAATGCAGGAATGTCCTGTGGTATTTTGAACACACCATTGTCCCGAGGCGCAAGTTACGTTAGATAAACATGGACTACGGCTGTACACGGTATTTAAACCTAACATATGATGAATTGAAATAATAAGCAGAAGAAATAAAGACACAAGGTATATATATATGTGTTAGAATTGCTATTTGCTTGTGGTCATAGTGAATGGTCAGGTGAATGGTAATGCAATCAGAAATTCTGCCATTAAAATCAAAAAGAAATAAGAGGAAACGGTGAGTTAACATCAGACACAAGTTATAATATATAATTACATGAAGTACTTCATCTAAACTGAATTGGACCAAAACAATAAAAATAATGCTGACTAGGCATTATTCAAGCTTAGTGCTATATCTCCCAGAGATCTGAGAATTACTGGACGTAAGAAGAGAAATACGAGGTAAAACTGAGTAGGAAGAAAAATTCGTTGCATAAAAATAACGTAAATAAAACACATACCATTTGTATAAACAGTGTAAACCTCATTTTGATTTAATGCTCGTCGCCAAATCATTATATCATCAATGAACAAACTTGAATAGCGTTTAACGTTCGACACATCTTCGAAACCAACTGAAATGACGTCATTGGAGTTGACTGTCAACGAGTTCGCGACAGAAAAATTCGCAACATCCACAAGTATTCCGTTCTCGTAATAAAATAAACCCTCCGTTGATCTCCATGTTGCTGTCACGAAAAAAAATCCCATTGGGATGCAAGAACGTTCAATTTCCCATCTTCTGTTGTCGGCACTTTGAAAATTAACAAAAAACTTTCCATTTTTTACGTAAACATTAAAACCGACGTTTACCGAGCGCAGCACGACGCTACCCGATATAAACTGAAGCCAAAAGGATATAGACGATCCATCGTCACATTTGTGTGAACGAGCTAAGCAAGGATCCTTTAATGAATCTAAATTTAAAGAAAACACAACCTTTAATCGATCGTAGACATATCTTTGAGAACAAAATCAGATAAAGAATAAAATCAGATTACCTGAAATCAAAGCTCCATGTCCATATTTATTCAACTTGGCGACATTTCCAAGTTGAGATGATTGAAAAAGACGAGCATCGCCTGAACAACAAAATATATTTGATAAACTTTTCCTCTCCACAGTCAGTCAGTATTATTATAATATCAAAGGAATAGTAACAAGTTTACTAACCATATCGGGTAAAATGAGAGCGTGAAATATTATCAACAAAAATTTGACCAAAAGGAATGGTATTGAATGACCAGTAATGTGATAAAACGTTATTATAGAGCGGAGTGACGTCTAAATTGACGGAGGAAAATAAGAATATAAGATTATTCTTTTCTATTGCACTTTTTCATATACAGTTTTAATTTTTATACAAGATAGATGACTGCATAAAACCATAGGATTAATCAATCTAAGTCTCATCTGAAAGGTTTTCAGCCAGGAGTAGACTGACATACGCCATAGGCATTACGTAACCACACTATGTGACTGTTGTACAGAACTAATAATAAAATAGGGGGAGAATCTTAAAACTAATAAATTTTTCTATGCTATTCTTCGCTTGAGTTTTATCATCTATAGACGATATTCTTCAATATAATTTTATAAAGTAATGAAACAATATTACCTCGAGAAATGTTAGTACTACAGTCGAAACCAGTGAATTCATTCTCACAATCACAGTAGCGGTTACCATAGTACAATTTACACATCTTGCTGTTTTTACAATCGCTGTTATTATAACAGGGAACGATTTCTGAGCAATCCGAACCAGTATAGCCACGAGGGCAAATACATGTTATCGTTCCAGCATCAGTTGGTCCACAGTAACCACCATTAAGACAGGTGAAGGAACACGAGTAAAGCGATGATTGTAAAACCACGACTATAGTAAAAAAGAAACGAAGATAGAGATGGGTCAATTGAAGAAGGAATTTCAGACTACTTCAGCTAAGTTGTTGATAAATATCATTAAGTTGAAAGAACTTTGAAACGAAAAGTGACATCGATAATTTGAAAAATTTATCTCTTGTTAAACATTCACATCACGGTAAAAGTATATCGTGGTTTCACTGACAGTGACAAGGTAATAGATACTAAACATTAACATGAAATGAATATCTTTTCCTCTTCCATAGCAAACTACTTCAATTCCCCCAAGAAAAATGGTTTAGTATAATATTTTCCAAGTTTAAGACTTTACACTTACGAGAGCATTTTTCAACAACGAAGAGCCGATTTTACATGCAATAGTTAAATTCTATTCAGTTGACTTTACGTCTATGAAAATGAAAATTTCATGCTACTAAACCTTACAGAATAAGAATCGCATACCGTGTCGACTACACGCCGAATTCTAAATTAAAAATATTCCAAAATTGCAACCACCACCGTAGGTGGAAAAGATTTTAAATTTCAGTTTAAAGTGAACATTCATTTTGAGATTAATGAATAATCTATATCTCCTATATTGAAACGAAATAGTTCATTCAATTGGGAACAATGTTGCCTTGCAATGAAATATGATTTGATCATGTAGCAATACAGAAATCGAACAAATAACAACAAAATGTTCATAAAGACGGAATGTTCTGAAAGATTATCTTTGTTCAATAATTATAAATATATATATATACACACAGGATACAATAAACTTGACATAAAATGACGTATTACCATTAAGATGACTCAATGTAATGAGAAGAAACAGTGTCCACGAGCTGTGCATGATCATATAATGAACCAAGTGAAAGGAAAACAAGTCTATAAATATCAGATTATTATAATAACATGGTTCGACGCGGTAGATAAAAATGTTGTTTAATTATACTTAAGGCAGTTACAAACAGAAAAATTGTACCTTCAAAGACCATTCAAGCTAAAAGGCTCTCTCTCTAGTTCTAGCAGTGTTTAATGAACCGGAAAAAGTACAAATCCAGTAGACATACAGAAACGTGAAACGACGTATGTAATTTTAAGGTTGTAATAAAGTATGGCCATGTAATTTTTAAGGAGGTGAAAGAGATATACAAAATACGAATAACCAAGCATTTGTAAGATTTGCAAGTGAAACTCAAAATTAAAAGATTAAATTAACGAATTCTTGTAATTCTTAAAGAACAACGCAACATGAACAAGCTGTAATATACGGAACTGCTTATTTTCAAGAATTCATTGTGGCTCGAAGTTCAAATATTATTGCAAAACTGATATAGATAATCCAGGAAAACCATGCAAGGAAATATTATACATACTAACCTGCTATGATGTTTTATAAAGCAACAACTGTAGCTACAGACAGTTCCAACGAATTGCGAGAAGATGTCGTACAATATAATGCTTCTTTACAAAGAAAAATTGGTTGCAAATTAGTTTGATGAATTTAACTTCTGCAAGAAATGTTTTACAACGACGATAAACATCACAGTTAACGCATTCGATGTCGCAACTAATGGATAAATGAATATTTATTCGACTTAGGAGTCTCATGTTGTGTTTGAATTGTTTCAACAAAGAAAAAGACACAACATACCTCAATGTAATTACATACCTAAAATTTTTTAAGACATGCACGACAAAGCAGGAACAAAACCGACAAGTCATTAATTATGAACAAGTATAATTGTGCATAAAGTAAATGGTTTGAGCCCGGGAGTATCGTTACATGTTTGTAAATGTAGATCGTCCAGGTTGGTATAGTCCTGAGAAGGAGTGTTTTTGTTGTTGTTGACTGACGTTTCGACAACCTTAGTGGTGGTCATCTTCAGAGTCAAATGACTCAGAGCCAACCTGGACGATATACATTTACAAACATATAATTGGGCATATACTTGATTTTGAAAAATGCTAATCTATAACATACAAATTGTAGGTCATCAAGTTTTAACGCATCGAAATGACCCTAGAAATCCTCTTTATTTAATTACAAACACGTTAATTCAGCTAAAACAATCGATTTTATCGTATAATAGTTTAGACGAAAATATTAATGCTTAATTGCTACATTTAAATATTTACACAAATAGCAACATATGGGAGTAGAGTTTAAAACTCTCGATACTGTACATAGATATATTGGCATTTTTAATTTGCTTGCAAAGACTCCACGACACAAAGTAAGTATATGTTGTAAGTGCATTTCTACTAACAGTCAAAACTTGCTTAAATTTAAAGATAATACAAATATTTGTTTTCGTTACAGCTATGAAAAACGAAATAAAAGAGTAGGAGGGAGGGGAAAGAGCGTGAGGAAGTTTTGTCGTTATTATGGTGTCATGACATTGTACTTAATCTACTTTTTTTCAACTGACACTCTTTGATTATCTTGAGTCCATTTCAAACGCGAGATTACTTCTGTTATAAGAATCACCAGATTCAAATGATACAGAAGTTTGGCGAGTTCCTCCGGCTAAACAACAAAAAAAAACACAAATATTTCATTCACCTTTCAACAATAAGTTCTTGCCAAAAAATTAACACGTCAATAAATAGTAAAGTAAGTTATTCCACGCTTCTCTCGAGGTTTTTAATTTAAATTTTCGTACTTTGCAAAGAACTTGTAGATGGCAACTTTCCACGTCCACCATTTTTATTTTTTGCTGGCGATTTCAAATTCGACGTGGAATTTCCCTGAGAACTAGAAGAGCCTGGGAACGAAATAAAAACGATATATTTACATCAACAATATCACAAGTAAATATATAAAAATATAAGTTAATTTAACATACCTTTACGTAATGTTTTATTACGAGGAGTAGTTGAGTTGGTGCTCTGTGTACTTTGTCGAACAACATCTCTCATCTGGAAAATTGACGGGAATAATCACATTTGTAATTACTTCATATAAGTTGAGTTAAAAAATCATTCTGATTTAACCTGTTTATTTAGAACACAATGAAAGAGGAATATCAGAAATCCTTGAAGGGAATTAAAAATAGCAAAAAGATAACGGAAGAACAAAGTTTCACGATTGAACGTCATCAAACCAAAGACCCATGTCAAGCCAAGGATAGGAAATATAACAATTGCAGCTTTAACACCAGTTTTCACTTTCTGAACAGTGTCTTGTAGTTGGACTTTGTGAGAGTTCATCATCGTTCGCATAACCATGATAAAAACAACAGTGTTAAGCTGAAATCATAATCATTATTGAAATATTAGTGTTTTTTTGATTTAAAACAACAGTCCACGACACAGAAACTTACCAAAATAACAAGAACAGCAGGTCCAACAAACGCCCAGATCAAATTATCGTCGACACTAAGCCAACAAAATGAACCCGTGCCGTAACCATCTCCTTGAGTAACACCCCATGATATAGAAACAATTAACAAAGGAACACCTAGAGTGAATATATCTTAAGATAAATTTTCTAAAGTTCTCGAATAAAAATAAATAAAAATGTCAAGTCTACCCCAGCCAATTAAATTGAAGATCTTCCAATGTATTCCGCGGACTCCATCAAAAACTCGAATGAGCAAAATATAAAGAAGTATTCCTTCACACAACATCCAACCAAACACAGATAACACAAAGAAGTGAAGACAAGTAGCAACTGCTTTACAGAAATCCTGCAACAATAATATATGTTCAACATGAAACAAAATACATCCTTCAAAAAAAGCTCATTCTTTAAGGTAAAAATCAATGCAATACACTAATGCAGCTATTGAAAGATGGTGGGTTGGAACCAAACTTATTGCACATTTTTGAGCATGATTTAGTTGAACCGTAATACAGTATATGATGTTCAGTTTGAATCTTTGGATAACTATCACTGTTGAGCCTGCAGTTTATTCTCATAAGACTGAAAATCTAGTGATACGAAATAGAAGATCAATAACAACGAGCTTTATTAAAGCTTGGTTTAACTCATCTCAGAACAATTCACACTTGCTTTGAGAATAAAGTAAATGGTTTGAGCCCGAGTTTATGTAAATGGTTTGTATCGTCACATGTTTGTAAACGTAGATCGTCCAGTCATTTCACTCTGAAGATGACTACCTCTAAGGTTGTCGAAACGTAAGTCAACAACAAAAACAGTCCTTCTCAGGACTATACCAACTTGCTTTGAGAATATCACATAGCATACAAAAGAGTGTTTACCGGATAATCTCTCGCAGGTCCTTCGAGAATAGCAAAGATGTCCGTGAAGCCAATAGCGACACACAAACTAACAAGAACTTTAGATCGAGGAGACTTAACTTTCTTCCAAAAATAAGCATGTACCAATATCGTTAAAATGACACCCAATAAAGATATTGAACAACCGACTGTTGAGATAACTTCCAGGACTTTTTGTTCTGTGCTTTTCAACTGTATAAAGATAAGAGAATGATATGACGAAAGGTAAAATTAAACAAAATAAATATTTTACAAATAGTGATAAAGCTTTTTCAAGTACATCAAGTATTAAAGAAAGAATCGCAAACTTTGGCTAATTTTTGTGAGTATCGACTTAAAATGTCAACATCCTTAAACCCGGGAGTATCGTTATGTTTGTAGATCGTCCAGGTTAGTAGAGTCCTGAGAAATGTTAGGTGTTGATGTTGACTGAGCGTTTCCCAGCCTTAGCGGTAGTAGCAACTGTAAAGGCGACTACAGCAAAGGTTCTCACTTTACGCCAGTAAATACAATCACTAAAAGTACTCCGGTTGTTGAAACGATTTACATTTAAAACGTGCATTGACCTCATTAATAATTCATTGCGTATAAGTACATGATGGTACACACAGTGGGTACACATTATGGTACAAACAGTGGGTACACATTATGGTACACACAGTGGGTACACATTATGGTACACACAGTGGGTACACATTGTGGTACACACAGTGGGTACACATTAATGGTACACACAGTGGGTACACATTATGGTACACACAGTGGGTACACATTATGGTACACACAGTGGGTACACACATTATGGTACACACAGTGGGTACACATTATGGTACACACAGTGGGTACACATTACGGTACACATAGTGGGTACACATTATGGTACACACAGTGGGTACACATTATGGTACACACAGTGGCACATTATGGTACCAGTGTGTACACATATGGTACACACAGTGGACACACATGGTAACACAGTGGGCACATTATGGTACACACAGTGGCACATTATGGCACACACAGTGGTAACAATACATGGTACACACATACACACAGTGGGTACACAGTGGGTACACATTACGTACACATAGTGGGTACACATTATGGTACACAGTGGGTACACATTATGGTACACACAGTGGCACACATTATATGGCACACGTGTACACATTATGGCACACAGTGGGTACAATATATGGTACACAGTGGGCACATTATGGCACACATGGCACACAATGGTACACAGTGGGCACACACATGGTACACAGTGGCACACATTTGCACACACAGTGGTACACACAGTGGCACATTACAGCACACATAGTGGCACATTATGGCACACAGTACACATTATGGCACACACAGTGGGTACACATTATGGACACACAGTGTGTACACATTATGGTACACACAGTGGGTACACATTATGGTACACACAGTGGGTGCACATTATGGTACACACAGTGGTACACATTATGGTACACACTGTGAGTACACATTATGGTACACACAGTGGGTACACACATTATGGTACACACAGTGGGTATACATTATGGTACACACAGTGGGTACACACAGTGGGTACACATTATGGTACACATAGTGGGTACACATTATGGTACACATAGTGGGTACACATTATGGTACACACAGTGGGTACACATTATGGTACACATAGTGGGTACACATTATGGTACACACAGTGGGTACACACATTATGGTACACATAGTGGGTACACATTATGGTACACACAGTGGGTACACATTATGGTACACACAGTGGGTACACATTATGGTACACACAGTGGTACACATTATGGTACACACAGTGGTCACATAGTGGGTACAATATATGGCACACAGTGGGCACACACATCATGGTACACATAGTGGGCACATTATGGCACACACAGGGCACATATGGATGGCACAACACAGTGGGCACATATATGGCACACACAGTGGGCGCACATTATGGCACACACAGTGGGTACACACAGTGGGCACACCATGGCACACACAGTGGGCACACACATGGCACACAGTGGCACACACAGTGGCACATTATGGTACACACAGTGAGTACACATTATGGTACACACAGTGGGTACACATTATGGTACACACAGTGGGTACACATTATGGTACACACAGTGGTACACACAGTGGGTACACACAGTGGGTACACATTATGCTACACACAGTGGGTACACACAGTGGGTACACATTATGGTACACACAGTGGGTACACACAGTGGGTACACATTATGGTACACACAGTGGGTACACATGATGGTACACACAGTGGGTACACAATATGGTACACATAGTGGGTACACATTATGCTGCACACAGTGGGTACACATTATGGTACACACAGTGGGTACACATTATGGTACACACAGTGGGTATACACTATGGTTAACATACCTGTAAAATACTGCGAGCTCAAAATCAAACTTTACCAAACAAACATCTTACCTCTACTCCAGCCACATCCATCATGATAGCAAAAGCTGTATTATGGTCACAAACACAGGTAACATTTCCCTCCGATGATGCAGTTTCATTTAATTTACATCCTCGTTGACTCCATTTACTATTTTCTACTTCGGGTTCAATAAATGCACAAGTTCTGTTGGGATTATCAAAGCCGCTCTAAATTACAGCAAAAGATTTGGAATTCTACAGAACCAACTACACAATATTAAAGTACAAATAAACACATACCTGATTGTTTTGTAAGACGATCTTGATTGGTTGAGTTACATTTTTAAGTTCAGGTGTTGTACTAAACGAAACTATAGTGCTCTGAATAGTTAGATTTGAACCAGCGCTTATTGTGTTGTCCACTGATTTTCGAAGTTCTTTAGGAGATAAAATATCCTTGATTGATGAATATTTAACAACAGTCGCTTGTTTGATATCATTAACAACAGTTCCTGGAATTACAACGCCTCCACCTCCCGTGTCTAGCAGACTAACAGGTTTGGGAGCTGATTTTTCCCGGAGGTTTATGCCAAGTACTTGAATATTTGAAGTAGAGAAACCAACAATTTCGTCTTGTTTACTTTGAGCGACGAAGTTCTTTGCATTCAGATCTGCCCCACTAATAATTTGTCTGACCAAGACGTTTCTATTCTGTAAATTCAAACAAATCAAGAGATCTGTATATTACAAGCAAGCTAAAAAACTATATTATACATAAAGAAAAGCCTGGACTTATATCTACTTACATCTATATTGGCCCAAATATCTCTTTTCTCGCTACTGACAATATTACTAGAAGATTTGATAAAGTTCTCACGGTCGTTTTGGGTAGCCGTTCTTGTTTGTGTTCTCTCCAAGACGAAGACAATATCCTTAACATCTTGTTCAAACAGTTCTTTTTTAGTAACTTTCTCTGTTTGCTGAATAATCTCGCTCACATTATTTGATTCAAAACCGCTGTCCAACCTCGTCACCTTTAAAGTGATTGATTAGTTAAAAAACTAGAGTTTATCTCAAAACGTGATAATAAGAAAATAAAACCTGGTCAAGAAGTTTGATGACATCTTTAGAGCGACAACCTGAAACATTAACGTCTCCCCATTTTGGGTCATCATTGATTAACGAACAAAACCGATAGACAAGTCCTAAATAAAATGGTAGAGAACAAATATTTATTACGTGCAGTGAAATAAAATTGACAAATCAACGAAAAAGAAACAACCTTGTTGTCCTGGAAGACAGTTCTGAATAACATTTGTACCAACTGGTGTTTTCTTCCATTCATAACCACCCTTTGATTCGTTAAGACAAAAATTATCAAAACCTAAATTTCAGAAAAAATGATTTTAACAGAGATAAAGAGAGTGTATTATCATAGTAAACCAGACCACATACAGTTAAACGTAAAGTACATTCACCATGATAAGATAAAGTATTAAATAAAACTACCCACCACTTGCCACAACAACCACTGTTACATTCTTACTGCGGGTAGAACCATCTGAGTTGGTAGCAATACACCAATATTGAAGAGTGACATTTTCAGCATTTTCAATCTTAATTACTTTTGTAAGATCCAGTTCCCTTCCACTATAAAAGTGTTTGTCAGATCTCGAACTATTGAACCACAGGATATTTATACCTTTCTCGTAACCAGCCAACACTTCACAAGTCAGTATTATTGTGTCGCCTGTATGATAAAAAAATCACATTGGTTAAGACTTAACATATTCTTCATATGTAAGTCAAAAAGATGAATGAAAAAATATCAACGACTAAAGACAGCATGTATAATAGTAATAGAAGGTTAAAAAGCTTTTATCAATATAAATACGCATACCTTCAGTTACTGCAACTGAAAGTGGAGAAACAGCAATTACCGGAGGTGCTTTAACTTTGATGGATATAGTTCTATTAATGTGGTCAGTACCTTTGCTAAAACACAAAGATTTGATGAAAAATGAATGGTTATCAGGTATACAATACAGTTTCTAACAATATCTTTTGAAAATCGTGACTCGTGAAAAGTTTTCACAAACCTTGCTAGACAACTGTAAATTCCAGAATCAGATTTCTCAGTTTTACGAATAAACATTTTCGATACTTTATTATTCGTTTCAATTCTGACGCGGCTTGACAGTGACAATGTTTGGCTACCATTTCTCCATTCAAAGGTCGGTAAAGATGGACCAGTAACTTCACAACTCAGTTCAAGATTATCTCCAGCAGAGATGTCGTCAGTCACGTTTATTTTCATGTTGGTAAAGCCTTCAACAGAAAATAGAAGTTTTACGCGAGTCTGCACCAGACAATATTAATGCTATATACAGTTATAACTTTACGTGGTTGAGTAAGTTGTTTTAATGATCCAGATTGAAGAGAATAATTTCCAAGATTCCCAGACTCTCCGATATTCCTCAAAACAGTGCTAATGATGTTTTCTGAATCTTTCACTAACACAACTTCACCATCAACAATAACACTTCTACGTCCGCATACATCAGAAATACACTGAACAAGAGACATAAAACATATTCAAACCTGAGCAACTCAATCCATCACCAGAATATCCTTCGTTACATCGACATTCAAAAGATCCCTCAGTGTCAATACAGTTAGCGTTGATGTTACAAGGTGAGGAGGAACATTCATCGAGATCTTAAAAAGAGAGAAAAGAATTGTGACAAAACAAGGTTTCGCTTCACATTCATTTACATCATTAAAACGAAACCTACACAAACTGATATTTTACACAATAAATATTAAACTTTATTTTTACTTTCACAAAAAGTTCCATTTCCAGTGTATCCGTTTTTACAACGACAAGCATAAGAGCCAGAAGTATCAAAACATGTCGCGTTTTTATCACAAGATATGTATGAACATTCGTCAATGTCTGAAAAAACAATCCAATAACATTAAAATGTGGTCAATACAGATCAAAAGAAAAAGTTACTCTTACAAAATACATACTAGTACAGTTTGTTGTTCCGTTACCAGAGTAACCATCGATACAAGTACATACATAAGAACCAACAGTATCATTACAAGTAGCGTTTATATGACATGGACTGGGAATGTTCATACATTCATTGATATCTATAAAAAGATAGAAAAATATTACAATTTCAGTTTAAAACATATTTCTACACTCTAAACCCACATAATTCTTTACTTACTGGTACAATTAAATCCATCACCAGAATACCCTTCGTCACATTGACATTTAAAAGATCCTTCAGTGTCAGTACAGTTAGCACTGATATTACAAGGATTGGACAAACATTCATTGATATCTTAAGACAAAAGAAAAAATTGATTTTTTGTTATTAACATATTTCTACATTTCAAAGCAACATAATTGATTACTTACTGGTACAATTGAATCCAGTTCCATTATAACCAACGTTACATTTACATACGTAAGATCCATTATTATCAAAACATCTCGCGTTGAAATGACATGAATTGCTAAACTCACAATCAACGATGTCTATAAATAAAATCAATGTTTTGAAAGATAAAAATGTATTTCATTTTGTTTTACATTCTAATGATAAGAACTTACTTCTACAAGAGAATCCATCACCAGAATACCCTTCCTTACATTGACATTCAAAAGATCCTTTAGTGTCAGTACAGTTAGCATTGATGTTACAAGGATTGGACAGACATTCATTGATATCTTAAGAGAAAAGAAAAAATTGATTTATTATTATTAACATATTTCTACATTTCAAAGCCACAAAATTCTATACTTACTGGTACAATTGAATCCAGTACCATTATAACCAACGTTACATTTACATACGTAAGATCCATTATTATCAAAACATCTGGCGTTGAAATGACAGGAGTTTTTCAACTCACATTCATTGATGTCTACAAATAATATCAATGTTTTCACATGGAAATTATCCATTTAGTTGAAATAATAAAATCTTACCTATACAAGAGAATCCATCACCAGAATATCCTTCGTTACATTGACATTCAAAAGATCCCTCAGTGTCAATACAGTTAGCATTGATGTTACAAGGATTGGACAAACATTCATTGATATCTTAAGAGAAAAGAAAAAATTGATTTATTATTATTAACATATTTCTACATTTCAAAGCAACATAATTGATTACTTACTGGTACAACTGAATCCAGTACCATTATAACCAACGTTACATTTACATACGTAAGATCCATTATTATCAAAACATCTCGCGTTGAAATGACAGGAATTGCTAAACTCACAATCAACGATGTCTGTAAATAAAATCAATGTTTTGAAAGATAAAAATGTATTTCATTTTGTTTTACATTCTAATAAGAACTTACTTCTACAAGAGAATCCATCACCAGAATACCCTTCCTTACATTGACATTCAAAAGATCCTTTAGTGTCAGTACAGTTAGCATTGATGTTACAAGGATTGGACAGACATTCATTGATATCTTAAGAGAAAAGAAAAAATTGATTTATTATTATTAACATATTTCTACATTTCAAAGCAACATAATTGATTACTTACTGGTACAACTGAATCCAGTACCATTATAACCAACGTTACATTTACATACGTAAGATCCATTATTATCAAAACATCTGGCGTTGAAATGACAGGAGTTTTTCAACTCACATTCATTGATGTCTACAAATAATATCAATGTTTTCACATGGAAATTATCCATTTAGTTGAAATAATAAAATCTTACCTATACAAGAGAATCCATCACCAGAATATCCTTCGTTACATTGACATTCAAAAGATCCCTCAGTGTCAATACAGTTAGCACTGATGTTACAAGGTGAGGAGGAACATTCATTGAGATCTTAAAAGGAGATAAAAGAATTGTGACAAAACAACGTTTTGTTTCACATTCATTTACATCCATAAAGCAATACAATAACCAACTGATCTTTTACACAAATATTAAACTTTATTCTTACTTTCACAAAAAGTTCCATTTCCACTGAATCCCTTATTACAACGGCAAGCATAAGAGCCAGAAGTATCAAAACATTTCGCATTGTTATCACAAGATATGTATGAACATTCGTCAATGGCTGAAAATATAATCCAATAACATAAAAATAACGTTCACTTACATAAAAAGAAAAAGTTACTCTTACAAAAAACGTACTAGTACAGTTTGTTGTTCCATCACCAGAGTAACCATCGATACAAGTACATACATAAGAACCATCAGTATCATTACAAGTAGCATTTATATGACATGGACTGGGAATGTTCATACATTCATTGATATCTATAAAAGGATACATAAAATATTACATTTTCTGTTGAAAACACACTTCTACATTCCAAAGCCACAAAATTCTATACTTACTGGTACAATTGAATCCAGTTCCATTATAACCATCTTTACATTTACATACGTAAGATCCATTATTATCAAAACATCTGGCGTTGAAATGACAGGAGTTTTTCAACTCACATTCATTGATGTCTACAAATAATATCAATGTTTTCACATGGAAATTATCCATTTAGTTGAAATAATAAAATCTTACCTATACAAGAGAATCCATCACCAGAATATCCTTCGTTACATTGACATTCAAAAGATCCCTCAGTGTCAATACAGTTAGCATTGATGTTACAAGGATTGGACAAACATTCATTGATATCTTAAGAGAAAAGAAAAAATTGATTTATTATTATTAACATATTTCTACATTTCAAAGCAACATAATTGATTACTTACTGGTACAACTGAATCCAGTACCATTATAACCAACGTTACATTTACATACGTAAGATCCATTATTATCAAAACATCTCGCGTTGAAATGACAGGAATTGCTAAACTCACAATCAACGATGTCTATAAATAAAATCAATGTTTTGAAAGATAAAAATGTATTTCATTTTGTTTTACATTCTAATAATAAGAACTTACTTCTACAAGAGAATCCATCACCAGAATACCCTTCCTTACATTGACATTCAAAAGATCCTTTAGTGTCAGTACAGTTAGCATTGATGTTACAAGGATTGGACAGACATTCATTGATATCTTAAGAGAAAAGAAAAAATTGATTTATTATTATTAACATATTTCTACATTTCAAAGCAACATAATTGATTACTTACTGGTACAACTGAATCCAGTACCATTATAACCAACGTTACATTTACATACGTAAGATCCATTATTATCAAAACATCTGGCGTTGAAATGACAGGAGTTTTTCAACTCACATTCATTGATGTCTACAAATAATATCAATGTTTTCACATGGAAATTATCCATTTAGTTGAAATAATAAAATCTTACCTATACAAGAGAATCCATCACCAGAATATCCTTCGTTACATTGACATTCAAAAGATCCCTCAGTGTCAATACAGTTAGCACTGATGTTACAAGGTGAGGAGGAACATTCATTGAGATCTTAAAAGGAGATAAAAGAATTGTGACAAAACAACGTTTTGTTTCACATTCATTTACAACCATAAAACAATACAATAACCAACTGATCTTTTACTCAAATATTAAACTTTATTCTTACTTTCACAAAAAGTTCCATTTCCACTGAATCCCTTATTACAACGGCAAGCATAAGAGCCAGAAGTATCAAAACATTTCGCATTGTTATCACAAGATATGTATGAACATTCGTCAATGTCTGAAAATATCATCCAATAACATAAAAATAACGTTCACTTACATAAAAAGAATAAGTTACTCTCACAAAAAACGTACTAGTACAGTTTGTTGTTCCATTACCAGAGTAACCATCGATACAAGTACATACATAAGAACCATCAGTATCATTACAAGTAGCGTTTATATGACATGGACTGGGAATGTTCATACATTCATTGGTATCTATAAAAAGATACATAAAATATTACATTTTCTGTTGAAAACACACTTCTACATTCTAAAGCCACATAATTCTTTGCTTACTGGTACAGGAGATTCCATCACCAGAATATCCTTCCTTACATTGACATTCAAAAGATCCTTCAGTGTCAGTACAGTTAGCATTGATGTTACAAGGATTGGACAAACATTCATTGATATCTTAAGACAAAAGAAAAAATTGATTTTCTGTTATTAACATATTTCTACATTTTAAAGCAACATAATTGATTACTTACTGGTACAACTGAATCCAGTACCATTATAACCAATGTTACATTTACATACGTAAGATCCATTATTATCAAAACATCTGGCGTTGAAATGACATGAATTGTTCAATTCACATTCATTGATGTCTACAAATAATATCAATGTTTTCACATGGAAATTTTTCATTTCGTTGAAGCAATAAAATCTTACTTATACAAGAGAATCCATCACCAAAATATCCTTCGTTACATTGACATTTAAAAGATCCCTCAGTGTCAGTACAGTTAGCGCTGATGTTACAAGGTGAGGAGGAACATTCGTTGATATCTTAAAATAAATAAAAAAAAACTTATGGCAAAAGAGTAAAAATTTCAGGAAAACAAAGATTCTTACCTATACAGGAGATTCCATCACCAGAATATCCTTCCTTACATTGACACTTGAAAGATTCTTCAGTGTCAGTACAGTTATCACTGATGTTGCAAGGATTGGACAGACATTCATTGATATCTTAAAACGAGATAAAGCAATTGTGACAAAACAAGGTTTCGTTTCACATTCATTTACATCCATAAAACCATACATAAACCAATTGATTTTTTACACAAATGTTAAACTTTATTCTTACTTTCACAAAAAGTTCCATTTCCACTGTATCCATTATTACAACGACAAGCATAAGAGCCAGGAGTATCAACGCATTGCGCATTTTTATCACAAGATATGTATGAACATTCGTCAATGTCTGAAAAAACAATCCAATAGCATTAAAATGTGGTCAATACAGATCAAAAGAAACAGTTACTCTTACAAAATACATACTAGTACAGTTTGTTGTTCCGTTACCAGAGTAACCATCGATACAAGTACATACATAAGAACCATCAGTATCATTACAAGTAGCGTTTATATGACATGGACTGGGAATGTTAATACATTCATCGATGTCTATAAAAGAATACATAAAATATTACATTTTCTGTTGAAAACACACTTCTACATTTCAAAGCCACATAATTCTTTACTTACTGGTACAAGAGAATCCATCTCCCGAATATCCTTCTCTACATTGACATATAAAAGATCCTTTAGTGCCAGTACAGTTAGCGCTGATGTTACAAGGTGAGGAGGAACATTCGTTGATATCTTAAAATAAATAAAAAAAACTTATGGCAGAAGAGTAAAATTTTAAGGAAAACAAAGTTTCTTACCTATACAAGAGAATCCATCACCAGAATATCCTTCCTTACATTGACATATAAAAGATCCTTCAGTGTTAGTACAGTTAGCATTGATGTTACAAGGATTGGACAAACATTTAAAGATGTCTTTAAAAAAGAGAAAAAGTTATGACATAATTATAAAAATCAGTATCATGCAAAAAAACCAAAGCAATAATCATTAAATTACCAGATACTGTAGTAAAAAATGACTGTGATGCTTGACTCCAAACATTTTCATTTTTACCATTATACAACACTCTTAATTTCCACGCTGTGTAAGAATCTAGGACATTTCTCTCCACCAAAGTTGAACCTTGCGTTGTGCTTGCATTATATGCAGAAATTGAATAATTTCTTTCCATTATTGTTTCTCCTTTTTCATTTAACAAAGTGACCATTGCTTGCTTTGGATATCCCATGTTGCATTGCACTGCAGTCCAATTCACTTTTACAAGTGAGGATGAATATGGGACGATTGAGATAATCTTCGGTGGTTCTGGATCTGTAAATGAGAAAGAGGTACGATGTATGAAAGAAGGATGATAAATATCTTTAGACAGGAATTTTTAAAAATTTACTTCGCCAAACTAGAAGAACGCTAAAAGGCATTGAAATTTTGATAAAGGGAACTAGTTTTATCGTATGAAATTCATTGAAATGGCATCTGAATGATATTTTATTAGAATGCTTTTAGGGAAGTTTACATCAAACTGTAACCTTTATAACAAAAAGATTCGTAGAAAAAGCTCACGAAAAAGATGGTTTCTTTTAAGCTGAAAACCGCAAATTCTGAGTAAAATTTTTCTGTCGAAAATTTTAATACATTTCGTTTCTTCATTAGTTTTCTTTTACAATTTACTTTTTTATCATAAAAGTCCTTTATACCTGCGACATACACTGGTAAAGTGTCATAACGTAACTCCGAGTAATCCTGACTCTCCAAGACTGCTCGGTAAACTCCAGTGTTTGCACAACTAAATGAAGTTTGAAGAGCGGTGTATTTTACGTAACCGTCAATATATTCTTGTGATATTGGGGTATTAATGCTCGAAAACTCTCCAGTTTGCCAGTTCGCCATCTCCAAATCAGCATTATACTGCAGTAGACCCTGTGAAACCATCTCCCCCCTGAAGGTGGAGTTGAACGACGTTGTAAGATTTGAGGGTGTGAACGTCACTTCTTTAAATATCGCAGAAGCTAAAGAAGTTCGTTCAAAAAGTTTCATAAAGATAAAGAATTCATAGAGGGGAGTGTTGGGCAGGGAGAAGACTAAAAATAAACTAAACTTACCATTTACATAAAGAACAAAATAATCAGTTACTAATTGATTTCCAACCCTAGCAGAACATGTGTAGTTTCCGGAATCTGTATAGTTGAAGTTTTGGAAGATATAATCAAATTTCCAACCAAATCCTGAAGATGAGAACTCTTGATATCCGGCAGAGACATTTCTAACTTCGTATCCTTCATAGGAACGTTTTGACCATGTTATTATGGGTACAGTTCTTGACACCACGGTACAAGTAAGGGTAAACGTTTCACCAAGTTTCAACATGTGCGCCTTGACGACACCATGCAAAGAAAAGCTAGGACGGTCCACTGATAATCCAACAGAAAAGTCATCTAAAATTCAAATAAGACTTCAAAGTTTACGACCATAATTTCCAAACAATATCCTTCATATCCCTATAATATCATTTAACCAAGTTATACTACACAAAAATATCCATTTATATCCATTATGTTGTGTGATAACTAATATACTCGATGGTGAAATCCTCTCATAAGTAGTAAAACCTTATGCTATTCAACAAAACATACCACGTATAATTGTAGATACTATAGCACTTTCTTGACTCCACACAGTTCCTCCTCCAGTAGCATTATATTTAACGGTAACACTCCAATTATAGATAATATTCAACTCAAAAGAAAACTCGGAGATTATCACAGATCCAACACCACTTGTCGCATTCCACATTAAATTTGTATTATTAAGTTCAAACGTGTGCGAAGTTGAATTGACGCCAGTTTCATTTAATGTTATAAGAGCACTGTGGACCGGGCCTCCGTTACATCCAGGAGAGAGCCACGTGATCATAGCACGACTTGTACCGTTATGAGTTACTACAACAGAGCGAGGAGGGTCTGGGTCTGAAAAAGAATGTTGACAATTAATGACCAGAAAATGGAAAAGGCGCAGCAAACCAACTTATTCAGTCGCACTGCGCAGAGTCACACACAGAGAAAACAAAAGATTTCTAAAGAAATGAATAATGATAATATCGTGAAATCTATCATGCAGGATTGGAATTGACGTGTTGGCCATACGACTATAACTTGTGCCTGGGAGTAAAAGCTGCTGGTTAGCAGAATTACTTCGGTCAAAACACACTGATTAACTTACTTAGTAAATAAATTGCCTGGAATGTATAGTTTCGAGTGATGAAATCATCTATTCTCACAATAAAACGATGTACACCAGTGTTTACGCATTTCACACTTGGATATCTAGCGATGAAATGTGTAAAATATCCTGGAAAAGACCCCTGACTGTACAGAACATCGTTACTAGGGAAGTATTCTCCCGTGCGCCAATTTCGAGTTTCCAGCTTTGTTTCATTGTACTCATTGCCAATGCCATACACCAAATGTAGAATTATACTACCGTACGGAACATTTGGCGAAGGAGACAAGAAAAGAAAATGTCCAATAAATGAGCCTAGAACAAAAAATATCGAAAATTTCGGTAACAAAATGTTTCTTCGGGTAGTATGTATAAAAAGTTATTTTATTTTTTCTTGACAACAACGTGTAGTCATTGTAGTTCGTTGTTTGGTAAAAAATATCAACACAGACCAAGCTTGACATAAAACACTTACCTTGGACATTAAATAATAGTGTTTTAATGATAGTAGAGTCTTGAAATGACGTTTCGCAAGTATAACGTGCAACAGATCCGTCGCCAAAGTTCGTAAAGTTATAAATTATGTACCATGTCCGAGATACATCATCAAATGCTGGCATCGATGTTTGACGAAGTACTTGAATCTCCCGATAAGGACCTGCCTTTGGTAAACGTTATATTTGGTCGATTGGGCGATGAAGCATTACATCCAATTCTGAAAGATTTTCCTCGCTCTATCAGATAACCGAGTGTAGTTGAAAACGTTGGACGAAATGTTGGATCCTCGAAGTAAAACCAAGAAGAAACAAATGTAGCTGAATTGGAAAAATGCACATCGTGAATTTACAAACAATTTTACACGCAAAAATATCAACTGACAAACCTGGAAATGTAAAATGATAGATGTTGCTATCGTCACTGATTATCACTTCATTGTTCAATACATAGCGAGTATTCACTCTAAACTGATATGTACTGTTAGGTAAAAATATCGTAGAGTTGATTACATGGAAACTAGCTGAAGTCGTTGTGACGAGACTCCAATTCCCGGAAACTGGTGACAAGAGATAAACCATTGTACTGTATGAAAAGTCATTGGAACATCCAGTTTGAGTCCACGTGATGTTTATAGTACCATTAGTAACTATGACAACTGACATGACGTTAGGTCGAGTATACGGATCTAAAAAATATATTAAATAGAGAAAAAACTGGAATATCTTAAACAAACTACTTTCACCTACTTCGCTATCCCCATTCAAAATTTACTTGGGTCTCCCCTCTGGAAGTAAAGCTCCTTTTTTCCCCAAAACATAAAAATTCATTTTCTTACTGCAAACTTTCACATTTAAGTCATCCAATGCAACAACTAAATTTGGTCCAGAAAAGTTGGCCACCATTGTGAACTACAAATTAAAAAAAACACGCGAAAATCATTGCACCCTTTGTTTTTACGACACAATAATTTGCCCAATTGCAGAAACACTTACAGTAATATTCTGAGCGCTAGATTTCATTTCTAATAGCTGATACTGCCAATTTCGGTTGTCGTTTAATGCCGTACTCCAAATTGTCGATGTTGAATTATTTTGTGAAAGCAAGACACTCATTTCTCCTTTATCTCGGCCGTACATGAAGTACCAAAAGCGAAGACGAAAGAGAAGTCCTTTCTCCGACGAAGAGTTGAAAGTATACGACTTCACCATCGACGTTGTTAGGGTTGAATTTTGGCGAAATATGAAGAATTTTGATGGAGGTACTGAAATATGAAGAATTTTAATGGAAATTCAGGAAATTCAAGGAATTTTGATTTGTATTTTATAGTTTAACACATCAACTTACCAGTACATCTCCCAACTGTATGGTCATGATAGGGCATATTTTCTTGAATAGCTGCGTCACTATTAGCAGCCGTAATACCATCATCCAAATTACCAAATATACACTGACTACTACTGAATGAACACTCGCCATTCGAAGGTGAAATGCAGAAATGTCCTGTGGTATTTTGAACACACCATTGTCCCGAGGCGCAATTTACGTTAGATAAACATGGACTACGGCTGTACACGGTATTTAAACCTAACATATGATGAATTGAAATAATAAGCAGAAGGAATAAAGACACAAGGTATAATACATAATTACATGAATAGTGATTAGGTTCAAATTATTGGCATTGCAATGCTGATTATATGGTGCAACCTTTTTAGGTGGTTGCATCTTTTTGTTAATTGACTTTTATTTAGTGATTGTTGATGGAAAACAGTGACAACTAAAAGGGTTAAAATAACCATGCTTGCTCCTAGCCACATCAATATCAATTATTATAAATTTAAATGGTGAGTTATAACATTAGATCACTAATTACTGTTGAGCGTTTATACTAAGAACGAATAGCTCTGTCCACTGTAAAGTACTTAATCTAAACTGAATTGGACCAAAACAATAAAAATAATGCTGACTAGGCATTATTCAAGCTTAGTGCAACATGTCCCAGAGATCTGAGAATTACTGGATGTAAGAAGAGAAATACGAGGTAAGAATGAGTAGGAAGAAAAATTTGTTGCATAAAAATAACGTAAATAATACACATACCATTTCTATAAACAGTGTAAACCTCATTTCCCAGAGATCTGAGAATTACTGGATGTAAGAAGAGAAATACGAGGTAAGAATGAGTAGGAAGAAAAATTCGTTGCATAAAAATAACGTAAATAACACATACCATTTCTATAAACAGTGTAAACCTCATTTTTATTTAATGCTCGCCGCCAAATCATTATATCATCAATGAATAAACTTGAATAGCGTTTAACGTTAGACACATCTTCGAAACCAACTGAAATGACGTCATTGGAGTTGACTGTCAACGAGTTCGCGACAGAAAATTTGCAACATCCACAAGTATTCCGTTCTCGTAATAAGATAAACCCTCCGTTGATCTCCATGTTGCTGTCACGAAAAAAAATCCCATTGGGATGCAAGAACGTTCAATTTCCCATCTTCTGCTGTCGGCACTTTGAAAATTAACAAAAACTTTCCATTTTTACGTAAACATTAAAACCGACGTTTACCGAGCGCAGCACGACGCTACCCGATATAAACTGAAGCCAAAAGGATATAGACGATCCATCGTCACATTTGTGTGAACGAGCTAAGCAAGGATCCTTTAATGAATCTAAATTTAAAGAAAACACAACCTTTAATCGATCGTAGACATATCTTTGTGAACAAAATCAGATAAACAATAAAATCAGTGACCACAAATGTTTGGTCTTTCATAAATTTATTTTAACTTTCTAGATTACCTGAAATCAAAGCTCCATGTCCATATTTATTCAATTTGGCGACATTTCCAAGTTGAGATGATTGAAAAAGACGAGCATCGCCTGAACAACAAAATATATTTGATAAACTTTTCCTCTCCACAGTCAGTCAGTATTATTATAATATCAAAGGAATAGTAATAAGTTTACTAACCATATCGGGTAAAATGAGAGCGCGAAATGACATCAACAAAAATTTGACCAAAAGGAATGGTATTGAATGACCAGTAATGTGATAAAACATTATTATAGAGCGGAGTGACGTCTAAATTAACAGAGGAAAATAAGAATATAAGATTATTCTTTTCTATTACACTTCTTCATATACAGTTTTAATTTGTATACAAGATAGATGACTGCATAAAACCATAGGATTAATCAATCTAAGTCTCATCTGAAAGGTTTTCTGCCAGGAGTAGACTGACATACGCCATAGGCATTACGTAACCACACTATGTGACTGTTGTACAGAACTAATAATAAAGTAGGGGGAGAATCTTAAAACTAATCAACTTTTTTATGCTATTCTTCGCTTGAGTTTTATCATCTATAAACGATATTCTTCAATATAATTTTATAAAATAATGAAACAACATTACCTCGAGATATGTTAGTACTACAGTCGAAACCAGTGAATTCATTCTCACAATCACAGTAGCGGTTACCATAGTACAATTTACACATCTTGCTGTTTTTACAATCGCTGTTATTATAACAGGGAACGATTTCTGAGCAATCCGAACCAGTATAGCCACGAGGACAAATACATGTTATCGTTCCAGCATCAGTTGGTCCACAGTAGCCACCATTAAGACAGGTGAAGGGACACGAGTAAAGGGATGACTGTAAAACCACGACTATAGTAAAAAAGAAAACGATGAAGGCGTTGGGTCAATTGAAGAAGGAATTTCAGACTACTTCAGCTATGTTGTTTATAAATATCATTAAGTTGAAAGAACTTTGAAACGAGAAGTGACATCAATAATTTGAAAAATTTATCTCTTGTTAAACATTCACATCACGGTAAAAGTATACCGTGGTTTCACTGACAGTGACAAGATAATAGACACTAAACATTAACATGAAATGAAAATCTTTTCGTCGTCCATAGCAAACTACTTCAATTCCCCCAAGACAAATGGTTTAGTATACAATTTACTAAGTTCAAGACTGATACGAGAGCATTTTTTCAACAACGAAGAGCCGATTTTACATGCAATAATTAAATTCTACTCAGTTGACTTTACGTCTATAAAAATGAAAATTTCATACTAGTAAACCTTACAGAATAAGTATCGCAAACCGTGTCGACTACACACGGAACTCAAAAATAAAAATATTCCAAAATTGCAACCACCACCGTGGGTGTGGTGAAGATTTGAAATTTCAGTTTAAACTGAAATTTCATTTTGAGATTAATGAATAATCTATGTCTCCTATATTGAAACGAAATAGTTTATTCAATTGGGAACAATGTTGCCTTGAAATTAAATATGATTTGATCATGTAGCAATACAGAAATCGAACAAATAACAACAAAATGTTCATAAAGACGGAATGTTCTGAAAGATTATCTTTGTTCAATAATTATAAATATATATATACACACAGGATACAATAAACTTAACATAAAATGAAGTATCACTTACCATTAAGATGACTCAATGTAATGAGAAGAAACAGTGTCCACGAGCTGTGCATGATCATATAATGAACCAAGTGAAAGGAAAACAAGTCTATAAACATACGATCAGATTATGATAATAACATGGTTCGATGCGGTAGATAAAAATGTTGTTTAATTATACTTAAGGCATAGTTACAAACAGAAAAATTGGACTTTCAAAGACTCTTCAAGCTAAAAGGCTCTCTCTCTAGTTCTAGAAGTGTTTCGTAAATCGGAATAAGTACAAATCCAGCAGACATACAGAAACGTGAAACGACGTATGTAATTTTAAGGTTGTAATAAAGTGTGGTCATATAATTTTTATGGAGGTGAAAGAGAAATACAAAATACGAATAAGGAAGCATTTGTAAGATTTGTAAGTCAAAACTCAAAATTAAAAGATTAGATTAACGAATTCTTGTAATTCTTAAAGAACAACGCAACATGAACAAGCTATAATATACGGAACTGCTTATTTTCAAGTATTCATGGTCGCCCGAAGTTCAAATATCATCCCAAAACTGATATAGATAATCCAGGAAAACCATGCAAGGAAATATTATACATACTAACCTGCTATGATGTTTTATATACAACAACTGTAGCTACAGACAGTTCAAACGAATTGCGAGAAGATGTCGTACAATATAATGCTTCTTTACAAAGAAAAATTGGTTACAAATTACTTTGATGAATTTAACTTCTGCAAGAAATGTTTTACGACGACGATAAACATCACAGTTGGAGCATTCGATGTCGCAACCAATAGAAAAATGAATTTTTATTCGACTTAGGAGTCTCATGTTGTGTTTGAATTGTTTCAACAAAGAAAAAGACACAACATACCTTAATGTAATTACATACCTAAAATTTTTTAAGACATGCACGACAAAGCAGGAACAAAACAGACAAGTCATTAATTATGAACAATTATAATTGTGCATATACTTGCTTTTGAAAAATGCTAATCTATAACATACATATTGTAGGTCATCAAGTTTTAACTCGTTTTAATGCATAACACTCTATCCTCCTTGCTGGTCACGCGTTAGTCAAAATTTGCTTTAAGGATATCTGAATATTTGTTTTTGTTATACGGCTATGAGAAACGAAAGAAAGAAAGAGAGAGGGGGCGAGAACAACAAGGAAGTTTTGTCGTTATTTTCGTCTTATGACAATGTTCTTTTTTTAACTGAAAGTCTTTGTGATCCTACTGAGTCCAATTCAAACTCTTGATTGTCTCTGTTGGATTCAAATATCAGAATCAGATTGAATTGACACAAAAGATTAGCGGGTTTCTTCCACAACATAAAAAATAAATATGGCATTCATCTTCCTGCAAAGTGTTGCCAAAAAAATAACACATCAATAAATGGTTAAATTTTCTCACTTTTCGCGAGATTTTGTCATTTAAATTCACGTACTTAGCATTGCGAAGAACTTCCAGAATAAGACGGCATATTAAATAACCTTCCGCTGATCACCACTTTCTGATTTCCCTTCACTTTGTTCCGGATCGACATTTTTGTTCCCAGTTGCCCTTTTCTGATTCCTTGTGGAGCTTGAAGAACTTTCCTCAGATTTAGAAGGGCCTGGGAACGAAATAAAAACGATTACGTCAACGATATCATATTTAACAATAACAGTCGGTGTGACGTAACCTTTGCGCTTTTCTTCTTTCAATCCAGTATTTAAGAAAGATAGTCCAGCTTCTCTTAACTAGAAAAAAGGGAATCATCACAACCATGTACTTCATATAAGTGCAGTCATAAGACCATTCCTGTTTAACCTCTTTGTTTTGAAGACAGTGAAAGATGAATATCATGCACCCTTGAAAGGGATTATAAATAACGAATAGATAACGGAAGAACAAAGTTTCACGATTGATCGTCATGAAAGCAAAGACCCATGTCAGACCAAGAACGGGAGACATAATAATGACAGCTCCAGCGAAAGTCTTCGCTTTCTGCAGTGTGTTTTGTTGTTGGACTATGGTTGAGTGCATTATTGCCCACATAACCATGGTATAAATAACAGTGTTCCCCTGAAAACATAATCATTATTGAAATATTAGTGTTTATTGATTTAAAACAACAGTGCACGACACAGAAACTTACATATATAACAAGAATAGCAGGTGCAAAAAATACGCTGATCAAATTATCATGGACATTAAGCCAACAAAATGAACCCGTGCCATAACCATCTCCTTGAGTAACACCCCATGATATAGAAACAATTAACAAAGGAACACCTAGAGTGAATATATCCTAAGATAAATTATCTAAAGTTCTCAAATAAAAATAAATAAAAATGCCATGTTCACCCCATCCAATTAAATTGAAGATCTTCCAATGTTTTTCACGGACTCCATCAAAAGCTCGAATGAACAAAACATAAAGAAGTATTCCTTCACACAACATCCAACCAAACACAGATAACACAAAGAAGTGAAGACAAGTAGCAACTGCTTTACAGAAATCCTGCAACAATAATATATGTTCAACATGAAACAAAATACATCCTTCAAAAAAAGGTCATTCTTTAAGGTGAAAATCGATGCAATACACTAATGCAGCTGTTGAAAGGTGGTGGGTTGAAACCAAACTTATTGCACATTTTTGAGCATGATTTAGTTGAACCGTAATACAGTATATGATGTTCAGTTTGAATCTTTGGATAACTACCACTGTTGAGGCTGCAGTTTATCCTCATAATACTGAAAATCTCGTGATACGAAATAGAAGATCAATAACAACGAGTTTTATTAAAGCTTGGTTTAACTCATCTCAGAACAATTCACACTTGCTTTGAGAATATCACATAGCATACAAAAGAGTGTTTACCGGATAATCTCTCGCAGGTCCTTCGAGAATAGCAAAGATGTCCGTGAAGCCAATAGCGACACACAAGCTAACAAGAACTTTAGATCGAGGAGACTTAACTTTCTCCCAAAATAAGCATATATCAATATCGTTAAAACGACACCCGATAAAGATATTGAACAACCGACTGTTGAGATAACTTCTAAGATTTTTTGTTCTGTGCTTGACAACTGTATAAAGAAACGAGAAAAGTACAACAAATGAAATACCACAGCAAATTTCATACAAATAAAATACTGCAGGCTCAGAACATCTTCCGTACCTTTACTTTACCCAAACCCATCATGATAGCAAAAGCTGAATTATGATCACAAACACAGGTAAAATTTCCCTCCGATGATTCAGTTTTATTTAATGTACATCCTCGTTGACTCCATTTACTATTTTCTACTTCGGGTTCGATAAACGCACAAGTTATGTTGAATTCAGCGAAGCCCCTCTACATGATAGCAAAAGACTTAGAGTTCTACAGGACCAACTAAACAATATTAAAGTACAAATAAACACAAACCTGATTGTTTTGTAAGACGATCTTGATTGGTTGAGTTATATTCTTAAGTTCAGGTGTGGTACTAAACGAAACTATAGTGCTCTGAATAGTTAGATTTGAACCGGCGCTTATTGTGTTGTCCACAGATTTTCGAAGTTCTTTAGGAGATAAAATATCCTTCATTGATGAATATTTAACAACAGTCGCTTGTTTGATATCATTAACAACAGTTCCTGGAATTACAACGCCTCCACCTTCCGTGTCTAGCAAACTAACAGGTTTGGGAGCTGATTTTTCCCGGAGGTTTATGCCAAGTACTTGAATATTTGAAGTAGAGAAACCAACAATTTCGTCTTGTTTACTTTGAGCGACAAAGTTCTTTGCATTCAGATCTGCCCCACTGATAATTTGTCTGACCAACACGTTTCGATTCTGTAAAAAATTCAAAAAATCAAACGTCTGAAAAAGTATAAATTCAGACAAATCAAGGGATCTGTAAATTACAAGCAGCTGGAAAAGTATCCTATAGATAAAGAAAAGCCTTGACTTAATTATTTTTTACGATTGACTACTTACTTCTATATTAGCCCAAACATCTCTTCTCTCACTGCTGACAATATTACTAGAAGTTTTGATAAAGTTCTGACGGTCGTTTTGTGTAGCCGTTCTTGTTTGTGTTTTCTCCAAAATGAAGACAATATCCTTAACATCTTGTTCAAACAGTTCTTTTTCAGTAACGCTCTCTGTTTGCTGAATAATCTCGCTCACATTATTCGATTCAAAACCGCTGTCCAACCTCATCACCTATAAAGTAGATTGATTTAATGGATCAGTTAAAAAACTAGAGTTTATCTCAAAACGTGAAAATAAAAAAATAAAACCTGGTCAAGAAGTTTGATGACATCTTCAGAGCGACAGCCTGAAACATTAACGACTCCCCATGTTGGTTTATCATTGATAGTCGAGCATAACCGATAGACAAGTCCTAAAAAAATGGTAGAGAACAAGTATTTATTACGTGCAGTGAAATAAAATTGACAAATCAACGAAAGAAGAAACAACCTTGTTGTCCTGGAAGACAGTTCTGAATAACATTTGCACCAACTGGTGTTTTCTTCCATTCATAACCACTAGCTGGCTCGGCAGGACAGAATTTATTGAAATCTATATTTCAGAAGAATCGATTTTAACAAAGGAGAGAGAGAAGAGCATTACCATAGTAAGTCAGATCACAGTTAAACGTAAATTCACCACGGTAAGACAGAGTATCACATAAAACTTGACAAAACAACAACTTTCACAATCTTACTGCGCGTAAATACCATTTAGTCTTATGGATCTAGTTCTATTCATGTGCATCTGGTTGGTACATTTGCTAAAATATAAAGAAATAAATTTTCATGAAGTAATTGTTATATATAATATAGCATCTAACTTTTGAAAACCTTGCGTCGTCGAAAGCAATAACAGACCTTGCTAGACAGCTGTAATGAATCCAGAATTCAGAATCCACTATCTCAGTTTTACGAAAAACATTTTCGACACTTTATTATCAATTTCAACCCTGACGCGCTTCGATGGTGAAATGTTCGGCTACCATTTCTCCGTTGAAAGATTGGTAAAGATGAACTAGTACGTTTACAACTCAGTTTAAGTTCATCTCCTGCGTAAATATAGTAAAGGCAAAAGAAAAATCAAACAAAGTAGTTTAATCTGCAGGAAACATGTTTGCTATGTGATGAAATATGATTTGATCATGAAGCGATAAAGAAATCAAAGAAATAATAACATAATGTTTATAATGACGGAATACTCAAGAAGTTTACTTTCATTCGACAACAATAAATATATATACGTAGGATACAATAAACTTAACAAAAAATGAAGTATTACTTACCATTGAGATGACTAGCCATGAACAAAAACAGCAGCCAAGAGCTGTACATAATCCTAAATGAAAAAAGAAGATCCTGAGATATACAAAACTGTAGGCTCGAAGCACCGAGTCCAAAGCTCAATAAAGTAATTTCATAACAATCCGACGTAACTTTCATTCTTATACATCAAATATGCCTGGATTATCAATCTTTAAACTTACATAACTATACATATATATATATATATACACGTGAAACGAAGAACGATTTCTCTTGAACAGTGTTAGATGAGACGAAAACAATGTAGCTACCAAATACGACAGACGAAGCGTTTTTTAAATATGATTTTTAACTTTAAAAAAACAAGGCAAATGATTGAAAACTTAATTTTCCGGCAAATAGAATACTGTACATTTCAACAAAAAAATAGCTATTCGTTTTAAAGTCAAAAGACTCAAACACCTTTTATGCGGACATGAATAAAATGGAACTAGAAATTAAAAACAAACAAAATAATTCTTAAACGTTAACACTAACAAATGATTTATGTACTGCACATGTAAATCAAAATGATTAACAAGCTGTAAATTACAAAACTGCTTGTTTCCAAGTTGTCCTTATTGCTTGACGTCCAACCGTTAATGCAAAATTCATATACAATCCAGAATTACTATTCAAGGATATAATACTGACCTTGTGCGACACTTTATAAAGCAACAACTGTACCTACAGTCAGTTCCAACGAATAACGAGGAGATGTCCTGCAATATAATGCTTCTGTACAAAGTAAAATGAAAACTGTTTACAAAAAATTAATTCGTCGTAAGAAGGCTCTGCAAGAAATATTCGAATGTGAAGATGAAGGCCATATTTAAAGCGATGGTAGCTAATACAAAAATGAATTTTTATTACACTAGAGAATTTCACTTGGCGTTTCAACATGGGTTAGATGATAGACGTCACACAAAGGATTTCAATGGAGTAACCAAACCATTTGTTCCCTATGCTGTGTCTAAGTCGTACAGGCAGTTTAATTAATTTTAAACAAAATTGAACATTTATCTCCAACCACAACATACATTAATATTTTTTGCTCATTGGCGCATCCAGCCATTAATTAGTAAGATTTTATTCTTTGGAACACAGTATTCTCTGCTCATTGGCGCATCCAGCCATTAATTAGTAAGATTTTATTCTTTGGAACACAGTATTCTCTGCTCATTTGTGGATCCAGCCATTAATAAGTAAGATTTTATTTTTTGGAAACTCATAAAGAATAACATTGTTATCGGCCTATAGCGACTATAATTTATCTTGAACATGGAAATAGGAATATCAATAATTGGTGAAGGACTTAGGGGCTGTTTACATTATCCCGATTAACCGGGATTCAGTGAGGCGCGAGAGGATTTTGAGTCATTGAAAGGAGGCAAAATTTTTAGCGGAAAATTGCAACTGTTCGTAAAGTGCCACAAGTTATTCCAGTCGTAATACTGAAATCCGGCCAAATTAGTTATTTTCATTTTAAATGCTTGCGTATTTATAAAGTCGGAACATTATGAAATTGATGCAGAAGACTTATCCGAAGATAAGTATTGAATCGTTTCCATTTGCCAAAACCATTTAACGCTTCGCTGAATCTCGGCTACCCGGGATTATGTAATCAGCTCCTTATATTCATAGACGCATGATATGCTATATTAATTTCCTTTGAAAAGCAGCATTTTCTACGGATTATGACATGAATATATTGAGTTTGCTACGTCAATATATGACGTATTTATATGAGCTTGCTGCGTTCTTTATTGACGGTTTTTATACTAGAGACACAGAATGATTATACAGAAGGGTCACTCAGGTGCACAACGTGTCCTGTTCCAGCCAGATGATTAGGATTTCTCACTTGTTTCCGACCATTAAAATTACATGACGTCAATACTTAATAATGAATTCAAGTATAGCTTGACTCAAGAAATGACTTCGGATCATTTTAAAGGTTGGGAAAAAGTCAAAAACCTCATCATCTGGCTGGAATAATGGCGGCCACCATGCGCAGCACGACATGCGCGAGGACAAAAACATCAACGTTTCCGACACGAGTGACTCTTCTGTATATTCTTATTCTGTGCTAGAAACGCATAATGCGTCTGGACGAACTTGGGCAAGAAATTTTTGGTCGCCTGATTATGCGTCTTCAGTGTAAAGACGGGCACAAGACGCATTATACGTCTAGACCAATAATGTATGGTTATTCGTCTCTGTAGACGAAGGATCGATCATTGTTCGTCTAGACCAGGGGTCTCCAAACTACGGCCCGCGGGCCAGATGCGGCCCGTTGGGCCTCTCAATCCGGCCCGCAGAGACACTTAAGAAAAATAATAATATTATTAAACAAAACAAACTTTATGCAGAAAGTTCACGTTATGACGCAAGCCAACTAGCAAGAGTGGCTTACGTCAATTTTTGTCCCAACTTCCTACTGAGACAGAATCTGTTTACATGCCATATTACACTGCAGTAAGATGGCTAAGTTGTGAAAAAGTGCTGTCAAAGGTTTTTGAGCTAAGGAAGGAGCGATTTTCTTAACTAATGAAGCTTGTGTTATGTACTTCGTTTTATTAAAATATTCGCTCTTTGACCAGCGGTACACGGTTCGTCGGCCCCTCAACATGCTGGATGAAAGTTCATGTGGCCCTATGGCTGTAAAGTTTGGAGACCCCTGGTCTAGACGTATAATGCGTATGTCTGTATAAAGACGGCACTTAGACGAATAATCTTCAGAGTCACCTTCAAGATGACTACCGCTAAGGTTGTCGAAACGTCAGTCAACAATAACAAAAACAGACCTTCTCGGGACTATACCAATTTGGACGATCTACATTTACAAACATGTAACGATACTCCCGGGTTCAAACCATTTACCTTACAACAAAACTTAATAGACAGAATTTGATTTTGTTTAAACACGAAACAATGAAAACTTCCACTTTTCAAAATTTCAAATAACTTAGTCTATTTCAACGCTGTATCATAAAGCGTTTAAAAATGCTTCGTAAAATAAAGACCTTGTAAAAACATAAATGAACAATGCCATTACTTAGTGTAATAACAATGATAGATCATCTTATAAAAGACCAAGCTTGACACCAAAGCTAGATTCTTTTGACCACATTCCATAATATAAATCACTAAAATAACATATACATAGTGTAGAAAAATACATTACTTCTAGGTATAGTCACATTGCATTATTTGAACTTAATTATACAATCGTGTTGTACTTGTACCAGTTCAACACTTACATAAAGTAGGTATCAAATACTTAAATTAAACCACTTAAAATTAAAAAATACTTCTTGATTTACAGCAAAGAGCTTGTTGGATGAAGCTCGAATGACAATACTACATGCACACTAAAATAATCTTGGTGATGAAAAAGTATAAGCTCTAAATGGGGGAAGAGAAATTTTAGTTGATGTAACTTGACCTAGAAGTGAGATTCATATAGCACAGCCCTAAAGTTTGTTTAGACTTAAAAGGGTTCAATTTGGAAGTCATATAATTTTACTGAATTATTAATATATAGTGATAACCTACATTATTTATATAAAGAATCTGTAAAGTTATGAAGCCTATGTAGTCAAAGGCATGAGGGAACTAAAGCTGTTAGTTTCCTTCTCAAGATTCTCTGTTCAAAATTTTAACAGCAACCACCAGAATCTTTACTCTGAGTCTTGATAGGAACTGTATTTTGTGTATCCATTGTTGAAGATTTATTTTTCTGTTGTTTCTTAAGAATGTCCTGTGCGAGCATGTAAAATGCATCTTCAATATTCACATTATCTTTGGCGCTGGTTTCCAGGAAACGGATTCCATGTTCCCTCGCAATCTATAGACATGCCACAATAAACCCCTTGTTAAACAAAGTGGCGGATTATCAAGTAGGCTAAGCAGGCTGAAACCTAAAGGCCCAGGCTTTCGAGAGGCCGTGGTATCTAGACATAATTAGTTTTTACTTTTTGCCATTCAGGGGTAGATAAATATTCTTCATTTAGACCATTTATGCTGTTGAAAACCATATTATCTCTTTTTTACATGCACAATACTCAGAACTCATAAAGTAGTGGGTTTTCCCAGTTTGAACTTTAAATGTTTCCCCCATTGTTCAAACTATGAGTTACAAACACAACCTGGGAAATGCAAAGGGTAAGCAGAGTGAGGAACACAAACATTGTGAAAAGATTACATTTACTGTAGGGAATATAGTTATCACTGAAAGGCCCACAAATCTGTTTTAGCCTACTGGCCCTGTTACTGATAATCCGCCACTGGTCAAACATGATAGGTAAACAAGTATTTAGCAATGGAAACCATAGTTATATAATGATAAAGGTCTTGTGATTAGCACAATCAGACTACATAATAACTTACACTGGTTCCTCTGTCTTTTGAAACAGATCTCTTTTCCTCCATATCACATTTATTTCCTAAAATCATTTTCTCTACATCTTCATTGGCATGTTCCTCAATATTTCGTAACCACTTTGAGATATTATCAAACGACTTATCCTGAGTTATGTCATAGACCAACATTATTCCCTAAAGATTTAACAAGATGAATGGTGAAAAGCTCTTGCATTGTGAATGAAATTGACAATGTACGACTAAAGTCATACCATAGCCCCTCTGTAGTAAGATGTTGTTATAGTATGGAATCGTTCCTGCCCAGCAGTATCCCTATAATAGCACATCGTAGATTCAACATTTGTTTCAACGTCACAACACTCTCACAAGCATCATTACACATGAAAACTATACCATATTTGGAGTTTAATTTTCTTTCCTTCCAGTTCGATTGTTTTGATCTTAAAATCAATCCCTGAGCAATGAAATACAAAGATTTTAATCTGATGTTTATTCAACTGTATTTTGAGATCTATTAGACCATGCCATTATTAAAAAATGTTTTGGGTTAACAAAAAAGTGGAGGAAGTAAAAAGATATTACAGGAAGTATAATCTTTAACAACCTATCACAACAGGGGCAATCAGATACACTGTACTTGTAGAACAATAAAGAAAAAGCTAATTGCAGATGAATGCAAGGTTGATAAAAGCAAAATTACATGTAGAACAAGTAGATATTCACATATAAAAAGTTCAGGCAAGACAATCAACGCCACGTCAAGGGCAAGATTTCCAACGAAAACAAACATGAGTGCTGATATGCGATATTACTATTTCCGTTCAACATCATCAACAGACGACAGTTGAAATTGCCCATACATCTATGACGATTACATAAATTATAAGGAGTCATACACTACATATCGTAGCATAAACCCCATCCCGCAGTCGAAACATAAAGTAAACAACGAATACCGAAGTTTGACAAAATTTAAGATCGCGTGTCTCGTGATCTGTGAACAGATATTTTCTTAACACTGACTGCGCAAAATATAAACAAAGTAAAATCTCACCGATCGTCGAGATAAACGTCGTGTTAAAAGCGTCATCGGAAAATCGAAAGAGAATACAAGTCTTTCCAACACCGGAATCACCGATAAGAAGCAATTTAAACAAATAGTCGTAACTTTTCTTAGCCATTACGATAAGCCGCACCGACAATGATGGCTATAAAGCGTCTACTCCCTACTACTGCGCATACTCTAATGAAGCAAGCCGCAGATTGTGTGAACTATGGTATAAAGGCTCAGAAATTCAAATAGGATAGAAAAGATATTACACCATTTACACTATTTAAATTGAAAATATATTATTTATATATATATTAAATATCTATATTATAATGCATTGTAAAATATTGTTTAGGACTATATGCTTTCCGTTTTACTTTTCATTTTCAATGAAGAGAATGGCGACACTTCCTTTTGTGAGTTCGTTTACTTCTTCACAACTGAAGTCTATACAAAATGACCAATGAATGACCACATAATTTATGATTTATAAAAGCAGAAATTAAATGCACAAACCGTTTCATTTAAGAAAGTCATTATCACTTTCTTCGGGAGCTGAGAGTATTTTTAAATCTCCACGAGACGTCCTCACTGCAGAATACTAAAAATCACAAAATATCAAGCACGATGTATCATTTTTATGCATTAAAGACGATGTTCGTTCTTTACTTGTTTTTGACTTTTTCTCTTCTCTTTTTCTTCATTTTTCTTTCATCTGGAAGCAAAAAAGATGTCAAACATCCGCACAAAATCATGCAGAAAGAAACCAAGCAACAGTGACGTAGCTAACTTACCCCAAAACGTCGTGTATGAAGAGGGAAAATATCCTTGTTTACCATCTTTCATCTCACCTATCCACCAATGCTCATCTTCTTGACGCAAAACCTTTATGACGTCACCCTCGTCAAGATTTAATTCGTCCTCATTGCGAGCAGCAAATGGATACATGACTTTAACCTGAGAATGTTAACACTTCTGTCGTAAGTTTACACAAGGAAAATCAACGAGAAAATGAAAATCTATCATATTTTATGTAATATGTATTATTTTGTGTGGAAACCAATGGTGGAAACACAATAAATGAATTTATTTATGCATAATGTGCAAACACAATAAATGAATTTATTTATACATAATGTGGAAACACAATAAATGAATTTATTCATACATAATGTGGAAACACAATAAATGAATTTATTCATACATAATGTGGAAACACAATAAATGAATTTATTCATACATAATGTTCAAACACAATAAATGAGTTTATTTATACATAATGTGCAAACACGTACCCAAAATAAGCCGACATTGGAATCTGTATGTGATTTTGATGTTGTCCCTTAAATATGAAGAAAGTTCCATCGTTATATACGATGTGTTTTGTTGTTAATTGCGCTATTTTGTATTCTAACCTTGAACGTGACTAGTTCCATGCTCCGGTGAAGTTCGTAAAGTAGAGAAATCAGATCCCCAGGTAGACAGTGTCCTCATTTCATCACGTGATACTGTTAAGCTGTCCGCTCGGGTGGCAAAGGGACTGGGTGTTCTCTGATTGGCTGTGAACGTCGTTGCATCCAACATATTACTTGAATTAGATATATCCTGTATATCATAGAATATGAATTAAATATATGAAGCCATTATTTGCCAGCTTATATAAATATCTCACCAAAACAGATTCGAGTTTCTTTTTTATCTTATTTAAAAGTAGAGTTTCAGAAGCAACGTCAGCGAAACTCTGCGAGGTGTGTTTTGCTTTTTGTTCTTCTGACGTTCCAGCATCATTAGGACTTCGAACGAGCGTACGATTTGTGAGGGGTAATGAGGACGGTGGAGGATTGACAGGGATGTGTGCTGGTGTTTCCCCAAGAAGTTCACCTGAAATAATGATGAACATATGAAAATTATGTTAGGCCTGTTCACACCAGAAATTTCGGTGTAAGTTAAGCTCACCTGTTTTCTTGAAATGATAAAGTATGACAGGATGATGGTATCCATATGAACAGAAGGCGATGATGTCATCATGAGGATGAAAATCAAGATCGGAGACTGCGCAAGTGTAACCTAAGTTATTGTATACTTTGATTTGATCACCTGACAAAGATATTAGCATAAATTAGATGGATAAATGTTAATACAAATCGGAGAAGAATTAGATCAAATAAATCAAAGATGAGAATGTTCCTGGTATACTTGTCTCGGTATTCCATGCGTACACAGCACCGTCCTCTGAACCAGAAAAAACGAACGAACCGCAAGTGCTCATGGTACTTCTCACGTGTTCTTTGAAATTTTTGGCGCCAATGTAACGGGTCATCACGGAGAAACTTAGGAAACGAGAGAAGATTAACAAAGATGCGCGAAGAATAATACTTTGGAATTTGTTTGATGCGCGTACCTCCTTAAATCAAGCATTCTCGTTACACTGTCTCTTGTGTGAACCAAAAGTTTTTGTCCATTTGGATGAAGTCGTACTGAGTTTATAATGCAGTCCTGGTGTTCATAATTGTACACTCAGATAAATTTAATAAAGACTATCATGATTTCCATTAAGAAATAAACGATGAGTACTGTGTTTGCTTAGGCTTATACAAACAGAGGAGACTTTGGGAAGAACTCGAATATAAACAATGCAAAGCTCAGATCAAAGAACGAGAGTTTTCACAAACGTCTCCGCGGTTTGCATAAGCCTGTGCAAACACAGTAAACATCTTTTATTTCTTTTATAAAAGAAACACAATGCGAAACAAATAAATTTAAAACTGTAAGTTGTAATTTTTCGTTATATTGTTGTTCTATAAAATTGGTTTTAAGCTTGTCACCTTTATTTCTGGTTCTTTAACAGTCTTACTGATTACCCATCTTTGTACATCCGCTACAATAACACGAGATTACAACTAAATCCACATGAACGTTGAGGAAAATAAATCATATGAATTAAAATAATTACATTACCTGCAGACTGGGGTCGACGTTTCTTTGATTTTGCCATATCTCCATATTCAAATGTATTCCAGATAATCACAGTGCCCAAACTGTCTCCAGAATACATAAACTGACCTTAAAGAAAATTTTGAAATTCACTCTATTCCTTTGATATCACTTAAAGATGTTAATTTATAAGCGATTTCACAAATAAGTCCTCCTGGTACATCCACAAAAAAATCATCTCTGTTATAAGGATAATAAAATGGGAAATGTTCTTGTAACTAGGGATCCAAGTATACATGCAAAGTTTCAAAAAAATTCAACCTTTCGACTCGCAATTTGTATCAAGCAAAATATTTTTCATACATTTATTTCATTTCTTTATTAACTCCCGTTTAATTTTGATTCGCGTGTCAAAAGGACGAACATCCATGGCCTCACAAGAAATATAAACATTTATAAATATCCCAAGCTATAGTCGAAATAACTCAAGGAAGAAAATATAGTTTTTATAGTTTTTACCGGTAGGATGAAAACATATTGTGTTAATGAATCCACCATGACCTTCCATTTCACGTAAAAGCTGAAATTTAACAAACATCATTTGTTATAAAAAATGCACGTTTAAAAAATCACTTTCCTTGCATCTTGTTCTTGATAGACAAATCAACAAACGAAATAGACACAGATCCTACGTACATGGAGACATACAGACCTGACCATTCATTCCTTCACAATCATTACTCCATATTCTCATCAAACGATCAAATCCTCCAGTCACAACAATGTTCTTTCTCTGTGGATGATATTGAGCCGTATACACGAAACTCGGATGTGGATACGTTTTAACTGGGGTACTAACATTGTTTTTCACATCCCAACTCCTGCATGATACATATGAAAGCAGTAAGACACTAGATATATTTTAACTGGGGTATTAACATTGTTTCCCATATCCCAACTCCTGTATGATACATATGAAAGCAGTAAGACACAAGATACATTTTAACTGGGGTATTAACATTGTTTTTCACATCCCAACTCCTGTATGATACATATGAAAGCAGTAAGACACAAGATACGTTTTAACTGGGGTACTAACACTGTTTCCCACATCCCAACTCCTGTATGATACATATGAAAGCAGTAAGACACTAGATACATTTTAACTGGGGTATTAACATTGTTTCCCACATCCCAACTCCTGTATGATACATATGAAAGCAGTAAGACACAAGATACATTTTAACTGGGGTATTAACATTGTTTCCCACATCCCAACTCCTGTATGATACATATGAAAGCAGTAAGACACTAGATACATTTTAACTGGGGTATTAACATTGTTTCCCACATCCCAACTCCAGTATGATACATATGAAAACAGTAAGACACAAGATACATTTTAACTGGGGTACTAACACTGTTTCCCACATCCCAACTCCTGTATGATACATATGAAAGCAGTAAGACACTAGATACATTTTAACTGGGGTATTAACATTGTTTCCCACATCCCAACTCCTGTATGATACATATGAAAGCAGTAAGACACAAGATACATTTTAACTGGGGTATTAACATTGTTTTTCACATCCCAACTCCTGTATGATACATATGAAAGCAGTAAGACACTAGATACGTTTTAACTGGGGTACTAACATTGTTTCCCACATCCCTACTCCTGTATGATACGTATGAAAACAAAGTAAATGGTTTGAACCCGGGAGTATCGTTACATGTTTGTAAATGTAGATCGTCCAGGTTGGTATAGTCCTGAGAAGGACTGTTTTTGTTGTTGTTGACTGACGTTTCGACAACCTTAGCGGTAGTCATCTTCAGAGTCAAAGTAAGAGTCATTTTGACTCTGAAGATGACTACCGCTAAGGTTGTCGAAACGTCAGTCAACAACAACAAAAACAGTCCTTCTCAGGACTATACCAACCTGGACGATCTACATTTACAAACATGTAACGTATGAAAACAGTTCGACACTAGAAGATATCTTCATTTTAATATAAGTAATAAGGCCGTAGTTAACTTTACGATGACAATGATTTGCTCATTCTTAAAGAAGCTGTCATTACACTTAACTTAACACGCTAACTGTGTAATTTAATATCTCAATTTCTTTATATGATAATAAAAAGTTACTAATTATTATTGCAAAAGTTTGAACAAACTTGCATTCAAATTTATTTTTCATACACTATAAACATGACAAACATTGTTTGAAATTTTACCTTGCCGTCCCGTCAGAAGACGCTGAAAGAATTGTCGTATCATCAAAGGACCAACACAAGTCATAAATTATACTGAAATGTCCATGAAATGTACTCATGTTGTTTCCTGTTAATGTCTTAATAAAGAAAACCAAAATGACTTTGTTAGAATGGCGCCAGTTCGTACGCTTAAAAATAAAAGTCTCAACTTTCAAAGACGGCAGGAGAAGGCAATAAAAATGCACAAACAAAAGCCAATGAAGAAATCAGAGAAAGAAAAGGGAAAAAAGAGAGGAAAAAAAGACGATGATCATGAAGAAGGAAAGAAAGAAAAAAGACGAACAATATTTTTTGTATATTTTACCTCGTAGACACAAACAGCGAAGCCATCTTTTCCAGCGCAGCCGCAGGCAAGTTTCCTAGTTAAAAAATAACCAAATTGTCTTGTGTTCACGGAGTAGAAGGAAACAGATTCACACAGAAAAAATTCTATGTCCAACAATTATTTTCCAGTAATCTGTAAGTGGTTTAACATCGTATACGTCAACTAGAACTCACCGACCATCGCGAGAGAACCGCACAACAAAACAACCACGATTACCAACGTTCATTGTTAACATGAGACGGTTCGGTAAATGGTTCGGCTGAAAAAAAGATTTTAATGTTGACTTTGAGGAGCATGAGGAACATTGAGGAGCATGAGGAACATTGAGGAGCATGAGGAACATTGACGAGCATGAGGAACATTAAGGAGCATGAGGAACATTAAGGAGCATGAGGAACATTCAGGAGCATGAGGAACATATTGAGTATGTTCTCCTAGATAAAACATACATACCTGTCCAGGTAGTTTTGACCAAGCTATTGATTTGACAGTTTTACTATCGAGATCTCTGTAAAATGCAAGAAATATTTCCGCAATTCATATCAGGTCATGAAGGGATGAAATTCTTGTGTTAAAATAACGTTGTAATACTTGGAAACATCTGTGCGGGTTATTCCACCCGTCAATTCTTCGTACGTCATCCTTCCTTTTTCCTAAATAAGCAAATTAATTCATCTTCCATCAATGAAATTTATTTCAAATTTCTACGATCATTTTTATCATCTGTCTAATGTAAATATTCACTTCATTTATTTATCTTACTGCATATTGCCCCACTACCTGTTGCACAGGAAACATTGATCTTCCAGCAGCATCGATCTCTTTAGGTGGTTTCACACCTTTTACTGTGACGTAAAGGGTCGAAGGATAACTATCACGTGACGTGGATTTCCACCAATCATAAACTTCGGGCGTGTTCTGCTTCGAGGCACGTTGACGTCTGTTTAATTTTACAGGATGAAACAATTGGAGGCGAATTTTTTGTTCCGTGTTCAATGATCCATTTGCACCGATGAGCTACAATCAATGAAACATCAAACTCTCAGAAATACACATGCAGGAATTTATAACTGTAACACGAACCGACCAACTGGTCTAAGAAAATTATTTTCTTCAAATTACAAGGAAAACTTCATATTTTCAAAAAAAATGCGAGAAAAATCTGTTCTATTCCACGATAGAAACTGTATCAGTCTTTAAAGTAAACGGTTTGAGCCCGGGAGTATTGTTACATGTTTGTAAATGTAGATCGTCCAGGTTGGTAAAGTCCTGAGAAGGACTGTTTATGTTGTTGTTGACTGACGTTTCGACAACCTTAGCGGTAGTCATCTTCAGAGTCAAAAGTTCATCTTCAGAGTCAAAATGACTGTGAAGATGACTACCGCTTAGGTTGTCGAAACGTCAGTTAACAAGAACAAAAACAGTCCTTCTCAGGACTATACCAACCTGGAGGATCTACATTTACAAACATGCATCAGTCTTTCTTAGAACAGACACAATAAATAGCTATGATTTTTTTTGTCTCCTGAAGATTGAATTTTACATTAAAAAAACGGTATGAGGTCATTTTTTCAGTAAACACTATCTGCTTATGCACTGTATTATGTATTATGTAAAATTATTATTATCATAGTAAAATTCGTTTTGTAAATGCACACTCCATGTGGAAGGCAACTCGTGTCTGTGACAATGATCACCGTGTTGAAATCAATCAATTATTCAAATTCATTAATGTTATCTTTTAATGGCAAACAACATTTTGATAACTCTTAGTTTCAACCATATTTCCTAGTTACCACTATGATGAATAGTGTATCACGTCGAGCAAAGTCATATTTTAACATATATAGCTACTGGGGGCGACATAGCTCACGTTTAGCAGGCCAATTCCTTAAAATATCCCTTGATGTCGAGTACCTTCAAGATGTCGAGTACTTTCAAGACATCGAGTACCTTCAAGATGCCGAGTACCTTCAAGATGTCGAGTACCTTCAAGATGTCGAGTACCTTCAAGATGCCGAGTACCTTCAAGATGTCGAGTACCTTCAAGATGTCGAGTACCTTCAAGACATCGAGTACCTTCAAGATGCCGAGTACCTTCAAGATGTCGAGTACCTTCAAGATGTCGAGTACCTTCAAGATGTCGAGTACCTTCAAGATGTCGAGTACCTTCAAGATGCCGAGTACTTTCAAGATGTCGAGTACCTTCAAGATGTCGAGTACCTTCAAGATGCCGAGTACCTTCAAGATGCCGAGTACCTTCAAGATGCCGAGTACCTTCAAGATGTCGAGTACCTTCAAGATGCCGAGTACCTTCAAGATGTCGAGTACCTTCAAGATGCCGAGTACCTTCAAGATGTCGAGTACCTTCAAGATGTCGAGTACCTTCAAGACGTCGAGTACCTTCAAGATGCCGAGTACCTTCAAGATGCCGAGTACCTTCAAGATGCCGAGTACCTTCAAGATGTCGAGTACCTTCAAGATGTCGAGTACCTTCAAGATGTCGAGTACCTTCAAGATGCCGAGTACCTTCAAGATAACGAGTACCTTCAAGATGCCGAGTACCTTCAAGATGTCGAGTACCTTCAAGATGCCGAGTACCTTCAAGATGCCGAGTACCTTCAAGATGCCGAGTACCTTCAAGATGCCGAGTACCTTCAAGATGTCGAGTACCTTCATTGACTGTAAAATTACGCGTTTTGGACCGTGGTCCATTACAGAAAATAATGGAACTGCAAAAATGTTTTAAGCCAATCAAAGCGCGCCATTTTGCCGGAAGTGACGCTTGCCATATAAAAATACTTTATGACGTCGAGTACCTTCAAGAAAGCCCAAGCGATCTGATACCATCCTCTCTCCGATCCTTGTTTTCTTCTCTGCTTGTTGATCACTGCCATGCTGAGAAAATCCAAAATCTATAAAACAAGGATATCCTGTAGTAATCACCTTGACAACGAACGAGTTTTCAAACAAACCTCGAAGAAAATAATGACGTCAGGATCGGACTCTTCCCTTTGTAGAAAGTAAGAGTATATTTCATTGATGATAAGCACATCTTCCCAACATGGAACAAGAGATCTAAAAAGACACACATGAATAAATTATATGAAAATATGGCAATGAAATATTTCAAATCTCTCTGACAAACTTTTCAGCATAAATTATATGAAAATATGGCAATGAAATATTTCAAATCTCTCTCACAAACTTTTCAGCATAAATTATATGAAAATATGGCAATGAAATATTTCAAATCTCTCTCACAAACTTTTCAGCATAAATTATACGAAAATATGGCAATGAAATATTTCAAATCTCTCTGACAAACTTTTCAGCATAAATTATACGAAAATATGGCAATGAAATATTTCAAATCTCTCTCACAAACTTTTCAGCATAAATTATATGAAAATATGGCAATGAAATATTTCAAATCTCTCTCACAAACTTTTCAGCATAAATTATATGAAAATATGGCAATGAAATATTTCAAATCTCTCTCACAAACTTTTCAGCTATAAATAAGAGCATTTGATGTAAAATACAATGAATCATGGCCGTCTGAAGATGGATAATTGGGAGGGGGGAGAGACACTTTGAAATCCTTTGTTTTCTAAGGATCCAAACATGTATATGAGAATGTGACCTCCCCCCCCCCTCAACAAATCATCGATCTCCCAACGGCCATGTAGATAAGCTATTTATGCAAAGAAAACAAGCAAAAGTAGTAACATACTTTCGCTGTTTAAAGTCAAATGGCTGAGTCATTAAAGGCAGGATGTAATCGACCGTTTCTTGGTTTTCGTAGTATGAAGTTACAGCACGATTTCTATGAAAAAAACTCACTATAAAAGATACATTCCGACATGTAGCTGCTCGCAGATCTTTAGGATCCGATAGGATCTTGTAGGATCTTATGTATAGGATCCTAAGAATATCCTAATAAAATCGCTACCTGTTACATTTCTTCACATATTCGCCTGTGGTCATGTCAAGGATGTGAACACGGACTAAAGGATGACTTATCATCAAGTCAGTCTGAAGACGATCCGTCTTATGAATCACTATACACATCACGTGACCGTCATCCTGTCGTTTCTTCTCCAAAGCGCGATGAATGACGTCAGCGGAGGATTCTAAAAATAACTAATGGCTATAGCTAGTTCTCAATGAGCAAGTTTTATCGCGTGGTGAAAAATTTGCATGAATCACATGATTACATGACGTAGGATGACGTAGGATGACGTAGGATGAGTTTTATAATTTTCTTCATTCGGAAGAAATAAAGTAGAGTGTTGAGAAAGGATGGATACATAGAACTCGATGGTTGTAACGTGCGAATATTTTCAACAGATTAAAAAAGACATTACAGCTTCGTTTATAAATACCTTTTGGCTTTTTTCTTCGTCTCTTTTCCGTCTTAGATTTCTCCATCGTGCCCAGTTCCTTTGAAGTCTCCCCAGTCTCTTGCTCGACTTCATAACCCAGATTTTCCCGCGCTTTTGACGTCTCTCCACTAGCTTCGGTGTCTTTATGCGCATCGATATCATAGCCACGATTGAATTTCGCATCCTTATGTGTCTTGGATGATCCTTGTGATCCATCAACTTCATCTTGAACATTAAAGTTGGTCTTGGTCTTTTCTTGCTTCTTACGTCTTCTACGTACTTTGTCTACATCTACAGCTGTTTCAACGGCAGCTGCAATTTCAACTTCTCTTTTTGTTTTGTTTTGTCTGCAATAAAATGTTGTTTTTCTTTCAAATGCAGTAGAAAAGCTGAAAACGTCACAAAATTTACAAACTTTCTATCGATGACAAACACGTGACAAACACGTGACAAACACGTATGTTTTTACCTTTTATCTTTTTGCTCACTGTTCGCTGTTTTTATGGGACTTTTACTGTCTTTTATGGAGTCATTTTCTTTCTGATGAGTAGTCATGTAACTCAGTTTCGCTTCTTTCTCATAGCTTTTATTCTTATCTAAAATCAGACGAAAACTTCATTTAGTTTCTAATTTCTACTTAGATGAAGCAAAGATTTTATGGTTAAATCAATGAATAGTCATACACATATGTATAGCTAAGAAGGGGCGATGCTCGATCAAAATGATGGTTTTTTTTTTTTTGGGGGGGGGTATCTACTTTATGTAGTCAATTTTCTGACTTACAGTTTTTCAGATAACTTTTCAGTTTCTTATTAGGCAATAGTAAAATGAAAATAACTGGGAGGCACACACTAGTGACAACCAATAAAATTCAGGGGGGTGGAAAGGCCTCAGCACCACCTCTGTAGCATAAGTACATATACAAACAAAGCAAACAAACCTTTAGTATAGAGATTAGCAGTAAGTACATTTTCCTCTGTACCAGTCCTTTTTTTGAGAAGAGTCTCAGCATCATGATTTAACTATAGTTAAGAAGATGACAATTGAACAGTTAAAATCTTTAAAATGGAAGTTTATTAACTTTTCTAGCTCACATTACTTTATCATCAGTAGATTTCGTTCGCTTCATTCTTCGTCTCTTATTTTGACCGAGGCCATCACTTTACACAAACATAAAGCATTATCAATAACACACTAAATTATTATGCTTGTTGACCTTAAACCAGACAAGATCTCATTAACTTACTTTTGGATCGCCTCATTAGAAATATCTAATTTTTCGAGCTTTTTTTGTGCCTCTGATATCATCCATGTATCTTTCAAGGATTTGATGGGATCATTGGGGATGTCTAACTTTCCAGATGCTTTGTCCTACAAATGCTGAGGATTATGAAATGGAAAAAGGATGCCCAGTCATTGAACTAGTGAAATACCTTTAAAGATGAACCAGTAGTTTTGCTTCTTGTGTGTTTTCTACGGTGTTGATTGAGTTCAATGTCTAAGTAACGTATTTTGAATGATTTCTTTATAAAATCTTAAATCCCAACTACAAATTGCAATGCTTAAGTATTGAATTGAGTTTCTTGTGGATTATATCTACGCAAAACTTACCTTCAACCATGATTCATAATATGAGAACTAAAACGTTTGAAACACAAAACTCAAAATTCTAGCTTCGCTTATACACATGAGATGAGAAACAAATTGATGGCTATCGTTTCATTCGTCAAAATAAATAAAATTTTAGGCCAAAACTCCACACATGCCAAAAATTGTAATGGTTTACATTCACCATAGCTAATTCAACTAAAATATTTCAAAGCGAGTTTCATAATAACTCTTTACAATTCAAATTGACAATGGATTACCATTCCCATAGCGACGGCCATCTTTAGTGTTGAAATACTATTTTTCATCCACGAAAACGCTTCTCCGAAGGTAGGTTATACAATGGGGAAGATTACCACGGTACATAGGTGAAGTATTTTTAATATAAAAGAACGATAATTTCGGATTTTCAATAAAATAAACTACACAATATACATAAACCTATTCACAGTAAGCCTTTATCTTTTCTGCTTTGCAGACGTTCATCACATTCTTATTTTATTAACGACTTTCATTTTAAACATTTCACATATACGCTAAAGTCGAGTACTGTCTGTCAAATTGTACATTCCCAAAAGCAGTCGAGCTTTGACTGTGATATTTAGCCATGGGATGCGCTATATAATCGCAAATTTGCTTGTCAAAATCGTTTAAAACACATTCCACGTATCGTTTAATGTGTTTATCGACGTATTCCTCGGGGGCCGAGCCGGTTGAGAGAATTTGATAATGGAAATCTTGAATGTCAAAGCTATTCCCAAGCTGTTTTTCACAGTACTCTCGCATTTTGATGATCTTCCGCTGACCTAAAAGATATGCCGTAGCCTGTCCGGGTAAGCCCTGGTATCGAGTGACCTCCTTCACAGCCAGATCTCCGTCCTCCCAGGCATATTTGGAAAACAATGCCAAAGCATCCTTTCTGTAAATTATTTTAATTAAATGCAAGTAAACTTTGTTTGCCGACTCCATTTGGTAAGCTTTTCATTGCTTCATATACGCACCTTTTCATTCCACGATAATGAATACCTGTGTCGACTATCAAACGCAAAGCTCTCCATATCTGGATATCAAACACAGCAATTTTACGTTGGACACAATAAGATGAAACATTTTGCAACCGTAAAAAGCTATACTGACCTGCCATTTAAGCATTCCATATCTTTCCAAAGGACGGTTATGATATGCGTCCGTATCTTCAGATACAACAGGATTTTCGGCGTACACTGCCCAACCCTCTTTATTAAAGCTGTAGTCGGACATCAAATCCAGCCAATGAAATACATCGCCACATTTATCAAGAAAATATTCCTCTTTTCCTGAAAAAAAAAACTTTCGTCAAAATACGATCACAGATTTCATGAAATCATGACGTATATCTTATGATAACTTTTCTTTAGAAATAGAAATCGTTGTTTTTACAATAGACTACTTGTCTTCCTATGAAAAAACTTTGTCTCGTGCAAAAAAACATACATAAACAAAATATAAACAGCAACAATGGTCAATGTCAATGATTACAAAAATATTCAACCTTGAATTTGTGTATGGTGTCCAGGCCACCCCTCGTGTGCAACTGTTGTCCAATCAGAAAATTTTGGTCCGAAGTTGTCAAGAAAGAAAGGAACATTAACAGATGCCGGCCAACTGCATCCTGCATCAGATCTTTTGAAAGACTGTGCTGCTACGTGGGGATTAAAGTTTGCATTGATCTCCAAAGGACAATTGGGTATCGAAATTTTATGCCCGGTGTGATAAAAACTTTGAGTCAGCTTGGGGGAAAGAAGACCGAGAATTTGATGATAGGAATTCGACCATTTTAAGAAAGCCTCCCATCTTTTAGGACAGTTCACTTGAGCAGACTGTTTGTCCGAACAATTCTTAAATGCAGCGCTATCTGATTCGTTAACAGGAAAAGGTTCTTCGTTAAAGAACTGATCTTGAGCGTTCAGTATCCTTTTAAATTCTTTAATTGCCGTTTTTTTGTCCGATTTACCAGTGACAATGCGGGCAATCTTCACGGCTTGCGGGTAAAGAAATGTAAGCGAATTTTTACCAATCTCGTATATTTCCTCAGGTGTAATATTGCTCGTCGTAAAGTATGGTAAAATGATTGTATAAGCTTTTTTCCCGTTTAAATTTTCTCCTGTTATCGGTAAAACTTTATGTGTTCGAGTACTGGTTGGTTTTCCATCAACGTAGATATAATCGACCGGTAAACCAGCCAGTCCACTCGAATGCTCTTCAGGAAGGCAATGTCGAATGTGGTCATTTCGAAGATATTTTACAAATTGAATGATAGGCTTTCCAAATCCTATAACAGAAGAATCATAGACAGAGTTCTTCGTCATTTTCGTTATGATGTACAAAGAGTCTGCCTTCTCACATCGTTGACGTTAATTCTAGAATCTAAACCATATACATGTGTGTATATACCTTCAACTAAAGCAACATCAATGGACTCTGAAATGTGTTTTCCTTTATCCTTCAACCATTTCGTTCTAGCTTCGGGGAAAAGCTGCTCGATGAAATCGTTTGATCTGATGCTTTGAACGAATTTCTCCCTCAATATATCTCTTGGATTGTCATGTTTAGTCAAAACTCTGAATCGCATTTTGAAAGAATTCAAGCCAGTCTGACAACCAAGAATGGAACGAACCATTCCAGACTTCACTCCTAATTTCATATTCTCTCTAGACAAAAAAAAAAGTTAGAGATAAGAACAAACAAACAAGTGTCTACACAGACAGTATAAACACTCTTTAAAACGTTCACGAAACAAGCTTTATTATACAAATCACTAGCATTTCTAGTGCAATTTAAGTAAATATAAACCAACAACTACTCTTACTGGTATTGTTTTACTGTGTCACCGTAAGCATTGATGAAATGTAAGAAGGTTTCAAATTCTTGGAGGTTTTTCGGTTTCATTGAATAGGCATGCATCTCAAAGAAGGCACTAATTCTGCAGAAAGGTTGCCAACAAAAATAATTTGGTCCCAACATCCATTCGCCACCGTAGAAGTTCATGTCGTATGGCGATGCAAATGTTGAACGTAGATACTGTTTTACCTGCAAGAAAAAATATTGTGTTGAAACTCAAATACATCCCCATCGGTTACATATGTCTTTTAATAGGTGCTCAAGTACTTAAAACTCAGAATTATGAGAAACAGACATGATGCAAGAATCTTATTTCGCAACACGTGAATATTTTTCACACCGACCTTCCATGATGACATTGTAACATACTGCAACAACACCAAAAACATGATGTGACCTAACATACTTTGTGTAGTGAATACTGCGTCTAAGGTTATTATTGCAAATAGGGTGGAAACGGAATCTCCACCAACACCAATACTGTTCAATTTTGTGATGTAATATCACAGAGACCTGATAGACTGCTTTTGTTTCCCTTGGTTTCAACTTCAACTCATCGTAATTAATTTTCTTGAATTCCTCAAGCAAAGACAGAGCTAAATCTGTTCTCTCTTTTAAGAAAGCAGGAGTTATATTCATTACAGGAAGGCTAGAGATAAATGAGATATGACATGTTTATATGTTTACAAACAGCATAAAAAAATTATTACAACAGTAAGCATCTTCTTTCAATTTCTTCAACTGTTTGCATTGATACATCAAGCAAGCTTGTGAAGTTTTTCAATTATAAAGTTTTAATGATAAATAATTTAAATCTAATAGCAACAACACTTTTTCCATTCAGCTAACGTTAATATGCGTTATTTTTCAAAGCTTTAAAAGTTCACAAACCTTGACTCCATGGACACGTCTCCATCAAATATAGAATGAAAATAGCTGTATTTAAAATATGTTTTTTGGACTTTTTTCATGAATTCCAACAAACCAGCTTGTTTTGCTTCTTCTGACCCCGAGCATATCTCATCTAAAAATGGTACTGTAAAATTCCGCCCAAAAGACCTTTTGTATATGTAAGTATTTTTTCATAGGCTTATACATGGTTCAAAAAATAAATGTTTTTAAAAACTATAACTATTATTTGCCTGATATGAACGTTATGATACTAAAACTTAGTCGCATTAGCATTCCCAATGCTAGATTCATGAAAATAACTTAACAAGCTTTCTGTAGACAAGTGTAGAATATACTCAAGAAAGCTTCGGTACCGAAAACGTAATATGAAAAATTAGTCCTTGGCTATATTTGATATCTATCTATAAATGTCTATAGCTATAAATGGTCCATCTATGTAGTTATATATGCTCCATCTAGAGTGGCATGATTAATATTGTAGGTCGATGGCCTTGCCGGTCCTCCTTTCAGAGCCATTTCTCATTTTCATTCTCACATTCAATACCACAACTCGTAAGAATTGAAAAAGCTTTGTTGAGGTGCACAATTATTTATACTCAACTATTTCATAACATGCACTTACATGCGCGTCTAGACATGAGAGATGATTTAAGTTAAATGGGTTTTAACAGTTTTTGCCCTCAAGGATTATTAAACCACACAAGATTGCTTGTTAACAACGCAATATTTCATTTTTCTCTTCAAAAGTATCTTTCTTTTACAACAAAATCGTACACGGCAATTAAACGGTGGAAATGCATAAAATTTACCATTGACTTTTCATGAATTTCGGGCTAAATTCAAATTTAAATTATGTGAAACAATCTAAATCTAGTATTTTAATTAGTATTTTAAAAAGGACGATTCATAATAAGCCACTTGATGTCTTATTGGCTAAAAGACTCATGTTGCGATAATTGCAGATATTATTTTGATATAAACTGACAAAAAAATGCCTTTCATCTCAATGGTTATCGTGTTAACAGGATTTGTGAAATTAAATGTTGACATATAAATGGACGATTTGTATTATTTAGTTGATCATAATGAAAACATGTTTGAAATTGCGCTCTTATAGTCCGAGCACAAAAAAATTTCCCAGGCTACGCCTTTCACCATAAAAAATGACTCACATACATATGGAATGATTACAATAGTGCGGATGACCGGAATTCTGAAACAAAACTCGACTCCTTTCAATGCCACAAAATAATTGCAAAAATACAATTTGTTAGCGGTCTAAACGCAATAAAGCATGCGTTTTGCATTCATGCATGCATGATGTGAAGCTTGCATGCTTTGGAGAAGCATGGTGCAGTTATCTGTTAATGTCTTTGTCTTTTTACTCAGTTAAGAATGTAGCAAACTGGGTGGGATGGCAGTAAATTATGCGAATTCGTCTTCAGTTTTCATGCTGCAACATTTAGCAAATTTATCCTCACGCAAGTGAACAATTTAACTTAAGGCATTCCAAAGTGATATTTCAAACAATAAACAAGTTAACAAAGATTATAAGATCGACAGTAACTTACTCTTTTTCTTCTCTTCCACCAGAGTCTTATCTTTATCCCTATTTACCAGAAGTTGTGCTGTGACAATGACACAAACGACAAAGAGAAACACAAGAACAAACGCCATAACTCGTTCGAGAGCTGTGTGACAAGGCAATTTCCTACACAAATTCATTTTAATTCTCTGACCACCTAGTATTTCCGTCGACCCATCGGCAGCACTTGATGAAAGTGAATACATTTCTGCCTGAAGGAATTCTGTGCCAGTATCTCTGCTCATGTCGTCAATCACTTGAAAAGTAAAGAAACCACAGATCTACCGACGACGATTAGTCGACAGAAAAAGCCTCTTATAACTGACAGCAACGTGACAGAATCTTGATGCAAATGAATAGACCACAGAGAACTGTGAATAGTTGTCAGCACGTTTAGCGTAACAGTAATTGCAAGTTGAGAACAGAGGCAACGAATCAAGGAAACACTAATTTTCTGTACTGTATTTCACAGCAAGTTTCTAAATAAAAAAATGTTCGAACAAAGGTCCATATCCGACTATCAATATCAGAGCTTCTTATGCAAGACGACCCGAAAATTAGGTCATAGCGATGTTTATAAAATTTTCAATTTGTACACTGCAGAAAGGTGTTCATTTCTATATTCATAAAGTAGGGCGGTTTGGATTGTGAAACTTGTGATTGTATTTTGTAAGACATAAAAAAAATCGGAAAAAATTATGTGAAGTATTTCACTTTTTGTGGATAGAAACGACTTACACGCGTCTGATTGTTGCATCACTTACATGCTTTGTGAACATGAAGTTCAGTGAATATGAAAATCATTTCCGACTCGATGTTTCGAGGAGCTTTGTTTACGGAAGAACATTATACTGGAGGTATTTTTTGAGATTTTGAAATTGCACTCACAAATGCGATTTGAGAGGAAGTTTCATCGGGAGTTTGATCGCAGACGGCGGTCTTCAAATATCAATTATATATTTCGAAATCTCAAGGAGTATATCATATGTCTTGAGATTAATTTGGTGCGTTGTGCAAGAGCAGGTAGTCTTTGGTGTCAATTTGATGTTGGAGAATCAGTCGGAGACAAAATCGGAGAAATGTTTGTATGCTTTCAGGGAACAGTCTTCTGCTGAGACTCAATTCTTATTCAGTTCTTACTTAAAACGCTATAGTTGTTATTAACTCAAACGAAAGAAATTATTTTGCAAAGTGCAATGTTAATTGTCACAAATATTTCGGTGCATTTGCAACCGTTTTTCCAGCCTTGTTGTGATGGGAAATTCAAATTATAAGATGTTGCAATTATATCGTACATTTATTTTAAGAATTTTAAAAAAATAATTGTTGACAGTTTGTTTGTTCATGTCGAGTGGTGAATTTTCCTATGTATGTATGATACTTTCCTGTAAGTTAACTTGACAATTGACACGATTTTCGATACACCTGGTTCAACTTTCTCAATCTTGAAAGTTAAGAGCGACAAAATAAATGCTTGCTTTTGACTAATGAATAACAACTCTAATAGGCTACTTATAAAAAAATAAAAGTTGATACTTCTTACCTCTTGCAACGGCGGATTCATTTTAAAATAATATCCTTTGAAAACACATTTTTAACAACTGTATTAAGTTAAATGTAGATATGATCTACTGTATTAAGGTCATGCGTATGTACGCTTTGCGTACCTACTTTATTGAATGTTCCCAAGGCTATCTTCGTGTAACCATCGGAACCGTCAAGCTCCGATCATGACATGCACAATTGACAAGCACAAGTCACATCGTAAGGCACAACGACCGAGCGATACTTCTGTTATATTTTTGTTTCATTAAATACTCTTAAATTGTATTGACCCATGATTTGAAAGGATTATCCACAATCGTCTCGGTTTCAGTACGTTTTTTATCGGCATAATGTGTCTAAATATTCTAGTTTAGAGTGGTCTTTCACGTTTATATAAGGACTATGAGAGCAAAGGTCAAATCTATTTATCTATTGCTAATGACATGAAATGACCACTTTAAAATGAATAATGTTGATTCGAGTAATGAAAAGATCGATGCTTCAAAAGGCGTTCGTAAGAAACACGAGTTGTCCGCCATTCTTGCATCCATGGCATCAGGAGCTGTTGCAGGAGCTTTAGCAAAAACAACTATAGCTCCATTGGACAGGACAAAGATCATATTTCAAAGTGAGTTCAGTTGATCTGGTGACGTGTTGAAGGATATTTAGAAGGAACGTTAATCATAGCTCTTGCTCTCTGTTTAAAGTAAACAATAGTGCAAATTGGAAAATTCCATTCATTTTTGGATTCAGATGTTTGTACCACTTTGTAACAACATGTTTTTCATCTTCACCTTTGAGCATTTGTAAGTAAATATTTGTAACCATACAAATTTCTTTTTTTCAGCATCGCATATGAAGTTTACCATAAAAGTAAGATAAGAATTACTAGTAATATCATTTCATTCTGGAAATCTGGGAAAATAATTTTTCTTTTCAAAAAACAAATATTATTTCTTGCAGAGTGCAATGAATGTGCTTTCAAATACGGTTAAAGAACATGGAGTGCTTTCCTTATGGAGAGGCAACAGTGCAACAATGGCACGCATAATTCCTTATGCTGCCATACAGTTTGCAGCATTTGAACAGTTGAAGAAAATTCTCAGTCCAGATTCAAGGTTTTGTGAAATTATTGATGACCACACAACTCCTCAAATCTACTCATAAATCTCTGTTTCTTTTTAGGGATAGTTCCGCATTTAGAAGATTTGTTTGTGGTTCATTGGCTGGGATGATTGCTGCATTTTTTACTTATCCATTGGACTTAGTTCGTGCAAGAATGGCAGTGACACAGAGAGGAAGGTAAGACTCTTAAGTTGATGGCAAAATAATTAAATTTTCAGCTGTTGTATAATGTGTAATCTATTCTAAGGTATGATGGCCTATCGGATGCTTTTCAAAAGATCCATTTTGAAGAAGGAATGCAGAAGTTCTTTCGTGGATTCATACCAACAATGTTGGGTATTGTTCCGTATGCCGGAGTCAGCTTCTTCACTTATGAAAGTTGCAAAAGTGTGTATCGTAAACACCACAATGACAATGAACCATCATCAATGCATAGATTGGTGTTTGGAGCAGGTGCTGGGTTTATTGGTCAATCCACAACATACCCACTGGACATAGTTCGCAGACGTATGCAAACTGATGGTACACAAGGAGTTGTGAATCCAGAATATCGTACAATTGTGAGCACAATGAGATCAGTGGTGCATAATGAGGGATTCACCTCTGGGTTGTATAAAGGTCTTAGTATGAATTGGATAAAGGGACCTATTGCTGTAGGAATCAGTTTTATGACTTATGATTTTGTCCATGAAAGATTAAAGAAATTTATAAATGCAGAAGGGTAACATAATTATACCAAATGGGAATGCAAGAATCTTTGTCCAAAATAACAAGTTCATAGCTTTTATTGATGAAACGATTCAATCAATTATTCGAAAACTATTTTGATAATATGTACTTGTGTATTTTACAAATTATCTATTTTTGTTGGAATGCATTGTGTATGAAAATACTCTTGAGGCATGACTGGCAGCAGTTGATTGTGTTGATGGTATATTTTTACTTGACGATTCATACGTAACAGGACGCCCAGCTTTAACTTGCGTGACGTCACGGTTATTCTGAGTTTCTTGCCATGAAATATATTTCTGTTTTCGTTTTTCATTTGAGCGTGTATGTTGTTCATGCGTCTGTATTTCTTTCGTTTTTTGACGAGAATTCGTGCTTCGAATTGGAAGCTGCGTTGTCATTTTGTCATCACTTGTTGTAGCGTTAAATCCTTCATCTTCTTCATTAATGAAGATTTTACGAATTTCGGGAGACGTGGGATTTTTATCGTGGCGTATGGAATGCGTCTCACGATCAGTAGAAATCGTGTTGCGCTCACCAAACTGCGTTTTTTGTCGCACGTTTTTCGTGTCATGCGTGTTTTTATCAGTTACATGTCGTTCTAAACTATCTATACGCGCCATCGTGTCATTTTTAATGTCATCTGAGCTTGACTGCACTTCTAGGTCTATCACGGGAGGTAAATCAATATCTAGTGACTCGAAAGACAAACTACTAGACTCAAAATATGAAATACCAACATCCTGTACAACAGAACTTTGTAACTTATGTTTACCACTGTCACGAGGATTCTTACTGACTTCATTTACCTCGTTTTCACCCCCTTTCTTCGCTTCATTTCTTTTCGGTCGCTTGGAACTAACGTTGCTTGTAACATCGTTGGGTTGTAGATAACGTGACGTCTTTGAAAAAAACCGTTTGTGGTCGGAGCTATGGTGAAGCTCGTGGTCTTTCGATGTCGTTTCGTTTAACGTTGTGACATTTGTCAAGGTCGACTCGTGAGAGCATTTCGTTTCTTAAAATGAAACCATTTGTAGTTAAATATTCTATGAACGTAAAGTTTAAGTTCACTAACCATTTTTTTCTCCGGGAAGACACAGTCTTTCTGCCATCATGTTCATCTTCTCATCGTTAGTTTTTGTTGGACGATCATTTTGATAGGATTGCTTATCTTCTTCCAAGATCTGTTTTAAACACTCAAGATAATGTTTTCGCAGTTGTTTCGCTGTGGAATGACGTTCTTTCGCGACTTCACACCTGTAAGAAGAAAAGGAAAGAAATGTGTAAAATAAGATTCTATTCTAAAGAAATATCAAATGCCCCACGAATAGTTATGGCCAGTCGACAATGTCTTACACTGTAAAACATTGAACAACACACGTGATCATTAGATACACGATGGGATATAGTAGGATATTTTAAGATCATTCAACTATGATAGATATTCATGAAATGTCAAACTACCTTATAGCTCTTGCTGCATTATTTCGTGTTTCAAGTGCATGTTTCATTAAATCGTCTTTCATTTGTGCCGTAATTGTCAAATACTGTTGACGTAAATTGTTTAATTGTTTGCAATTCGACGTGTCGTCTGGTAGTTCTGATAGAGAAATCCATGAATTATTGCCAGGAGTATCTGTCTACAGTAAGGAGAAAATACATTGACTCTAAGTTAACAAATGTGTTTTGCTTATGTGAATAAAATAGTCGACTGATGCTTCTTCTGAAAAACGTTATTCTGGACGTGAAATAATCTTTAAGAAACCTAAAGAACTCGAACGCTACCAACGTGAATCTGGAGTTAGAGAGAGAAAGAGTCTTGACATTTAAAAGACAAGCTCGGTTGGCAATGATGCGCGTACCTGAGTACCAATATCATGATTGACCATTTTACAATTTCCACTTTCATTTCGCTGTGTTCTAAAGAGATTAAGTTTCGTCGTTCTTTAAATGTTTAATGTTGTTCTTATAAAGTATATTTTTTGACCTTATTTCTTCCTCCAGCTCCCGAATCTTCTTCATGTGTTCATCACGTGCTTCGTCCAGGGCTTGCTGAAAGAAATGGAAGTAAGTAGAAGATGAAAAAATATTCGAAACTTTAGTTTTCTTCAAACCATTATCGAAATCAGCTTTTCAAATTGCTTTGACGTTTTCCACACAAGGAAAACCATTGAATGTAAAAAACGCATAGTTTAATGTTATGATGTAAAGAAAATACGGTAAAAGTTATTTCTTATTCAAACAACAACATACTCGTACGTTGATAATCATTGAAAGTCTTCGTGTAAGTTTCATTACTTGTGTTGTTTTTGAACGTGTAAGTTTCATTACTTGATTTTGTTTTTTTGAACGTGTAAGTTTCATTACTTGATTTTGTTTTTTTGAACGTGTAAGTTTCATTACTTGATGTTGTTTTTGAACGTGTAAGTTTCATTACTTGGTGTTGTTTTTGAACGTGTAAGTTTCATTACTTGATGTTGTTTTTGAACGTGTAAGTTTCATTACTTGGTGTTGTTTTTGAACGTGTAAGTTTCATTACTTGATTTTGTTTTTTTGAACGTGTAAGTTTCATTACTTGATTTTGTTTTTTTGAACGTGTAAGTTTCATTACTTGATGTTGTTTTTGAACGTAAGTTTCATTACTTGGTGTTGTTTTTGAACGTGTAAGTTTCATTACTTGATGTTGTTTTTGAACGTGTAAGTTTCATTACTTGGTGTTGTTTTTGAACGTGTAAGTTTCATTACTTGATGTTGTTTTTGAACGTGTAAGTTTCATTACTTGGTGTTTTTTTGAACGTGTAAGTTTCATTACTTGGTGTTGTTTTTGAACGTGTTTTCATTACTTGATGTTGTTTTGAACGTGTAAGTTTCATTACTTGGTGTTGTTTTTGAACGTGTAAGTTTCATTACTTGGTGTTGTTTTTGAACGTAAGTTTCATTACTTGATGTTGTTTTGAACGTGTAAGTTTCATTACTTGATGTTGTTTTGAACGTGTAAGTTTCATTACTTGGTGTTGTTTTGAACGTGTAAGTTTCATTACTTGGTGTTGTTTTTGAACGTGTAAGTTTCATTACTTGGTGTTGTTTTTGAACGTGTAAGTTTCATTACTTGATGTTGTTTTGAACGTGTAAGTTTCATTACTTGGTGTTGTTTTTGAACGTGTAAGTTTCATTACTTGGTTGTTTTTGAACGTTCATTACTTGATGTTGTTTTTGAACGTAAGTTTCATTACTTGTGTTGTTTTTGAACGTGTAAGTTTCATTACTTGATGTTGTTTTTGAACTTGTAAGTTTCATTACTTGGTGTTGTTTTTGAACGTGTAAGTTTCATTACTTGGTGTTGTTTTTGAACGTGTAAGTTTCATTACTTGATGTTGTTTTTGAACGTGTAAGTTTCATTAACGTGTAAGTTTCATTACTTGGTGTTGTTTTGAACGTGTAAGTTTCATTACTTGATGTTGTTTTTGAACGTGTAAGTTTCATTACTTGGTGTTGTTTTTGAACGTGTAAGTTTCATTACTTGATGTTGTTTTTGAACTTGTTTTCATTACTTGGTGTTGTTTTTGAACGTGTAAGTTGCATTACTTGATGTTGTTTTGTAAGTTTCATTACTTGTGTTGTTTTGAAAGTTTCATTACTTGATGTTGTTTTTGAACGTAAGTTTCATTACTTGATGTTGTTTTGAACGTTTTCATTACTTGGTGTTGTTTTGAGCGTGTAAGTTTCATTACTTGATGTTGTTTTTGAACGTGTAAGTTTCATTACTTGGTGTTGTTTTTGAACGTAAGTTTCATTACTTGTGTTGTTTTTGAACGTGTAAGTTTCATTACTTGGTGTTGTTTTTGAACGTGGTGTTGTTTTGAACGTGTAAGTTTCATTACTTGGTGTTGTTTTTGAACGTGTAAGTTTCATTACTTGGTGTTGTTTTTGAACGTGTAAGTTTCATTACTTGGTGTTGTTTTTGAACGTGTAAGTTTCATTACTTGGTGTTGTTTTTGAGCGTGTAAGTTTCATTACTTGGTGTTGTTTTTGAAGTGATTTTCTTAATTTCTCTTGCACATTTTCGATTTCTTTTAAATGTTGTTCTTCGACAGCAATCCTATCCTCTTCCTGTTCAACCTCCCATTCATTCTTCGCACGTTCAAGAGCACTTTGTAACTTTTCCTAAAATATCAGGACGAAAGATTGGACAAATGATTCAACTGATTAAGCTCATCAGACAAAGAAACATCTTATCATAAATCACACTGTAAAGATTATAATTACATTTTAAGATAATGTTCGTTAACTGTACTCGAATTGCTGAAGACTTCAAAAAAACAACAAAGTGTTCACCTTAAATAGATGCTCGTATTTTTGCGTACATGCTCAATAGCCTTGTCATACTTTTCTCGCATTTGTCGTCCCATATTTTCTCGTTCTTTTTGATATTTGTCTCGATGCGAAGCATGAAGTTCGTCTCTTTGTTTATCTAGTTTCTCGGTCCAGTCCTTCTCCAACGCAGTCTTTTTTTCTTGCCATTTTTCATCGATTTCCTCAACGATGTTCGTTAGTTTATTCTGGTACTCAATCTCGATATCTTTCAATTCTACGTCACGTTTTTCTCCCGATGATTTGGTTAAGTTGTCGAGCTAACATAAGCGAGAATATAACTTGCAGTAAACATACAATCCCCCACTTTCTATAAATTCTGCTTCATACCTTTTCTTCATATCTAGTTTCCAGTTCCTTCAATTTCATTTCGTGCTCAAGAACTGCATTGCGCAGTTTAACTTCGTACTCCTCCTTTACACGAGCTAATTCGTTCTCACGAAATTCCTTTAAATTCTTTGAATATCGAGCTTCAAGGTAACTGAACGTCTCATTGATGTCTTGTTCTGAAGATCCCATTGACACTCTTAAGCATGGTGACGTCTGTAATATATACATTTATTGAATACAGTTTAAGAAATGGTATAGATGATTACATAATGTGCAATAGAAGTCAAGGATTCCATAATTTTCATGGCTCGAATTGAAATGTATAAAGATAAACTTACACCTCGATCTTGTTTACTTGAAGAAAGTTCATTAATCCATTGTTTTCTTGAGTTAGATAAAATTTGCTCAATTTCTTTAATCTTGTTCTCAGTCCACGTTTCCTTTGCCAAGTGAAGTGACCGACTTACAGCTGATTCTAAAAAACGATATTACACTATCCATTAACTACAAAATGACCATTCAAGCTTGGTTTACTTACTTATTTCGTCGAGATAACATAACAAAGTATCAATTTGTCGACACTTACCAATTGCAGACTCCTTCTCCTTGCACCATGCCTTTTCAGCAACCTCCAAGGCTGCTTTAACAGCATCGTTAACTTTGTTCAAGTGTTCATTGTTCCATCTTTCTTCGGCTTCCAAAACTGCCTGCTTTACTGTTTCTTTACGTTCCTCATCCCAGGTTCTTTTTTCGTTTTCAAGTTTCTTCTTTATTTCTATGTCCTACATTATCAAAAAAGTTAATCAGACCTTTATAACACAAAACAAAAGAGTCCACTTATCTATTTCCTTACACTTAAACATCTTCATCTTGACTAAACTAACAAAGATGAAGTTGAAGACTTCGACAACAAAATGCCATACACAGTCTCTTTTTATCTTTATATTTGTAAATAATTTATTACCTTCTCTCGTTCCCATTCTTCTTTTGCTCTTCTATCACGTTCATTCAACCAATCCACCTTCGCCTTTTCAACCGCTTTCTCCTGCGCCTGTTTTACAGTAAACGCAAGTTCAAGTTCCCAATTTTGACGGGCTTTATTTAATTTGTTTCCAATCTCCACAGTTTCCGACAGCTCCCAGTCTTTACGGGACATTCTCAATGATTCGTCTCGATGCTGAGAAAGCTCAAAACGTAACTGTTCCAGCATAAAAAGTATTTTGAACATCACATTAATAAATGCTCCTGCCTATAATAGAATAACTGACCTTTTTAAGGTTTTCTACAATTTCCCTGTCTTTCTCTCTATTCCATTCATCTTTCAAAGACTTTATTTCTTCCTCCCATTTCTTCTCACGTCCCTCTCCTGTCACATGTTTCTCATTCCATTTCTTCTCTGCTATAACTAAAGCATTTTCCACAGCTTTCTCACGGCGAGTTTGTTCATCCTTGAGGAGAAAAGAAAAAATATTCTCTGTAGATAAATCTTGTACAAAACAGCTAACATTCTTCTCGGAATCTAGAGTGGAACATATCTTAATGGCTTTCAGATGATAGAAAAAAAGATTAGATTCATCCAACAGGTAAGAAGACAAAAGATCCAGTCACAACCCAATAATGTCCAGTGTAACATTTTATTAACCTTAATCCAATGCATTTTGGCAATAGCAAGCTCAGCATCAACTTTTTCTTTAAATCTCTCTTCCTCCTCTTGTAGCCAAGTCATTCGTTCCTTTTCTAAAGATCTCTCAATTTCCTCAGAAAGTTTTTCACGAAGTTCAAGCAATTCACACACTTTATTTTCCTCCAATTTCGTCTCCATCTACAAACACAAAACAACTATATTATCCACGAGAACACAAACCAACACAATTGAAATGCAACTCAGAGGAAAGATGTAAATGACTGAAAAGGAAATCGAACCCAAACCAAGAGATTTACTTTTAAAACTCCAAATGATAAAGCATACATGTTTCATCACATGACTACATGTTTCATTACATGACTACATGTTTCATCACATGACTACATGTTTCATCACATGACTACATGTTTCATCACATGACTACATGTTTCATCACATGACGACATGTTTCATCACATGACGACATGTTTCATCACATGACTACATGTTTCATCACGTGACTACATGTTTCATCACATGACTACATGTTTCATCACATGACTGTTTCATCACATGACTTTTCACATGACTACATGTTTCATCACATGACTACATGTTTCATCACATGACTACATGCTTCATCACATGACTACATGTTTCATCACGTGACTATCTTACGTACCTCTTTTATTTTCTGCTTCATGTCTTCTTCGCAGCTTTCTCGTGTCTGTTTTTCAATCCAACGTGATTCTTCGCTGAGAGCAACATAAGACTCCTTTACTTCATTCAGTTGTTTCATCGTCAACTCGATTTCTTGTCTTGAATGAAAAAGGACCGTAAAAATATGAGCAAAAGATGTTTGTGCTGTATGGGAAATGTTATTTTACAAGTCATAAGCTCTGAAGTCAGTAAAATTAACACAAGAGAAGAAGGAAGAAAGAACATACAAACCCGAGTTTTTTAAGTTCTGTCTCGTGTTCCTCCGTCAATTGTTGTTTCATTGTAGCAAGAGCTTGGTCGTGAAACTCAATACAAGATTCACGACATCTGAAATTATATGCATTTAATACAGACGACGAGTTTTTTTGAGAATAGATATGTTTCGGCACCTTATCATGTCTATTCTCAAAAAACTCGTCGTCTATATTAAATGTACATTAGCAATAGAGCTTTTAAGAAATTATCTGAAATTATATTATATACACTGGAAAATGCAAAGTTTGACTAATATGTGATTGCATTTATGATAAATACAACACCAACAAAAGATAACTACTCACTGCTCGACACTTTTCTTTATATCAACATCGTGGTCTCTAACCATCTAAAACAAAGGAGATCCTCGTACAACCGAAGTATAAAAAATGTGTGAAGTATAAAAAAACTTACTTCGGACATTTGGGTTTTAAACGTTGATTCAAGAGTTCCAGTTCTTGTTCGCGTTTCATATACTCGTCAAGTTTCACGGCTTGGTCCTTCCAAAGTGAATAAGCGTGCGATAATTGGGTTAAGACAACATGAAAGTCATATAAAAACTTGTTTTTTAACCATGCAAAAAAAATCGTGTAAAAACCGTGGAACAATTGTGTAAAAACGTAAAGAAATCGTGTAATAGCAATTACACGTAATTCAAGTGAAATAGTGTGATAGCAAATTTATATGTAACTAATAATGTGATACTTACTTTGATTAAACATTGATATTTTACAATGTCCTCGTTTTTGCTTGAATGATTAAATTCAGGTGTTTTGTTAAACTCTTCAAGCTCTGAAATCTTTCTCTCCTGCTCCAAAACTCGAATCTGCGCAATAATTAAATGACTACTATCAACACAATTTGTATAAATGCAATGATTTTATACAGTGGATGGATGATCAAATATTATTTACCTCTTGCTTTTTAACCAACAGTTCCAGTCGTTCAATCTCGTTTTCTTTACTCTTTAACATCTTTTGCACGTTTTCAAATTTACTACGTAAATCTTGAATTTCATCGCGTTTTGTCCGGTTTGACGACAACGAATGTTGTAGTTCATTTTGAAGAGAAACTAAAGCTTCCTCCATGGATAACTTGCTTTGTTGTTGTCCACTTGTGAATAGATATAAATATATATAAAGAAAATCATTCTAGTATAGAGGGAGGAAGCAAGAATGACGAGAAAAATGAAAGAAAGCATTCTAGAATAAAGCAAGATAAACAAGAATTTTGAAAGAAACCATTCCAGGAATTCTAGGATGGAGGGGAAGCAAGAGAGACAAAAAAACTGGAGCAAAACATTCTAGGATAGAAGGAGGGGGGAGCAAGATAGACAAGAAAACTGAAGCAAAGCATTCCAGGATGGAAGACAAGAAAGACGAAAACTTGGTCTAAATATAATGATATAAGAGACAATAAAACGGCACCAGCAAACATTTTATCTGACATCAACAAATGTTAAATGAAGTACCTTTTAGTTCCGGGAGTTCTCCAATCGTCTGCCGCCAAGTTTCGTTTGATATCGTCATCTTCACGAGATGTTCGATCAATTTTCGACATTGTTTCAAACATACGAAGTTGCTCCTTTAACTCCACGACATCTGCCTAAATCATATTACAACACTGTCATGCACGGGCACGAAAATAACATCGATAACACCACCAATGTCTACACTATCATCTGATGACACTCGGTATCCCATAGTATACAAACAAACCACGGGCACGAAAATAACACCAATAACACTCCCAATGTCTATACTATCATCTGATGACACTAGGTATCCCATAGTATACAAACAAAACACGAGCACGAAAATAACATCGATAACACTCCCAATGTCTACACTATCATCTGATGACACTCGGTATCCCATAGTATACAAACAAACCACGGACACGAAAATAACATCGATAACACTCCCAATGTCTACACTATCATCTGATGACACTCGGTATCCCATAGTATACAAACAAACCACGGGCACGAAAATAACATCGATAACACTTCCAATGTCTACACTATCATCTGATGACACTCGGTATCCCATAGTATACAAACAAACCACGGGCACGAAAATAACATCGATAACACTCCCAATGTCTACACTATCATCTGATGACACTAGGTATCCCATAGTATACAAACAAACCACGGGCACGAAAGTAACACCAATAACACTCCCAATGTCTACACTATCATCTGACGACACTGAGTATCCCATAGTATACAAACAAACGAAGATTAAATCAAAGACTTCTCCATTGACTCACCTCCATTGTTTTCAAGTGCACTGCCAAATTTTCTTTTTCCGTTTGTGTGTAGCTTAGTTGTCGTTGAAGATGGGATAGTTCTTGACTTGAACCTAAACTCGACGATGCAATGTTCATTGAATTATTTCATATAAACAAAACGATTGATTTCTATCATGGGATTGATGACTATTTGTGTTATAATCTAATGTACTTTCTTTCAAACACAGTACCAGAGTTGAGTAATTTCTCGTTTTGCTTCTGACTCTCTTCAAGACTTCTGGTCAACCTGTTTACGGTCTCCGCTCTGTCCAGTCTCACACGATCCGCCTCTTTTCTAGCTTGGCCAAGTTCGTCTTGAAGTCGTTTGGTTTCTTCTTCCTATACATATTCATAATGACATGATTGACTTAAAACTTGCTGTGCTTGAGAAAATCGTAAAAAGAGCGATTCTCCAGTCGGGTGTGTAACATTTATACTGTAGTGTTGTTGTTCATTAGCTAGAATATTTTAGGATATATATTTTGTGTTAGAGTAACTTTATATGAAAACATATTATGTTATAGGTATTCACTATCTTTCTCAGAGATACAAAGGCGATTGTGCAGCATGTATCATGTGTTTGACCCACAAAAATTTACAATTGATATGTGCTTTTAACGAGTGCCACGCTCTGTAAACTTTGATAATCAAAGTTACAAAAATACATTGGCGTAGGAAGATCGGAAATTGGGGGGAGGGCTCATTTTTATATATGCATAATACGCCCCCCTCTCCCAAATTGTCGATCTTACTACGCCCTTGTGAAAAATACATGATATACTACATCCGACATTTTCCCATTTAAATTGAAATTTGAACATATTGAAAGCTAAACACATCACACGAGTAATTTCAAAATATTATCATTCGGACTCTATATCAGATCATCAACCAAAACCACAAACAAGAATATTCACTGAAACATACAAACCTTCCACATTAACGTATTACTAACATCATCAAGTTTCTGCTTCAAACGTGTCACATCTTCCTCATGTCTTTTTTTGGTTGCAGCAATGATGTTCTCGTGTTGTTCACGTGCTCGCGATAGAGACTCTGATCTCTAACTGCATCACTTGCTGATGGAGGTTTTCGATCGTTTTCTTTGCCGACTCCAACTGACTGGCGATCTGTGAGCAAATGAAGAAATGTGATTGGTATAGCAAGTATTGATTTTGGTGTTGGTGTTCGTTTTGGTGTTGATTTTGTTGTTGGTGTTGATTTTGGTATTGATTTTGATATTGATTTTGGTATTGATTTTGGTGTTGATTTTGGATTGATTTTGGTATTGATTTTGGTTTTGGTGTTGTTTTTCGTGTTGGTTTTGGTGTCTATTTTGGTATTGATTTTGTTGATGTTGGTTTTGGTGTTGATTTTGGTATTGATTAATACATAGCCAATAAAAATCAACTACGGCTTGGTCTAGTTAAGTTTGATAGCGATGATTATCATTCGCGCCAATCATTGGTCAACTATATAGATCACATGTCTAAGCAATGTAAAGCTGTAACCGAAGAAAAAAGAGAACACACTGATTAATAAATGCAATATTATTTTTTTGTTATATAACCTGGATATTTTACGCACTTTGTCCAATCGCCTCACTATTTAACTATTTTCATACCAGTGAGTATTTCTTTTTGAATGCCTGTGTATAACTCTACCAAACAGTATTTAGTAATTTAGAGGAGTACAACTTATATATTTTTGAAGTTCCTAGCTGAGACCTCGAAGGTATTCACTGATATTCAATGATCGCCTTCATATTTTGCCAAAAACTCGTAAAAGCAGTAGGCTGATGTTACTGATATTGTCCGTATTATGAAATAACATAAAAATTACCTCATCTTTATTGTTAAGTAATTGTTCCTTCTCGATATCAGCATTTTCTAGTTTACGTTGAATTTCGTCTAATTCACTTTGACGGTTAGTTGCAATTTCTTGTGCATGCTTCAAACTTGATGCCATTCCGTCGCGTTCACCTAAAGAGTACCACCTTTACATTACTTCATTGTGAAAATGGCTACGATTGGGCAGGCTGCAACCGTAGCCATGCTGTTCATAGCTAAGCTGAGATTATGGCGGAACTGTTCATAGCTAAGCTGAGATTATGGCCAAGCTGTTCAGAGCCAGGAAGATCATAGCTAGACTCTGGGTTCTTGGCAAGGCTGTTGATAGCTAAACTGCCTTCATGGTATGCTGTTCAAAGCTTAACTACGTTCATGGCAAGGCTGTTCAAAGCTAAACTACGTTCAGCTGGGTAGCTGGTCAAGTCGACTGCGCATGCTCGAGAAGACTGCGCATGTGAAGATGATTTATCAGAAAATTTGTGACTAGGCAAGCTATGTACTCCGTAATTGGTGCTAGTACTTACAGTTGGTTGTTGCAATGACCATGAACTTGGAGAGTTGACTACGCATGCTCAGATTAATTCTCAATTAATTTGTGACGGAGCGAGCTCTGAATTTGGTGCTTGTATACGTACTTGGAATAAGCAAGCTTAGCAAATTTTTTGTCATGCTCTGTCTTCTTAAGCTCGTTTTTTTCAAATGCACATCAAATTCATCAACACTTTGTTACGGCACTCGTAATATCCGTGACAACGTCAAAAATGTTTTTTTTATAATTTTGTATCTATAACTCTATAACTTTGTATCTGGAAACTGCATGTCATGTCCAAGCTTTCCTTTGATTTGAAGGAAAATGGTTTTTATTCACTTTTACACCTTCTGCCTTTATAATTAGACATTCTGGATTTCTGAAATAAGATTTACAAATGCCTCAAGAGCATCTTCTTTCTATTTTATTGCCACTATTCTACAAATACAATACTATGCCCGACCATTTGACTGTCTTAATTGGTAATTTGATCTCTTATTTTTGACATGTGTGTTTACCATTGGAAAGGTGGATTATTCCCATGCTTTCATAGCCAGGTTGCAATTATGGAAAAGCTAATCTCATAAATACCTTTCGCAAGTGCCAATTGATGCTTCAAGACACGTATCTGTCTTTCATAATCCTTTTCCTTGCTGGCCATTTCCTTTGCGAGTTCCTCAAGTTTCCGTTTCCTTGCATCATGAAGTATCTTTAACTGAGCCATTTCCACTGTTGATGATGATCCTGATGCCTTGTCTAACATGGATTGTTGTTGAAAGTTCTTATGTTGTGTTGATATCATGTCAAGTGTGCCTCCTCTCTTGTATTGAACTTTGAAATCTTCAATCATGTTGATGCCAGGTGAAGTTGAATCCTGTGTAAGAGATAACTGACAATGAAGAAACAGAAAAACTCCAACATCACACTCGTGGGTTCAGTACTTTGATGTAAACAATCATAAAGGAATGAACTATTATAACCTGAAGTTCATTATGATATGATGGGTTGTAACCTTGAGTATCAATGTTAACATCATATGTGCCTTCACAATACTCTTCTCTATCAACAACATTTCCACCATCATCAACAATGTCTTCATCACCATCATTATGGTAAGAATCACCACTACCAACAGATAAATTATCACCATCATGGTATGCATACTGCATATGGTGATCATTTCTGTATTCACCATCATCTTCCGTATATCCATATTTACTGTCATGGTAATCAGTTTGTAATATTTTTACATCATTGTCATCCAACAACATTTGATGGTATTCTTCATCTGGTGTTGTACTAGTTCCAAACCTTTGTATAAAATCTTCACCACGCTTCGTTAGCAGCATATTAATTTGATTCATTTGAGGAGGTCCCGCTCCCTGTGACCCCAAATGATCCCTGAGATTCTCGATTTCGTTCATATTTTCAAGTGATTGGTTCATAGAACTATGAGCAGGCGACGTGAAGGAGACATTGTTATCTTCAAGCAAATCTTCAGGAAGCTCATTAATGAGCAATTCGTGAAGCTAAAATGATAAAAAGTTTCTGTGGTTTCATAATTAACTAGCATAGAAAGTTTATGTTATAATGTAAAATACTCAAAAAAGGTTATCATAATATTGAAAAATACAAGTCTAGAACCTCTCTTTCTCGCTCTGCATCTTCCTTGTCAAGCTCTTCATCTTCGTCATCTCCTAAACCCTTAAAATATGACCCCAAAAGACAGCTCGGCTTCAGCAAAATAAAAGAAATGTTTGGTTCAAAAATTTAACTTAATTCTTGTAACTATCACGAAGAACTACGAGGTGAAAAAAAAGCATCACTAATTCATCAATATTATATGAAAACAAAAAAATACTATCATCACCTTGGTGTACAGTTCGTTAGCAATATATTACACGATTACCAACGACTACAAAGGAAAATTACTCTACAATAACATACCTCAACGTCAAAATTTACTTGGCTTAGTCCTGTCATATTGTAAAGTCCTAACCATACATATTTTTTGAAGAAATTGAATCATGAATTGATCGTGAAATGACCAAAATAACTATCACAAATATGAAATACTCATTTGATTTAAAAAATAGCGCCATTAACACAAACACTTTGTTTATAAATAAACCTTTCAACTATAATTAAGCGAGAGACCTGGAAACGAGTTTAAATACTTGCGGTATATATGGCAATATATTGTTACATTGATACCATTGATGCCAATGATATACAACGATATTATATATCGCTTATTAAACAGCATTTTCATATTTGTAGCTTCAAAGATTACATATATTTTAGCAGAAACTATACCCAACCTGACATGGCCAACTTAGCCGCTCAGCAAAAAAATGACAGTTTTGGTTGTACATATTCAGACAAAATGTGTTTACAAGAAAAAGATCAGTCAAGACAAATAGACAAATACTATTAATATTGTACAAACAAAACAAAAGATTACAGCTTTTGATAAAATATAAGTAAATTTTGTGTATTACAGAGTCCCTGTTTTAGTATCCGGGTCTTAGAAATTCCAAGTTTTTATCGTTCCGGTTTTCTGGGTAATGTCTTAATCATTTAATAATCTATTTATATGATATATGTTTGCCACCTTTGTACTTCCTGAATAAATATTTGACGATAATGAAGATTCAAATCTTCCAATCTAGGGATTTTTAAAACACACAGTAATTGACATGTTTACTGTATTGAAATAATGTGTTTGAATTGTTTTTTTTAAATTATTTCGTCGTGAAAGGTGCTTTTTGATAATGCCAGACTTATCTTTCGGTACTTCCCTTGTGGCCGAACACTGTCATCAATCTCTGGTGAATTTGGGCGAAGGCGAAATCAAAACAATCGAAAATTTTAAAACGTTTTTATCGAAACAAGTTAGTTTGATTGAAAATTATTGTCATGGTATGCAGAAATTGAACACCACTTGTGATATCAGTAAGTTTGGCTATGATGAAGATAGTCCGTTCGTCAAGGTATTTTTATTTACATCATTACTATCTTGATTAAATTCATATTTTGTTACAAAATTTGCAATAGTTTCGTTGACGCTATCTTTATTAGAAATATGCGATTTATTTCTAGTATATTCCAACGTAGGATTTGTAGGGAATTAAAAATGTCACTTTATTGCAAGCGCACAACTCATGCCTAAAGCACATTCTTAAATGTCATTTGATTTGTTCTTTCTTTCACGGCGAGTTATAACAGTAAATTTACAGTAACTCGACTCAATTTACATTGATTAAGACGACTGGCGTGTCGGCAGTTCACTTTTACTGTTCATCCATGTTATTGTGTAAGTCAATGACAAATTTGTGTTCAATTTTAGGCTTGGAAAGTTTTCCACATCGAAAACATCCAAGTTTTGAGCACCCTTAACCAACTGGCCTCCAACTTGTCACTGTCCATTATGCCACGGTTGGACAAATTGCTAGGTTATGTAAAGGAAGCGCACAAGCAATACAAAAGTAACAGATTTCGAATTGACAGTGAACTAAAAGAGCTTGTGATCAAGAAGGTCGATTACGAGACATATCGCCAGCATGCTGAAGAGCTGGAAAGTGCCAAGCAAAAACTGGATAGCGGCAAAGCAAAAGCAGACAAAGCGAAGCAAGACAGAGTGAAGAAAGTCAATTTGAAGCTTTTTCAAAATCATAATGATTATATACTTGCAATAGAAGCAGCTTCCATCCATCAGACTCATTACCAATCCGCAATCATTCCTAATCTCATGAACTCATTGCAATCTGTAAAGGAAGATCTTGTAAATGAATGGTTAGTGCAATTTTGCAGTAAAATGGTTTCTCTTTGGCTTTAAAAAGATTAGGTTGTACGAATAGACTAGAAATGTTCTATGTAAGATTTAAGAAAAAAGTGATGGGACAAGCAAGCATGGCTGTAAGAAGACTGATAAGTGGATGGAGGCATATTGATTTTTGCATGTTATAAGGCATATGCACATATATGAATATGCCCCCCCTGCCCAATTATCAATCTTCCTTAGTACATAGGGGGGGCAAGTCATTTAAAGCAGGTTAAAAAAACAATTTACATCCACCAATTCTAAATTGTCATGATATGGAGGTATGGAATCACCCCCTTCTCTACCGATTAGTTATGACTTTGCGCATGTCTTTGTGTATATCTCTCATTTTCTGTTATTATTAATTTTAGGAAGAATATTTTAATGAATATGAGTGAAAATATCAAAACATACTCTGTACAATGCACAGTTGGCTGATGCCCTTAGCAGCTCAATTAACAAAATCAAAGAAGATAATCCATATGAACCATTTATTGTCAACAAAGGGTATTTTATTATCTACTGACATTGTGCTACCATCTTTTTACTTTTCATTTTGTATAAAGTTAAAGTTGATTACAAGCTGAAGAATTTTATATTTATGCTTTTCAGTTCTGCTTTTGATCCTCATCCAGAATTTGTCTTCGACGAAGAGTTGCTGAGCATAACAACCACAGACTTGATTGCGAATGAAATTGAAGTAAATGAGTTGACATTTGAACAGCTTAAAACAAAGTAAGCACCATCTCTTTTCTTGCTTACTGAGTGAAAAATTAGTCGATATGATGCCATATTAATCTTAAATACAATTCAGGAACATGCTACTGGACAAAGCTGTGTCCGAAACGAAATCCAAGCTAAATATGTCGGTGTGTATGTATGGAGACTTTTATTGATGTAGTATGCAACGTAGGTCATTGGAAACATGTTGATTTTTGTTGTACAGAGTACCGAGTATCAAGCTACGAAGCAAGTCCTGAGTGAGATCAGAGGAAACGTACATGATCATGAAAATTTAGGAGGGTGAGTCGGTAATGACACATAACTCACGTGATCAACGTCAATGTTGTCGAGTACCTAATAATGGTGTAGACATGCATGGATGTGTTTTATTGTGAATGAAGTTACATTTCGTTTTCTTTAGAATATTTACGAAGCAAATGGCTGTGGCGGATTTGTCACGTGAATTGAAAGAGCTTAGTTGTACTCACGAGAAAGCTGTGGTGGGTGAAGTCTGCTGTTGCTTTTCATATGATTCTGAACTTTTTTTTTCTTATTCTACGACTTGAATTGTTTTCGCAGGCACAAAAAGAGATTATCAGGCAGGCTTTGGAAAAAACTGATGGTGAACCAAAGGCGATAAACGACCCTCCTCCGTCTGCCAATTCTGTATGTAATAATGATTGAAGCGTTGTGCTTTATAACTGTATGTAAGGAGTACCTGCCCATTTATTTGCGAATTAATATATTCTACAACACAAATGTCCCATGCAGGTCGAGACAGGACAAACTCGACAAATTTGAAGCAAAATACAACTGCCTTCATTAGTAATGAACAATACATTGGAATCCGTCTGACCTTTTTGTACTAAGCTATATTTCCTGGGTTAGAAAAATGCTCATTGAAACACTAACGAAACGCAATGATGTTTAATTAAGATAAACTTGACGGACGTTGGAGTTTTTTCAAAACTGTAAATTCTTCTCTAAATTTTTATATAAACTATAATAGCCAAAATGATTTTGTATAAGTAAATGTACATTTTTAGCTAAAATGTATTTTTCAAAAAGCACGTATGTAGCTATGTAACGAAAAAAGGACGAATCCTCGTAAAGGAGAAACGTACGTTTACATAAGAAAATAGACTGCATTACTCAAATTCATTTTTCTCTTCTGAGGATAATACATTGAAGAGAAGATCATTGCGAATTCCTTTTCCTACACGTTCAAAAGTCGACACAAATCATTTACAAGGGAGCTCAGCTAGTGACAACCTTTCATCCAATCCCTTACGAAGGCCATTGCCTACCACACCACAAAGAACTAACGACAATGAGAACAGTGACGATGAAGTTGATGAATATGATAAGGTTTGTGTAGACCCGCAAGGACAATAAGAAGATAATAAAATTCTCGTGATATTTAGTCCATTTTACTTAAAATATGTTATGTTTCGTTAAATGTTCGTTTTTCAGCCTGTGGAAGCTCCCCTTGAGAATGAAACGTGGTATCATGGAATGATTTCAAGGCAGGAAACTGAAGAAATGCTTCGACAAAACGGGGACTTTTTGGTCCGAGAAAGCAGCAAAAAGCCCGGGAGCTACGTTCTGTCTGTGCAGTGGGGAGGATTACGTCATTTTATAATATTACAAGACGAACCTGTGAGTAAAATTTACATTATTATTGCATGAAGTTATTTTTTATTTCTTGGAAAATGTGAGTATGACAATAATAATGTATCAAGTTTGAATCACGAATTGATGCTGAGGATTCTGTGTTTTTGAATTTGGCGATTGACCACTTTAATGTTTAATGGATTATTAAAGATTTGGATTGGCGTTTCACTTATGACCAAAGTCGGGTTCAGATTTAAATGTGTTCAAATGTAGGTGTTCATATAGCTACGTAATATCATGCGAATATTATTGTCGTGTGGAAATTCTGCCTTATTAAAGGAAAGACTTGCATAGTCATTTATTCTTTCCCATTTTTCTTTATTTCCAGGGAAAATATCGCCTCGAGGGAGAAGCGTACGCGACGGTCACGCATCTTATTGACTATCACAGGAAACAGCAATGTGAGGTGACGAGAAAGACAGGTGCGTTGCTAAAGAATGCAATCCCGAGAACGAAGTCGACAGGAAGAAATCTCAAACATGATGACGTCATTATCGAGACGAAGTTGGGTCGTGGACATTTTGGTGATGTGATGAAAGGTCGACTACGAACTACTGGTGAACAAGTCGCTGTAAAAACATGTCGCGATAATGTTTTACCTACAACGAAAGATAAATTTCTGCAAGAGGCCGCGATTCTTGCTCAATATAGCCACCCAAATATTGTCAAATTAATTGGATTCGCGACTGACAAGGAGCCAGTTTATATTGGTAAATGTTAGCTGTGGTTACGAATTATAACTGGTGACGTCATGCGTCTTTTACGTACTTATTTCACAACTAGGCACCAGTTCACATTTTTTCGACCGTGTTTTTTTTTTAAGTCATGGAACTTATGCCCGGAGGAGACTTCTTGAATTATTTACGCAAGCATGGTGGCGATATCTCATCGACAGAAATGTTGCAATATTGTATCGACGCGGCCAGTGGAATGAAGTACCTGGAGGGTAAAGGTTGTATACATAGGGATCTGGCGGCGAGAAATTGCCTATTGGATAAGAGAAAGGTTCTCAAGATATCAGATTTTGGAATGTCTAGGGAAACAGGTTACGAGAGCAAATATTAGTTACTCATACTCCTCTGGAAGTTTGTGCTTCCATATTGAAATATACTCTGCTTTGCCACCTCTGAGTTCTGCATAGCGTCATTCTATCCTCACTCAGAAAGAAATCCATCCGTCATTGGCAGGAGAAATCGTCGTAAATTTCTGTTCACCATTTCGTTGAAGTATGGAAACTAGCGACGGCTTAAATTTTTTTTTCTTTTCTAGATATTTACCAATGTTCCAACATGCGTGAAATACCCGTGAAATGGACAGCACCCGAGGCTCTGAACTACAGTCAATATACATCAGCTAGTGACGTGTGGAGCTTTGGTGTTCTACTTTGGGAGACGTATTCTTTAGGGAATACACCCTACCCTGGAAAGGGTAACAAGGTGAGGGGAATGGCATGAAAATATGATATGGACGAGATAAAGCAAAAAATAAGTATTAATAAATGTTATTATGTAACAGGATACACGAGAACAGGTTGACAAAGGGTATCGTATGCCTCCGCCAGCTGGAACACCACCCGCAATATACCAAGTTATGATGCAGTGTTGGAAACATGAGCCCACAGATCGACCAACATTTAGTGCTCTACTTGTAAAGCTGAAGAAAATACAGCAACTCCCTCATTGATATAATATGAAGTTGCGAGAAATGTAACTCTTATCATAAAAATAATGTCTTGTTTAACGGATAACATAATGCACTAACATATTTATTTTTTCATTGTTAATGTTTTATAATTAGCAATTTTCGTCAAAATGAAATCGACTTTTGTAAACAAGCTATTTTCATTGGTTTATTAAAATAAACACACCATTTGTACTTCCCAACAATGTTATGTGATCCTTTTCTCACCTCTGTATGTACCCTAGTATGCCTCAACTGTGGTACTTATTTAATACATTAAACAATGAATTTCATAAAGAAAAATTAATCAAAAGCTGCTTCAACGGAATTACGAAATATAAATATATTAGATTGAATGTTGCACGAGTCCATCAAATGTTTGAACGTTTTTCAGCAAAAAAACGTCGAAGAACAAACACTTGTCCAATACTAAGAATAATTATAAGAACAGACTCTCCAACAGACCAGTATTGAACTCTTTCATTGAGGTATTCCGCACGATCTCTTGCAGTAGCTTCTCGTAGACGGTGATGAGTTTGATAATCAACAACAACCTGTTACAATTTAAGAAGAAAAAAAACTTATTAAACAGTCACACCATGAAAGGGAAAATACATTCAACAGTTAGCTATACTAAGCAATATTAAGTGAAACATGTTTAAAGTTCCTGATTCGGGAAATCATTCATTAAATTTTCCAGGTCAAAGTCGATTGAATTTGATAAGATTAAATGTGGCTTTTTCTCCGATATGATAAACCATAATGTCTAACACATAGATTAAAAGAATTTATTATTGTATTCCTATTTTGTCATCTGTGATTTACATGGTTCTAGATATTCCAATGTACAACATAAATTTAAATTCTTTTCAAAATGCTTCAATTGCAGTATGACTATCACTAGTAACACACTTGTTAACAAACTGGAGTGAAAATTGAAATGCTCAACAAACAGCCGTGGCACATAGGGAGAATTGTACAAGGCATGTGTTAGAAGTGTTTTGGGATATGGAACAGAGTGTTGGGCACCAAAAGCAGAGGACCTGAGAAGATTGGCGTCGACGGAAAGGAGAATGCTTAGGATGATGTGTGGTGTAACGTTGATGGATAGGATTCGAAGTGAAGAGATTAGAGAAAGAGTTGGTGTTGAGTGTATCGAGAATTGGGTAAGGCGCCAGCGTTTGAGGTGGTTTGGGCATGTGGAAAGGAGGGAAGAAAGTGCTGAAATTCGTAGAACGTTGCATATGAATGTTGATGGAGTCCGCAAACGAGGTAGACCAAGAAAGAGATGGATGGATGCTGTGAACAGTGATATGAAGGCGATGGGTATAACGAGAGATATGGCGAGAGATAGAGACATTTGGCGTAGAAAAGTTCATGGACCGGTCAACCCCCCCGGTGGGGATTAATACTGGCCGGAATACAAATGTTGTTTGTTTGTTTGTTTTGTATTCCTATTTTGTCATCTGTGATTTGCATGGTTTTAGATATTCCAATGTACAACATAAATTTAAATTCTTTTCAAAATGCTTCGATTGCAGTATGACTATCACTAGTAACACACTTGTTAACAAATTGGAGTGAAAATTGAAATGCTCAACAAACAGCCGTGGCACATACCAATTTAAGCATATTTTACTACCTTGAACAAGTGTTCCTCATTTCTGTTTCTTTTTAAAACAACTCACCCGAGTTGATTCAATGAATATTTTCACAAAATTATGCTATAAAATCACCTTTAATGACTCATGCATGGTTGCCGAAGACATTTCAAGTGACGTCAATGCAGTGGCTTCTCCTGTGAAGCTCTTCCATTTCGGCTCTTGATCACCAACTTGAAAGTCAAAGTAAACTACTTTATGAGTGAAGGTTGAGAATTCATTACTAAAGCAAAACACATATTCTCCTTCATCTTTTGCTGTAAAGGTATATGTATCATATTGCTTCTTTCGTTCATCATACATTGCTTCGCCATTTGGACCCGTAAGGATAACATCAACATCATACTGTCCACCGCTTATAACCTGAATATTATTTAGCGAACAAAAGAAGTGATGAGAAACACATAAATAAGTTAAAATATGTTGCTTGTACGACAATAGATGATGGGGAAACAGATGCAAAGGCTCGGGGCAGGGGGGGGGGTTATGAACCCAATGAAGCATCATACACACAATACAGGGTTTAAGCAACAGTAATCTTTGAAGTTTTAGCATTCAGCATTTGATGCAAGTACATCGGCATTCTTTATATCTTATGCTATGATGCTTACTTGATATTCCAATGTACACTTAGTGTCCTTCTTTATATCTTCGTGAAAACATTGTCTCGCGTTATCTTCCAATTCAAACGTAAGCTCAGTTCCAGCCACATCTTGTTTCAAGAAACCAACAACGAAAAGAAGCATACACACACGTAAAAACATTCTTAGATTTTTCTTTGGAGAACCATAAATAATTTAATGAAAATTATACACAAAACGTATTTATGCTGTGATGAAAAAAAGTCAACAGTTTGCAAACGAAACGTGGCGACAGTAAAACAACACACGGGATTTCCGCATTTAGTTTCGCAGCCGACAGAAATGTCTTAAAATATTCGATATTTCGTAAGTTATAATAATCCCCTCTGTAAGATTTTTTGTTATTATTTTTATCCCCTCCTGAACATTATCTCCTAAACGACGAAACGATATAAACGAGGCAACAAAATGAGCAAAGATTCGTAAGTTTTTTTTGCTGCATTTCAAATAAATGATGGTAAGATGCTGAAATATACAACTTGCATTTTTTTTCTATCGAATATGGAATTGATGTGCAGATGAAATTTTACCACTTGTCGTAATTGGTTTAAACTGGCAACTGCACTCTAAATAACTTAACGAAAGATTTGACCAGATGAGAATGCATTGATCAGTTTTACATTTTGATTTTTTGTACCGACTGAATGTCTTTATCACCGAATGTTTCACCGTTCGTCCCTCAAAAACTTTCAAAACCTTCAACTACCACAACGTACCAATCACTGGCACCAGGAACATTGTCTGTCGATGTTGCTGAATTTGTTCCCAGTTGGTTAAACAAGGTTTCTTCAGATGAAACATTTTACAATAGTTCCGTAGAGATTACCTCCAAATCTGTACAAGAAAAACCAAGAACGGAGGTTTGATTTTATTTCTAAATATCACTTATAAAAATTGTTGTAATAAGTTTCATACTGCATGCGGATGATGGCTGACAAGTTGTGTTTTTCTTTTAAGACATAAATATTATGTCAGTGATATGTTTGCTAGTGTGATGAAGATTGTGATATTTCAAAGAAATTGACATATTTCATTATAGTGTTTACAACCATAACATGCAACATGATTCAATTTTGTATAATTTGCACTTACAAGATGTTAGGATAACCTTGTATTATTTTTTATTTATTATCTTGTATTCGTTTGCTTCATTTGCTAGATTAAAGAAACGGAAAACAGAGAAGAACAAAAAGTGTGAAATCTGACAAAAACAGAGATGGACGCTCAAGGACATCAACAATGCCTGAAACTCCTCCAAGTTTGAGCAAAAAAATCATCAAAGCAGACAATAACTTTTACAGGGATTTCAAATCATCTGCTAGCAATCAAAAGGATTTCCCTATCAAAGACAATTTAGGTGTGTGGGCTGAAGTAAGCACTTTAAGTGATCAATACTATGTTACAGATTCAGATTTTCCAGTCTTGGAGAAAGGATCAAATGAAAACGCTCAGTTGAACACTTCATCCAATCAAAACTTTTTCTCCAAATAAGTCGTTTGTTGCACATAGTGGCCAACAACACAAGCATTTCAATTTAATTGGTACGGAACAAAGCATTTCATCTGGAAATGTTAAATTTAAAAGTCATTGTAGCAAAAGAAATGATTTTGAAAAAAATGGTTCGCAGTTCGTCAGTCATAATGCTAATACAAAAACCGGAGAACAGGACACAGACAACGAGTTTTCATTAAAACACGATACTTCTTCAAGGGGAGGCAAAAAAGAAAGAATTTCAAGAAAAAATATCAATAAAAATGAAGAGATGGCATCTGGCATTCACAATAATAATGCGAATAAAAGAAATTCTTTTCATCGTGATGTTTTTCAACCTGTAAAAGCGTCGCCACCTTCCTATAGTGACATCTTGAAAAACACAAACACAACTCAGGTACTTTTAACTAAGAAAGAGCAGAGTGTTTATGTTTAATGAAGTATTAACAAAATAAAGTTATCAGTAAAGTGAATGATTTGAACCCAGGAATGGAGTGACATATTTCCAGGCGTAGATCGTCAAGAAAGATTATCAGAAGGCTAGGTTTTGATAGCATAGGACTAAGAGAGAACTAGAGACCATTTAAACAACCTTCATATCTTTTGTTGTATATGAACTCAATATGATGTATGAGGTTTGACGTCATAACTGGACTTCAAAACGAGGTTAATGTTATCCTATGTTTTGTCAGGTAAAAGAACCGGAAGCAAGGAAGAAAATCGAAAGAGGATTGCTACGAATACCTAGCAGCGTGAGTGATGAGAACAAGGAAAATAACGATGAAGAAGTTGAAGAGAAGTCCGTTACGACTAAGAAGAAGAAAAACAAAAAAAAATCAACAGTTGAAACACAACCTCAACGTGTTAAAAAATCCAAGGAAGCGCTGACTCTTGACTTTGCTGACGTCGTCGAGAAGATGTTGGTAGGAAAATAATTTATCGTATTGCAAAATAAGAGTTGTAAAATATTATTGATTGCGTATGTTTAATGTTGTTTTAACACCCAAGAATACTTCCCAAAATTTTATCATGCTTAGTTGTCGTTTGTTGTGTGAAAATGTACTTTGAGGAAATTTATTACTAAACATTACATCTTCACATTGTATAGGAATCCTCAAAGACCGATAAGAAAACAGTTATTCGTACGGGAGGAATTCTTCCTGCTCAAGCACCGATTCCGCCAAAAGAAATACGAAATTCAAAGAAAAATGTAATTTATTTCATGCATAAATTACTGTATGTTGGATGGTGAACACGACTAAGAAAGATTCCTAACATATAATGATAGATTTTGTTAACTGCGTTAATACTGTAAGTGGCTATATTATTGTTTAAGTCATTGGTGTAGCCAGCATGATTTTTTACTCCCACTATGCAAATATTTTTGTGTTCACTGGCAATGAAAACAATAGATCTCTAAAGAAATAAGTGACGATAATCTTTCAGAATTAAAATAGGGAGTAAATATTCACGCTGGCCATGCCACTGGCTGAAATGGTTTGTACCTTGCATTAAGGAACTCTTGAAGCTGTTCTCTGAGTGATGAATAGCTATGGACATGTGCTTTGGGAACAATGAATTGTACATTTAATGTAAATCACTCTAAACTATATATTACTATCTTAGGCCTGAGGTGTTTAATATAATATTCTGAGCTTGAGTTCTTTTCAATTAAAAAGTATTATGGGTTCATAGCAAATATTTTTATTGTCAGGGGAATAAAATGACACATAGGTGCCCCCATCCTTTCGATTAAACGCCGCACTAAATTGCCCAGGTGCAATTGAGTGCGGCGCTAAATAGTATATTCTAGGTTACGAATGACGTCATTATTACATTTGCGTTGAACTTTACAGCTTACGCATTTGTTTTCATATTGATACTTAGACGTTTTTTCCTCTTTGGTTTGTTTCGTATTTCTAAAGATCACAAAATTTGTTTAACGCTTGTTAAGAGGTGAGTCATCCTTGAATTCTGCTTAATGATCCATAAGCTTTTATTTCCGATTATTTCGTCGCGTTTGCTGGCTATTGAAAAAAATGTTCCTCGAAGCTCAAAGCTGTTAGCTGTCATAAAGATTAATTTTATGAAGATCGTTACTCAATTACATTGTGAATGAGTTTTCTTCTCGCCAAGTGAATTACATTTTCTTGTTAAACGTGTCGCACTGAATTGTGACGAGCTTCATTTATAATTCGTATAGAAAGAACTCATTGTTTTCTATAGAATTTTTTCTCTTCAATTTGTTTGTATTAATCCAACTAACGTGTTTAAGGGTTGTATTGTTTTTTATATTTTCGAGTACAAATACATGTATGTATTAATTTGGATTATTTTCTTTTCTAGGATAGATTAGCAGTTTCAAAATGGCCAACGAGGGTATTTATTATTTTGTGTCGTATTTTATGTTATGAATTTTGCTTGACTAAGATTTCGAAATGCGAAGGTTTCTTTACAAAAATTAAAAACACAGGCAATAGTTACTTCAACAATAAAGAATGGCGAAAGGTAAAATCTACTGAAATCAAATTTTTAATCGCTTTATGTTTGTTTTTTTTTTGATTCAGTGTCTGCCCCACCACCATACGTATCATATGAGCAAAACCCACCCCTGGAGGCTCAGTATCTTATCCCACTCAATCCCTACCTTATCCAACAGCTGGACCTCCACAAGGAGCTCCTCCATCTGTTGCACCTCCTAGTTATTCATCAAGTGTCCAAGATCCATCAAAAGGATACCCACAACAGGCAGGACCTGCACCTTACCCTCAGCAAGGCATTGTCTATCCCTATGGTCAACCCGGTTATCCAGTTCAAGGTTCTGCAACTGGTTATACCAGTCAAGGAGTTGGTGCTGCATTTAACCAACATACTCAGACCACAATAATTACTCAGGTAAAGAATATTTATATCATTTGTGAGGTCTCATTGTCATCATTATAGAGAAGATGTTGTGTGATTTTTACATTCTTATTTATGTTTCTCTATGATATTCAGCAACCTGGCGGTGTTATTGTACAAAATGTCCTTCCACCACCGGATTATTTGGCTGTGTCGATTGTCAGCGCATTTTGTTGCTTCTGTATTGGTGTGTTTGCAATACTCAAATCATTGAAGGTAAGTTTTGTTTTGATGTGTGTAACTTTTATCTTGTACATATTTACTTACTTGTTTTATTTTGTTACATTTAGTCTCGTGATATGTATAGTATGGGCGACAGTGCACAAGCCTTGCAATTTGGATTGGAAGCCAAGAAGCTTGCTCACATTTCGATATTTGTTGCAATATGTACCTATGTGTTCATTGTGGTACTTCGCATTGTATTGTCTGTGACATTGAACGATTGATTGACATTATACTTCTTACATTTTTACCACCAATTTAGCCAATGTTATGTATACTATTAATCAGATATGATTTAATCCCAAAATGCACTATTCTATGAGAAACATTTCCATGTCAGCAACAGCAAGTGATATTATTTGTTATTTACTTCAATTGTAGTATGTTTTACCACAATTTTTCTATATATTAGTTTATTGAGCATATAAACAACAAGTGTATTGGTGTAAAGTAACTTGTAATACGAGGATGTACACGTACTACCAAATGAAATTGAAAACATTTAAAAAATTTAAATTTGCAGTTTTGTTATTTTGATGGATGAGAAATAGCCATCGAGTTTCAACTTCGTGCTGAATTCAAAATGGAGTTTCTTCTAGGTGTAGTAGGGAAGGATTTTGTGATGGTTGCAAGCGACTGCAATCAAGGACGGAGTATTGTGAGAATGAAAGAAGGTAGAAAATTTTTTTGATAATTTAAAGGCTGTTTTTCGTTGTATCATCAAGAATTTGTATCGCTCTGTTCACACATGTTAATGATGTAATCAAATATTCAATTCATCAATTCTTTCACAGACTACGACAAGATGTTCACACTCAGCGATAAGCTGTTGATGTTAGTTGTCGGAGAGTCAGGAGACACTGTCCAATTTGCTGAATATATTGAGAAAAATATCCAACTTTATAAAATGAAAAATGGTGAGAGTTGAAGATGGACAAAAGGGGGGTTAATGTACTTAGCACACTGAATGATGAATGTAGTGCAGTTAGTTGCATATTATGGTAAATGATATACTTAAGAAGCTGCCTCCCAAACTTATACTTATTGTTGATGTTGAATTGTAAAAGTAGACTGGATCTCTTTGGTCTCAGTGGTCAATTTAACTACCATTTTAACCATCCAGTCTTCTTGAAGTCAATCCATCAATAAAGAAGTTTTGTAATTATTTTCTTCCTACTTTTCTCTTTTTTATGTCTGTAATTACATGTTTTTGTCTATTTAGGTTATGAACTCTCCCCGCATGCTGCTGCAAACTTCACTCGTAAAGAACTTGCCGACTATCTTCGTAGTAGGGTACGTAATTTTATCTCGTAAAGTAACCATGTGAAATATTACTTTAAGAAATTTATATTTTGGTACAGACACCATACCAAGTGAACATATTGTTTGCTGGTTACGATAAACAAAAAGGACCTGAGCTATACTTCATGGACTATTTAGCATCACAGCAAAAGGTATGTTGTAACCGTCTAGTATCAGGTGTATTTTGAGATTCTGATTGATTGTAAAACAGATGTTTGTTTTTGTGTGTGATTCTTAAATGCTTTATCATTCAAGCTGTTAAAACCTCTCCAGACAAAGCTTTATAAACATTAATGATATCATAACAAATATGATTATTTGTGTACTATTTTCTCAAGGTACCTTTTGCAGCTCATGGTTATGGAGCATTCTTCACATTGGGTATATTAGACAGATATTATGAATCAGGTTGGGATTTTTTTGTGCTGTTTTTGTGTGTTGTTTTTGTGTGCTGTTTTTGTGTGTTGTTTTTGTGTGCTGTTTTTGTGTGTTGTTTTGTGTGTTTTTTTGTGTTGTTTTTGTTTGTTGTTTTTTTGTGTTGTTTTTGTGTCAAATAAATGAGTCCAGTGCAATTGTAACTGCTGCTAAACAATTTTTTTAAAGATATGTCAGTGAATGAAGCGAAAAGTGTCATAGATCGATGCATTGCTGAGGTAAAATATATGCCATCAAAATATTTTTTATCATCTAAATTTTTTGAATACAGTTTTACTTGACACTTTTGACTTTCAACACACTTCACTGTGAAGATGACTACCACTAAGGATGTGGAAATATCAATGAACACCAACAGTCCTCCTCGGGACTCTACTAACCTTTTAATTTTACTGTCATTAAGTACTATTGTTATTATTTTTATAGGTGCAAAAACGTTTTTTGATCAACATGCCCAAATTCATCATTCGTTACGTTGACAAGGACGGTATACACACCTGTGAAAAACCAGATTCAAATGAAACATGAGTAGGAGAACTCTGTTCTGCTAAATGTTTAATACGTTTGCAAGTGTTCGGGAGAAACTAGAAGTTTGTCGAAGATGATACGCTTAATTTTTCTGTCACGTATACTAAATTTGTATTAAACTAGTTTGATGCTTGATCTTGTAAACGTTATTTTTTAACTCAGACCACCACTTAAGAGAATTAGCTCGTCACTAGTCTTTTCTATTTCTTGCGCGATATTTGGCGTGACTGTTGACTGCAGAGCTGGATATTAAAAATATATAAATGCTGTTTAATATATTTATGTGAAGTCCGTACGGAGAAAATATTTTCACGAGGTCTAACAACATGTGCGCATTTGCGTGCTAATTTCTTAAAATGAATGGCGTTGTGTTTAATAAACACAGTGTTTTGGACGTGATCTCGGGGTCTGATGGGCGGAAGCTCGCTATTGCATCTCGCAAGTAGGATAGCGTGGAGGGGCCGAAATCTCTCTTTCTCATCTCTCTCGTGATGAACGAGAGACACCTTATACAATATAACTCTCTCATTATGAACGAAAGCGTTCATGGGCTACACGGAAAAAGGAATTGTCTACATTTTTATAATAGTTTCTACAGACATTTTTAACAAGCCAAAATACTTGCATGTATACTGTACCAGTAGCTATATACTTGCAGGCCACCAACATGTGCGCATTGCGTACCTACTTTTTTAAGTATGCCGTTGTATTTAATAAAGGCAGTGTTTTGGGAGATGTACCCAAAGGCCAAGAAATGAAAAAGGATGTGAATATTAATGATAGCTACAATAAATAATGTTATGACAAATGACATCGCTTGGCCCCAAATGTGGACACTGTTTTTTTTTCCAAAACAAAACGAAATGGGAGGGAAAACCGGTGGATCCGGTAAAAAACCCTCCAATGCAAGAAAAGATCAAAATTTTAGAAAAATTTCCTTCATTTTTTTAGTTTTAAGATCTTTCATATTTTTGTTGTTTTCAAAGTTCCCGATTATCTACTTTAGCATGCGAGGTAGTCAGATCGTGCGTTACTGTCGTATACAAATTTAAAGTTACAGAACGACAAAAAATCGGGCTGACAACCCTATTGACACAGCAAATATTTTGTGTGCCGATAACAATGAAAAATGAAATGACGAAAGTGACTTCTTGACTTGCATGAAAATCATTTTTGATGTCTACTAGATTTCATTCAATTAAAAATGTCCATGTTGCTTCATTAAGACTTTCGTTAATAGCTGGCTTTCGCTCGTGTGTCTTGTCAGAAAATTTAACAATTGTGAGAATTTAGTTTTACGGAAATTTTTCACGGTTGAATTTGAAAATACTTTATACTGATAAACATTATGCATAATAAAAGTCGCAAGTGTGAATCTTTCACTAAGGGCGCATATTTCGTGGTGCTTCTGTTGGTCGTTCATTCATTGTCCAGTTAGTAGGCCCACAGACATAGCTACTCTATAAAAAACACGTTATAAACGTCAGCATAATTAATGAACGAAAACAGAAATTAAATATATTGAAAAGAACAAAACTTTAATACCTGGTTTCAAAGCGTTGTCATGGTCAGTCTGATCCAGGGGATATAATAGATCTCTTCTCTTTTTTTTCATCGCGCAGTTTTTACGTATGTATCATATAAATTTAGTGTAACATTTTTATCTTAGGAATTCAATAAAACCTACTTGCAGCATTGTAATTTTCTTTATAAACGTTAAATGAAATAAGTAAAAAGTAGCGAGTGAAAGCCAGCTATTTTCTCAAAGCAAGTGACATCTTTTATTGACATTTTTTTATAAATGTCAATAAAATATAAAAAAATTATAAAAACAGACCATCAGGATACTTTTTAACTATCTCATGCAGTTACTCATACAACACTTATCTACTCAACTTACAAACCACCAGACATGGATCGTGTTTTCCACTCGCTTGTTTTCCATCTTCGTAAAATATGTTCTGTTTTTATAGTCCAATCATTTCAATGTGAATTTTCTTACGTAGATATGCCCTTATGCGATGTCCATTCAATATGTTTATAGCATTCCATACACGAAGTTACCGTCATCATTAACCAATAAAGCAACTACTGATATTCATGAATCGCAATTTCAATAGGTTACAATTTATATGCACTCTTGTGGTAACTTTAAGCGAAGGAAAAGGTATCACTTTAACACCCCCAGTTATCATCACTCAAAAATGCTTAGTGCAGAGTTGATCTTCTGTGAGTATCAGTTGACCACCTTTAGGTGGGCTCATATAACAATGGGGCCCATCATCATTATATGAACAAACAACTGACATCCACAAAGAATCCAAACTACAAATGAACATTCTTGGCCATGAATCACCATGACACATGAGTAATAACAAACTAGTAAGAGTAATTGAAGTGAATGACACAGGTGGTAAAGGGACTTTCACAACTCCTTCCATGTGGGATCTACAATATAAGAAAATATGAAACACGTTTTTCGAGATTTCATGATGAATAACTCTGCATATGAGGTTAATTTGCGTTTTTAAATTCTTAATCAGATATATTGAGAATGAACAAATTACAATTTGTTTTCTGTTTGACTATCCAAATGGTAGAACATTCGCCTACATTGCACGAATTGCATTAGGAAGTTCAGTTTGAACGATGCAACGAGAACTTTCAAATGATCAAAGGCTTAACATCGTGATCAAAGCATTTTACAGTGAAAGCTTTCATATTACGAGGCCTACCCTAAGACTAGTTGATTATTCCATGTAACTCATACTTCTGTACTTCGATATTAAAAAGACAGAATTTGCCTTTCTTTCTACAACGTTAAAGTGACTAATTTTCTCTTAAAGTGAAAACACACGAATTTAAATACGTCAACATTTCTTTAATTGACGTCATGAGTATAATTTTTTATTTTGGTTGGTTCCTTAGGAGCATGTCACATTTCGCAAAGACAATAAGTAATCCTTCAATGCGATTAATTAAAGAAAAATTCATAACAATCTTCAGATTTTTTGCGTTTTAATGTCGTTATGCAAAGTAACGATGCATGATGTTGCCATGAGACGATGATGAATTTAGAAGCTAGATTTTAGATCTTTTCAAATATTCATCGATCTTGCAGTCATATATTGCTAGGTTAAGGTTAGGAGAGGGTTTAAGGGCGTTCTGGTTGACGCCACCAACATCTTTATCCCAAAATACTAATATTTTTCGTTATTTTGTCGTATTTTTAGAAATTAGATTTGATAGATATCCGGAAATTTGTTCAAGTACGAACAATGAATGTTAAACAATCATGTGGAACAAATACATATAATGATATGCTTAAGACAAAGTATATAAACACTATTCACTTCAAGTTTTGCCACATTTAAACCACGAGGCGTTATGGAGAGCAGACGTTCATATGAGATGAAACAAGACTATACACATGCTCGACAAGTATAAAGATTTGTGATTGTGCAAAGCAGAGAGGAGAAACCAAGTCAAGTGAGTTTGGAAACAGCTGTCAACGAAACCTGCTTGCGAACTTTGATACTTATCAACGCAGAGCTGCAACGACATCAATCATAAAAAGCTTTTTCAATGGACACACCCGGCGCACGTATTCGAACAATAGTAAGCCACGATGTACAGATATATACTATCAGTATCACATCCAAAATGTTGATGGCAGCTGCGAAAAGAAAACCCTTTTCAAATGTGTGACACACGTACTTGCTTCGATATCATGTATGGAAACATATCCCACAGCTGTAAACTAGAAATGTAAGTGACTACACTGACGATAAATGATTAATTGCTTTGTGACTTGTCTCTATTGAGATTCCTCATAAAAATCTCGTGGGTTTTTATTGATGCTACTGAATTTTGGTTTGCTTCTTCAATGTCACATTAGTCATTACTGAATATATGTAATGAATTTAAATACACTAAATTTGCCATCTGAGTGCATAGAGGTACAGTTTGCACAGATTGTGGTGTGGATCTGCAACGAACGAGAACCGTAATTGTCTTTTGCTCAAATTTCTACGACTCCCTGCAATCTTTATAGTAGTCGAAAACATCAGAGAACGCCTTAAACCCTCTTCTAACCATAACCTAGCAAGATATGACTGCAAGATGCAATAAATATTTGCACACAATTAGAGTCTATTTTCTGAATTTATTATCGTCGCATGGATCTTGACCTGAAAGATTCTAATGAGGTTTTTTCTTTAAACGCATTGAAGGATTACTTATTGTCTTTGTGAAAGGTGACATGCTCCTAAGGAGCCAATCACAATAAAAAATTTTAGTCATGACGTCATGTTGACAACGGAAAAGTAGTCAATTTATCGTTGTAGAAAGAAAGGTAAATTCTGTCGTTTTACTGACGAAGTAGTGAAGTATGAGCTACATGGAATAATCAAGTGGTCTTAGGGTAGGCCTCGTAATATGAAAGCTTCCACTGTAAAAGGCTTTGACCACGATGTTAAGCCTTTCATCGTTTGAAACTTGTTGCATCCTTCAAACTCAACTGACTAAAGCTATTCGTGCAATTTGGTGAATGATTCACCAATTAGATAGTCAAACAGACAACATGTTTTAAGTTGCTCATTCTCAATATATCTGATTAAGAATTTAAAAACGCAAATCAACCTCATATGCAGAGTTATTCATCATGAAATCTCGAAACATGTGTTTCATATTTTCTTATATTGTAGATCCCACATGGAAGGAGTTGTGAAAGTCCCTTTACCACCTGTGTCATTCACTTCAATTACTCTTACTAGTTTGTCATTACTCATGTGTCATGGTGATTCATGGCCAAGAATGCTCATTTGTAGTTTGGATTCTTTGTGGATGTCAGTTGTTAGTTCATATAATGATGATGGGCCCCATTGTTATATAAACCCACCTAAAGGTGGTCAACTGATACTCACTAAAGATCAACTCTGCACTAAGCATTCTTTGAGTGATGATAACTGGGGTGTTGAAGTGATCCTTTTCCTTCGCTTGAAGTTACTGTAAGAGTCAATGATATCAGTAGTTACTTTATTGGTTGATGATGCCCGTAACTTTGTGTATGGAATGGTATAAACCTGTTGAATGGACATCCCATAACGGTATATGAACGTAAGAAAATTCACATTGGAATGATTGGACTATAAAAACGGAACATATTTTACGAAGATGGAAAACAAGGAGTGGAAAACACGATCCATGTCTTGTGGTTTGTAAGTTGAGTAGATAAGCGTTGCATGAGTAACTGCATGAGATAGTTAAAAAGTATCCTGATGGTCTATTTTTATAATTTTTTATATTTTATTGACATTTATAAAAAATGTCAATGAAAGATGTCACTTGCTGTGATAAAAATAGCTGGCTTTCACTCGCTACTTTTTACTTATTTTATTTAACGTTTATAAAGAAAATTACAATGCTGCAAGTAGGGTTTATTGAATTCCTAAGATAAAAATGTTACAAAAATTCTATAATAAATATGTAAAAACTGCGCGATGAAAAAAAAAAGGGAAGAGACGTACCAAGTCGCCTGAATCTGACCAGGACAATGCTTTGAAATCAGGTATTAAAGTTTTGTTCTTTTCAATATATTTAATTTCTGTTTTTATTTGTTGATTATGCTGACGTTAATCACGTGTTTTTTACAGAGTAACTACGTCTATGGGCCTACTAACTGGACGAAGAATGAACGACCAAATCGAACAGAAGCACCATGAAACAAGCGTCCTTAATGAAAGATTCACACTTTGTAATGTTTATTAGTAAATGTCTATGGGCCTACTGCGTAATGTTTATTAGTAAAGCGCATTTTGAAATTCAACCGTTAAAAATTACTGTGAAACTAAGTTTTCACAATTGTTAAATTTTTGACAAAACACACGAGTGAAAGCCAGCTATTAATGAAGGTCTTAATGAAGCAACATATAAATTTGAATGGAATAAAGACTCTGCGCTCTTTCATTTTTTGTTGTCTACCAAACATTGCGTTTCTTTTGCTTGAGCACAAAATATTTGCTGCGTAAATTGGGTAGTCAGCACGCTTTGTTATCGCTCTGTAAATTTAACAGACTACGCTGCATGTTAAAGTAGATCATCGGGAACTTTAAAAACAACAAAAATATCAAAGATCTTAAAACTAAAAAAATGAAGGAAATTTTTCTAAAATTTTGATCATTTCTTGCATTGGAGGGTTTTTTACCGGATCCACCGGTTTTCCCTCCCATTTCGTTTTGTTTTGGAAAAAAACAGTGTCCACATTTGGGGCCAAGCGATGTCATTTTTCATAACATTATTTATTGTAGCTATCATGAATATTCACTTCCTTTTCCATTTCTTGGCCTTTGGGAATATCTCTCAAAACACTGCCTTTATTAAATACAGCGGCATACTTAAAAATTAGGTACGCAATGCGTACATGTTGGTAGCCTGCAAGTGTATAGCTACTGATACAGTATACATGTAAGTATTTTGGCTTGTTACATTTTATGTGTGTAGAAACTATTATAAAAATGTAGATAATCCCTTTGTAGATGACCTCTTATATTGTATAAGTTGTCTCTCGTTCATCAAGAGAGATATGAGAAAGTTACATTGTAAAAGGTAACAAGTAAAATAAGCATAAACATGCTTAGAGTTGGTTAGAGAAGTTATAAGTTAAAAAGGCAGAAGCTGTTCGAACCTTTGCAGTATCCTTGGATGTTCTAGTTTATTTTATGAGAAGAACTTTCGTGAAAAGAAAAAAAAGATAACATTCAAAAGCAAAAAACCCTGTTTTCGGTCCATGCTTCCCGATACCTTCTTATATGTAAGGCACAAGAACGCCGCATGTTAACGTTCCGGTAGGAGATTTCGGCCCCTCCACGTTATCCTACTTGGGAGACCATCAGTGTTTGGCTCCGAGCATGCGCTGAAACCTGGCAATCTTGTGCGTGCATTCGTGCGTGCATTTGTGCGTGCATTGCGTGCATGTTGCGTGTCGGCTCCAGTGGTCGGCCGGCTGCCGGTTTTATAAACATGGAGGAAGTGAGAAAGAAATTTACTCCTTGTATCATTGTTCATGGCGGTGCCTGGGCTATTCCAGATCATTACCGTGAGGTTTGTTGCTCTGGAATACAAGAAGCAGTAAAAGCAGGCTATACTTGTCTTAAAAATGTTAGTAGCAAATGTGTTGAATCATCTATGAATTGATGTCCCGATGAGCTCTATTGATAATACTTACTCTTCGAGTCTCCGTACATCTCACAGTTTCAATAAAGTCTTTCTTTGTTTAAACGAATATCCAGGGGGAAAGTGCATTAAATGCTGTTGAGAAAGCTGTCAATTGTATGGAAGATAATCCAAACTTCAACGCTGGACACGGCTCTGTACTCAATGAACTAAACCAAGTAGAATGTGATGCAATGATAATGGAGGGGAGAACATTAAATTCAGGTTTGCGCATTAAACTGAAAAATAACTGAGGCAAAATCATTGAATATTAACCTGGAGGCTGTGCTAGGATGGACCTTATTTTTGTGATTCTAAAATCATCATCTTCATTTAAACTATTTCCATTTTCAGAGTGCTTTTACTCACTCAAATATCCATATTCTTTGCATCCTAGTCTCATCATAGCTTATCCTAAGGTTTCACTCATGTAGCTAAGTACATCCTCTAGTTTTTTCCTCGCCTGCAGCAAGCCTATGTTTCAATATGTATTTGGTTTCAAACTTACAGGAGCTGTTATGGCTGTGAATCATTTTTCCAATCCAGTATCATTTGCAAGGAAAATCATGGAAAGGACTCCACATTGTGCATTAGACAGCAAAGGGGCATTGTCATTTGCCAAGAAGATTAACTTTCCTATTCTGGAAGATCCATTGGAACTGGTGACATCACAAGCAAAGTCAAGGGAGAATTTCTATGGAAATTATGAGAATGCCATCGAAGGCCATATTGGAAAGTCTACTCAAGATTATCATGATACTGTGGGTGCTGTTGCTATGGATGAAACTGGATGTATAGCTTGTGCAACATCAACAGGTGTCACTTTTCTCCCTTCCCTCCCCCCCCCCTTTCAGTATTTGTTATGCATGCCCACCGTCCTTATGGTCACCAAGATAGCCAAACTCTGCAAAAACAATTTATTGACAGGCATTTTAAAGTTATTATTTTTGTGTTATTAGCAAGAGTTGAAATGCATATACAAAAAACATAGTGTCATCTTATCAACCTCTAACTAATAGATTTTGATGCATTTTATGAAAAAGTTTTGTTGAAATTCAACTCTTCCACACCTGCAGGTGGCTTGCCAGCTAAGATGCAAGGCCGTATTGGTGACAGTCCTCTCATTGGTTGCGGAGGATATGCTAATGAATACGGTGGATGCTCAACTACCGGTCATGGTGAATCAATGATGAAGATAACGTTAGCAAGAGAAGTGATTTTCAACATTGAAAAAGGAAAAAATGCACAGGTAAATAAACTAAAATGTTGGCTTTACAATGTTAGAAAAGTGTTTTTTTTGTTTTCAGACCTTGTTGAGCATCATAGCGTTCCTTGAGAATTATTTTGTGTATTTTAAACATATAAAGGTTTCAGCGGAAGAAGCCATCGAAAAAATGAAAAATCGTCTTGATGGCCATGGTGGCGTGATCGTCATAGACTGTCATGGCAACTTTGGGAAAGCGTTCAACACGGAGAAAATGGCCTGGGCACGAATAAAAGATAATGTTCTCGAATACGGTGTGGAACACAACGAATGCGTGCAAGTAACGTTGATTTAGCGAATTTGTTTTTAAATTTTCTTATCAATGTTTTACATTTTGGTTAAAGTCTTTGACATGTCGGCAGATAGGACGATCGTGTGTGGTAAAAACTGCTGGATATTGTTTTATTTACTGCATGCCCGCTTATGATAACAATACTTAGAGAATTGAACTAAACTCTTTAATAAATTTCGCCCTATGCTCAGGATTCTGCTCAGTTGTTTTATTGATTTAACAAATACTTGCGTGTACATGTCAGTTTCGCTATTTTTTAATGAAGTTCCCAGTACTAAACCTGATCCATCTCAATATACTTAAGATATTTGTTTTTACCGCTCTCAACTCAAGTAAATGATGGCAATTGGCCTTTAATCCCCCAGTCATCAGTAAAATGCAACGTTGAATATATAATTAGTCTTTCTTCCGTCACACTGCTGCTTATGGCACGAAACTCTAATTTACATGCGAAGTGCTTGTGCTGTGTGTTTATCTCTGGACTTTGATTGAAATATTATACAGCTAAATAGTTTCTTTTGTTGATTTTTGATCTATTGTTTTGTGGGGAGAAAAACAACTCATCGGAATCAAGTTCGCTAAGGGTGGAAGATAATCTTGTATGAAACATAGAAGTTTTAAACAACTGTAAGTTCTTTCTTGTTGTGATGCGCTCTTATTAGGAAATGGATATAGTTTCGATTTGTGTATTGATATTTGAATGTCTTAAGTACGTTTGAAATAGTCGGGCAATCCATTTAAGAAGAAGTTTTTTATGACCAACATCCTTTATCTATTGTAGGCAAAACGTTCTGTATTTTCGCAAACTTTTTGCTTTTTTTTGAAATGTTTTTAATCGTGAACGCCTTGTATACAATTATGATGACGATAGCGTGTTATAGATCATCAATTGTGAACAGGTTAAGTTCCTTGTGGCGTTCACTCGGTTTTTTTGTCAAGAACAACGGTATTTTCTCAGTTCTTAAGCTCTAAGCATTTCTTCTTAAATAGAAACATCATTTTTACGACGAAGCAAGTTTTCGGTAGCTTTCATTGTCTGCTCAATATTAACTATCTTTATATGGCGTATATTTTGAAATATTCGAATGCTCGCTCTTAAACATTTAACTTATTTGTTTAAATCACATCGTCTCTTTAAGAAAAATCATTCCACATGCCATACTATCCTTACAGGAGGTCTTCTTGGTATGTAATTTCTATAGTATCATGTCGTTTCTTGGTTTTAAATCATTGGGCAAGAACAGTGTATTGTTCGTTCGCTCAATACTACTTCAACGTTGGAATTTAGTATTCGTCCTACAGCTTAAAGTAACAAATAATTTTTGTCCATCTTTCAATTTGCCGATGATGGTTTAAATATTCAGCGTTTGTTAAAAGGTTGTCAGCTATTGCCTTTTAAACTTTATTGCAAACATATTGTCCCCCAATAGTTATCGTATCTATACTTAATCAACGCACTATACTTATGTGTACTGTAGGGAACCAGTTTTGGTTGTCTTTACACCACCTCGTACGCTAAGTTTAACATATATGGGTTTACACCATTTTACACTATACCGGATTCGCTCATCAAGACATCTTCATTTGCTTTAAAGATGTAACTGCTCGGAGTAAAAGCTTACTAAGTTGATAGATTTAGTCTATTTGATTGTGTTTCTGACGTTGAACAGTTTCACTGCCTTTTAATACAAAGAAAATTTAACGCGCTACGTATGAAATTTGGTGTAATATAAAACATGGCCTAAGATTGTGCATGAGAGTCGCACTTGATGGCTTAGTTAAACTTTTTATTTGATAATGGCATGAAAGCTATGTTCTTAATGACGTCATTTCTTATGGAATAAAACCTCTTTATTATTAAAAATTATGTAAGTCAATTAAACATTAATTGTATTTTTTGTGTGGCAGGTTGGCGTGGTTATAAGGACATTGCATTTAATACAAAATGAATGTTTGACGTAACTAAAGTCTGCTTCGTATTTCTTTTGTTTATTCAATATAAAAACTGCTTGATTGTTTTGAAGTAGTTCAGCTTTGGTTTTTAGAGTGTATTTAGCTAATTTTAGATGTATCCATTGTGTATCGTGTACGAGACATGTGGGAGTCACAATACCATATAATAGGTTTTGGTTAAATTGAACTTTAGCCGACTTCATTCGCTGTAGATCATATGTGTTAGAATTCAGTTTGAATTATATTTATTGGCTTTGTGTTGTACTGTTCACGCGCTTTATACTTTGAAAACGTCGAACATAAATATTGAGTAAAAGAAAACTGGGTATCAACCTTTTCTTTTAAGTAAAAAATATGGTGAAAGTTATGTTAGTAAGTTAGTAACAGAAAGAACAGGAAACCAAATTCTAAGAATTCAATAGAAAACGTTTGTATTATGATCGTAAGTGTGTTAAAAATATCACTTTGTAGGAGACACGTCCGTCGTTCTTGTAGAAACAATAATGGATATGGATGGTGTGAATGGGTTTAGTTTACGGGGAAATTTACCTTTAAATTGTTCTAATGAGGTCTGGAATTGAGTTCGGAAAATTTCCCAAACTGTTAATTCAATTGCGGAATCACTTAAAATTGCCAAACTTAATTTGGTTCAGACTTCAGACGCCAAACTTTTGCCGCTTGTAATTTGGGAAGTGAATTCGGCTCATGTGAAATTTTTCTTCTCTCATATGTAAGAAAATAAAAGCCTTTTCTTTAAAAGCATTAACCAATGGTGGAGGATTTCATTTTCTTTTTCTCGTTTAGAGTTAAGCTGACAACATCAATGGCCAAACAATATCAACTTGTCTTTTTGCTTTTTATACTTTCAAATCAAGGTAAAATCCAACCCTTGTACTGTTGTACAGTACATTTATATACAGATCATTAATGAACATTTGGGTGTTTTTCGTCTTCACAACGACGCCTGATGTTAATAGTTTTACAACGATTACACTATTTGCAAACACCGTACCTTTAATTAAACATTTTAAGATGTTATTATAAATTTGTTTCACGTATTTGCTACAACTGTATAAATTATCAAAATTAGGGGAGTTGAAATGCACCCTGCGTCACAAAAATGAAGACGCATTTCTCATATTTATTTTCATTTTATTTTATTTCTGAGCGTGGTTGTTGACATTTGGTATTTTCTTCTGTACAATAAGTACATCCAAACTCTCTCTTTCAATTTGTAGCAAACAGTCAGTTGGTGTGTAATCAATGTTTGAACAGTAATAATGGCATGGGAGATTGTGGAAGAGAGCAACGATGCACAAGTGAAGAGCCGCGCTGTTTAGCTATAAGAAGAGACGTTGATGATCTACTTGGGAACGTAGGAACCATTTACGAGACGCGATGTGCAAGTTCTACAGAATGCTCATCAAGCAACTTGAGAAATATCTGTCCTGGTGATGATTGTCAAGCCCAATGTTGCTCAACCAATAAATGTGATCCTTTCGTTTTGATGAGGTAAATATCAAGTGAAGAACGTGTTTTCTTTCAAATCACGAAAATTCCCTCGTTTACTGTTTTCTGTTTCTTTATCTTTAGTCAAACATCATCCGTGCTCAACCACGAACGTTCCATTGTTACCAATGTAGTCGAGAATCCCTCGATACCTGTACACATTCACGTCAACGCTGTGACGAAGATCAAGATGTATGTCTTTCGCTTCTCATGGAGGGTGGTAACGATCCAAAGAGTTACTATAAACGTTGTGCACGCAGGGACGAATGCACCGAAAGTGAATTGAATAGATTGTGTAATGAACACATGGACGAATTCACTCAAAAACAATGCAGGGCTACTTGTTGTCATGAAGAAATGTGCAACACTAGTTCCTTTCATATGATTTCTTTAATACTTCTCGCTTGTGTGTTTCTACTTGTTCTTGCTGCAAATTAACAAAAACACGTCATGAATAATACTTTGTAGAATGGAGTATTGTGGACTAATGTTCATTTTTAATGTTTCTATATATTGCTCAAAGATACATAGTTCTGCTTACAATTATCTAACAATGTATATATTTTTCTTGTTCCTCTCTTATATTTAATGTGCAAATAGTTCGCTCCAACTATTTAGATTGAATATTCACGTTAAATACTTCAACAAATTTTAAAATAAACATTGACAATTTTTCGTCGTTCTATTAATCCGGGTTGTGTGGATTTCATAATCTTGTTATGGATTAAGGATGTCACCTAGGCTACCCAACAAGCTTTTCGCTTTCCTTTCCAATGTTTGTTTTATTTTAAGATGGAGGAAAACTGAAATTATTTTTTCTTTATCCTTTTGATAATTTTCTGGCGGCTTGTTTCTATAATTGTTTGAGAATGCAATTACGCTATATGAAGACGCTTCTTCCGTCACAGGTAATCTTGTTTAAGAACTTTCTGCTGTTCGACAAGAGCTCAATGGTCTGTCAATGTTTGAAAATTTTCAATTCCAGGATGGTGCATGTAAAGTCACTGCCATGGCTTGGTCAGCCAACAATCAAAAATTGGCTGTTGTTACAATGGACAGAGTTGTTATACTTTTTGATGAAATTGGCGAAAAGCGCGATAAATTTGCGACGAAACCAGCCAATTCCCAGGTATAAACTATGAAATAAGTCGATTTGAATCTGTCGATAAGACTCATCTTGTATTGCTTGTTAAAAAATAGGCTGGAAAAAAGAGCTATGTCGTTAAAGGATTGGCATTTTCGCCTGATTCCACAAAGATTGCTGTGGGACAATCTGACAGCATCGTGTTTGTTTACAAAATTGGTGAAGATTGGTAAGGCTGCCCTTGTAATTATGAGGAATCGTATCTTCACAAAACTTTGAATTTTGTTTTTCCTTTAATATTTTATAGGGGTGACAAAAAGGTGATATGCAATAAGTTTGTGCAGCAGGTATTTTATTCTTTCTTTTATACTGTCATATTTTTTATTCATCAATTTTTTCTTAATAAAAATCTTTTTTATAACAGAGTGCTGTGACATGTCTTGTGTGGCCAGCAGATCAACCATTTCTTGTATTCGGACTTTCTGATGGCAAAGTGCGCATTGCAAACCTTAAGACAAACAAATCTCAAACTCTTTATGGCACAAATAATTATGTGGTATCTCTAGCATGCAAGTACGTTTTCTTGCTCAAATTGAGCTACATTTTATGCATTATAGATAATATTTTATATGTATTTGCTTTGCTCAGCTCATCAGGTCTTGGTTTATTATCTGGACACATAGATGGTGCCATAGTAAGGTACTTCTTTGATGATGAAGGAACTGGACTCTCACAGGTTATAACTCATATTATAAATAGGTTTTATTAACATACCAAAAGAATGTAAACATGTAGTTATGAAATTCACCATTTATTTAGGGTCAACTAGTTAAGCATTCTTGTCCACCTTACTCATTGTGTTGGGGTTGTCTGTTGTCGCAGCAGGATGTGACAAGCGCATTGTAGCGTATGGGAAAGAGGGAAAGGTCATCCAGAATTTTGACTACAGTCGAGATGAAAGTGAGAAGGAATTTACGGTTGCTGTGTGTAGCCCAAGTGGTCAGTCTGTTGTCGTGGGTAGTTTTGACAGGTATCTATCCTTGATGTTTATTACTTTTGGTTGAATTACAAAATACATGTCTACCTTAACAGATTACGGATATTTAACTGGAGTCCACGTAAAGGTGCCTGGGATGAGAGCAAAATGAAAGAAATTGAAAATTTGTACACCATAACAGCATTGTCATGGAAACAAGATGGATCAAGATTAGTTGCTGTAAGATTCAATCTATAGTTAAAAGAAATGCTGACTGAATATCACACCAAATGTTACCTCTTTGTACTCCTCCCTTGTTACAATATCATACCATATTTATGATACCTCTTCCCACCCCTCCCTTGTTACAATATCATGCCAAATGATGCCTTCTCCCACCCCTCCCTTGTTACATCTCTATTCTTTTTGCAGGGAACATTGTGTGGCAGTGTTGAACTCTTTGACTGCTGTCTCAGAAGAACCATCTATAAAAATAAGTTTGAAATTACATATGTTGGTCTGAGTCAGGTCAGACTTTGACGAAAAAATTGTTTTTACTTTCGTAAATGCTGTTTTGATTATTGACAAAAGGATTTTTATCTCATTCACTCATGTGTCAAGCTCATATTTTTGTTTTTTCCATTTTCTTTCAGGTTATTGTAAAGAATCTTTCTTCTGGCACGCGTGTTGTCTTGAAATCTCACTATGGCTACGAGATTGATAAGGTCAGCGTCATGGGAAAAGATAAATACTTGGTGGCGTACACGTCAGATACATTGTTGCTAGGTGATCTACAAAGCCATAAACTGAGCGAGGTTAGTGAGCTCCTGATGTCGTGCACATCATCACCGTCATGTGTTGCATCCTTCTCTATCCTATGCAATCCTTCACATTCACAGGGAGATTTATTTGAAAGAAGTGTTCGTTAATATTTTATTGAACATTGTTGTCTTATTGTATACGAATGATTTCAGAGTATCCTATCTTGTTCTCTACCATCATAAGCATTTGTTTTTACCTTTATACTCTCATTAACTCTCGTGTATGACTGTAATCGTTTCTTTTTGAAAAGAATTCATTTTTTTTCTCACCAAGGTTCCTTGGCCGAGCTCAGGAGGAAACGAAAAGTTCTTCTTTGAAAACGAAAACGTAGGTTGACGTGAGATTACATGTAACACCGAAAAATGTCCAAGATTTTTCACCGTCTTGAAAATTTTCCTCTCGCTTTTAAAACTTTTTAAAAGCGGTTTTTTTACGTTCCACAGGTTTGCATGATATTTAATGCTGGAGAACTTTCTCTTATTGAATATGGTAACAATGAGATCTTATTTACGGCTAGAACGGAGTTCATGAATCCTCATTTGATAAGGTAGGATAACGAAGGATGTTATATATTTACAATGGAAATTTTTGATAATACTGTTTCTCTTAGTGTTCGTCTAAATGAACGTAAGATCAGAGGAGTAGAAAATGTCAAAATGATGGCGTATCTTATTGATTTAAAGACAATATGTGTTGGTAGGTCTGTGAGGGAGAAATAGGGATCGATGGGGATTGAATTACGTTGTAGGAATTGGGTAAATTTTATTGATTCAGTGTGTTAATGATCGACAGTAAATAAATTACCCGTTTATCCGTGATTTTAATATTTGTCAACATTATTCTCTAGTTGATTTGTTGTCTGGTTTCAATGTGGCGTCCGTTGGTCATGACTCGAAGATTGATTGGCTAGAGGTATGGCTCTTCATCTTGTCCTTCTTTCATGGTTCTTTTCTTAAATGTTGTGTGGTGACGGAGGTCCTGGAAACTAAGTTGACTTAGTGTGCTATACTATCACTCACTATAAGGAGGAAAAAGTTTTTCGTAATCTTTTTATTTGCTTTTTCTGTTTAAATGTTTAAAGTTGAATGAAACTGGACGAAAACTTCTTTACCGTGACAAGAAATCAAAGGTAAACAATGATACAACATATAGAACACCAAAGTAGATAGAAATATTGAAATCATTTTTCTCTGTGTTTTGACTGAATGTAAGTCATCAATCATCATCTCTAGATTACCATTATTGTAAATTTTATAAAAACCGACTCACAACTGGGAGCTGCTGCAACCAAGCCGCCACAAGCTTCACGTTTGTTTCTCATCAAAACAACTAATGCTGTATTACATCATCTAAAAAGTCCTTTCTACATAGAGTAGCCTAAACTAAACAGTCGTGAATACTAAACAACATATGTCTGTGATCCATCCATTCTTCTCGAACTGTGCGGATGCAACAACAAAACGTGCTTGATACAACCTCCCTCGCCGCTGCACCAATTCACAAATGGGCTCCCAGGGGAGAGTTTGAAAAAACATTTTTAGCCTTTTTTGTACCTCAATCCGTGGAAAATAATACTCAGTTTGAATTTCTACTGTAAAGAACTTCAACATTTGTCTTTGTTCATAATTTTACGATATTTTGTGATAAATAAAACCATTTTTTCATGCCAGCTTTATCTTCTTGATGTCGAAACTCATAGTCGTACGACAATATTAAACTACTGTACCTACGTTCAGGTGGGTTGCCTTCATTTAAGGTAGCAACAATGTTTCATCTCTCTATTGACTTCGTGTTCTATTTTTCATTCTCGTTCAGTGGGTACCCATGAGTGACGTTGTTGTTGCCCAGAATCGTGGAAATCTTTGTATCTGGTATAATATTGACGCTCCACAGAGAGTAACTATGTTTCCTATAAAGGTATTATGACATTGGATTACGCAACTAGTTACATATTAAATAATAAAGACTTTGACTGGGCAGTTTTTAATGTGTTTGAGGTATACTAAACAAAACAGATTTTAAATGCCCAGTTTTTAATGTGTTTGAGGTATGCTAAATAAAACAGACTTTGAATGCGCAGTTTTTAATGTATTTGAGGTATACTAAATAAAACAGATTTTAAATGCCCAGTTTTTAATGTATTTGAGGTATACTAAATAATAAAGACTTTGACTGCGCAGTTTTTAATGTAGGTGTTGGATATACTAGGTAAAGTAAACTTTAACTGAACAGTTTTCCATTCATTTTAAGGGAGATATAGTGGATCTTGAACGAAACGAAGGCAAGACAGACGTTGTTGTCAATGAAGGTGTCACTACTGTATCTTATACGCTGGATGAAGGATTGATTGAGTTTGGTACAGCTATCGATGATGGGGATCTAACAAGGTATCACAGGGGATCTAATTTGTTTAACAAAATAACAATAGGTGTACCGACATCATGCTTCTTCTGTTTTCATTCTAGGGCCGTGTCCTTTCTAGAGACGCTGACAATGGTGCCAGAAACTGAGGCAATGTGGAAGACACTTAGTAAGCTTGCCTTGGACGACAGACAGCTCATCATTGCAGAGAGATGTTTTGCTGCGCTTGGCGATATCAGTAAAGCAAAATATTTAAGAAATATCAACGAGCTTGCCGAACAGGCTGCTGCAGATTTCGTAAGTTTGACATGTAGGATACATAGGGATAGTATAAATTATAATAAGGGATATTTGGGGTCTTAAGCTGGGTACATGTGTATGATGGGAAGTGTTTATTCAGGGTGGAGACGGTAGTCATCATTACATGGTGCGAGCAAAGTTGGCGATACTGGAGAAGAATTTTAAAATGGCCGAGAGCATTCTTTTGGAGCAGGGGCATGTTGACGAGGCTATAGAAATGTATCAAGAGCTACACAAGTGGGATGAAGCAATAGCTGTAGCTGAAGCAAAGGTTTGATTAACTCACTATTTATATTATAAAAGACATTTTATCAGCGACTAAAGGAAAACACGAAGATTGTCCTGCTTCACAGATATCATAATCTATACTTCATTCGCCCCATTTGTCGTAGGGTCATCCCGAGGTGGACAAGCTACGTAGCTCACATCTACAGTGGCTCATGGACACTAGACAAGAAGAAAAAGCTGGGGAGGTAAAGTTTTATTTTCCCACGACATATGGCTGGACTACTGATTATAACATAGAATTTCACATGTTGTTTATTCCAGGTGAAAGAAAGTCAAGGAAGTTTCATGGAAGCCATCAATCTTTATATGAAAGCTGGTTTACCCGCACGGGCAGCCAGACTTGCTATGAGTCGTGAGGTATGTGGATTTTGACCTGCAAAAATGGGGCAGGAATGGGTTATTTTAATTAGTTTTATTCTGGAGAAATTTACATTACAGGAACTCGCTAATTCACCTGATTTAATGGAACGAATAGCTGCTGCATTGTTCAAATCTGGTCTGTATGACAAGGTAGCGTTTTGTTTAGCTGTTAAATTTCTTCCATGGATGTAGAATATTCACTCTCTTTACTGTAAATTGTTTTTAGGCAGGTGAACTGTTTGAACGAGTACGTAAAGAACAGCAAGCTTTAGAAGCATACAAGCAAGGAAATGCTTACAGGAAAGGTATGACAGGACAAGAACGTGACACTCACATGTTATAAACGTGACACTCACTTGTTTTATACGTGATATTCACTCTTTATAATCCTGACACTCGCATGTTATAAACGTGACACTCACATGTTGTAAACGTGACACTCACTCGTTATAATCGTGACACTCACTCGTTATAATCATGACACTCGCATGTTGTAAACGTGACACTCGCATGTTATAAACGTGACACTCACGTGTTATAAACTCACATGACTATAATGCATGACACTCACAGTTTTGAAATATTGATGAAGCAACGTACGTTGTTACAGCTGTCGAACTCGCCCGAGTCTCGTTTCCGCGTGAAGTTGTGAAACTTGAGGAAGCTTGGGGCAACTATTTATATTCACAAAAGCAAATGGATGCTGCAATCAATCACTACATAGAAGCAGGGTAAGTTTATATTGACGGTTTGTATAAAGGAAAAACATCTTCACATTATTTTGGTCTAAATTACTTTCTAGTTGCCTGCTTTTAAAGTCCCTTTCAACTTATATTGAGTTGTTATAATAAAACTTGTTTTGTTTTAAAGTTGTACAATTAAAGCTATTGATGCTGCAATCCATGCTAAACAGTGGAACAAAGCTGTACAGATATTGGAAGTCGTTGACGATGAAGAAACGGCTAGGAAGTAATAGCATTGTTTTTAATTTTTTGATGTGAATTTCTTCAACCAAGACACTTACTTTTTTGTTGTGTTTCACAGATACTATAAACTAATCGCGCAACATTACGCACAAGCCAAAGAATACAAGGTACACCTAGGTGATTTTAGGAATGCAAGGTACAACTGGGTGATGAAGGTATACTCGCTTGTACATTTGTTAGATTGCAGAGAAACTTTACGTGAAAGCAGGACATCCTAAAGACGCTATCGATATGTATACAAAGGAAAATATGTATGAAGCTGCGCATAAGGTTCATGGAACTGGTTTTTTTTATCTCTCGTTTAAAAGTTTTTAAGAAAAATATTCTTTTCGTGGTTAAATAAACCACGTGATGCGTTAATAATCCAGAGAGTTTGTCGTGGTGACACAGCTTCATATTGACTTGAAAAGCGCTATTGCCATGGTAGGGGGTGACTTCTCAAGAGTTGTGAAAGCCAATAGAAAACTTAAGAGTTTTGAAACTTTAGCAACCCTAAAGAAAAGCAAGACAAAACCAAGAAAATCTTGGGTTTCTCTTGTTTTTCTAACTTTTGTTGGTTTTTTCTAGAACTATTGGGAACTCTATGATTTTTTGCTATTCACCTGGCAATTAGACTTTCAGGGCAATATTACATTATTGGTGAAGTAATAACTTTGAAGTAAATGGTTTGAACCCGGGAGTATCGTTACATGTTTGTAAATGTAGATCGTCCTGGTTGGTATAGTCCTGAGAAGGACTATTTTGACTCTGAAGATGAATACCGCCAAGGTTGTCGAAACGTCAGTCAACAACAACAAAAACAGTCCTTCTCAGGACTATACCAACCTGGACGATCTACATTTACAAACATGTAATAACTATGAAATAATCTGCTCTCCTGCCTTATGATGATTTTTTGTCCTTATTTAGTTGACATTGACGTGTATGGAACCAGAAGAAGTGACGTCACTTTACGTCAATCAAGCTCAGCAACTTGAGCAACAAGGAAAATACAAAGAAGCTGAAAGGTTACTGATGTCCATCTCTTTACTGGTCTGTATAGAAATTCTTACTAATTATGGTTTGAACTTGTTTCGCTTCAGGCTTTATTTGACCATTAACGAACCAGATTATGCAATAAACATGTACAAGAAAATCAGACAGGTACTCTTATGAAGATCAAATTATGTATTCATTAGAGTAATTATTGTATTAATTGTCTACAGTACGATCACATGATTAAATTGGTGAAACAATTTCACGAAGATCTTGTCGATGACACCCATATTCACTTGGCAAAGGTAAGGACTTTGTACTGTTGTGTACCTTGGTTAAAACCCTTTATAATATCCTACTTGCTTAGGGATCTAACAGGATGTTATGTAGAATCTTCAAATTCATCCTTTATGCGTTTTTATTTCAGTTTATTCCATTACTTTCTCGTGTGATTTTCTTGGCTATTAGCTGCAGCAATAATCTCCCCTACGGTAAAATATCCCCAACAGCAATAATCTCCCCTACGGTAAAATATCTTATAAACGAACAGCGAGTTTGAAATTGCTATAAAGAAACATATTAGCAGATGATTTATGTGAAAATTTGTGACTGAGCGAGCTAATTACTCCATGATCGGTACTAGTACATAGAGCTCGTCGTTGCCATGACCATGAACTTGGAGAGTTGATGGAGTTAACTGCATACTCAGATTAATTTTCAATTAATTTGTGACGGAGCGAGCTCTAAAATTGGTGCTTGGTTGCTTTTTCTGCTTAAGATTGTTTTGACAAATGCACATCAAACTCATCAACACTTTGTTACGGCACTTGAAATATCCGTGACAATGTTAGAGATGTTTTATTTTTCTCTATAACTTTGTATCTTAATATTGCATGTCATATCCAAGCTTTTTTTTGATACGACAGAAAATGGTTTTTATTTACTCTTACACCTTCTGCCTTTATAATTAGTCGTTCTGGATTTCTAAAATAAAGTTTACAAATGCCCCAAAGCATCTTCTTTCTATTTTTTGCCACTATTCTTCAAATACAACACTATGTCCGACCATTTGATCGTCAGAGTTTTGTGTTCACCGTCGGAAAGGTGGGTTTAATGCAAGTGATATTTTATTTTATGTATTTCAACCAGGAGCTTGAAGGGAAAACCAATTACGTCAAGCAGAACATCACTACGTACAAGCAAAGGACTGGAAAGCTGCTGTAAATATGTACCGCAGTAATGAATTATGGGACGAGGCGTATCGGGTAAGACGCTGATGAAGTGCATTTGTTATTCATAAAATGTTAACATTTTGTGTGTTTTCAGGTTGCTAAGCAACACGGTGGTCCTACACCATCTAAACAAGTTGCGTATCTTTGGGCAAAGACTTTAGGTAGGTAACAGTTTATATAGCTTATTGTGGTGCAAGTATTTTATATTTTACAGTATTGCTGTTATATAATACGTTCATAGGTGGTGATTCTGCTGTAAAACTTCTCACGAAATTTGGTTTACTTGAGACTGCGATTGATTACGCTGCTGATAATGGGTATAAACATATTTACTAACAATCGTTACTTCAATATCACCCCCGACAACCATCACCCACCACCACCACCATCCCTACCATCTCTACTATCCCCACCATCATCACCACCACCACCACCATCCCCACCATCTCTACTATCACCACCATCATCACCACCACTACCACTACCACCATCACCACCACCACCACCATCAACACCACCATCGCCACCACCATCACCACCACCACCACCATCACCACCATCATCACCAACATACCTCACCACTATTACCACCATCACCACCCCACCACCACCACCATCAACACCACCATCGCCACCACCACCACCACCCTCACACCCTGCGTGAACTTTTCGTGACATGACTACTGCTAAGGATGCAAAAATGTCAGTCAACACCAACACCAACTGCTCTTGTCAGAACTACATTAACCTTGACGATCTACATTCAAAAACGAGTAATGTTCGTTATCTTGTAGATCATTTGAATTTGCGTTTGATCTTGCTCGAGCTTCAAAGAAAGAGAAATTATCAGATATTCATTTGAAGCACGCCATGTTTCTTGAGGATGAGGGCAAGTTTCAAGAAGCCGAGAGGGAGTTTATAAAAGCAAACAAACCAAAGGAGGCTGTACTGATGTAAGTAGAACTTTTTATCAAGAAATTTATCATTATTTAAATCAATGAAGACATATTATCAAAGGATATGCTTTAGCTATCGGTGAAAGAATTATTGATCATGTTCTTAACAATAGAATATATACTGTGTGGAATACATTTTGTTTTTGATTGCTCGTCCCACTTTACAGTGGCTTTTTGCTGGCTTTGCCTTTTTGTCATTTATCTCACAGTTGAAATTACTATGGCTCAAACGAGTGTGTTATCTAAAACTTTGTCATATTTTTTTCACACAATGTTTTTTTTCCATGTTTGTAAATTTAGATCGACCAGGCTGGTATAGTCCTGAGAAGGACTGTTTTTGTTGTTGTTGACTGACGTTTCGACAACCTTAGCGGTAGTCATCTTCAGAGTCAAAGGAGTCATCTCAACAACAACAAAAACAGTCCTTCTCAGGACTATACCAACCTGGACGATCTATATTTACGAACATGTAACGATACTCCCGGGCTCAAACAATTTACTTTAATGTTTTTTCTTGTTAGGCATGTTCACAATCAAGATTGGGATAGTGCTCAACGTGTTGCTGAAGACCATGATCCAGATAGTGTTGCTGACGTGCTCGTTGGCCAGGTAATTTATATTCTTTATTTATATTCGCTGTGTACGTGTAAGGCAGTGTAAATTAAAGAAAAGTCTTGAAAATCGCAGGTTGTTTTACGAATACTTAGCTTAGCACTTTCCTGTAATATTTTACCAGAAATGGATGTCGTTATTCTATTGACTAATACATAAAAATGTAAACATTCAATAGAGAACCGTTTTAATGACTGAACCAGTATTTGCTTTATGTTCATTAGGCTCGAGTTGCTTTTGAAAAGAAAGATTATCAACGTGCCGAGACTTGCTTGCTTCGTGCTCAAAGACCTGAACTGGCGGCTAGATATTACAAGGTAGAAATTTGTTCTACTTTTAGATTGTAGTCATAGGTTGTGTTAGGATTAGGATTAAGGTTTACACTTGCTTGTGTCGAGCTCAATGAGCTAAACTGCGACTTGATATTACAAGGTAAAAATTTGTTTTTCTCTTAGGTTGTAGGTTTTCGGTATTGACTGTACCATGATAAGACACCATCGCTTCCAGCGATTATGATTTTATCTTTTTTCTCAGGAATCGGGAATGTGGACAGATGCTCTCAGAGTTGTGAAAGAATACCTGCCTCACAAGGTTTCTTACGGAAAAGTTTTAATTCTTATAACCATTTTATTCATCATTTTGTTCTTGTGTTTTCAAGATGTCACAGTTCCAAGACGAATATGAAAGGGAATCATTGAGAAAGGGCAGTGGGTAAGGTTATCGTCTTTATATATATATATATATATATATACCCACGTGTACTCAGTCGCATATGTATACTGTATTTATATGTTTAGTCATATATACTCATATGTACTCATATATACTGATATATACTCATATGTACTCATATATACTCATATATACTCATATATACTCATATGTACTCATATATACTCATATATACTCATATATATACTGATATATACTCATATATACTCATATGTACTCATATATACTCATATATACTCAAATATCTGCTCATATTGTACCTACTTTTAAACATTTCATGTACCAGTGGAATCTTAGCTCAGGCGATGGACTGGGAAACAAAAGGTGAACATTCGCGTGCGATCGATTTGTATTTAAAGATCACTCCAAACAATTCAGATGATTTTGATGTACTTGCAAGCTCTTTGGAAAAGGTACGTTTCATTTTGAGTCAAAGCTAGTGAATAATTGATTGACAACTCAATACATCTTTCCTTTTGTTTGTAATTTACAGGCTGTTGAACTGGCAATGAAATTTGTTCCCAGCAGAGCTGAAGACGTTACTTTAACCGCTTGTGAACGTCTAGCAGAGATAAAATATTACTCTAAAGTAAGATAATTGTAAACAAGCGAGCGCGAGTGAGATGTGTCTCTTTATGAACCTTTAGTTATTTCATGCCACTTTGTTCTCTTTAGTCTGCAGAATTGTATCTTGGCATTGAAATGGTGAAAGAGGCTATAGACATGTTTATAGAAGGAGAGCTTTGGAATAAAGCAAAGAAATGTGCTTCTGAGATGGCGCCAAAGTAAGAGCATTTATTTTGAGTTTTATGTTGTATAGAAATCGCGTTCGTTCATGGCGTCTTTTCTTTAGTTTGGAAGGTTACGTTGAGGAGAAATACGTGTCATTCTTGAAGCATAAGGGAAGAGCGGAACAGGTAAAAAGTTACTCATAACTTTCCCTTAGTTTATTTCAACTATTTATCGTGGTTTTTTTCTTTACAAAAGCTCGTGGATGTTGACGTCATTGCTGGTTTGGATATGATGGTACAGAGGGGAGAATGGGCGAAATGTATCCATACAGCCGAGCAACAGGTGTGGGACTAGGCCGAGCTCGTGTAGTAGAAACTATTTTTCAAAAAATAATGATGTAACGGTGATGAGCACGTCAGTTTTCTTGTTTTTGTCAGGGCAATGAAGTTCTCAGCAAGTACGTTGCTCAATACGCTGCATATTTAATAAAGGAGAATAATACAATGAAAGCTTTAGAGCTGTTTGTGACACATGGAGCACCACCAAGATCCCAGGTGATGTTTGGTAGTTTTAGGAGTACTAGCAATCGTACTGGTAGATTTTTATAGCTTTAGAATCACCAGCAATTTCTCAGGTAATGTTTTATAGTTTTAGGAGCATTACTAGTCTCTCAGGTAATGTTTTATAGCTTTTCAGACGTATTCGCTTCATGTGTTTGTCGAAACCAACATCGTGTTTACGTCGTGATTAAGTTGTGTTTACGTCGTGATTACGTCGTGATTACGTTGTGATAATTGGTTTACATGTGTAATTAGTAAGTTCTCAGTTTCTTTCACTTTATTCATTTACATATATGGTGTGTTAAATTCAGAACTTCAATATATACAAACGTATCGTCGATGAAATGGTGTCAATGGAAGAAATGAGTTCGCCCGATTCTTATCAACATTGGGCCAACATAAGAGATGTTCTCTTTGAATTAGTAAGCTAATATGGATACTGCATAGTTGATATGAGTATTGTATGATTGTTATGGATAATGCATGATTGATATGGATACTGCATGATTGATGTGGTTATTCCATGATTGATATGAATACTGCATGATTGATGGGGATATTGCATGATTGATATGAATACTGCATGATTAGTATGGATATTCCATGATTGTTATGGATAATGCATGATTGATGTGGATATTCCATGATTGATATGAATACTGCATGAGTGATATGTAAAACTATATGATTAATATGGATGCTGCATGGTTGATTTGGATATGCCATGATTGATATCGATACTTGGAGGTGAAATGTTTGAAATTAAATGTTGAAGATAATGTTCATACATTTTGTGTATTTTAGACTGAAGGATTGAACAAGAGTTCCAACGTCAATCCTGTCGTTTTAAAGGAATTTGAAAACAGATTACTTGTATGTCATTACTACGCTAATCGTGCTGCATGTTTACTACAAGATTCGTTGGTGAGTTGTAATATGTCCCATTTTACGTTTTCCAAATACACTGTCTTTCTCTATGTGGTACATTAATCAACTAGCTAGATACATGTCTACATAACTATGTCATTAGTTGGTGTCGTGAAAAAATGTTATTTTCCATCTTCATTCCCCAGGACTCTATTGCTGCACAACTCAGTATATCTCTGCTACGTCATACGGATATTGTACCATGTGACAAAGGTTTTTACGAAGCGGGCATGGCAGCCAAGGTGAGATTTCCATGCTCAACATAATCTTAATGACATTTTATTTCATGAACGATGATTTCTTAATATTGCAGAAAGCTGGTATGGAAAACATGGCGTTTGTCTTCTTGAATCATTATCTTGACATAAGTGAAGTGAGAATTGTTTCAGTTGACGCTTTAATTTAATCTCATGTGTTAAATAAGTATGTAATTCATCAAACCTCTCTCCCCCTCCCTTCCTCTCTCCCTATCTCCATCCTACCTCCCTATCTACCTCTCTACGTCTCCTCACTCCCTCTCTCCCTTCATCCCTATCTCCCCCCCCTCCCTCTTCCATTCCAAAAGAGTTTCATAAAGGATAAAAAATTTGGCCAAACATTACAGAGTCACTAATGTACTTTTTGGAATGACGTATTTTACGTATTTTCTGTATCTATGAACGTCACTTTATCATTAGGGCATTGAGGAAGGATGTTTGGAGTGACTTTTTATTTTCTGTATCTGTGAACATCACTTTATCATAGGGTATTGAGGAAGGAAGTTTGGAGTATCTTGATAACACTGATTTTATGGATACAGACATCCCGTATGAGGTTCCTGTACCCGAGAAACAGTATTTAACCGTAAGTGATCATGTGTACCCTCATAGGTAACATTAGCTATATATTTTGCTTGGAGTGAAGGCGTTTTAATTTGTTGTAAATATTGCAACTGAAAATCGTTTTTGTATTCTTAAACTTACTTATGACGTTATTGCAGGAGGAGAAACGTGAGGAGGTGAAGGATTGGGTTCTAGCTGTGTCAGTGGATGAAAAGGTTAATGATTCTTCCGAAAAAAATTTTCTTATCTCATTCTTAGTAGCTGTCGTTAGTATTTGGTAATTTTCTCTCTTTGAAACTTAAAGGAGCTTATACGCAAACAAAAACCCAACCTGAAGAAAGAAATTCGACATTTTAACTCCGTTTTCCAACTGTACATTAATTTCCATCTATCACACTCACTGTGCATGTCATGAAAATATCACATCTTCTACCACTTTTTTAAATTATGGCTTCCTTCTTATGTCGTCACTCACTCACACACACATTCTGTAAATAACCATTAAATTCATTAAGTACTACTACATCTGTTAAATCTTGTTTCTACTTATATATGTCACACTGCGACAAATGTATTAGTTAAGTTGAAACATGTTTATAATGAAAATTTGTTTTCTACATCAAATGTTTGGTTAATCTTGTGCTAATAAGATCATTGTATGAAATTTTATAGGTTGAACAAATTCTTCCCATTGACGAGCGTGGAACATATGCTGCATCTTTAGTATCTCCTACCACCAACATTACGTCATTACCTTGCGTCATCACTGGTATGTTTAATTACTATTGTTTAGTATAGACAACGTCATTCACCTTAATATATGGAGGATATCTGGGGAAGACGGGCGTTCACGTGGAATATTATCTACAATCGTAACTATTGAGGAAATCAACTTTTAATCTTTTAACATTCAACTTTGAGTATCTTTCCTTGAGGAGGGCATCTGGGGAACAAGGGCGTTTACGAGGGATATTGTGCTACACAATTGTACCAATTAAGGAAATCAACTTTTAACGTTTACCTTTGAGTATATTTCCATGAGAGGGACTTCTGGGGAGAAGGGTGTTCACAAGGGATATTGTGGGACGATTGAGAAAAACAACTTTTAAAGTCTAACTTTGAGTATCTTTCCTTCACAAGGTTATCCTGTTCTACGAAATAAATTAGAGTTCAAACGACCAGACAGGGCAGCTAACAAAGATTCGTGGAATAAGTTTGTTATGGCTACAAAGGTACATGTATTTTTATACATTTCATACGGTATAACTTTATCAACTTTAATCTTTAATGTACAATCATTCCATATGTATCTCAGGTATCGCACAATCCTGAGTGCCAAGATGTGTTGCGCTTTCTCGGTCAGTACTGTGGTGTACCACAAAATCTTTCTTTCTCATTTGGATAAAAATTGTATTGTTTGCTGTGAAAATTCCCTCGTGATCTCAGAGTGGATTATTTATTTGTATAAAGTACAAAACATCACTTATCTAGTTCGTATATATGACTACTGATAATGGCATTGTCGGTATCATAAAATGTTTAAATTACGTCCTTGAGTGGATAATCACTTAGATGACTGGAAAGGAAAACTTATCCAGTGATCTACCTTAAACTTATATAAACGTAATGTCAGTTTGAAAAACTTATGATTAAAGGACAGTAAAATTACAGTATAGAGTTTTAAATGAAGTTCTTTGTTTTGTTCTTAAGATCTCCTAAAGAAGATTTAATTTAAATACTCTTCCTTAACTAACCATTATAATAACATAAAAATAAGACTACATAAATTTTTACATCATACCCACGCAATCGCGATCATTCATTCTTAGAGAAGTTTACAGTTTTCTCCTTCATTTGACGTTTAGTTTTTTCATAATCTAAGAATGAAAGACCAAACTCTCTTTCCTTGACATTAGGTGACTTTTTAAAGAAAACACCTAAAAGATGTAACAATAGAAAAACAAAAATATCGAAACGCGTTTACTTGAATCATACCCTATTGGCAAAAAGTAGAGAAAAATAGCAAATGATAAGTCTTTAGCTATATTTATTGAACTAAACGAAAATTGTTCACATTTTTTTTCATGTTTAGTTACGCATGCATACAGTTAGCACATATAATAGTCGAAAGTTTCTACCTGTGAATGAACATGAACTGATCCTTCTACAATCTCAAGGAGAAACCGCCATATTCTCTGTTGGTCCTTGTACTATCTCTCATCAATAACATTCCTTAGAGTACTCTTCTTATAATACTCCAACTGTATATACAAAGTTTGTAGAGTACACTTTCAATCTTCTTTCAAATCTTTTGTGGTGTGGCTTCCTCTTCACTTTGAAATCAGATTCCTCGTTCTAAAGGTAAGACGCTGTTAGTTATTTTTACATATCTTCTGCAACATGCAGTTTGCTCAACTATATACCACGTGAGCCAACGAGCTTCCAAACTGTATATGTGATTCATCGATATTTCTTTTGAACATATCTTCAGTAGACTCCGTGTTATTAATGGATTGTTTTTGTATTGAAACCTCGTTCTCGCTAGAGCTTTTATTGTCGTCAACATGCTTGGAATCATTCGTGTTTTCATTGGTCCACGAGTCCTCATCCAAAACTCTCGAGCGTACGCTGGGTGCTTCAACTACGTTAAATTTCATCAAGCTATCTTCAATCTGGCGTCTTGTTTTCCTCTGTCATGCTGGATTTTGTTTCAATGTTTGAAGTTTCATTTTCAAGTATTTCTTCTACCCTCAATACACGAATTACAATATCTTTCATAAATATATTACAGCATTGTTTTTGCACGAAATATGCAGACACAAAGTTATGGAGAGAAATAAAAACATCTCTAACATTTTCACGGATATTACGAGTGGCGTAACAAAGTGTTCATGAGCTTTATATGCATTTGTAAAAACAAGCTTAAAAGAACAAAGGGCATGACAAAAATATATGATTGAAAATTTGCTAAGCGCATAAACAAACACCAATTTCAGAGCTCGCTCACTCACGAATTGATTGAAAATTAATCTGAGCATGCGTAGTCAACTCCACCAACTCTCCAAGTTTATGGTTATGGCAACGACCAGCTGTATGTATTAACACCAATTAGAGGGGGTAATTAGCTCGCTCAGTCACAAATTTTCACATAAATCATCTGGCATGCGCAGTGGACCTGACCAGTTGTCCAAGTTCATGCTCATGACAACGACCAACTGCATGTACTAGTAAAGATTATGGAGTAATTAGCTCGCTCAGTCACATATTTTCACATAAATCATCTGCACATGCGCAGTTGACCAAGTGCATGGTCATGGCAACGACCAACTGCATCTTCTAGCACCGATTTTGAAGTAAATATCATGCTTAGTTACAAATTAATAGAGATAGCATCTGCGCATGCGCTTGAGCATGGGCAGTCCACTCGAATAATTATTCATAGTCATGGCAACGACTAACTACATGTACTTGCACTACATTAGGGGCAATTAGCTCACTTAGTCACAAATTATCAAAGAAATCATTTGGGCATGCGCACTAGTGATCTCATGATGCCATGTCAAAACATGTCTATTTTCAAAAAACTTGTCGTTTATATTAAATGTGCATTGGCAATAGGGCTTTTACGAAATTATGGAGACTTTAATAATCCCACAACTTTCGTAAGCATTTGAATTTATATATATATATATATAAAGTCAATAATAGGTATAGTAGATGTCAACTAGCAGTGGAAGCTGGGTGTGATATTGTATGCAGTGGTTTAGGGGCCCACACTTCGGTGGCGACCGCACTCTCCCTGCGTACTCCGAGCAAAGCCTATCGCAGGTGATCTCGGGGTCTGATGGGCGGAAGCTTGCTATTGCATCTCCCAAGTAGGATAGCGTGGAGGGGCCGAAATCTCCTACCGAAACGTTAACATACGGCGTTCTAGTGACTTACGCTTAAGAAGGTATCGGGAAGCATGGACAGAAAACGGGGTTTTTTTGCTTTCGAATTTTATCTTTTTGTTTACACGCAAACCATCCAAGGGCTTGAAAACAAAATGCGTAAAAACAAGAGGGAAGGTGAAATAGTTGGTCGTGTTTATCGAATGAAAAAACAATTTAAAGTATTTCACAAAATTTTTTTATGTTAACATTAACTCAACAAAACTTGTGTCTTAGGATTTCTTGCGTATTCAAAACTGTTTTTTTTGGTCGGATGTGCATGATTTTTAAAATCAATTAAAATGAATATTTGAAAAGTTTCATATCATGGTTTATTCAAGGATTGGTAATTGTTTTCGGGATCTCTGACTTTATTCAGCTCCTGATATTGATTATCGTCATCATTATTCTTCCTCAATGATTCATATTCATCTCGGTCGTCTATTTTTGATAGATCTAGTTCTTCATAAGTTGTATTCACTGTATTTTTCCTTTCATCATGTGACTGAGACATTTGACTTTTCTTAACTAACCATCGTCGACCATAACATAAAAATATCAAACAACAAAACAAAATCCCAAAATAATTCCAGATAAAACAGAGATGGAGGTAACAAGCCAGTCCGTTTTACAATCAACAATGCTTGTGGTTGAGTTTTTTATATCTAAAAAGAAAGCCAAAATATTCTTACAATACCATTTCGTCTGACAATTTAAACCACAAGATAATTATAAAAATAATTTCAATGCATAAAGTTACCTTTAAATGTTTGCACGTGTACGTCATGTGATATGGCACTGCCTAAAATGTTTGTCGCTTTACAAGTATAATTTCCAAAATCACAAGATTTAACGATGTCAAATGTGTAGGTGGAGCCTTTATAGACAAGTTTAGAGCGCTTTGAAAATATTTCAAAGTTTGGTTGTGGACGGCCTTCAGCAGTGCAGATTAACGTTGCTTTATGACCTTCTCTTTGGAGAGTCAAACTAATGTTGGCAGGTCTATCTAACGTAAAATTGTAACAATTATGTTTCGTATTTTTTATAATCATAAGCAATGACTGTCATATTACTGTATTATACAATTTCGTACTTACAGTTAACAATTATTTGAACTGTTTTCTCAGCTTTAGCTTTCTCGTCACCCTTTGCTTCACATCTATAAAGGCCATTGTCATCACGATCAACCCGAGCAATAGTTAATGTTGCCATTCCTTCTCCTGAGATAATCCTTCCATTACCTTTATACCATGTGACCACAGCAGGAGGATTACCATCCTCTCCTTTACATTCACATGAAAAATAATCACTTACATTGAGAGTTGTTGTGCTGGAACAATTGATATATATTTTTGGTGCAACTGTGATAAAAAAAAACCCAACATTTAACACAATAAAAGAGGCATCCATCCAAGTACAGACAGATCAACACACAAACCTGCAATGAATATATGCACAGGTGAAGGAGGAAGCGTTCCTGATGCAAGTCCAACTTCCATGATATATGTTCCATTATATGTTGGATTTACATTTTTCAGAATCAAAGTTAAAGGTAATACAAATTGAAAGTCTAGACCATTTGAAATACGGTCTACAACTATTCCTCTTGCTACAAAAACCAGATATATAGAGGCACCAGTAAACCTCAATCCTTGAAAAGTAATTTGATTAATGTCTCCACTATATGTCCACACAATTCTCCCATCTTCACCAGGAGCAAAAACCAATCTGTCGGAAGGTGCATTTAGTTGAGCTACAAAGTTTAAAAAAGTTGTCAACCCAGTTATAAATAAAAATGTGAGACATAAATCCAAAAGACCGTGATATCAAAGATGTTTGTTTAGGACCACATGAACTGTGTCCTCAGTGCCAATATACCAAGTGTAATTAATATGTTTTGCAGGTGTTACTTGTGAGACAGAGCTGAATATATGAATATTCACAAACCGTCTCCCTCAACCAGCGTTCTAGTTTCATCCCTGCATGTCATTACAAGAGCTGACTGCATGTTCTGGATAGACTTTAATAAATTTTAATTGTGCTGTTGTTCCTGTGCAACTACATACTTACATCACGGAATATTAATGATTGCTGTGTGAACTCTATTCGCTATTGATTTGCAACTCAACCAAAGCAGTAAACAAAAACAATTCTTCTCTTGGTCGCAGTTAAATTAGGAGACAGAAGATTTATAGAAAATGTATCCATGAGGACCAATTGCATCAGTTTTCAGCACTAGTTGTGTGGCGAATAACTCTTATTCAAAGTCTTCAGATATAACATTTTGTATTTATATATTCTGTTTTACAATATATCAAGTCAACCATCACTTGCTAGTTATATACAATACCTTTACAAAACATTAACCATAGTATAGGTGCAAATAAAATACCAATACTCTTTAAGCTCAACGTGTTCATCTCTTACTAAACAACAAATATATAATAGTTATGTCGACACGTGGTCACCAGATCCATTGCACAATGGAGAACTTTAAAAAGAAAATCTCACACAGTTTAATGAGAATATATAACATCTTTTAGCGTGATGAATTTTTTTAGCCAGAAATACCTGTGAATAATATCGTAACAAGAATCTGTTGATTTAGCTTCCAATTTTGTGAGTATTCTTCTTCCGCGTTCTACCCTTTTCACTCAATTATTTTTATGGTAATTTGTTCTCTCTCCTGCTGTGAGTTTATTCAATTGTGGTGAACAAAGAACTGAGAGAGTACTTTATCTGCACTTTTAGTGAAATCTACCTTCTTTGCTTTTACACAAATGAGGTTCTTTAACGTTAAAATGATAGTTTTCTGTATTTTTATTACAACTGCTTCAGAAAAAGTAGTCTTAGCATCTTGAAATGGAAAGATATGCTTTCTTGCGTATTTCATCTTCCTATCCACCAGCCATCAATGTCAAATGTGCCAAACCATCAATTCTCAATTGAAGTGAATAATTTTCATGTAAATATAAAGAAGAGAATGGTAATCCACCTGTTATCACATGATGTCACATGGTACCAATGCAATGTAGTGGTCAGCTCAAAAAAGAACTAACCATTATCCCTCTATAAAAGTTGATAGAGAGAATTTCATGCAGAAGTAAAATAATATGCAGAGTGCTGCTAAACATCGTATATGAATCCAAATGAGTGTGACGAATTTTTACAATGACCTGCAATGAAGACATTGAAAAATGAGAATTGACAAACGGCTCAATTGGCAAGAGCAACAATGAAATATGTTCTGTTATAACTTGCGTTCACATTTTCATTCACAGTGGTTGTTGACATTTGAATTCTAATTTAGTTTCATTTTATTTTTGTAGCCGTTCACTGTTTATTATTGCAACAAATACATTTTAGCATCTTTAAGTTTAACCGATGTAAACACTGATGTTGATCTTTCGATGACTTGAGCTGAAGTATGGAAAAAAATGAACAAAAACAAGATCAAAGGTAAAGTATTTTTTCATGGTTATCTATTGTAGAACAATGTTTTTTTAAAATATTTCACAAAATTTGTTTACTCAATAAAACGGATGTCTCTCGTCATCACAATATTATACATTGAGAGTGCACGAGTTTCATTTTTCACCAAGGAAAGATAGATTTTAACAAATTTTCCATGTTTTAAGTAACTGCATCTAGGAAAATGTTCTTTGTACTTCTACCGCAGGTTCGTTGTGTTACCTGAAAATGATTGGTTTTAACAATTTTTTGGTATCACTATAGACACCAGTGTAGAGTAGATGTACAGAACAGTACATCATACATAAAACTAAGCAAATTACAAAAATTCACACATGGACCTGCAATAATGACATTAAAGGCGGCAAAAATGTCAAATAACTAAGGTCAGTAAGGTGCTAAGAACAATATATATTCCATTGTAACTTGCATTTTTGGTAATCAGCATGAGCGATGGTTAAATTTGAAACTCTACTCTCTCGTTTTTCTTTATTTTGTAGACGTCCTTTGTCTATTTCTACAAAAACATTCATTTGAGTACTTTCATCTGAAATAAACACCGACATTGATCTTTCGCAAAGGGATATGAGTTGAGTTGAACTGTTGAAGAACGGAAAGAAAAATGAGCAAAGGCAAGATCTGAAAGTAAATTAACTGGCGACTTTTTATCAGTTGATTATTTTTCGTATTTATTGTCACATACCATACTACATTCATCTCAAAAAAACACTTTCGTGTACTGTAGATTTATTGATTATCATTTACGATGGTTAAATTTGAGCACTTACATTGAGAATTGTTGTGCTGGCAATTTGAGCGATGGTTAAATTTGAAACTCTACTCTCTCGTTTTTCTTTATTTTGTAGACGTCCTTTGTCTATTTCTACAAAAACATTCATTTGAGTACTTTCATCCGAAATAAACACCGACATTGATCTTTAGGGATATAAGGGATCGCAAAAGGATATGAGTTGAGTTGAACTGTTGAAGAACGGAAAGAAAAGTGAGCAAAGGCAAGATCTAAGGTAAATTAATTGGCGACTTTTTATCAGTTGATTGTTTTTCGTGTTTATTGTCACATACCGTACTACATTCATCTCAAAATAACACTTTTGTGTACTATAGATTTATTGATTATCATTTAAGGACTGGTGTTGGGAATTACATAATCGTCTCCTTCATGACTTTGGTCAACTGTGTTATTCTTACTTAGCAATGGTTGATAATTGTTATCTTTTTTATTCATTTTTGATACATCAAGTCCTTGATAAGTTGGGTCAATTATGTCCTCCTTGCCTTCGTCATCCATATTTGATAAATCTATCTCTTGACAAGTTGTATTCGCTGTATTTGTCTTTCCATCATGTGACTGAGACATTTGACTTTTCTTAACTAACCATCGTCGACCATAACATAAAAATATCAAACAACAAAACAAAATCCCAAAAATAATTCCAGATAAAACAGAGATGGCGGTAACTAGCCAGTCCGTTTTACCATCAACAATGCTTGTGGTTGAGATTTTCATATCTAAAACGAAAGCCAAAATATTCTTAGAAAACCATTTCGTCTGACAATTTAAACCACAAGATAATTATAAAAATAATTTCAATACATAAAGTTATCTTTAAATGTTTGCACGTGTACGTCATGTGATATGGCACTGCCTAAAATGTTTGTCGCTTTACAAGTATAATTTCCAAAATCACAAGATTTAACGATGTCAAATGTATAGGTGGAGCCTTTATAGACAAGTTTAGAGCGCTTTGAAAATATTTCAAAATTTGGTTGTGGACGGCCTTCAGCAGTGCAGATTAACGTTGCTTTATGACCTCTTTGGAGAGTCAAACTAATGTTGGCAGGTCTATCTAACGTAAAATTGTAACAATTATATTTCATATTTTTTATAATCATAAGCAATGACTGTCATATTACTGTATTATACAATTCCGTACTTACAGTTGATAATCAACTCAACAGTTTTCTCAGCTTTAGCTTTCTCGTCACCTTTTGCTTCACATCTATAAAGGCCATTGTCATCACGATCAACCCGAGCAATAGTTAATATTGCCATTTCTTCTCCTGAGATAATCCTTCCACTACCTTTATACCATGTGACCACAGCAGGAGGATTACCATCAACTCCTTTACATTCACATGAAAAATAAGCATTTACATTGAGAATTGTTGTGTTGGAACAATTGATAGATATTTTCGGTGCAACTGTGATAAAAAAAAACAACATTTAACACAATAAAACAGGTATCCATCCAAGTACAGACAGATCAACACACAAACCTGCAATGAATACATGCACAGGTGAACGAGTTACAGTTTTATGAGGATTCCCAACTCTAACTTCCATGATATATGTTCCATTATATGTTTGATTTATATTTTTCAGAATCAAAGTTAAAGGTAGTATAAATTGAAAGTCTAGACCATTTGAAACACGCTTTAAAACTTTTCCTCCTGTTACTTTAACCAGATTTGAAGAAGCACCAGTAAAACTCAATGTTTGATTAGTAATTTCATTTGTGTCTCCACAATATGTCCACACAATTCTCCCATCTTCACCAGGAGCAAAAACCAATCTGACTGAAGGTGGATTTAGTTTAGCTACAAAGTTTAAAAAAGTTGTCAACCCAGGTTTAAATAAAAATGTGAGACATAAATCCAAGAGACCGTGATATCAAAGATGTTTGTTTAGGACATGAACTGTCCGCAGTGCCAATATACCAAGTGTAATTAATACGTTTCGCAGTTGTTACTTGTGCGACAGAGCTGAATATATGAATATTCACCAACCGTCTCCCTCAACCAGCGTTCTAGTTTCATCCCTGCATGTCATCACAAGAGCTGACTGCATGTTCTGGAAAGACTTTAATAAATTTTAATTGTGCTGTTGTTCCTGTGCAACTACATACTTACATCACGGAATATTAATGATTGCTGTGTGAACTCTATTCGCTATTGATTTGCAACTCAACCAAAGCAGTGAACAAAAACAATTCTTCTCCTGGTCGCAGTTAAATTAGGAGACAGAAGATTTAAAGAAAATGTATCCATGAGGACCAAGTGCATCTGTTTTCAGCACTAGTTGTGTGGCGAATAACTCTTATTCAAAGTCTTCAGATATAATATTTTGTATTTAAATATTCTGTTTTACAATATATCAAGTCAACCATCACTTGCTAGTTATATACAATACCTTTACAGAACATTGTCCAAAGTATAGGTGGAAATAAAATACCAATACTCTTTAAGTTCAACATGTTCATCTCTTACTAAACAACAAATATATAATCGTTATGTCGACACGTGGTCACCTGATCCATTGCACAATGGAGAACTTTAAAAAGAAAATCTCACACAGTTTAATGAGAATATATAACATCTTTTAGCGTGATGAATTTTTTTAGCCAGAAATACCTGTGAATAATATCGTAACAAGAATCTGTTGATTTAGCTTCCAATTTTGTGAGTATTCTTCTTCCGCGTTCTACCCTTTTCATTCAAGTATTTTTATGGTAATTTGTTCTCTCTCCTGCTGTGAGTTTATTTAATTGTGGTGAACAAACAACTAAGAGAGTACTTTATCTGCACTTTTAGTGAAATCTACCTTCTTTGCTTTTATACAAACGAGGTTCTTTAACGTTAAAATGATAGTTTTTTGTATTTTTATTGCAACTGCTTCACAAAAAATAGTCTTAGCATCTTGAAATGGAAAGATATGCTTTCTTGCGTATTTCGTCTTCCTATCGACCAGCGATCAATGTCAAATGTGCCAAACCATCAATTGTCAATTGAAATGAATAATTTTCATGTAAATATAAAGAAGAGAATGGTAATCAACCTGTTATCACATCATGTCACATGGTACCAATGCAATGTAGTGGTCAGCTCAAAAAAGAACTAACCATTATCCCTTTATAAAAGTTGATAGAGAGAATTTCATGCAGAAGTAAAATAATATGCAGAATGTTGCTAAACATCGTATATGAATCCAAATGAGTGTGACGAATTTTTACAATGACCTGCAATGAAGACATTGAAAAATGAGAATTGACAAACGGCTCAATTGGCAAGAACAACAATGAAATATGTTCTGTTATAACTTGCGTTGACATTTTCATTCACAGTGGTTGTTGATATTTGAATTTTAATTTAGTTTCATTTTATTTTTGTAGCCGTTCACTGTTTATTTTTGCAACAAATACATTTTAGCATCTTTACCCGATGTACAGTAAACACTGATATTGATCTTTCGATTACTTGAGCTGTAGTATGGAAAAAAATGAACAAAAACAAGATCAAAGGTAAAGTGTTTTTTCATGGTTATCTATTGTAGAACAATGTTACACAATGTCATCACAATATTACACATTGAGAGTGCACGAGTTTCATTTTGCACCAAGGAAAGATGGATTTTAACAAATTTTCCATGTTTTAAGTAACTGCATCTAGGAAAATGTTCTTTGTACTTCTACCGCAGGTTCGTTGTGTTACCTGAAAATGATTGGTTTTAACAATTTTTTGGTATCATTATAGACACCAGTGTATAGTAGATGTACAGAACAGTACATCATACATAAAACTAAGCAAATTACAAAAATTTACACATGGACCTGCAATAATGACATTAAAGGCGGCAAAAATGTCAAATAACTAAGGTCAGTAAGGTGCTAAGAACAATATATATTCCATTGTAACTTGCATTTTTGGTAATCAGCATGAGCGATGGTTAAATTTGAAACTCTACTCTCTCGTTTTTCTTTATTTTGTAGACGTCCTTTGTCTATTTCTACAAAAACATTCATTTGAGTACTTTCATCCGAAATAAACACCGACATTGATCTTTTGCAAAGGGATATGAGTTGAGTTGAACCGTTGATAAACGGAAAGAAAAATGCGCAAAGGCAAAATCTAAGGTAAATTAATTGGCGACTTTTTATCAGTTGATTATTTTTCCTGTTTATTGTCACATACCGTACTACATTCATCTCAAACTAACACTTTTGTGTACTGTAGATTTATTGATTATCATTTAAGGACTGGTGTTGGGAATTACATAATCGTCTCCTTCATAACTTTGGTCAACTGTGTTATTCTTATTTAGCAATGGTTGATAATTGTTATCTTTTTTATTCATTTTTGATACATCAAGTCCTTGATAAGTTGGGTCAATTATGTCCTCCTTGCCTCCGTCATCCATATTTGATAAATCTATCTCTTGACAAGTTGTATTCGCTGTATTTGTCTTTCCATCATGTGACTGAGACATTTGACTTTTCTTAACTAACCATCGTCGACCATAACATAAAAATATCAAACAACAAAACAAAATCCCAAAAATAATTCCAGATAAAACAGAGATGGCAGTAACTAGCCAGTCCGTTTTACCATCAACAATGCTTGTGGTTGAGATTTTCATATCTAAAACGAAAGCCAAAATATTCTTAGAAAACCATTTCGTCTGACAATTTAAACCACAAGATAATTATAAAAACAATTTCAATACATAAAGTTATCTTTAAATGTTTGCACGTGTACGTCATGTGATATGGCACTGCCTAAAATGTTTGTCGCTTTACAAGTATAATTTCCAAAATCACAAGATTTAACGATGTCAAATGTGTAGGTGCAGCCTTTATAGACAAGTTTAGAGCGCTTTGAAAATATTTCAAAGTTTGGTTGTAGACGGCCTTCAGCAGTGCAGATTAACGTTGCTTTATGACCTCCTCTTTGGAGAGTCAAACTAATGTTGGCAGGTCTATCTAACGTAAAATTGTAACAATTATGTTTCATATTTTTTATAATCATAAGCAATGACTGTCATATTACTGTAGTATACAATTTCGTACTTACAGTTAACAATTATTTGAACTGTTTTCTCAGCTTTAGTTTTCTCGTCACCCTTTGCTTCACATCTATAAAGGCCATTGTCATCACGATCAACCCGAGCAATAGTTAATGTTGCCATTTCTTCTCCTGAGATAATCCTTCGACTACCTTTATACCATGTGACCACAGCAGGAGGATTACCATCAACTCCTTTACATTCACATGAAAAATAAGCACTTACATTGAGAATTGTTGTGTTGGAACAATTGAATGATATTTTCGGTGCAACTGTGATAAAAAAAAACAACATTAACACAATAAAACAGGTATCCATCCAAGTACAGACAGATCAACATACAAACCTGCAATGAATACATGCACAGGTGAACGAGTAAAAGTTTTATAAGGATTCCCAACTCTAACTTCCATGATATATGTTCCATTATATGTTTGATTTATATTTTTCAGAATCAAAGTTAAAGGTAGTATAAATTGAAAGTCTAGACCATTTGAAACACGCTTTAAAACTTTTCCTCCTGTTACTTTAACCAGATTTGAAGAAGCACCAGTAAAACTCAATGTTTGATGAGTAATTTCATTTGTGTCTCCACAATATGTCCACACAATTCTCCCATCTTCACCAGGAGCAAAAACCAATCTGTCTGAAGGTGCATTTAGTTTAGCTACAAAGTTTAAAAAGTTGTCAACCCAGGTTTAAATAAAATGTGAGACATAAATCCAAGAGACCGTGATATCAAAGATGTTTGTTTAGGACATGAACTGTCCGCAGTGCCAATATACCAAGTGTAATTAATACGTTTCGCAGTTGTTACTTGTGCGACAGAGCTGAATATATGAATATTCACAAACCGTCTCCCTCAACCAGCGTTCTAGTTTCATCCCTGCATGTCATCACAAGAGCTGACTGCATGTTCTGGATAGACTTTAATAAATTTTAATTGTGCTGTTGTTCCTGTGCAACTACATACTTACATCACGGAATATTAATGATTGCTGTGTGAACTCTATTCGCTATTGATTTGCAACTCAACCAAAGCAGTAAACAAAACAATTCTTCTCCTGGTCGCAGTTAAATTAGGAGACAGAAGATTTAAAGAAAATGTATCCATGAGGACCAATTGCATCTGTTTTCAGCACTAGTTGTGTGGCGAATAACTCTTATTCAAAGTCGTCAGATATAACATTTCGTATTTAAATATTCTGTTTTACAATATATCAAGTCAACCATCACTTGCTAGTTATATACAATACCTTTACAGAACATTATCCAAAGTATAAGTGGAAATAAAATACCGATACTCTTTAAGCTCAACATGTTCATCTCTTACTAAACAACAAAAATATAATAGTTATGTCGACACGTCACCAGATCCATTGCACAATGGAGAACTTTAAAAAGAAAATCTCACACAGTTTAATGAGAATATATAACATATTTTCGCGTGATGAATTTTTTTAGCCAGAAATACCTGTGAATAATATCGTAACAAGAATCTGTTGATTTAGCTTCCAATTTTGTGAGTATTATTCTTCCGCGTTCTACCCTTTTCATTCAAGTATTTTTATGGTAATTTGTTCTCTCTCCTGCTGTGAGTTTATTCAATTGGGGTGAACAAACAACTGAGTGAGTACTTTATCTGCACTTTTAGTGAAATCTACCTTCTTTGCTTTTACACAAATGAGGTTCTTTAACATTAAAATGATAGTTTTTTGTATTTTTATTGCAACTGCTTCACAAAAAATAGTCTTAGCATCCTGAAATGGAAAGATATGCTTTCTTGCGTATTTCGTCTTCCTATCCACCAGCTATCAATGTCAAATGTGCCAAACCATCAATTGTCAATTGAAGTGAATAACTTTCATGTAAATATAAAGAAGAGAATGGTAATCCACCTGTTATCACATCATGTCACATGGTACCAATGCAATGTAGTGGTCAGCTCAAAAAGAACTAACCATTATCCCTCTATAAAAGTTGATAGAGAGAATTTCATGCAGAAGTAAAATAATATGCAGAGTGTTGCTAAACATCGTATATGAATTCAAATGAATCTGACGAATTTTTACAATGACCTGCAATGAAGACATTGAAAAATGAGAATTGACAAACGGCTCAATTGGCAAGAGCAACAATGAAATATGTTCTGTTATAACTTGCGTTGACATTTTCATTCACAGTGGTTGTTGACATTTGAATTTTAATTTCGTTTCATTTTATTTTTGTAGCCGTTCACTGTTTATTTTTGCAACAAATACATTTTAGCAACTTTACCCGATGTACAGTAAACACTGATGTTGATCTTTCGATGACTTGAGCTGAAGTATGGAAAAAAAAAAGAACAAAAACAAGATCAAAGGTAAAGTATTTTTTCATGGTTATCTATTGTAGAACAATGTTACACAATGTCATCACAATATTACACATTGAGAGTGCACGAGTTTCATTTTCACCAAGGAAAGATAGATTTTAACAAATTTTCCATGTTTTAAGTAACTGCATCTAGGAAAATGTTCTTTGTACTTCTACCGCAGGTTCGTTGTGTTACCTGAAAATGATTGGTTTTAACAATTTTTTGGTATCACTATAGACACCAGTGTAGAGTAGATGTACAGAACAGTACATCATACATAAAACTAAGCAAATTACAAAATTCTCACATGGACCTGCAATAATGACATTGACAGCGGCAAAAATGACAAATAACTAAGGTGCTAAGAACAATATATATTCCATTGTAACTTGCATTTTTTGGTAATCAGCATGAGCGATGGTTAAATTTGAAACTCTACTCTCTCGTTTTTCTTTATTTTGTAGACGTCCTTTGTCTATTTCTACAAAAACATTCATTTGAGTACTTTCATCCGAAATAAACACCGACATTGATCTTTCGCAAAGGGATATGAGTTGAGTTGAACCGTTGATAAACGGAAAGAAAAATGCGCAAAGGCAAAATCTAAGGTAAATTAATTGGCGACTTTTTATCAGTTGATTATTTTTCCTGTTTATTGTCACATACCGTACTACATTCATCTCAAAATAACACTTTTGTGTACTATAGATTTATTGATTATCATTTAAGGACTGGTGTTGGGAATTACATAATCGTCTCCTTCATGACTTTGGTCAACTGTGTTATTCTTATTTAGCAATGGTTGATAATTGTTATCTTTTTTATTCATTTTTGATACATCAAGTCCTTGATAAGTTGGGTCAATTATGTCCTCCTTGCCTCCGTCATCCATATTTGATAAATCTATCTCTTGACAAGTTGTATTCGCTGTATTTGTCTTTCCATCATGTGACTGAGACATTTGACTTTTCTTAACTAACCATCGTCGACCATAACATAAAAATATCAAACAACAAAACAAAATCCCAAAAATAATTCCAGATAAAACAGAGATGGCAGTAACTAGCCAGTCCGTTTTACAATCAACGATGCTTGTGGTTGAGATTTTCATGTCTAAAAAGAAAGCCAAAATATTCTTAGAAAACCATTTCGTCTGACAATTTAAACCACAAGATAATTATAAAAATAATTTCAATACATAAAGTTATCTTTAAATTTTTGCACGTGTACGTCATATGATATGGCACTGCCTAAAATGTTTTTCGCTTTACAAGTATAATTTCCAAAATCACAAGATTTAACGATGTCAAATGTGTAGGTGCAGCCTTTATAGACAAGTTTAGAGCGCTTTGAAAATATTTCAAAGTTTGGTTGTAGACGGCCTTCAGCAGTGCAGATTAACGTTGCTTTATGACCTCCTCTTTGGAGAGTCAAACTAATGTTGGCAGGTGTATCTAACGTAAAATTGTAACAATTATGTTTCATATTTTTTATAATCATAAGCAATGACTGTCATATTACTGTACTATACAATTTCGTACTTACAGTTAACAATTATTTGAACTGTTTTCTCAGCTTTAGTTTTCTCGTCACCCTTTGCTTCACATCTATAAAGGCCATTGTCATCACGATCAACCCGAGCAATAGTTAATGTTGCCATTTCTTCTCCTGAGATAATCCTTCGACTACCTTTATACCATGTGACCACAGCAGGAGGATTACCATCCTCTCCTTTACATTCACATGAAAAATAATCACTTACATTGAGAATTGTTGTGCTGGAACAATTGATAGATATTTTCGGTGCAACTGTGATAAAAAACCCCAAACATTTAACACAATAAAACAGGTATCCATCCAAGTACAGACAGATCAACACACCAACCTGCAATGAATACATGCACAGGTGAAGGAGGAAGCGTTCCTGACGCAAGACTAACTTCCATGGTATATGTTCCATTATATGTTTGATTTACATTTTTCAGAATCAAAGTTAAAGGTAATACAAATTGAAAGTCTAGACCATTTGAAACACGGTCTACAACTTTTCCTCTTGATACTACAACCAGAGATGTAGAGGCACCAGTAAAAGTCAATCCTTGAAAAAAGATTTGATTAATATCCCCACTATATGTCCACACAATTCTCCCATCTTCACCAGGAGCAAAAACCAATCTGTCTGAAGGTGCAATCAGTTCAGCTACAAAGTTTAAGAAAGTTGTCAACCCAGGTTTAAATAAAAATGTGAGACATAAATCCAAGAGACCGTGATATCAAAGATGTTTGTTTAGGACGTGAACTGTCCGCAGTGCCAATATAGCAAGTGTAATTAATACGTTTCGCAGGTGTTACTTGTGAGAAAGAGCTGAATATATGAATATTCACAAACCGTCTCCCTCAACCAGCGTTCTAGTTTCATCCCTGCATGTCATCACAAGAGCTGACTGCATGTTCTGGATAGACTTTAATAAATTTTAATTGTGCTGTTGTTCCTGTGCAACTACATACTTACATCACGGAATATTAATGATTGCTGTGTGAACTCTATTCGCTATTGATTTGCAACTCAACCAAAGCAGTAAAATAAAACAATTCTTCTCCTGGTCGCAGTTAAATTAGGAGACAGAAGATTTAAAGAAAATGTATCCATGGGGAGCAATTGCATCTGTTTTCAGCACTAGTTGTGTGGCGAATAACTCATATTCAAAGTCTTCAGATATAACATTTTGTATTTAAATATTCTGTCAATTTACAATATATCAAGTCAACCATCACTTGCTAGTTATATACAATACCTTTACAGAACATTATCCAAAGTATAGGTGGAAATAAAATACCAATACTCTTTAAGCTGAACATGTTCATCTCTTACTAAACAACAAATATATAATAGTTATGTCGACACGTGGTCACCAGATCCATTGCACAATGAAGAACTTTAAAAAGAAAATCTCACACAGTTTAATGAAAATATATAACATATTTTCGCGTGATGAATTTTTTTAGCCAGAAATACCTGTGAATAATATCGTAACAAGAATCTGTTGGTTTAGCTTCCAATTTTGTGAGTACTATTCTTCCGCGTTCTACCCTTATCATTCAAGTATTTTTATGGTAATTTGTCCTCTCTCCTGCTGTGAGTTTATTCAACTGTGGTGAACAAAGAACTGAGAGAGTACTTTATCTGCACTTTTAGTGAAATCTACCTTCTTTGCTTTTACACAAATGAGGTTCTTTAACATTAAAATGATAGTTTTTTGTATTTTTATTACAACTGTTTCACAAAAAATATTCTTAGCATCTTGAAATGGAAAGATATGCTTTCTTGCGTATTTCATCTTCCTATCCACCAGCCATCAATGTCAAATGTTCCAAACCATCAATTCTCAATTCAAGTGAATAACTTTCATGTAAATATAAAGAAGAGAATGGTAATCCACCTGTTATCACATGATGTCACATGGTACAATTGCAATGTAGTGGTCAGCTCAAAAAAGAACTAACCATTATCCCTTTTTAAAAATTAATAGAGAGAATTTCATACAGAAGTATAATAATATGCAGAGTGTTGCTAAACATTGTATATGAATCCAAATTATTGTGACGAATTTTTACAAAGACCTGCAACAAAGACATTGAAAAATGAGAAGTGACATATGGCTCAAGTAGCAAGAATAATAATGAAATATGTGAACACATTTTCATTCACAGTTGAGGTGGTTGTTGACATTTGAATTCTAATTTCGTTTCAATTTATTTTTGTAGCCTTTCACTGTTTACTTTTGCAACAAATACATTTTAGCATCTTTAACCGATGTAAACACTGATGTTGATCTTTCGATGACTTGAGCTGAAGTATGGAAAAAAAATGAACAAAAACAAGATCAAAGATAAAGTATTTTTTCATGGTTATCTATTGTAGAACAATGTTTTTTTAAAATATGTCACAAAATTTGTTTACTCAATAAAACGGATGTCTCTCGTCATCACAATATTATACATTGAGAGTGCACGAGTTTCATTTTTCACCAAGGAAAGATAGATTTTAACAAATTTTCCATGTTTTTAGTAACTGCATCTAGGAAAATGTTCTTTGTACTTCTACCGCAGGTTCGTTGTGTTACCTGAAAATGATTGGTTTTAACAATTTTTTGGTATCACTATAGACACCAGTGTAGAGTAGATGTACAGAACAGTACATCATACATAAATCT